ATGAAAAGCACATCCTTCGAGCCGGAGTTGAACCAGCGACCTAAGGATTTCTGGATTTTCATCAATTACATCCTACAGTCCTCCGCTCTACCAACTGAGCTATCGAAGGGAACAATTGGGTTGCAACTGCAGGGAAACAGGAGCTGACGCCACACAATATGCCCACAGAACTATTCACCACCTACAGTCTATCAAAAGCCCAGCCTTACCTGCAGAGCAAAGCTATTTCTGTTTGTACATTTTGAGTTATAGAGTTCTCAGATTGAAGATAAGGCTTGACATCAGTTCAGTGTGATTAGATCCTGTACATTGGTCACACCAATAAGAAACACATCCTTCGAGCCGGAGTTGAACCAGCGACCTAAGGATTCCTGCAATTTTTTTCAATTCCATCCTACAGTCCTCCGCTCTACCAACTGAGCTATCGAAGGGAGTACCCAAAGGCCAATTACAGGGAAACAGGGGCTAACATCACACAATATGCCCATAGAACGACTCTACCCCCCATGCTCTATCAAAAGCCCAGTTTTTCCTGCCAAACAAGCTTGCAGTTTTTACCATGCAGTCATTGCCAGGGACCCAGGTGATGATCAGTACTTTTAGGCAGGGTGAAGAGGGGCATTATGGTTGGAACATGTAACCAGAGTGATCTTGTTTCTGTCTGTACATTATGAGTGGTGAAGTTTTCAGATTTAAGACAAGGCTTGGCATTGGCTGTGTCTCATTTTAGAGACCGCATCGGGATAAGCGCGCTTAACGGCGCTTAGCTGAGTGCACTGCCGTTTTGTGCCGTTATGTGCCGTTTTGTACCCTTCCTGTGTCCCATTTCAGAGACCGCAACCGTCGAACGGCACATCTGAAGCGTGCGTGAGGTCATCACACGGCATGAACGGTGTCCCTTTTGGCACAAAATACTAAGCGCGCTTCAAATTCGGTCTCAAAACCACACTACCCCCGCCTCTTTTTCAAGCGTGCATATATGCACGCTTTCGCTCCGTCGGTATCCCAGAATACTTTGCGTGCCGCTGCACAGCTTCGCATTTCGGGTGAGAGGCTGGACTCACTTGGAGACGCGCTGCGTCTCCAAAGAAAATACAAGAAATCCAAAAACAGCACACAGTCAGCTCAGGCTGTATGTGAGCATGATCTCTGAACCCACTAAAATCTCTAAACCAAACATTTTAGTATTTCGAGACATTTAGTATTTCTGTACCCGCATATTCTGAGACGCCCTCATCGTTTCACAAGCTCACATCTCACTGTGCATTCCTTGACTTTTATTTTGTAGGGTCTATATATAGCCTTCCTTACATGTGGGACAATTTTAAGAAGTATGCAATTACATTGGGCACATTTTTATGATGCTTTCACACCTTGTCATTCTTTCTTGTAACACAGAATCACATTGAAAAGTGCTTTCGTTCCATTCATTGATTGTATTTTATTAACATGCAAAGGACCAGATGTTACTCGACTGTTAAGCTGCACATTAAAAAACCCATCAGAGTTGTTATTGATACCACAGGCCTGAATATTATGCATATCAAGGCTTGGCACAGGCCTTCAGACAACTGCAGCTGGGTTATACTCTAACAGGTCCTCGTACTGTTTGATCAAGTGTTAACTAAGCGGCTACTGAAGAAGGATTTACTGTATCTGCAGAGTTTGGGTGGCTATAGGTATTGTGTGTGTTTGGGATATAAATGGAGTGTTTATGAGTTTTTTAAACATAGATTTTAATTTTAGCGTCACTTGAAATAAATTGCAATTGAAAGTTGGAGCTTGTGTTTGTTTTTATTTTAAGAAAAAAGCTGCTGATGTTAACTCCCTAATCTTTTTGATTATTTGTGCTTTTGGTTTCTTCATTATTATTATTATTATTATTATTATTATTATTATTAACTGAGAAGTACTATGAATGTACTAAAGGGATAGAGTGATTTTACTCCAGAATTGAGTTAGCAATAATTTATTTAAAGCCTCTGTCTGGAGTTTGGCACCCCCTTGTGGACAAACTTTTACCTATATATCCTTATAGGCTTGTGTGTCCACATGGCTCACAGGATAAGAACATTGACTGGGACTAAAAGTACTATTATCACAAAGGTTGTTCTTGTAAGTGTTGTCTTTCATATTTTAATGTGTAAAATTTACATGTTTACAGTAAGTTGTGATGTCCAGAGGGAAAACTTTTTCGAGTGGTCCATCAGCCCATGTTCCTCACAAATTTGGCTTTTTTTTCCTGCATAGTTTGTAACTTCTGGAGTTGACTGGACCAAATGGTTTTTGTCTGTCTGACTGTCTGACTTGTCTGTGACCAGAAAATAATCTGCTCCGGTGTTAGATTAGAGCGACTCGGGAAGTGGGTTAATTCTCCCGGACAGTCAGGTGAGAGCTGACCTTGATTGCACGGGTCTTGAACCTGCAGTGGCACAAGCCTGGGTGAAAACAGCTGACTTTGTCTCTCACCTGACCCTTTTTGTTTTTTGTAAATGCAGGGTAGGGACATCTTTTAAATTACTTCCTAAAACCCACTGAAAGACCTGCTCTAAATGTGTGTAATTTTTTAATTACGCTGGTTTTAAAATAGTTAAAGATAAGAAGTTACAAACTCTGTGAAAGCACAGATAATGGAAGAGCTGAGACTTTGTAAATATGTGAGTAGCACAACAGTTACCCTGAAGTGAAGCCTAAATCTGCAGCACTCCCCCTAGTGGTTAGCTGCAGTATAGATCACAAATCCTACTACCTCCATTATAAAGGATGGGTCAAACAATAAAATCTAAATCCTCACTGATTAAATTATTTGTTCTCATGCTCTCTGTTTTAGTTTTAGTTTTTCATACAGATTTATGTGCAGGTGTTCATTTTCAAAGAAGATAAGATTCAGTTCGAGTGACAGCTCTGCCGACAAACACACCTACTGCAGTTTTCGCAAACTTAAATCTTACAGTCTTGCCCCGGATTCACTGAACTTTCCATGATTTCTTGGCATAACTGGGTTAAAATTACATCAACAACACAACATGCTGGTTAAAATACTATCATGGTCTTTTGGCTTCATAGCATCAACTCAGGGTCAGTGGGGTGTCTAATGAAATAGCCTGTTTACAGTCATCCTCTTGTTTCTTAACACTAAGCCTATCTACCACCCTGAGCTTATTAGGCAACATGGAGGACTCACTTATCCAGGATCAATCCTACTTTTGAATCAACATGGTTTTCTTCCTATAGCTCTGTCTTTAGTCTTTTGTGTTTAATGAGTATGAAACCACCAGACTTTTCTTGGATCATCTTTACACTCTAACTATCTCTGAGGAGGTCTTTGTCGGTTAGTCATGAACGGTATAGTGCTGTCTGTTGAACCATCTGTTACTGTACTATTTGATGAGTTAATTTTTAATTTAAACAGTAAATCAAAAAAAATAGAATAAGATGGTCGTAAGACATCATTAGCAGTAACATTACTAAGATCTGGAGAAAAATATACCAGTTGCACGTGGTGAAATCTGCAATATCTGCAATGGATAATATAGAGAAATAAATGAATTTGCACTTATATGAGAGTAATTTGACACATAGTGGGAAAATTACTAATGCAAATCTTGCCAATAATTAAACTGCATATGGTGTAAAAAGTAATTTGTATTAGATAATAGGAAAAGTAATGTCGCACATGTTAGCAAAACAACAGGAAAAAGAAATTTTGAACATAGTGCTAATATATGGTGCTGTACACGATTTATGCAGCATCAGAAGTGTATGGTGCATATTGTACATGATGCAACAAGTGCGAACGTGACTGTTATGAAAGTTTTATTGCACATGTCATGAAGGGTAATATTGCACATTGTAAAAAAAGTCTTGTTGCACATGCATTGTGAATGATATCGATGTAATATTGCACATGTATTTGAAAGAATTATGCACATTTCACATGATATGAAAAGTTAGGAAAGTATGATTGCAGATAATGGGAAAAGTTACGTTGCACATGATATTAGGAGTAATGTTGTGCAGTGATGCTCATTTTCCTCAGTAGGACGCTTCATTCTAGGCACAGTTTTGGTGTAAAGTTAGCCGCAGCTGCTGCCTGGTATCACCCGTCCTGTCTAAAAGCAGGTTTCTGCAGAGAAGTAGAGACTGTAATCCTTTAAGAGGATCAGTTCTGAGGTCCAGGGGGAAGGGATAAAGGATCCACTAACTGTCTATAGTAGCCTGCACATGGTGTTTCTGTCATCTTGACAGATTGGTCATGTGTCATTTTGAAATGTGCTGAGCTTATGGGCACTTTAGCAGAGTTTTAATGTGTTTTATGGAGCATAACCAGTGATGGAGGACCAGCCTACACGCTATTGTTGGAGTTATTTTCTACATCTGAGGACAGCTGAGAAGAGGAGGAGGAGGAGGAGTTAAGGTAAGGCTTTTGTAACTGTGTTACTCACTAGAATAAAAGTCAGCAGTCCAAAACTAAACCAAAACTGGCACTAATGCAACTTTAACGTCAAGTTTTAATCATCTCTGTTATTTACCTAAAATTGATGTGGTATCAAACCGGAGGCTGCATTACAGACCTTTCTAACTTAATTATAACCCTGTAGTTTAAGCATTTATAAGCAGAAAACAAGTTTAATTTAGTGTATGATGACACGCTACAATGAGGTTTTTGTCAGCAATGGCCAAGACCTCTTGAAGTGTTGTCTAATGTACAGTATTTGACAACAAATGTGACTTTTCCCCACATTAAATGAATATGTGTTCTGTGTTGTGTTCTTAGCTAAATATTAAGAAAACATTTTCCATGTATGAATTTATTATCTGTTCACTGAAGGACATAGCGTTATAATTAAAGGCAGTAGTGAACATCTATTAGTGCTAAAAAAAAAAAAAAAAGAGCATTACAATGTTTCTTAAGTATTTATTAAATTAAAGAGGTTATAAATAACAAATGTTTAAGTAAGAGCTGTTTAATTATTCTAATCATTTCAGAGACGGCTGCCATGCCGGTGCTGGAGGTGATCTGCAGCCTGATTGGCTGGTTCTCTCTCTACCTGCTGTTCTGCTGGACCTTTCCTCATCGAGGGCCTGAGTGGAACTGTCGGCTGGTCACTCTGTCTCATGGGGTCCTCATAGTTTTGCTGACGGCATATGTGGTCTTCATCGATGGACCCTGGCCCCTCACACATGCAGGTCAGTGCAATGAAAACCACTGTAACATTAAGTACAAATGTGAATCTTGTAAGAATATAAACAAATGTAAATTTTAGGAAGATCCCTAAATGGATCAGATGAATGTGATGATGTAATATAACCATATCTGTATGCAACCATCACTACCCCCATCTCAAGAGTGTTACCTTTGGTGTAAATAGGATTTGGACAAAAGACAGAGGTCTCATTTTATTTGTTAAGCTACTGTGCAATCCCTTTACACACGACTGAAGCACATTTATACACCTGAACTGCAACACATACTGTTTCATACTGGATTAATCTTTCCTGGACACATGCTGAGTATCTAATCTTATTCCACTCATCAATCCCTCCCCCAGGCACTGAAAACACTGAGCTGCAGACCCTCGCCCTGGCCGTCTGCCTGGGTTACTTCTTCTTCGACATGGGCTGGTGCATTTGTAACCGCAGCGAGGGTCCCCTCATGCTTGCACACCATGCAGCGAGCATCGTAGGTATTCTCCTGGCTCTAACCATGGGGGTGTCGGGCTGTGAGACCTGTGCAGTAGTCTTCGGCAGCGAGATCACTAACCCCCTGCTGCAGACCCGCTGGTTCCTTCGACAGGTGGGCCTGTACGACAGCCTGCTGGGGGACGCCGTGGACCTGTTATTCATCTTTTTGTTCGCCACTGTGCGAGTGGGAGTGGGCACAGCCATGTTTTACTGTGAGCTCACTTCCCCAAGGACTTCCCTGATAATGAAGCTGGGTGGCGTGATCATGTATGGACTCGCCTGGGTGTTTATGGTGGACATCGCCAAATTTTGCTACAAGAAAAGTAAAGCCAAGTACAAAAGGTGGCGAGAGAACCAGAAGCTAAAAGAAATGAACTCACAGAAACTGGACGGACTTTCAGAGAAAAATGCTGATGGGAATCATCCCAGAAATGACTAAACTCACAATTCAGGGATGGACACACTCTTATAAAGCTCTCTTGCTGCCTAAACAAAACGTTACATGATATTCTCGAGAGACTGGTTGAGCTATTTTTGATCAGCATCATGAAAATAGAAGGCCGAGTGGGATGCCATAAAATCACAGTATGTGACCTGTTTAGTGAAACCTAAATTAGACATTTCTGACACAAAATATTGGCGTTTATGTGCCCCGACTACCAAGTCAAACATTGAAAAGATGATTAGAAAATACTGTGTTTGTTCTAAACTCAAACAAATGCAAATTCAGTGTTGTTTGATGACGAAAAAAGCTGAATATCACATTTTTGTTGGACGAGAATTGGATAACTAATGGATGCAGTCAATGTAAGGTCACCCATTCATTTGTCGAAGGCCTTTTTGCAGCTTCAAGAATAGCCAGAGGGTGGCGCTGGAGGGTAGAGAAGGCTTTACAGTGGCTACCTCTGATTATGAGAAATGAAGCTGAGGTGGAAAAACTGCAGTTCCTTGAGTGCCCACTTGGGGCTGGCTCGAAAACGCCATTAACGCCCATCAGCTCGTCATGTGCACGGTTAAGTCAAGCCAGGGGGCATCAGAAGGGGCTGACGGGTTTTATGTTGGATGGAAAACCAGCTTCATCTTTTTAGGTCCGGTCTTCTTCTGTAGAAGTTTAGTTTTCCTGGTGAGCAAAACTTGAAATATTAGATGTTTTTGATGGTAAAAACTTGAAGAATCACAGCAGCTTCTTGTCCCAATAGAAGGGGTGAGGGTGAACAAGGGAGCACTTCAATCTTATATCTGATTGGTAGACAAACAAGCATCCTGACTCCTTTACACTGGGGCCTTACAAGAACTGAGTATCTGTTAGAGCCTGCCTCTAGGGGGCACTTTGAGGAACTGTAGTTTTTTGCTCTTTTATATCTAGACTAATGTTAAGTCCAGGATATTGAGATTTCCCATCAGAGTCCTACAAAAGCTTACTAGTTTGTGCTTGAAGTTCAAATACTCAGAGAAAATATCTGTAGTAAAGCATCATTATGTTATCAAAAATGCTTTAATGCTGCTGCCACTTTACAGTCATGGTTTCTTGTGAGCCATATTATTGAACTTTACCTCCGTCTGTCAAACGTGTTCTTTACAGTTAATGATAAGATAGTGTTTATGTTTAAATAAATGCAGTTTTGTATTAAAATACTGGGGGAAACTGCACCTATGTTTTGCACCTTGAATCTTATTTGGTTGTCGGTGTTAGTTCTGATCATAACAACTGTGTGTGAATTATTTTGCACTTCTTTTCAATCGCATCACTTCTCCAAAGAACGAAAGGCTTATATGCACACCACTACACAAAAGCAGCATGTGTGCTAATCCGCTAACAACAGAGATTTGAGCTGCTTCACCTCAATGTTGTTGTTAAGGCCTGTCTCTCTTTTTGGTCTCTGTGGAGTACATAACTATATATAACTCACCTGGCTTGAAAAAGTGCATGGTCTGAAGCATGCCTGAACTAGCACACCTTGCACCCTGATGGGATGCACTGTGTTGTTGTTGTTGCAGCTGAACAGTAGGGACTCTGTCCTCACTCCAAACCCTCAAGGAAAGGTTGCAGACATGGGAATGTGTTGTATGCTGCCTTAACCAGGAAGCTGAGCTGTACCTGAAGCGTCCACCAGATGTCCCCCCAGCTGATGTCTCTGGCCCATCATGTCCACCCTTCTTGCTGGCACCACATCACGCAGTTGTGAAAGTAGTACTTCTACTAAACAAAGTGGAGGAGGGATGACCAGAACCAGTGGTGTGACTTTTTTTGTTTGAGAACGCTGAAAGAAGTCTTTAGCAGACAAAAACTAGGAATAAAAATTTTCTCTTCACAGGTTAATGTCTCTCAACTTTCTTCTTTTAGGTCATAAAAATAAAAAAGAGGATTAGGGCCATATGAAGAGAAAAAAAATAATTACAGGAAGGAGATTGAAGTCGAACTTTTAAGATTAAAGTCGAAATTTAAAGATTAAAAATGTGATATTATGTCAATAAAGTAAACATTTCAAGATTAATCAATGAAATTTTGAGATTAAAGACTAAATTTCAAGATTACAAAATGTTGAAATGTGAATATGGTTGAAATTTCAAGATTAAAAAAAATTAAAATTTGAGATTTGAGTCGAAATTTTGACTTTATTCATGTAAATTAGATTTTTTAATCTCTAAATATTGACTTTGATGTTGAAATTTAAATTTTCTTTCCTTTCGACTTTTATCTCAACATTTCAATCTTTCAACAAAAAAAATCTCCCTCCTATAATCATTTTTTTCTATTCTTGTGGCCCAAATCCTTTTTGGTTTAAAAAGGATCTTTCAACAAATTTAGTGCTGAAAGACTTAAGAATAAAATCCAAGACATACTGTATGTAAATCCATTATTTCTTAATTATTTTCTCAAAACACCTTGTGATTGGCTGATTTAAAAAAAAAAAAAGCCATAAAATTTGATAAAATGACACTTTTTAAAATACTTACATTCATTTTATCATCGTTATAAAATCTCAGTTTTAAAAAGTTTTCAAGCTCACAACAGAGTCAACAATTAAACAACAAGGCTCAGTGGAGATATGATACAACAGATTCACTCTGCATTGATACTTAACCCTGTTTTAATTAGTTTGTGTTAAAATATTACATGATTGCATTGTACAAAAACAAACACAAATCTCTGACGGTCATATTTGTACATTATTTTCCTTACATTTAAACCACTCTTCTGACACTGTCCTTCTTCTTTATGGTTTTAGAAATACTGTGCAGTCTTGTGGCTGGTGAGTGTTTGTCAAACTCTAAGCCTGAGCCTTAAAAATAACTGTCTGTACACACAGAAGACGGTTATTAGTGGAAGATGAGAAGTCTGTGGCAGAAGTAAAAACGATTCTCATGATGTTTAAGCCAAATTAGGATTAAAGATTACAGTGAGTGGTGATGCACAAAGAGGTCAAGTGTCACTCAGGTTAGTTCATCAAGAAAGCCAGTGGAAGAAAGAGAGAGAAAACACATTTACAATTAAGTTAGAGTTTAAAAAATACACGTGAAAGAGCTCCGCGGAGAAGGATTCAGCATGCAGCATCAGGAAAAACACCAGCAGTGACACACTTTTTAAATACATCCTTTTTTTAACAGCTGCAGATACCTCATCAGAGCAGGTGGTACATCAAGAAAACCTGATTCAGTTTTTCCAAAATCTGATCTCTCTGTGTATGATGAATATATGGAGTCCTGTCACGGATATTAAATTGGCAAAAATATGGAGGGAAAGCAAAATCAAAAAGTGGCAACAGTAAATATGGTGGTTCTGCAGCATAGTAACGTAAATACAGATCATGTGTATTAAAATGTGGCTATTGGTACCTCCATGCTGCAAGTCTTCAAGTCTTCTTCTAATGGCATGTAGCGTGGCCTTTTTCTGGGATGCTTCTCACCAGTTTTTGATTGAAGTGCTACTTAATGAACTGTAGACTTAGCTTATATGGATTTCTTTAGTTGTTGTTCGCTGTATTTTGCTACATCTTAATGCTACAGGAAAAGTAAAAACTGGAGGTTTTAGACAGCTTTTGTTTTAGACAGATTATTGTTTATGGTAAAAGAATTGTGGGTTGTGAGTTGAATCGACTCTTTATTTGCCGACACCTTAAAACCACTGACAAACTGTGATATCTAAGTGCTTCAATGAGACCTTCAAGTGCTTTTCTCTGCAGAAGACAATTATCTCTACCATGTCCTAATGTAAAGTTTCAAGCTGGAGTTATTACCTATCTTATTTAATATGAACATAACTAGCATGGTTGTGTTCAAAGTGCCTAAAAACTTCTCTGAAATTACAATGTTGGAAATGAAGGCTGATATAACTCAAACCTGTGCTTAAGTATGAAAACAGAAAAGCCTAGCTTGGCATTAAGACTGGAATTAGACTGACACAGCTCGCCCAGTAGTGTCTGAAGTGTAAATATTTACCTACAGATTAAAGATTAAAGCAGAATCAAAAATGTGTTTTTATTGAGTGATAACTGCTGAAGCTACTGCCTGATGTAGACCAGTTTATGGTCTGTATGTGTAGATCTTGTACGTGTAAAACAGTGAGGATACAACCAAGAGTTGTGATTTTGATTTGGACCAGCTAAAGCTCCCGAATTCTTTTTTCATGCCATGCCAAAGACGATTAAAACAAGAAATTCTGCATAAACGTGAACTCATTAAGGAATCTAACAACCTTTTGGAGGTTTTCTGAAGATCTGAGTGGTACATTTTTGCCTCTGAAGTCTGAAGTCCATTATGGCAAACTGAGTTATAAATGCACAGAGGTGTAAGAGACCTTCGAGCTTACAGCAGTGAGTCCTGATCAAGAAAATCCATCACCTGGTCCTCAGAGTGTCCTTCTGCTAACAGTCTTCATTTCTTCTTTCATATCTTCACACTCCTTCTCCTCCTGCTGCACAACCGTACAGTTTTGTTTTTCTTCATGTAAATCCAGTGTTTAAGATAATTTATGCAGTAATAAAATTATTAGAGTAAAAACTGACTGAGTTGTCCTTGGGTAATTCCACAGTATCTCTCCTCAGTAGGAATAAGAGTTAATGGTGATGGAGTCTTCTTCACATGCCTGAAGTGATCAGACGTTCAGCCTCTGCAGTCAGAGGAACTTAAGGAGGAGCATTTCACTTGGCACACACAACCGAGATGGCAGTAAGTCTAAGATCACGGAATCCCGTCTGATAAACCTTTAAGAGAAATCAAAGGTTAAAGAGATTCCAGCTGACTTTGATGTCATGACAGAGAGACTCAGAGAAAGTTACCATTGTTTTCCTCTGAGTCAGTCGCCAGGTGGCCGTGCACTTGTCTCAGCTCGTTGTACTTCATCTCCACCTCCTGGAAGAAGCAGAGCAGCGTAGTAAAATCATCATGCAAAGATGCTGACATACTTTTGCAGCTCTGGTTTTCTTTATAATCTATGAGATCTTCATTTTAGTTTTCTGCTGCTCAGAGCTGTGCTGTGGACTCTCTTCCTGACAGAGCCATACAAAAACCCACATACAAATAATGAACCGAATTAGGAAGGTGGAGACTATTGATCTGTTTTTAGGCTGATTTTGACTAATAAAGTCTTCTCCATGATTGACAGAGAAAGAGGAGATCACTGTGCTTAAAACACACTTATATTAACAAGGATTTCACCTTTGACTATAACAACACAGACAAAGCAAAAGTGATGTTAACAGACTTAATGAACAGACTTATCACTTTCAGCTCATCCAGAGGTGGAATTCTTATTATTATTATCATTTCCTTTTATTCTGCACACAGTTAGATCAAACTCCCTGTTTCACTTTAAACTATGCGCAGCTGTAAGTGCCAGTGTTTGGGAATGCAACCTTTTATGTAATAAGGTTCATGTGCATAGAAAGGGTGAGTGACTGCATGACAGTTCATTGTAACATGAACAAAAAGTACCAGCGCACAGTGACACGACTCGCTCCGCAGCCCTGCTGATGGGGCATTTGACCTTCCGCACATGCTCCGTAAATTAGTTTTGGGCTCTTTTGTACAAGTGCGGCGCTCAAAAAATCCATGCAGTTCTTTTGTAGATCAGGTTTAACCCTCCTAGTTCTCAAATTAGGCTTAGATGCAGAAAACCTGACAAACGTGATGGACATACTGAAAGGGAAGTATCTAATTCATGCCACTGATACGCACTTGGACTGCTCACCTGCATGTACTATAGTAGGTTTTAATGAATTAGGGTTTCTGTTCACATATAGACCAAATTTTTAAAAATATAAGATTGGCCTGATTCACCTTCAGACTGTTAACAATATTGTTTATTAATTTTAGCAACAAAAGTTCAACTATATCAAACTTGGATTTTAGTCCACTGATTATGGGTTCAGTACCTTCAGATACTGCAGGTCGGCCTGCAGGAGGCGCAGGTGAGTCATGAGCTGCCTGCTGAGGTTGGGTCCGCTGAGGCCTCCTGTCTGTGAGGAGGAGGAGAGCAGTTTACTCATGTCGATCCCCACGTCTACACCCACTCCCCCGTCATCATCGGTACTGCTCCCCTCAGAGCCCCCGCAGAAGTCCAAAACCATGAATCCACCTGGATGAAGAAGAGGAAGAAAGAGATGAAGAAAACAGAAGTAGTTGAGAAGAGTTCAACATGTGAGGAAATTTGATCCATCAGAAAATCGCACCAATATTCTTATCTATCGTTGTATGTCTTAAAAAATACCTAACTATTCCTTTAATCCGTCAACACCACGAGAAGCAAAACATTCAGAAACTGTGTCATGATTTCCTCACCGTTGTGTTCAGGTGTCTCTGTCGCCCCTGTGTTTCCCGAAGGGTCTTTCTGTGACCCAGCAGCAGCTTGGCTCTCGTCTCCTGCAGCGGAGGGCCCCTCAGAGCTCCCTGGCAAAGAGGCAGTCAGCTGACACTCAGAAGCCGCGCTCTGCCTGCTCTCCTCTGTCTCCTCTCCCGTATCTCTGCTGATCATGTGGTTGAAAAGAGCCTGCTTCAGCATCGCCACTGGAACAGAAAAAGCATTTTTTTTTACATTCTAGACAACTCTGAAAAAGTTTCAAACCTTCGGAAAAAGTTTTGATATTTAAGCGGAATGACCCTTTAACTTGTACTTACATGTCCTGAGGGCTTCTTCACCTTTGGAGGAGGGTACCTCAAGTGCGTCATGCTCTTGGTTTTCAGAAACACCTTGACAGGCTCCGTCCTGCAGGAAAGGCAGTCCTTCTGCCAGCTGCCCGTCCAGGAAAGCCTCCAGCTCTGCTTCATCGATCTCTTCATCACCCTCTTCTTCCTCTGGTCTGTCTGCTGAGGTCGGCTCTTCATCTTCATCCTCTGATTTCATGCCATCAAACGGGTTGGTACTCAGTGGAGTCTGAACCTCTGGAGTAGAGGTGCCATCTTTGTCTGGAATGAGATTTAAGATGCAAGATCTAAAATCTGTGATCTGAAATTGATCTCTCAGTGAAATGATGAAATAACTGTCTAAACAGCTGTTGTACCTGCAGAACTGACGCCTCCACTCGATGTGTTGTTGGGATCTTTGCTCGATTTGGGCAAACCCTCTTTAATGATCTCAATGGCATCCCGCTCAGCACTAAAGGAAACACACATGATTAAAAACATAGCTGGAAATCAAACACTTGAACCTGGGAGTATTCGGCTGAACTCACTCTGACTGAGCTGCAGGTTTGTCTCTGCTGTGAGGTTTGGCCTTCATGGCGTCAGCACACTGTGTGATCAGACACTGCCACCTGGATGAATGCGGGTGATAAAGCATGGTGAGGTGCTGAGTCAGTATAAATCTGATGGAAACAAGTGACCTAAGTTTAAATCTGAACCTACGTTCTCTGATCAGACACCGTCTGAGCCATCAGCTCGTAGATCTGAGCTCCATTTTCGGACATGGACAGCACGAAGAAGGACTTGTTGTCTGCAGGGAACAAAAAACATTTGTCTATCATACATCAGAGAACTCCAAGTTGTCATGATCCAAGATTCAGTCCAAAACATAAAACGCCAAACAAAACCATTCTTATACGTGTGAAGCTGTTACCTGTGGCAACGGGACGAACCAGCACAGTGTTGAGTTTAATGACGGGGCTGAAGATGTGTTTGGTGTCGGTGGCACTGGCTGGATTTTTGCCATGAAATTTAAGGACCAGACGCTCGTCCTGTTTCTGCAGCAAAACCAGGATGTCCTCAAGCAGGAGTGTGTACAGCTCTGAGAGAGGAACAGCAGCGGAGTGGATATTTTAGATAAACCTTTACCATATGAAGAATAAAGGGTAAACCCATTATCTATAGGTCGATATCTGGCATTTGGTTTTATTGTGTTTGTAGGTACCGTTGTTTTGGGGATAAATGTGATGAATGATCAAGTGTGATACTCTGGCTCTGCTGCATGTGTGTCTGTATTCACACACCTCTCTGTAGGTCTGTAGGTGTAGCTGGTTACCTGCTAACTCAGTTTCAGTTTTGGTTCAATGGTTAAAAAAGACATTCAGACAAAGTTTTGTGTAGAAGTATGTCATTTTCAAATGTTAAATTTTGACATAAAGATTTGAATTCATACTCCAAATGCAAAGTCTGATGAACAACTAAAAGTCAGTATCCACCCGAATAAACCAACTCCAGTTGACTCAAAACATACACATGTTGGATGGCCATGCTAAAATGAGAAACATGGATGTTGGTGTAACCCCTGAACAAGTTTCCAGATTTTCTGAACAGTTTATTTTAAGAACTTTCTAATCTGGGTTTGAAGCTAAAGTCGGGCCAGCACGAGCTGGAATTGCATCTCAACTGTTGGAGAAACCTGAAGCCATTATATCTATTAAGATCCACCATGAAGACATCAAACAACAAGCTAAAGATAGCATCATAAAAGCAGCTGATGTAACGACAGCTACCATGTTAAGGAGAGCTTTCTGGTTGTTCCATATCTACAAAGCTGTGTAAAAAGTAACACCCACCCACAAGCTGCTAAAAATAAGCTTTTCTGGGATGAGGGTTTTCAAAGATGCCAGAACATGATAAACGCTTGCATCAAGTTTCTACAGTCTTGATAATTACCTATCGTCTTGTCTTTATTGACTTTCCAGGACAGCAGTCCCTCGTGCACCATCTTCCTCTTCGTCAGGTCCAGGTTCTCAAAGAAAGAAAACAACTCTCAGTTAAAAAAAGGCGGCTACATCTTTAACTTTCGTTATCTGCCAACTCTAGATAGTTTTGGAATAAAACAAATTTGACAGTTTCTGTAAATGTCGGATCATTTCTTACCCTCAGCTCCAGGATCATGGGGTTTTCACTCTGTTTGAGTGAGGAGATGTCTAACCTTCTCTGATACTCTATCAGCCTCTGTTGAGTAACAATAAAGCATATTAAAGGTTGTCTTTAGCTTCATGTAAAAACCTCTGTAATGTCATTGGAGAGATTTTAAGGCGGTACCTGTTTGTTTTCAGCCTCTTTGACGGCCTGGTTGACGTGGTTGAGGATCTTCTTGCAGCATTCTGCAGCTTTTTTCACTTTCTCTCTCTCCTCTCCGTCCTCTGCGGGGGAGATAAACAACCTTGAGCAACAGCTGCTTCAGAAATGACCAAAACAGCTCCTTGGTAAAACATGCAAACATCAACTAACAACCAGTGTATCCCCTACCTGTGTATTTGGCGATGTTATCCAGTAGGAGTGGATATTTGGTCACTCTCTGCACCTCCACAGGGATGATGTCTTTGAGCTGCAGTCTGCGGCACAGGCGGTTACTCTCAGCTTCCTGAGGAGAGAAAAAGAGAAGACAAAATGAGCCAAACACAGAACGTATCCTTATTCGAATTCATCCTCTCTCACTGTGCATACTTAATTCACTCAAAAAAAAACTTTGTTAACCTGCATGAAAAGAGCGAACTTTGGATCTTTCTTCTTCCTGCTCTTGATGAGCTCCAGAGCAGACGGCTGGTTGCTGCAGAAAGCTCCCACAGCTTTCTTTATCTTCTCCTCTTCCTCACCGCTGAACTGAAATTAGAGGAAAAACACATATTTAAAGCTTCGTTTTTACTGTTTTAATTACAGTCTATCTTCTCTCTTAGACCTCATCTGATCAATCTTTATAGAAATATGAGTTTTATGTATCGGAGGTGCATCTACTGTGAATAAACTATGTTCTTACCCACGCCAGGAGATCATCTGCGATCTGCCCGATCACTGACGTCTCGCTCCTCTTCCTGATTGATGTCATCTGCTCCGTTACAGAAACTGGCGAGGAAAGACAAACAGCTTTTTTGAGTACTTTTGTTATTTCTGTTAAGCTCTTTGCAGATCTTGGATCACATGCAGAAGTGGAGTTACCATGCAGCTGGATGATTTCCTCCAGGTTGATGAAGATGTGTTTAAGGTCCTCTGGAGGAAGGATACTGTCTCTGTTCAGCCTCTGATAGAAAACTGAGTCCAGCACCTTCAGCATCCGCAGGTGAGCGCGCTCTGTGTAGAAAAGCTCTGAGGACAGACACGTGAGAAGGTCAGATACGACACTGTCAAGTCTGTCTAATCATCCAAAGTCACCCTATGGAGTTTGATGGTGGAGGACTCACCGTTGATGACTTCCTGCCGTTTGATCTCTTGAGGTTTTAAACTCTCCAGGACTCCTCTGCTGACCAGACTCTGCCAGTTCAGGGGATCCTCCTCACCTCCCTCCATCTCTCCTCCGAGGTCATCTTCACTTTGAATGTCAGCTGCACACTGCACCTCCATCCTGCAGAGAGAGATGGAGACAGATGAACCAAACTGCATATAAATCAATCAAACTTTATTTATAAAGTACTTTTCATACAAGAAATGTTTACACTAAGCAGCTCACGAGAGTTTTAAATGTTGGATTTTCTTCATCATGACTTGTTTTAGCAAAGACAATCATGTCATCTCTTTCAGTTTAAGAAATTATTGGTCCTGTGTCAATCTTTGATAATGAGCTAAATGATGAATGTGTCTGTCTGAAGCTATTCAAACACACTTTTGTTATTATTCTTTATTTTGGGGATTCGGACAGCAGATTACATCACATAGCCTGAGAAAGGCTAACAACTAAGTTCCCTCTGCAGTCCTTAATTTTTGGGTAGAACCATAAACAAAGTGGGAGGAAGAGTATGTACACACTTTTTAAAGTTTAGAGACTAAAAATATTAATAATATTGACCACTTCACGAAGGGAAAACCAGTTACATTTCTAACCAACCACCTCATTAGAGCTAACAGTCAGTATGTTTACATGCAGCAGCTGATCTTTGGCATTTGCTGCTTCAAATTATGCAAAACTGTGATGCAAAAAAATCTAAATTTACAATATACACATCATAAAAACAGTGTGCGCTTACACTGAAAAGGACACCACTGGTGACACCTAACTTCTGTTCTGGTTCTTCTGGTCCCATGTTGACTGGCATCACCCGCAGCTAATATACAAACTGTTTACAAGTACCTCACACATGTGACCTAGCTTCAAAATGACCCAGCTATTCCTTAAAAAGAGTTATAATGTCTTCCTAAGATGAGGGAAATGTCTCAAAGAACCATAGAGGAAGTCACTGAAAGAGACTGAGCATAATCAAATCAGACACTGTCCATAACAGGGAGACTAAAAGGGCGACAGTTTGCATAAAGAGAGAGTTTATTAAGAAAAGATCTTAACCCTGTAAGTACCTGTAAGCCTCCTGGTCTTCCTCCTGTAGCTGCTCCAGATTAGAGGGACTGAAGTCAAACTGAGTGCTGGTTGGACTGGAGATGCTGTCCTGGTGGTCTCCAGTCTGCAGACCCTGGGTGCAGAATGGGGACATATCTGTAGAGTAAACAGGAAGGGGAAGTCAGGTTATAGTTAATTCAGATACTCTTATATTTGTTGTTCCTGAAATTATTGAAAAGTTAAGATGCTCCAGGTGTGATTTCTGTTCTGGGTGGAAGAAGAAGATTTTAGATGTGGGTATAAAAGAAGTCTGTCTTACTGGAGTCTGAGTCTTGTCCACTGGTGTCCGAGGTCAGAGCGGTGGGAGAGCTGTGGGTGGGGGAGGTGGTCGAAGGCACAGATAAGATGCTGGTGTCCGAACTCTCGCTGAGCTGATTCCCACGGGTCCGTCCAGAATTTGAGGCTGAGGAGTCGGGCTGCTCGGGAATACCTAAGGTTGGCTGAGGGGGCTGCTTTGGTGAGCGCTGCTTGTTCATCTCCACAGCTTTACCAACTACAAACACACACATGTGCAGTCTGATTTCTACAAGTGTTTGTGGAGGTAGACAATGTTTCTCATAACCCAAACCTCAGAATTTAGGGTAAAAACCAGCTGATTTGACTTTTCTTCCTACCTGAGGTTGAATCCACTCGGCTCAGACGCCGTGGTGGACCGAGGATGTTAGGAAATCGAGGTTTTTTCACCTTCTCCTCGCCCTCCTTCTCAGGCTTAATACTTTTCTGCACATTGAAAATACGACAAGTTCCTCTGAAATATTCACTATCATGCAAGTATTTCAAGGAGGTTACAATACCTCTAAATTATCTAAAAATTGCTTTTAAAACATAAGTTAAAAGCTAATCTCAGAAAATAAAGACAGATAGTTAAAGAAAATTAGATATGTGGGACGAACAAGGAAGAAAGATGTAGATATCTAGACGGGTGGAAACACCAGAAAATCTCCTCATAGATTAAATTTGAACAAATTTTTGCATGTTTCTAAACCAGGAATCCAACCTTAATCTTGGGCAGGAAGTTGATGCGTGCTCTTTTATGTTCGAGGCCACGAGGCTCCTTCACTTTCACCCCGAGGTGCTTCATATAAGTGAGAATCACGTACTGCATTGTTTGGCTGCAACAGAACACGTATTAAGACTGTTTTCAATACGACACGATTCAGTCTATCATCCTTTACTTTTCTACAGCTAAGAGTTTTAATAGTAGAAGAGGGATGTAGTTTCACTTTTTTGACGTATATTCACACCACTGTCAAATTTTACTATCTTTATTTTTCATTTGTAACTTAAAATCTTCAGAATCCACATTCATTCAAAGATCTGATTTTTTTAAAGGTATCACATTCACTTTCATGCCTTACCACTTCTCTTCCTCTGAAGGCTGTGACGTCAACCTGCAAGAGGAAAACTTCTGCTTAGCAAACACACAACGTACATGTACAAATGTGTTTATATGCAGACAGGGACTCACAGGATATCCTCTATCTTGGAGAGGATGTGTTCAGCACAGGAGCACTCCTTCTCTAAGGCCTGCTGGTTTTCTCCTCGCTCTGAGTCCAGCTTCGATAGCTCGTCTTCAGCCAGAGTCAGACCCATGCTGCGTTTCTGTCTGCACACGCAAAAACAAAATCATTAAATCACAGTTATGTCTAAACCTTAGTTGTTGTTGTTGTCTGAATCGCTATAATTGTGTTACCTGAAGTCTTCCAGATTCTTGTGCAGGTCAGGTAAGAGTGCATCCTGTAACACCTGAGTGTACTGTTTGCAGACGTCTTCAGGTATTAACTCCAGCCTCCTCTTCTCTGTGCAGAGACACACAAACAACTCAGATTGTCTAATCCCAACTCTTAACTCTCACAAGTTAAAAATAACTTTCTGAGTAAGGCAGATCATGCACCCATGCTACATATCACAGAGATACCAGCTCCATGAAACAGTTATTATAAAAGACTTTCCCCTGTGTTTGAAGGTAATCTATTAAAAAAGTCTGCCATACATGCATGATTTTTTTAGACCCTTACCCAGTTCTGCTGCAACCGTCTCTGGCACAGGCACTTTAAGATTCTATAAAATAAAACATAGAAAAATAAGGCTTTCACCTAAAGATGTGTGCAAAATGACATAAATGTGGTCAATAATACTGAAAAACATACAGCTGTTCGATCCATGAAAAGCGAGTGGAACTCCATGAAGAAACGTCGGCTCTCCTTCGAACTGGTTTGTTTGTGCATTTCAGCGTAAAGATAACAGAGCTGAAAGAAGGAGAATACAAGAGTTTTATGTTACTCTAAATATGTAGTTTCTCAACCCAAACAATACACAATACAGCCGAAAGAGAACGAAGGCATTGTCTCAAACAAAAAAAAAAACACGTTCCTCAGGGGTTAATCCTCAGTCCTCTTTCATTTCATTTAAATACATTTATTCTCAATACCTCCTTTCTTTCCTTAACTTTGAATTTGAATTTGTGTGATTCTTTGTTTACAACAAAAAACTCTGTGGACCCAGAACTGAAAATAGTTCCAAACAAATGCATTTTTTTCACTTGTTGAATTATGTTTGTTACGACTATCATGTGCAGCTCATGTGAGCACGTTGCTATAACATAACTATGTAAGACCTAAATTGAAGATTTATGCCTTTTGTAGCAAAGAATGGATTGGGGGGTTGCTGCCAAAGATACAACTATTTAAAGACAGTCAAACACAACATGGTTTTATCATTGATTTCACTGACGATAAGAAAATATGAAATACTGGTACAATTAATCCACGTAAACACGAGTAGTAATGATATAATAAATGATCTGTGTCCAAAATTAAGAGGATGAGTGCAATTACAGCATGTCCAAACTGTGTTTGTTGGATATTTACCAAAGGCACTGGGTCAAACTGTGAGACAACATGATGGAGGAAGACTGCCAAGTGAGCCGGCCGGGACTTCAGCAGGTCTAAACTCTGAAAAGAGCTACACTGTCCATTAATCTGACGGACAAAAGAAAGAGAAAAGTTAATTAAGCAGACTTGGAAAACCCAGCAGCTCTTATTTTGTCTGTGTTTTCACTCTATTTCAAGAACTAGAAATCAAAATGAGGAAATTTTCATGAGACATTTAAGAAGAAAAAAAGTTCAGATTCTCTTCAGTTTGAAGCTCAACTTCTTTCCCATCTCTACAAATACCTGCTCTTGTGGACAGTCAAAATAGTCATCTTCTGCTCCGATGATCTGAGGGTTGAGGAGGTAGGGAGGGTTACCCACAGTGCACTGGGCATTTGAGTCCTGAGTGATAGATGGTAAAATTATATGTATTAATGGACAAAATCAAAACACCTTAAAAAACTTGAGTTGGATAAAATCAAATCGTATCGTATCATACCATACTGTTACGTATACCGTTCTGATCATAAATCAATATAACATAGTAAAGCATAACTTATCGTATCTAATCTTCTCTCATAGTACTGCTTGTATCTTATCATTTAATCCTATTGTAATGAATCATATCATTTAATATCATATTTAACACTATCTAGACAAAAATATTGTATCAAACAGAAAAAAAGAAATAGAAGAACTTTATTGAAAGAGAAATTCATTGTAACTTAAAATTATAACGTTACACAACTTATCATACTGTAGCTCATTATATAATGTATTGTATTGTATCACACTAGACTGCACTGTACCTTTAGTAAAGTTGTTATTGTATTTGTATTGTATTTTCGTCTTCTTGTATTGTTTTATAAAAAACAAAAGTAGCTTAAACTTTCAAAATGAGACAATTAATTAAGAACAATTAAGCCCCAGTGTTTCTATTACATGTCTATTACATACCTATGGCATATGTTGGCTTTTACTACATATCTTTAATTATATGTAGTGATCAGGGGCATGTGTACAGTAAGTTAAACTTTTAAAATGATGTTAAAATAACTGAAAGGAAACAAAAAACTTCTGTATAAGAGTGTCTTACTGTGTCAGGGGTCTCCTCTGTGTCAGGTGACGGGCAAATGTTGAGCCCGTCTTTGCGGCTGCTGGCAGGACTCTGGCAGGGCGTCTCTCTTTTACCAGGACTCTCTGGGAGGGGGCTGCTGTGTAACTAATACACACAGAAAAAAACACAAATTACTAAACACATTGAACAACACCACACTTAGGCTAAATTGATTGTTTAGTCTGGTGCTGAATTCTGGAAAATCCCAGAAGATTGAAAAGAAGGACCATTTCATCCCTATTTATAGAAGCTGTGATAAAACAGACTGTTATTACAAAGGAGTCTGTGCCAGCAGCATTTTCAGACAAGCTTCCTGTTGTGTTTAGCGCACTTGACTACTTTTCTGATGCATAATAGCAGCATTTCCCGGTCAGCGGCAGGCTTCACAGGGAACCAATATGCCAACAGTGTGAATGACACCAAACTCAAGTAACATAATGCTGAAAATGAAGCTTTAAGAGTGTCTTTGTAAAATGGGATCTTAAAAAAGTTGTATTAAGTTAAAAGCAGATTGTTGGAAAAAAAAAAGGTTTAATCTCTCTGTTGCAAGCTTCTTAAATTTCTTTTTTCTCTTTGACTAGCAGTCCAAAAGCCGAAGTGTTACATCCACAGTGACATTGAGCAGAAAAAACAGTTTGAGGGACTTTAACCACTTTGTGTCTGGCAGTTTTAGCCTGATAAATGTCTCAGACTAGCTGCCACCAAACCACAACAACATCCTTGACAAAGTAGAGTGCTTCTGGGTAATGTGGTTCACCGCGCTGACTGCTGGGACGTGTCATTATGCTCACAGTGTTATTGTTGGTCGGCAGCCCGTCGTTACTGCAGTCCCCTTGCAAAGACGAGGTCTGTTCCTTCACAGGAGGCCCGCCGTCCCCCTCCTCAGACCCTGTGGCTCCGTCCTAAAACACACACGTTTGAGGTTTTTTTAAGCTTCGATCACTTACGATTAACACCAAAGAGGAAGCAGTGACCTGAGTTAATGTGAGGTCTACAGGCACCAGAAGAGATAAAGCTGAGTTTGAACTTCAGAGAAAGAATGATGTCTAATATGTCACCAACAGCAAGAGTTATGTAACCCAGCACTCACGCTAACTAAGGCAGACAGAGTAGTGAAGTTAAAGGACAGACAACATGGCAGAGGAGAAGAAACACCCATGATAGTGGGGCAGGTTGGCTAAACAGAACAGGCATGACAACTTTTGTGTTACTTTTGGTCTAGTTGTGACGTTAGGAATGACAAAAAATACAACAAATGGCAAATTCTTTCTTTTATGATGTTTTACCGTTAATACAATAACCTGTAAAACTCCAAATCAAACTGATATATCCCTTAAATTCATCAATCATTCTCTTCTTCTTCATTTTCCAACCTCGCTCAATAAAAAAAAACACTTTTGTTATTAGTTTAGCTGACTTGTGACTTGGACAAACTTTAGAAATTTATTACACAGAGTATAAATGTTTCTCCCCCCTGCTTGTGATGTTGACATGTAGTTACTGTCAGACTGGTTTGTGCTCAAGTCCTCTTTTTTCTGTACAGCTCCGTTTTTAAAAGTTATTAGGGGGTTCATGTTTTCTATGATTGACACCTGGTACAGCCTATGGGCGTTCAGGGATTGCGTAGCTCAGCCGGGGGGATACGCTGTTTGAGCTGAGCGTCATCACAGTGACTCTCACTGACTGCACGACTGAATGCGCGCATCGCTACTGCGCTGTGTTCAGGAAATGAAGAAAAATCCTGGAAATATCGAGAGCTTTTTGGCTTCAAATCCGTATACAGGCGGTAGGCGGAACCAAGTTGTCCATAGTTTATACAGTCTATGGATGGCATCCACTGTGGAAGGGGGCCCACTCTCATGTAGATATAAGAAGCTCATATATGAGTTGACAAAAACAAAATGATTTACATATTTTGGTGGTTAAAGCATGCTTTTAAAAATGATATGTAATTATTGAAAACAGATTGAATAAAGGAATAATTTTAGTTATTGCTTTTCACCACACCTGTGACGCTGCTTTGGTGAGTTGCTCCTGCAGCAGTGAAATGTGCCTCTTGACCTCGAGCATCTCCTTCAGTAGTGCGGGCCGGGGGTTTCTGCTGTGCTCATCCTCCTTTGCCTTTTGCAAAAGTTAATTCAAGTTAAAATCAAGGGAAACAAGGGAAGCAACAGACATTTAATATCTTGTACAGAGTCAGTGATAGTTTAGAAGTGTCCAAAGAGGGCAGAGATATTTACAGACACACATAGTTTGAATGTATTTGACACAGACCTGTAGGTCCTGCTGCTCCTTTATTATCATCCTCTGTAGGGTTTCGACCTTCTGGCTGTGTGAAGTTTTGTTCTCAGTCTGAATGAGGAGATAAAGAGGAACAGATACGCAGAAAAAAGCGTTATTACAGAGTTTGTTCTGCATAAACCCCCAGTGTGACCAAGAGGACCTTCAGGTCAACATGGAGGGAAAAAAAGAAGTGATACAGCTAGAAATGACATAAAAAGAGAACTTGGACATGCATACATTAAAAAAGAGGATACTTGACATTTTACACTGTCAATCATGAGAAAGTTGGCCTTCAGATATTTGAGAAAGTATCCCAGGTTTGTTCCAGGTTTTATGTAAACTCCTCAGTGTTTCAGAGAGGATAAATTGTTGACACAGTGCAGCAGTTTTGGTCAAGGCTGGCTGTAATGGGCTGAAACGTCTGGGCTGATTAAAAATAATGAGCTGCGTGGGTTTACCCGGACAGATAAGCTGCTGCTGCTGATATCATGAATCTTACAGTTAAAAATAACGCTGTTTCTGAGAAGAGAAGTTTCGCTTCACCACTGAGATTTAGCGAAGAAGGAGAACAAATATTACACAAAGTTTTTAGTTAAAGAAGTTCAGGAGGTGTTCATGCGACACCTACATGTTCCTCATATACAGCATTTCACTTCACATGCACATAAAAAGTGAATATAAGATCTATTGAATTGTTTTATTTAAGTATGTCTACATGTAACATTTCCTGCAAATAATGACAAGATTGTGAGTTATAACTCAAATAATTTTTCTATTAAAACTGTTTTTTTTTTTTTTTTTTAGAAAATACAGATGCAGGAGTTTGTTTCCTGTGGTATTTTGATCTCTATATTTTAGTTTTGGACAAATGTTAAGGATATTTTCATTGTTATCACTTTACAAATGTTCAAATTTATCACCACAGTTGTTTTTGTAATAGATACAGTATATTTTTTCAGATTAAAATACGTAACACGTTGATGCTTGGTGCACCGGCTCTCATCTACCAACATTTTACTGTCTCTCTACAGCTGTTTAAAAAGGTAAAAATACTCCAAAAATAACTTAAAAAATGTAAGAACAATAATGTCAAATTACTTTATGTGACCATTTCATCTGTTGAAGCACAGGATCACATGCATATGCATAAGTGCAATAGTTAAAGTGTGTGTATATGTGCATAGGCATTCATTTAAATTCTGCTAATTCAGTCCAATCACAGCAACTACTAGTTTTACCTTTCTACTTATTTTACATCAATAATCTCAGTATTAGTTTTCTCACAACCCTCCCCCGCTCATAAAGTATTTCTACTCCTCACAAATACATCTACATCACAAAACATGTCATGCATTAAACCAAAAATGCACAAAAAAGAATCAACAATAAATTCATGTTTTTGTTCAACTCTTTTTGTTTATTGATTTTACTCTAAATTGTCCCTACTCTTAACCCACATTTGCCTCATATTTATCTTGTATATTCGGAAAAATCAGAGTGAAACTTATTTTCAAGTGGATATACTCTAGTGATACAATCTAGGGTATTTTCATTCCTGGTCTCACATATGTGTACATGGTTTTAACGCTCTTTTGACAGGTGCTTTTCTGTGTTTGGAAAGTTTTACATTATAGTCAAAAGTGAAGTGCAAGTTTTCAGAATTTCGTTCTGTTTTGTATTATTTATACATTATTTACTGCTTAAAAATACTACTTTCAATACTGTCTGTTGATTTTACACTATGCACCTTAATATATTTTGTACTTAGGTGTCTTATTTTTGCATAGTGTCATTTTTTGATGCTTTTCATGTTTTATTTTCAACTCTGTGAGGTCTTTTTACTCGCTCTTTGAGGCTCTAAATTATGCTCCAAATAAGATATAAGAACAAAAGGAAATGTCGCTCTACATCTTCCTCACCCAGTCAGGTAGGCAGGAGCTGATTGGCTCCTGCAGGCTGGTTGTAGGGCTGCATTTCTCCCCCCCTGGTAGTACAGGTGATTGTGGCGCTGAGAGGGTGGAGGGTGTGCTGGCCCCTTCCTCCTTCTCCTCTTCCTCCTCCTCCTCCTCCTCCAAAGGGATCTGAGGAAGCCCTGGAGGCCTCCCCAGCACTGTCAGAGCCACATATGAACCCGCTGCAGGAGAGAGGAGGATAGAGGAGTCATGGGAAAGGAATGAAGGGAGGGTAAAAAGACAGATGAGAAAAATGCTGAGTACTTAAAAACATCCGAACCACCGTGAAGTTGTGATCATCAAACCCAGCTGAGAGAAAAAGCTCCACCAGGAAAATATTTTACCACATAAAAGGAATGAGACAAGGAAAATAATGCCAAAGCTGGGATTGTTTCTCATGAATTATAGGTTTTCTCCATGCCATCTGCAAACATAATGAGCTGGGAAACTCCCTGAACTCCTCTTAAAAATAAATCCTCATACTTATTTGCAACAAGAAGCAAAAAATCAACAGCTTAAACTCAAGACTTGTTTCTTTAAGGGTATCTTTGTTTGACTAATAGGTGTCTCAACCCATCATAACAAACCCATAAGAAATTAAAACATACGCCTCCAGAAATTACGATGCTACATCCATGTTTTTCTACAATCATCAACCCATACAAAGTTTATGAACCCTGTGATTTAGTAAGAAATACTTACATTTTATTAGCTTAACAACCTCTATGTGGTTTGAATGTGTGACCAAGGTCCCGTTAACCTGTTAGAAAAAAAAAAAAAAGCTTCATGAGATTACATTTTAGCGTTTGACCAATCTAATACAAGGCAAATGACTTATTGAGGGGATATGAGAGAATGTAATTTTCTGTTCATTTACTGCAGCGAGCTATTTTCGCTGCTGCTGCTTCCTACAAGCCCTTGTACGTTATCAAAAGCTGATTTGATTTTCTTGAAGAATGCAATAAAATAAATGCAGAAATTGAATTGGAAAGCATGAGCAGACAGACTATATCTGAATGATAACTTGAGAAAAAAGTAACAGATGCATCTTTAACGTTAGCTCAAGCTAGGATGTCCAGTTTCATCTCTTGACTTTCAATTTGAGACACTGAAACTTTACATTTCTGATCCTGTGAGGTAGAAATCAAACAATTAAGACTCACTTTTATGATCCGATCCCCTGTCTGAACACCAGCTCGCATTGCCGCGCCATCTGTAACACAAAACAGAGAGCAGGGTCAGAGATGTTGCCTTTTATAAGTGTGTTGAGATCTTATTGTAGTGTGTATATAAATACTTGTCTTGTCCTCTTTGGAGGGACTGTTAACAATAAACAGTTAGAGAGGACATCTGTGTTTTATGAGGACATTTTGACCAGCACTTGCTCGTTAAAGGGCCTTTAAAGGTTAAGTATACTAGGTCTGGGTTAGGGTGTGAATGTGTTCTTTTTTCCAATTTACAGTTTTACAGAGAGGACATCTGTTCCCTTACAAGGACGCTTTTACCAATACTCACTTTTATCAGCTAAAGGGATGCACAGACAGTATTTTTCCCTGCTCTCCCCCTTGAGCAGACTGAGAACTATCAGAGCATGCCTAAACAGACTTAGAAACAGTTTTTTCCCTTGAGGAGTGGACCTGTGTCTGAAGCTTGAGGCTCTCATGAAACACAGAAATGCAAAACATGTGCAAGATTGTTAATGACAATCTATTTCTGACAACTTTAGGGTTGAGAGACATTATTCGCTTGTTTTGAGACATACTTTGTTGTTTTTAAGATGACATACTGCAACACAGAATGAAAGTGTGTGTGTGCATACTTGTCTTGCTTCTTTTGCAAGGACTTTTTACCATTTACAGTGAAAGAGGACGTCCGTGCTTTATGAGGACATTCTGACTAACACTCATTATGTTAAAAGCCTTTTAAGTTTAACTTCAGACTTGTGTTGCGGTTTGTGTAAGTGTGTGTTTATGTACAATTATCCGGTTATCGTTGTGGGGACCAACTCTACCATTCATTTTTGTAGAGAAACATCTTCGCCTTATGAGGGCATTACAACCAGTACTCACCATTAAAGGGCTTTTGAAGGTTATTTCAGACAAGGTGAAGGAGAGAGTGTACATATGTGGGCTTTTTTAGCCACCTTTGCAGGGACCATTCCAAATTTATAGATTTATAGAGAAGACATCTATGGCTTAAACAGACATAGATGCTTTTAGATAGATAAATAGATGACTCTGTTAATTAATTAATTTTTCAAAAAGGAGTTTAAGTTGACCTCAGACTTAGGTGTACGTCAAGAGTTTATGTTACGGTGTGTGTGTGTGTGTGTGTGTGTGTGTGTGTGTGTGTGTGTGTGTGTGTGAACTGGTTTGGCTATTTGCAAGGACTATTCCCGTTATTTCAAAAAAAATGAGTACAAGGACATTTTGACCACTCCCCACTTTCTAAAAGACCCTTTATGATAAACTTTAGGTTTAGGTCTAGGTCAGGAGTTCAGGTAATGGTGCTCCTGTGTATGTACACTTGCCAGACTTTCTTTAGGAAGACCATACAAGTATAAACTGCTGCAGAAATATTTTCACCAGAACTCTTTCTCAGATGTCTCTTAGTGATTAAATTCAGATTTGGGTCAAAGGTTAAGGTAGTCCATGTCAAGGAGTGTGCAAGTATGTTTTGTATGTATGTAATTAAACCTTTGAGTTTAACTTAGACTTGTGTCTTATTTAGGAGTTCATGTTAAGATTTTATTGAGTGTGTATGAATACTTATCTGACTGTCTTTGTGAGGACCATCATAAGTTTGCATTTCTGCAACAAGGACATCTGTGCCTTAAGGGGACGTTTGGCTTGTGCCCACTTTTTACATGTCTCTTTGATACAATTCTTAGTCTTAGACCGAGGCTCGGGTCAGGTGAGCGTTATTGTTTAAGTCAGGGCTGGGACATGCATTAGGTCAAGATGGTCCTTTCAAGTACAGGAAACACAAACTCAAGTGTGTTTCCGTATGTGTGTGTGAACCTTACCTTCTTTTACCAGCTGCACAAACACAGGGTTGTCTCCACTCACAGTCAGTCCAAAGCCATTTTCATCTCTCTGGATTATCACGCACCGCTGGACGAGACCTGTCATATGTTAACAGATAAACACATCGAATTACATTGTTAAGCATGTACGCTTCAGTGGGTGGAAGCGTATAAGTAAAACAAAGTGTAGAAAAATAAAGGTGATTGAGCTTCATGGTCAGATGTCGAAGTTCTTGCCTGGAGAGTTTTAAATCAACACCCGACCTACATGTTCAGGGTTTTATTTAACTATCATGCCCTAGCTGATACAGTCAGTTCAAGTATAACAAAAGGTTACTAACAAAGGATGTTTAGAGTTGGCTTTTTTCCTAAAATATATTCTTGTTCAACATGTCTATTAAAGTCACTTGTGGGAAAAATTTTGCACAGAGGAAGTTCCAGATCAGGAGACTGAAATGGAAAAGGGTTTTAAATAGAAGCTTGCAGTCTTTGAGACAAATACAGGGTTCATCAGAGAGAAATTTTTAAACCCTTTCCTCCAAATTAAAACTTTACAACAATAAAATCTTTCTGTATCTGAGAAAGTAAATATGATCTGGCTTTCTTTTAACAGTTAACTTCCTAATTTCCAAAATTCTTTTGCAAAAAAAATTAAAGTTTCACAACCAGCTAAAATCCCCTCACAGGAGCTTTGACTACACCAAACCCTTGATTGAGCAAAAAGATTTATAATATTCAATCCAATTTTGACAATAACCAGGCCCCAATGTGAATGTAACCTGAAGAGCAGCTGGTCCAAAATCTCTGATGGAGAAAAGTAGAGCAATATCCTGTCCTGCAATCCACTTAAAGTATGTGTACAAAGTACTGTATTTCTACGTATTCTGTGTGTCTGTCCCTTTTTTCCAGAGCAAATTCAGGAATTCACGTATAAGGGTAGAGCTAATTGTTCTCTTTTTCTTTTCTGCCTGAAAACTACGCTGGCCATCTGCTTGATCAAGACAGCTCCACTATTTTGCTCCCTTAGTCACAGAGGAAGTTTATAGACTCACTATCTGCCTCAGTCTGGTCTTCCTGTTCCTTCTCCTGAGTGGATAATTGGTTGTCTTCTGGCCTGCATAAAGGAGCCTCAAAGGGTCAAGAAAAGGGCAGGAAGGATTAATGTCAACCCTGCAACCCAGACAACCACACCAACATCTTGTTCCTGAGTGCTGAGTAAACCCACACAGCTCTGTCCTCCACCACTGAGCACCAGCCCCTCTTTACTTTTTTAAGACTGGGACAAAACTGAAACTTCAAATTCAAAATATCTTATTTTTATCACAAGACAAGGTATTGAACTTTAAGATGAACATTTAATTACAACAGGCACACAGTTAGTTAGCTGAATTTTTTTGATCCATGTATTACAAAAACACAGAAACACAATTCAACCTGTTCATATTTTTGTAACATGCCAATTTGCAAGTTGTGAAAAATACATTATCAACATTGAAAGAATAATAATAATAATAATACATTTTATTTAAAAGCGCCTTAAAAGAATATGTGGCACATCTGAGGCACCGCTTAGGAAAGACAAGCATCAAACCCTTTTGAGTAAATATGACTCGGTCTCTTACCTGTGGGGTCAAATTCATGTTTGAGGGATACAGAGGATTTCTCATTCTTGGGTTTCTTGTCTGTGAGGTCCTTGTTGAGGATGCTTGGGGTCCTAGAGAAATATAGAATGAAGCAAAGTCTTAAAAAAGTCAGGAGTAAAAATCCCCTCTGAAAATATGTAAAGCCTTAAGACACACGATCATGAGATTTCCATTCTCATAAAAAACATCCATAGCCATTAAGATTCTGTGATGTTGAGAAGTTACTGAAATAAAAACTAGACAAGATATGAGAGATGCGATATGATACGATACAATACAATACACTAGGCTACTATCTAAAACAATGCAATATAGTAAAATAAGTTATTACAAACAATAAAAAGGAAACATGCAATATAAAACACCAAAAGGTATAATTTGATATAAAATATGATAAAAAAAACCCCAAAAGATTCAATATAATTTTACTTGAATCCAAGTCTAATATCAGCACTGAAATATTGTGGTTGTAGTTTAGTGCATTAGTGCAAGATATGATACAAACCGGTACAACACCATACAAACTAATAACAAATGATTAAATGATATAAAGGTATGATACAAAATTATTCAGTGGGATACATTACAATGCATGACTCAATAACATGATAACATGATACAGCATGGTACGCTGTAATATAGTCTAATTTAGTTCGATTCAATATAATTTTACTTGAATGCAAGTTTAATACACGGACTGAAATATTGTGGTTGTAGTTTAGTGCATAGTGCTTTAGTGCATATGCTACACATGAAATCAGGGGACAATATCTTATATCTTATAATTTTATACCGTATTGAATCACTAATATCATATATCAAATCACATCGTAATGTATTATATTGTATTGTATCATATTGTACAATAACGCATCACATTGCATCTCCTCACACTGTAAAAAAAATTGTGTCTTGGCGGTCAATAACAAATTTCATGTATCAAAGTTTGATGATGCCCCTGAAGTTCTTCACACTGATGCAGATACACTGATATTAAATATAACAAGTACAACATGTATTTTTAGTGTTTTTTGATATTCACCGTGCTATATGTATATTTTTTTTCATTTGTTTCTTTCTGTGAACATACTTCATATATTTCCACAGATGTTCTCGCTTAAATCCAATTTATACAGCATGACCAATATGAAATCAACATTTTTTAATGTATTTTTCTTAAAATGTCAGCAGTAAGAAAAGGAAAAGTTATTGATGTCAAACTTTTAATTAAATCAAAATAACTTCAACAGGCTGCAAACACTCCCTCTTTTAGGGGTATTAGTTTAGCTGATTAAAACACATATTCTTGGTGGGAGGTGGACCTGATGGTGGTCATTTTTATACTATTAATAGCAGAGATTCCTCTCTTAGTGTTCCCCCCTGCATCTCCTCCTCCTTGTTCCACAAGAGGGAGTTTTGTTTGTGCTGCTGTTCCTCCCTTGGACAATGGGAGCCCTGGGATTTTAACAATGGCTCCCACGTCAGAGCCAACTTACTACACTGTGGCTCTGTGGGACAGATTCCCGGAAACAGAGACTAAGGGGCTTTTGGCTCGGCTCCAGTTTCCTGGATGCTGGAGAAGGCTGGGAAAGAAACGCAAGAGGGAGATGGAAGGGGGAGGCACACAAGTGTGTTTGAGAGAAGACAGGGCTGAGGAAATTTGTGAGTGTGAGAACAACCCAGCGTAAACTAACGTCATGGTGCAGAGATAGTTTACTCAATTTAACTCAAAGATACAGAGGACAGTAAAGCAGGAGGAATATTTTTACTGTCCTGCTTATGTTAACTGAAAAAATACTGATTGTTCTTTCTTAGACACAACGATTTCATCAGATGAAATCAAACTGAAAAGGAGTGGATAACCGGGCTAACTTATTGTTTTTCCCTGGGACTGGTAGGCCCACTCAGGGAGGAGGTAAGAGGAGATTAGCAGCTGATAAGACATGGCGAGACAGGGACAGATTGCATCCTGCTCAGTGGGTGGTAGATAAGTAAGTGCTGCTGGATAAGGAGGAATTTTAACTTCAGATTTTAAGACACATTTCTGATGCAGTTTATCAAAGCTGCTGTGATGCTTTTTTCTTCCTTGTCACATGCCATGTACAACACAGTGCTGCACTGTATCTCTGAAGACAGTCAAACACACAGTCAATTCTTCTCAGTGTTCAATATTCACATTTCTACAAGAACACTGAATTTTTTCTACCCGTGCAAGAGAAAAATTGACTTTTTAAACATTATCTACCAAGTGGTATCAATTGTTTCACTTATATGCCAATTTGCTATGTTACTGTTGTGCCAAATGTCGTGGACCCTAAGTGAAACATTACATAATTTAATAACCATGATTTTACCCCACAACACCTACAACCACCTTTCTTTCAACGCCTCAAATTGTGCAAATTTCTTTAAAATTCTCAGTTATCTTCATAGATCAGCTATTTAAAAGTTCACCTCATGAACAGCTTGTTCAAATAACTAAATACCCAAAACTTGTTCTTTAAACAGGCAGTGAACATGCTTAACTTTGGTGTAAAGAAGGGCACTTTTACACAGGGTCTAATGGAGATTCCTCTCTTTTTTAACCAGCCTCAAGTGGACACTCGAGGAACTGCAGTGTTATCATATTCTCCCAGCACAAAATTTATAATAGCATAAGTTGCTGCTTGAATATAAGTATGAATGCATCTTCTTCTTTTTAATCCTCAAGATTCAAAAAGAAATAAAGATGAAAAATAAGAAAACAGAAGTAATTGCCACCAGCAGAAGAAACTGCTCCCTGATTTCAAAGCAAGATGGGATATATTTTATGTATAGAAATCTAGTTTTCAACATTTTCATTTCTAACTGTTGCTTCTGTTTTCTCTTTTGAAAAGTACTGAGTTTACTGCCTCAGTTCCTTGTCACATAGAATCCAATATTTACGCCAGTCCTGCTGCAACGCACCAAAACTGGTCTACAACACTCAACAAATCTACCGAGGTATGATAAGAATTCAGTGCCTAAATTACCAAGTGTCCCTATAAGGAAAGAAACCAAAAGCCCAGCATTAAGATCTGTCATTAAACTCTAATGCGTTTCTCTAATGTTCTGCCCGGTGCCTTTGAAGCACCAAAAGTTTAGAGTTCCCCAGCCTGAGATAACCGAGGGGAAAATGTTTTTCTCCATGTGAAAAGTGAACTGGCACCGTGATGAAAGCGAACCATTAATTTATTTAGTGTATTAGCGTCACCGGGCTAGGATTTATGTCTGCAGGTTGACTTGATCAAACTGTCTTTTGCTTTTCACTGCCCAGTTATCAAAGTCGGACAAAAACATGCAGCTATCAACTTGGGCCTCAGATGCCAAAAATACCAGACGATTCCTCTGGGATGAGGACTGCAAAGGAGCCAGCTCCACTGAACGGAGATGAAAACACACTTACAAGGAACCTAAAAATCCTTATACACCCTAAACATTCATTATGGATGCAGAAGTTAAATTTCTACCACAATAATACAAAACCACTTAAGTTCAACATATATCAATGTGGAAGGTTAATAAACACAATGCACAAGAGCTGGAATCATATGAGGGAATAACAGACATGACTCCTTTGGTTGCTCTCCCGGAAAACAAGTTATTCACTTCCCACAGTCTTTATTGAACTGATCAATTTGTACTAACCTGTTATTGTTTTTGTTGTTCTGAATAATTCAAGAATGCTAAACTTTTAACTAGAGTGCCACAAGTAGAAAAATAACAGTTATTTTTAATAGTTGCATGTATTTCTGCAGATTCACACATTTAATCTAAAAAGAAACTATCAGGAGGAGAAACTTCTTTGTAATGGTGTTACAAGGATCTGTTAAACAGACACACACCAATGCTTTCTTTAATTAATCATTCTGAATTCCTGCATCTTGTGACAAAAGAGACAAAATGGATCAGCTTTACAATATAGATTGTGATGACCCCATATACTGTTCTAATTTGTTAAAGTTTTTAAATGTTGACCAATAAACAATGTCACAGTTGTTCTTAGGCCCTCCTGGTCACAGTTTTTTTCTGTGATCACTTGGTTTAGTCCACTTTGTCTTCAAGACTAAAACACTGAAATGTCATTTTTTTAAAATCTACATTTTGACCTACAGAGGAATGGGGAGAGCAACTTGCATGATGCAGCAACAATTGCTGTCTGCAGACTGTGACAGCATTATAACAATAAGCTATTCAGAGCAGGAGTCACCATAATAAACTCAACATGAAAGTTCCTCACACTGCTTTTAGGGAACAGTGGCGTCTGTGATCAATAATCAGCTTCTCATACTTCATATTTTCATGTCTGTTGCAATAATGACTCACAGATCATTTGCATCTGAGATCACTTGGCTCACACTGCTGTAATATAATGTCAGCATGTGAACTCGCAGGAGTGGTCTAATCAAGCAGAAAAATGAGGGCTGGGGGGTTTGTTATTAACTTTTAAAACTTGAGCCCTAACAAATGTTTTAAACATAAATAAAGTTTCAAAGTTGCATTTTTTACTGAACCTGTAAGAGAAGTACACACACATTAGAGCTGTTTCCTAATTACAATGTCTTATCGAGGCATGATGGAGCAACAATGTTGAGAAAGTAGTCTGTTAATATAATGTTTGGATGACGGGCTTCATATACCAACACGTCATTTGATTACACAGCTTTTGGAGAGCCGCTTTAAACAATGAGCTGATATATGACTTGTAATTTTCCCGGGGTTACCTCTTTATGACCTATAAAAGCAGACAGACCACCAGCAACAAAACAGACAACTTCTATAATCAGATGTAATCTAGATCAGATGGTTAACATCACGCTGAAGAAACAGCCTTTCTTTACACTTTGAAACCCAAACATTACCAATAAGTGACACATTTGACTATTAAAAGAAAGTGACATTTTTCCATGTTCAGGGCGAGATCAGTTAAGTGATAAGATGTACTGTATGTCTTTGGCCACAGAGGGCGCCAAACTTGCCACAGACCACATGTTCCTCACAGCAGCTTTAACTGTTTATGGAGTTAAGGTGGCAACGTACAAACAAACATGTGACATGTGACTCAATTTGATTATAAATGTAAGTATTGGGAAGAAAACTGAAGTAATTTAAGGATACACAGTCTACAGATGCTATGACACACTTCAGAGGCAGACATAGTACAGCATGGTTTTTGTTCTGCTGGATGGATAATCTGGGGTGTTTTATCGTACTGTAAACAGCAGCCTGACAGCAGGCTGGTCTGGCTGGTATAGCCTGATGTGTCACCAGCTGTCAGGAAGGCCCAGTGGCCTGGTGGGCCCAGCAGACATTGTTCAACAGTGATGTCACATTTCCCGTCAGAGGGGAGAGAAGGGGGGGCTGTGGACGGTCGGCAGGCGGGAAAACACACAGATCAGCAAAACTGTGTGACAAAGAGCAAAAAGAGCAGGTACACAGCCGGTTGGCATCCAGCTTCATAATACAGCGTAGATGGGAGCATAGCTTTACACCAGCCTGAAACAGACATTGCACAGTTTGACAAAATTAAAAGCAGGTTGCGCTGTTAGAAACCCTCATCTAGACTACGGTGTACAAAGTCAAAGTGCTTTTGCTTAAAATGACTTATGAAAGAGTTGTTGAGCCAAATCAAAGGAAAACCAGCTGAGAAGGAAGGAAAAAACTCCTCCTGGCAGTCTCTCCCTCCCTGCCTCCCTGATTTCCCTGCAACAACTCCCTCAACCAAATTTGCATGCATTTGCATCTGAGTGTTATTAGCCCCTGATTTACTTAAAGCAGAAACTGCTCAGAACGAAGCTAGTGCAGCTCAGAGGTGAAACCTTCCTGAAATCGTAAGAGGTTTCTTTCAAGAATTATACAATATTTAACCAGCCGTGATCTGCTAAAGGAGCTCAAATGCACTCAGTCCAAATCAAAACCAAATGTCTGATACACAACATGAGCATTCACCTGCAGAATCAGTGTGGATCTCCCCAAATAACCTGCAACCTGCAGCCGACCAACATGTGTTATCAGGATGTTACCATATTTATGATCTGCAGTTTCCAGAAGCAGGCTCAGAAATAAAACAATATAAGGATTTTGATCACGAAACATTTACCCTGTGGTTAAATCTCCTCTTAAATACCTGTTCACTGCAACTATGATGTAAAAATGCACATAAAAGACTTGAATCTGTATGTCTGATTTCTAATGAAGCAAAAAAATTAAATATGATCATAAAGAAACAGCGCCCTGTTTTTATTTCACTCACACTTTTATTAATGTAAAATATTGTTGTTCATTGTTCTTTTTGCAGTAAAACAAAATGGGTCAGTGCTCCTGGCAGTATCAGCAGACACGATTTGTTCATATTTATAATTGGCCTCATGAGCCCAGATACTGTATTATCCAATGCCAATTATTTCAAAATGCCATTAATTGATGTACCTCTAATTTACGTAGCAACACTTTAAAAGGAAACTTTACATAAAGAGTAGGAGACTGTACTCACAGCAACTTCTTTACAACAGGCAGGCAGACCCCTCAAGCAGAACCAGACTCATGTTGGACAGTCATCTGCCACGGCTATGTTAGAAAGCGGGACAGAGAGAGCAAGACAGCCTGCAGTAGCATAAGTAAGAACTAAGAGCCAGAGCCATGCCTAACTCTAAACCAGAAGCTTTACCAAAATGGAAAAGTCTTAGTGGTGTCTGCCTCCCTGACCGGTAAGGAAAGGGGCCTGATAACTCAAGGACTTACCAGTACTGCTCATGTTACTTGTAGAGACAGTTGGTATCAGATTTACATGCAGACATATAGCCTACCTTCACACCTGCCTGCCTTTGCACCTCTCCCTGCTCTCCTCAGTTTTAGACTGGCTTCAAAAGCGAAAGGCATCCCAACTAAGACGTACAAAACTTATCAAAATGACAAAGGTCATTTCTACAGCAGGAGGACTGAACATACACACGTGGACAAAATTGTTGGTACCCCTCAGTTAAAGAAGGAAAAACCCACAATTCTCACTGAAATCACTTGAAACCTACAAAAGTAACAATAAATAAAAATTTATTGAAAATTAAATAATCAAAATCAGCCATTACTTTTGAATTGTTGATTAACATAATTATTTTAAAAAAACAAACTAATGAAATAGGGCTGGACAAAAATGATGGTACCCATAACTTAATATTTTGTTGCACAACCTTTTGAGGCAATCACTGCAATTAAACGATTTCTGTATTTGTCAATGAGCATTCTGCAGCTGTCAACAGGTATTTTGGCCCACTCCTTATGAGCAAACTGCTCCAGTTGTCTCAGGTTTGATGGGTGTCTTCTCCAAATGGCATGTTTCAGCTCCTTCCACAGATGTTCAATGGGATTCAGATCTGGGCTCATGGAAGGCCACTTTAGAATAGTCCAACGCTTTTCTCTCAGCCATTCTTGGGTGTTTTTGGCTGTGTGTTTTGGATCGTTGTCCTGTTGGAAGACCCATGACCTGCGACTGAGACCAAGCTTTCTGACACTAGGCAGCACATTTCTCTCCAGAATGCCTTGATAGTCGTCAGATTTCATTTTACCTTGCACACATTCAAGACACCCTGTGCCAGATGCAGCAAAGCAGCCCCAAAACATTGCTGAGCCTCCTCCATGTTTCACCGTAGGGACAGTGTTCTTTTCTTCGTATGCTTGGTTTTTGAGTCTATGAACATAGAGTTGATGTGCCTTACCAAAAAGCTCCAGTTTGGTCTCATCTGTCCAAAGGACATTCTCCCAGAAGCTTTGTGGCTTGTCAACATGCATTTTTGCAAATTCCAGTCTCGCTTTTTTATGATTTTTTTCAGCAGTGGTGTCCTCCTTGGTCGTCTCCCATGAAGTCCACTTTGGCTCAAACAACGACGAATGGTGCGATCTGACACTGATGTACCTTGGCCTTGGAGTTCACCTTTAATTTCTTTGGAGGTTGTCCTGGGCTCTTTGGATACAATTCGAACGATCTGTCTCTTCAATCTGTCATCAATTTTCCTCTTGCGGCCACGTCCAGGGAGGTTGGCTACTGTCCCGTGGGTCTTGAACTTCTGAATAATATGAGCCACTGTTGTCACAGGAACTTCAAGCTGTTTAGAGATGGTCTTATAGCCTGCACCTTTAAGATGTTCGTCTATAATTTTTTTTTCGGATGTCCTGGGACAATTCTCTCCTTCGCTTTCTGTTGTCCATGTTCAGTGTGGTACACACCTTTTCACCAAACAGCTGAGTGACTACTTGTCTCCCTTTAAATAGGCAGACTGACTGATTATGAGTTTGGAAACACCTGTGATGTCAATTAAAGGACACACCTGAGTTAATCATGTCACTCTGGTCAAATAGTTTTCAATCTTTTATAGAGGTACCATCATTTTTGTCCAGCCCTATTTCATTAGTTTGTTTTTTTTAAATAATTATGTTAATCAACATTTCAAACGTAATGGCTGATTTTGATTATTTAATTTTCAATAAATTTTTATTTATTGTTACTTTTGTAGGTTTCAAGTGATTTCAGTGAGAATTGTGGGTTTTTCCTTCTTTAACTGAGGGGTACCAACAATTTTGTCCACGTGTGTATTTAAAGCCTTGCACAGAAAACTTCTCTGGACTTTATACCTATATTCTTTACTCGAACCAGCTGTGCAGGACTTAAATTTTTATATAGCTCATCTGTTTTTAATATATTGAGGTTAAAAGAGGTACTTTAGAATCCATAAATGAGGGCTTGGCTTTCTCCATTAGCAAAAAGTTTGTCAAAGTCAGCATCCAAAATGGCAATCGCCATCTTTGGGCTTCAAAACAGTTCTTTAAAAACCAGCGGGGGATATCAGCAGAAAGACATCCTTCTTTAAACAGTTTGTTTTTCGTCTTTGGAAGAAAAAAAAAAGATCACAAAACTGGGTTAAAAGTCTCTTTAGTCATGATGTTCCTCTAAGAGGCAAATGTGTGGGAAATAAAAAGAATCCTAACAGAAAAGATCAGACCCGCCATCCCCTTTAACCTGCTTTAAACTGGGTTACATGAGCCAAACAAAACTGACACTGTGTTCTTGTGGGGTGGTTTTAGTCTCCCCTCGAGGACAGGCAGACAGGAGAACATGCTCCATGCTGAGGATTGTCACATGCAGACAGTGAAATATCACTTATGTTAGGGGAAACCTAACAGGCTGTTCACATTGAATTCTTCTCACTGAGAAACCCCTGAACTACAGCCAAGAGGTGACCAAACCACTGCTGGAGCCAGCACTCATGTTGCCTGGAAACTGAACCCTTTTTCTGTAGAGTAGGCCTTAGTTATAACCTTCACAGTCCACAGAAAGTTGAGTTTTTACAGAATGAAACTAACCTGGCTTCATAAATAAAGAAATAGTGGTAGTATAGGTTGGTGCAAATGTCACATGTTAAGTGTGGTTTGATGCATGGTTAGTTATAAGTGTGTAATAATATTGGTTACAGATTACAGCTGCTCAGATACAGATATTTGTTCTGCATTGTTTACTGCAAAGTAACAGAAAAAACTGAGAGGCCATGTTTCTTTTATATGTATTTATCAGGACCTATTTGATAAAAAATGGACAACTAACTTTTATAGTTTGATGTTGCACAAGGCAAAATAAGTAATGTGCAATGGCATGGTTCAACATCACATTAATAAAAGGTAATTGGAGGTAAATAAGCAACTGAGCAAAAAACATTTCTCCCCGGGAATCCATTTATCTATGAAGAGGCATTATAAAGGCCTATTATGGGGCTCGGCAGATTAGAAACGCTGGCTCTAAATACGATCATTAACAGGTAGAAACCAGCAAAGAGGTGGAGCTGATGCCTTAGACTTGACATTAGAGAATAAATAAAATACACCACCCAGTCAGTCACATTAGTGGCACCCCTACTTTAAGGTGACCAGACGTCCCCAATTTCCGGGGACAGTCCCTGAATTGGATGACCTGTCCCCGGCAAAAGATTTAAGTGTTTCATGAATGAGAACAAAAATGTTGTGTGTCGGCTCGAACAACGGTTATTACAGTAGCCGAATGGGTAGGAAGCACAAGTAAGCAATCCTGAACAACAGTTTTTACGGGGGTTATTACCAGGGGCATGTGCTGCTACTAAATAGTACAGAGAGTATTGTTCTGTCAACTCAGTTTCACAAGTGGGCATCTTTATATGAGCTCTAATGAAGTTTGGATGGATTTCGAAGGCAGCCTCCAGTGGACACTTTAAGAACTGCAGTTTAGCGCTTCAGCACTGGCTTCATGAAGGCTGGCCCTTGTCCACCAATCAAAGCATGTTTGTAACAGCCTGTAACTCCTCCTGAGGTACTGAGATGTCATTTTTAATCCTTTTATTTACAGGTAAACAATGTCAATACTTTCTCTTACAAACTCTTGCTGTGAACTTTGGATTTCATGTCATGTATCTGAGGCAGCATATCCTGCTGCCTCACTGAGATGTTTTTTGGGAGTTTTAATCCGATTAAGTTTGATATGGGCTCTTTATCTTTGTATTTACCATAATAAGTGAGGGTATGTCATCTTTGTCATTCAACCCCGGGCTGTAAAATGCTGTGAAATGCTGTAGATATAACACATTTTCAGGGTACATTTTTCCTTTAAGTCTTGTCTTCGTGTGTGTGCCATGCTTTCCACCTCTACAGTCTGTTTGGGTTTTAAACAGAATTCAGTTTCTATGTGAATTTTTTTCTTTATGGAAACATTAGGGAGAATGAAGACTTCCTGAAAGAGGCCCGTTCTTGTAAAAAGCAGCAGAGCAGATGAACGGGTCGATCCTCTTCGCAGGCTGAAGGTCAGAAAATCAAATGACTTTGTTTGACTTTCCAAGGCAGTCATGTGTGCCTTTGTTTTGGCTCTTCCTCTGAGGAAACTCCTGATTACTCAGAGTAAAAATACACAAGTGACTTACATGAGATGGAATCTGTTAAGCCTAAAGTCAACCATTAACCTTTCGAGAAAACGATTCACCTCATAAAAGACGTTTAGCTTTGTACCAACAAAGTCCAGAGAGGGGTCTGCCAAAAACAGTCAAAAAGAGAAAAAATATGTTTCTTTTTACGCTTGCTTCTTCTGTCAAACCTGCACCAATGTGTGCAGGTACATATAATTAAAAATGACTGTTTGAATGCTTCAGGCAGATGTGATTGTAGAGCTAGAAAAACAGGCCTGAAATGAGACTTCAGAAAGCCTTCACTGCATAATACTAAAGGGCAAGTTTACACACAGATGTTCCAATCAGTCCGCCTTTAGCCAAGCCAGACTAGAAGGAAATTGTCTCAGATTCAGGTATCTGGGAAAAATTCTAGAGGATGAGTCCATGCACTTCAGCATCCTGTCCTGTAGGTAACCTCTCATGTCAGGTGACCTTTGGGGGCCACAAGTACAGAAAATGCCCCCTGCTGATTGGGCTAGTCATCAACACTCAAGACAAATCAGGTTCACCAGAAAATAAGGGAGAAGAACGAGCCTTGTTAGGTCACTTGTGTCTGTCCTGTTTAGAAACCCCTTTGACGAACCCCGTTAAAAATTCTGTAATTTGAACATTGCCGCTGGTTTTCCACAAAAACATACAATTTACAAAAACAATTAAGTAACTCACAGGAATGGTTGAAACTTTTAAAATAATTCGGCATTCATTCAGAGGAGCGAGCGCGGTTAACATTTCTTAAAATCAAACCTAAAATCTATCCTTTGTACCGATGATCGGGAGCGCTTTTCGCCATTTTCATGCACTAAAAAAGTCAGTTAAGTTTAAAAACTACAGCTTCAGAGGAATTGTTTTGCTATTTTCCAATCTTTTGGAGGCCGAAGTGACAAGAATTTTAGCTTTGTTGATAAAATGTCGTATTTTATGCATTTTAAATTGTTTATGTTTTGCAACAACTAAAATAAAGTTAAATTGAATATTTTTTAACGGGGTTTGGCATGATTCAGTAACTTGTCTTACAATAAGGAAATCTGGTATATATCACATTTTTTATCGTCCAATTGTGACAAATAAGCTGATTTGTGTATGATGGCAGAGATGATCAGTTTGGCAAAGTGAACATTTGTCCTACCTGTCAGTGAGTGTTGACTGTGTGCCACTCATTGGGCTTTCCTGAAGAGTTTTCCGAGGACTTCACCCAAATTACATGATCACTTCTCTGTCCATGTCCAGAAGCGTCGACAGGTATTTAAAACCCAGAACATACAGCTTAAATCTCCGTGATTCTCCTAGGAGTGTCTGCTGGAGATCCCAAATTCTTTGTATTCATCACATGCGATAAAAGTTAGTGTCCACAATTGGTGGAAAAAGGAGATGTGCCACTTTTTCCAGCTGCACACTCATAAAGAAAACCGTGTATTTTTGTTCCCACGCAGCCTGTTTAGAGTGAGAAAATGTCTATTTCTTCTTGAGAAATACTTCCATCATGACACTAAAGTCTATTCCTGGTTACACGGGACAGAATTACGTCAAACTTTGGCTGATCTGTCCCTTTTATTTCCGTCCACTAGTGTCCACTCCGTCCACTCGAGCTTGTTTTGGAAGCGTTGCCGTTTTTTTGCAGCATCCTCTTCCAGGTCTGTTCACTTTAATTCGGCCTCATTTGTAGTTCAGTCTTGAGTTTTTGCCTCTCTGTGTGATGCAAATGGAAAAAGAGGAAATGCTTCACCCCCCTCCCTCCGTCTCTCACTCCCCAAAAGAGCAAAATGAGGAGAAAAACCCACCTTCCATGCCGTTGCGTTCAGGAGCACCTCGTATTTCACAGAACTCTATCACTGAAAACCGAATATGCGTTTTCTATTTACATATTCACAAACAAATAAGTGTATTTCAACAACTAAGCAAGTATTGGGCAGACATTCTCATGCTGACTGTCATACAAATCAAAATAATATTTTAAATTTGTAATCAATCATTTTGTAGATTTTTATGAAAGAGTTTTTAAATTATAACCCTCACAATAAATGTATTTTAGACTAAAAAAGTCAAGTCTTTATTTATTAGCGTATAACATACACGTTTGCATGCTGTGATGCAAACACTAAAGTTGTAAAAACAAGCTTCACTTTTACAGGTTGCTCATGAAAGTTACAAACACGTGAATGCATCATCTATTTTTATCTAACAAAAATTTACAAATGGCCTTTTTGCACATTTTTTTATGTTAAAGTAAATTTATTTAATGATAATTCTGGACTTGCTTGAATCTGTTTACAGGTTATTCAGTTAGACTGTGTTTGTGAAGCACTTTTTATTCAACAGAATAAATGAAGTAATGAAACAATTAGAACAACACAAAAAAGATTGGACACCAAGAGATTTCTTTTCTTTTTAAAAGACAGAACAAAAAAATACTCCAAGAAAATTCATAATTATAAAACGATTTATGAAAAATCTGTGATCTTGCACTGACTTATGTTGATTATAAATACATAAATAAAAATGATTATATGGAGAACTTTACACTTAGAGGAATAATGTCTTATCACTAAAGATGTTTTTACAGTAAAAGACACAAGATAAGATAAGATAAGATAAGATGTTGCTTTAATAGTCCCACAGGGGAAATTTCCAAAATTACAGCAGCATAGTATAGATACAAAAAGACAAAAAATTAAAAAATGAAGAAACTCTTAGTTCAAACAACATATGTGCATGTCCATGTAGATTCTCATTCATCTTCAAGAAAAAAGATATGTGCATACATCATATTTACTTCTGTACAGAATTTACATAATGGATTTATTGCACAACACATGCAACACATACAAAATTATATTACAGATACAACTGTTATTTTAGGTATTGTTTTTATTCCCTATTATGTCCACACACAGAATTTGCCAAACAAACAGCATAATGTGAGCACCACCATAGGAAACAATCATTAAGTCTTGTCCTCTTACTGTGTGAGAGGTGATCCACAGAGCCGGCCCAAGCCTCAATGGGGCCCTAAGCAAAATTTGATTTTGGAGCCCTCTATTTCTGTAATAATGTTGATTGTTGATCATTCACACACCTTCACAAATCTCTTTAACATTCCATGACATGCAAACATACCTTTATCCTGGTGTTGTTTATCTTCTTCCTCTTTCTTTTTCTGCTCCTGAAGGATATGTCCTTTTTTGCGACATTGTTTTAACCCACAACTACATGCGCTTTGGATGCTTAGTGCACATTGCACACCAGAAGGCACATAACGGTAGCAAAGCTTTGACATATCTGCATTAAGAATCATAGGCCTACATCAGCCGCAGCACTAAAATGTTTTTACTTTATTTTATTTTTACAATAATATACATTTGATCATACAGAAAGCATCAGTCATACATGCAAAAAATGAAAAATATTTTACTTTTTTTTTTTTTTTGATTGCTCTTGGGGGCCCCCTATAGAGCCGCAGCGCCCTAAGCAGGCATTTAGTTTGCTTATGCCTCTGGCCAGCTCTAGTGATCCAAATAGATACAGATATCATGAAGGTTGGAGAACAAGAAAACACACTTTAAAATGTACTGCTATTGGTGTAGAAGGTATGTTTCATTATTAAAAGAATTAAGCAAATGCATTATTATTATTATTATTATTATTATTATTATTATTATTATTATTATTATTATTATTATTAATCTTTTGTTTCCAGGAGGTTAAAATCCTTGTCACCACTCCTCCAACACAGCAAGTGGCGGTAATGCGCCGTAAAGCTCAGAGCGTCCCCTCATTACAACCGGAAAAAAAACAGGACGAAGAAGAAACCCATCCATCCATAGGCCAGCTGCGGCTAGTTAGCAGAAAACATAAACACCGATCCATCTCTGAGGAAATCAGACTATTTCTCGGGTTAGATTTAGTTTTCCTCGTTGCTCTTTCTTTTATAACTCTTACACAGTGCAGTAGGTTGTTTGAACCGGTCATGTTAGTTCGGACTTTTGGAAACAAAAGGCCCTGAGGTTGTCCTGCTAACCGACGGTAAGATATTGGTTTATAGAAACAGCTATCTGAACGGCTAAGCTAACATCCTTTATGAAGGTTTCTGACGCACTGAACTGAAATTAAACCCATTTTACAACTCCACGTAATTCACTGAAGATTTTAAGGACGTATTCTAACGTCATTGCATATTTAAGTCAGCATTTATGGTGAATACAGAGACGCTTATACGCAGACCCGTTACAATGACAGAATTTGACCCATAAACACAGAGGCGTCCTTTCTTTTCTTCTAACCTGAAATTCTAGTTGCACAAATGCTTATTCTTGTAGATGCAGGGTCGTTTAGATGTTCATACATACATTAATTCTTGAGAACATTGATTAGAATCTTAGAGAGAGTCTACTTTTGTGGCTGGTCGGCCTGTACGCCCACCCTGGTGAGGAGCTGGAGAGGCCTGTAGGGGGCTGGACTGGACTGGAGTATAGAAACACCGACAAAGTTCAGGCTTTTTGTTTGACACAGAAACACTTTTAGGATTAATCTTTATCTGTTTAACCCTTATGAGTGCAACACTGTAATTTCACCTGCTTATTAAACTGTGTTTGTTACCTTCTACTCTTTTTTTGGACAGACACTCTTTTTGTTTTGGTAACAGGTGTTGAAAAAATCCTCATTCTTTTCCTTTTTTCCCCTTATTTCTCAATTTGACAATATCTTGTCACATTGCAATATTTCTTATCCATTGGTTGGAAGGGAGCAGGGGAAAAGAAACGTCTTATATCACCCGCCCCTCACTCAAAGTCTAATTGTTCTAATAATCTATCACTGAGCAACATTCATACCACAAAACAAAAGAGTAACAACAAAACAAACAGAACAGAGTTTCAAATTGATTTATCGGTCACTGAGCTTTACTGTCGTCATACCATTATGTAAACAAAACAAGCATAATAATAAATATAAATAAAAGACAGCATTTTCAGCTGACTTTTCAACAAGAATCATTGGTTACTTTTGTCATAATCTCTAATTGCATTTTCCTTTAACATTTTCTTGGCTTGTAAAAGATTTGTACAGGTCTTCAATTCATTACTTTGACAGTTCCATAGTTTAACTCCCATTACAGAGATACACATCTGTTTCAGAGTTGTCTGTGCAAACAGGTGTGTAAAATGAAACTTCCTTCTTTGTTCTCCATCATCTGATCTCAGAGAACCAGTAATTTCTAGTAGAGAGAGACCAACTTCTAAATATTTAGATGAAATCAGCTCCATATTTGCAAAATATTCACTTAAATTCAGCTATTTCTTATCTTATCTGTTCTTTTCATTAAATCAAAGATGTGATACCAGCATTATGTAGCCAACCTGCTCTTCTGTTATTCTTATCAGCTGTTGAAAAACAGATATTTTTAGCACAGTTCAAGTTAAGTAAGAAAGTCACCTGCTGTCTTCACAGACCATGATTCAGCTGGAAAAACCAGTGCTACCTGGTACCATGCCTGTGGTATGGCCCACAATTCTTGACCTGGGCCGGGATGAATGCAAGAGGATTCTTCGGAAACTGGGTGAGCTTACTGGGCATCACTATACAGTATACACTCAGTTTATACAGCTGAAAATTAGGCTACCCAGAACATGTTTTAGTTTTTCTGGTTTATCTCACAGTATCTAAATGTCTCATTAATCTGGATCCTGTAAAGCTAATTATCTGGTTGTAGTGTTTTACTTGTATGTCGTGTTTTTTAAGCGTAGCATTTACGGTTCACTCCAGTCTTTTCAGCTGTTTGATGAGTGCTTTTGTTTTCCAGAGCTGGAGGCGTATGCTGGAGTTATCAGCGCCCTGCGAGCCCAGGGAGACCTGACGAAGGACAAGAAGGATCTGCTGGGGGAGCTCACTAAAATCCTTGGGTAATTATTTCTTATCTGAGTCAAACAATAAGAATGTCAAAACTAAATTATTAACCGTTTGTCTGCCTCCTTTTACAGTATCTCCACAGAGCGCCACCGTGCAGAAGTCCGCAGAGCTGTCAATGATGAACGTCTCACCACTATTGCGTTTCAGTAAGTGTGAAAGCCTTTTGGTGTCGTCTTTATCTTACAGTCTGAAAAGAAGTATGGTATTTGGCGCATATAAGTTTGTCAATTCATGGTTTTGTCTCAATAACCGAATGTGAGGAATAAAGGTTTTAAAAAAACATTTAACTGAACACCTCATGTCCTCTTTTGCAGCATGTCTGGTCCTAACAGCTCATCTGAGTGGTCCATCGAAGGACGCCGGCTGGTCCCCCTGATGCCCCGACTGGTCCCTCAGACAGCCTTCACTGTGACCGCGAATGCTGTAGCCAGCGCCACAGCCAATCAAAACGCATCCCTTCTGCTGCCAGCTGAGACTGGAAACAAAGAAGGTGAGCCGGCTTCACTTCATTTTTAATCAGAGAAGCTGAAAAAACAGATAAGATGTTGACCATGTTTAATTCTCTCCCCGAAGTGGTTGTCTGTTACTCCTACACAAGCACCACCTGTACCTCCACCAGCGCCACAGCCACCAGCGGCACCATCGGAGCGACTGTAAAATCACCACGACCTCCCAGTCCTTCTTCTAATGTGGTGGTGCTGCCCAGTGGGAGCACGGTCTATGTGAAAAGTGAGTGTCTGCATTTCAATAATGTAACAGAAAGTTTTTTTTTTTTTTCCAACAGGTTGCTGCTGTTACTTTTAAAAGATGAAAAACATAATATTCAGTGTAAAAATATAGATAGATTGCAGGTTGGAATAATAATCCTGCAGATGTTATTTTTAGACACAATCAATTTTTCAAATTTGTCAAAACTTCAGAGTTAGAAAGACATATTGGACTTCTTTTGACTGAGAGCACAGCTTAATGGATTCTCCTTACAACATGAGATTTGGGGAAGTCTTTTTGTATCTTTTTTTACTTTTTTTTTTTTTTTGCACTGATCAGCCTGAGGGGGGCGCCACAGGGCAGGTTATTCATTACCAAGTGGGTTCAGCATCAGGAATAGAGCTGAGTAAATACTTTGATGAAAAGTAATTGTTTTTAATATGTGTAACATCTTAGTGCTACCTCAATCAAATACTGAGTTTGTAAAAAAAGATGTTATTTAGAAACTGAACATTTCTAGATCTGAAACCTGCTCCTTAGTCAATCTTTAAGAATATTCTAATAACTTGATATTTCTCAATTTCATCATCTAAAAACCAGGATCATCCAAATTAAGTAAAAAAAGACTTGAAATTAAATATTTTATGCTTTAGATTATGAATAAAAACTCATATACACTCCTTTATTCAAAACAGTCTGGATATGCTGGGTTAAAATTAACAATTTATCCAGCATGTGGACAGTTCTCAGTGTAATCGTGAGGATATTATAGGGAGTAAGAGTTGAATGAAATATGAAATCTAAGTGTGCACACTGTAAACTGTAAAGTTCTGGTGAGATCTTCAGATTTATAAAACTGTGTTCGAAAACGCTCATTTTTCCTATTAATAAATTACAGTAGCTGATCTTCAATTAGGTCCAGTGACACAATCATCTCATGGCAAGTAAAAACTCCAGTCTGCTAATTTTTTCTTTCTTCTGTCCTCACAGGCGTGAGCTGTTCTGACGAGGATGAGAAACCTCGAAAGCGAAGGAGGACCAACTCCTCCAGCTCTTCACCGGTGATGCTGAAGGAGGTCACCAAAGTGTCACCGCAGGTGTCCAAAAACATCACTGTCCCCGTGAGCGGCAGCCCCAAGATGAGCAATATCATGCAGAGCATCGCCAACTCACTGCCACCCCACCTGTCCCCGGTGAAGATCACCTTCACAAAGCCCACCATCCAGACCACCAGCACCACCACGCAGAAGGTAAGAGTTGCACAATTACCAGAGTACATCTTTCAAACACGCTGTTCACATGAGAATTAAAAAATGTCTTATCTTGACTCAGGTGATCATCGTCACAACGTCCCCCAGCTCCAACTTCGTCCCCAACATCCTGTCCAAGTCTCATGCTCACAACAACGCCGCTCTGTCCAAACTGGGCTCCTCTTCCATACTGGCCACACCCACACAGAAGCAGACAGTGGTGTTCCCGGCAAGCTCCAGCCCATCTCCGAACACCGTTGCGGTGACCACAGTGGTCTCCTCCACACCATCAGTGGTCATGTCCACTATGGCAACATGTAGGTTCCCTTTTTTTTCCCACCAACATGTGAAAGAGAACCAAGAACGATGAACTGTCCGTTATTTTAATCAGTATATCGTGTTTCAGCTCTTCAGCGAGGTTTTCAGCTTCTCCACTCTCTGAACCCCCACCGTCTTCTTCCTGCTTCTATAGGCGCCGCTTCAGCAGGAGTGAAGGTGGCTTCGGCCAGACTTCCTTCACCCAAAACCCTGGTGGGCTCACCCGCTCAGATCCTGGCTCAGTTCCCCAAACAGCAGTCACCCAAACAGCTACAGCAGGGCTCACCTTTAGGTGCTGCAGGTGTCAGTCAGGGCCAGATTACCAGCAGCTCAACTGGAGCAAAACCCACCATCCAGATCAAGCAAGAGTCTGGTAAGCCCACCTCAGATCATCAAGTAGAGAAGTATAATTCAGTTTTTGCTTGATTTTCATAGATTATTTTAATGATAAAGGGATTGCAAGAGACTTTTAATTGGTTTTTATAGTTTCTTATTTTCTTTTTCCTCTTAACAAAGTATATATTTTTTACATATAGACCTACAGAGCCTATATAACAAATAAAACCTACCATATAATAAGAAAATTAACTTTATTTTGATTGTGAATGTATCTGTTTTTTACCAACAGGAGTCAAGATAATCGCTCAGCAGGTTCAGCCCAGCAAAATCCTGCCCAAACCGTCATCAGTGGCTCTGTCTAGCAGCAGCTCGTCTCCCATAATGGTCGTCAGTAGCAACGGAGCCATAATGACCACAAAACTGGTCACTCAGCCCACAGGTAATTAAACAAAATCCAGTAAATTAACTTTGGCGTGATGTCTTTTAGGTCTGTCCTGTTGCTATGTTACAATTCATGTGCTCTTAACACTGAAATAGAATTTTAAAAAGTACTTCATCCTAAATGTAAGAGACGTATTTCAGTCTGTAGACTCTGTTATGAGCAATTAGATGTTAACTCAGTGTTTGTCTGCAGCTACCCAGGCCACCTACACGAGACCCACCGTCAGCCCGGGCATTGGCGCCAGAATCTCAGCCTCCAGTAGCGGGACGACCTACGTGAAGACCACCAGCGGTAACATCATCACAGTGGTGCCAAAGTCTTTGGCGACTCTGGGCGGGAAGATCATCAGCAGTAACATCGTCACTGGTGAGTCCTCCTGACGCCATCGATTTGAGGTCATCCCCGCAGTTTAATAAAGATCAGTTCAGGTTTGATGGATGGAATTATTTCTGCTGCAGGGACAACCACTAAGATCACCACCATCCCCATGACTTCCAAACCCAACGTCATCGTGGTTCAGAAGACCACAGGGAAAGGAGCGACTATCCAGGGACTTCCGGGCAAGAACGTGGTCACCACGCTTTTAAACGCAGGGGTCAGTGGAACATCTCTGTTTGAACGTTTGTATCCTCAGTCCAGACAAGTTATCAGCCGTGGTAAACTGTGAACTGTGGTGTGTCTCAGGGCGAGAAAGGCCTGCAGGCTGTTCAGGGGACCAAACCGGCGATTATCACCGCCTCCAGACCCATCACCAAGATGATCGTCACCCAGCCCAAAGGCTTGGGCTCTGGATCTCAGACCACCGCCACCAAGATCATCCCCACCAAGATCGTCTACGGACAGCAGGGAAAGACTCAGGTGAGAGGTGTTCTTGTCTTTGTTTCTCTTTCTTTTCTCTTTTTTGTGTCTTATTTTTAAAAACAGTTTCTGCTGACCTTTGATTACAGTGTTAATCTGATTTTATTCACTAGAGGAAAACCCCTGAACCTGTAGGCAGACAGATAAATACTGCGCTCAGATACTGACCTTTACTCTTCCTCCATTCACTTCCCTCTGATTCAGGAGATGTATTACTCTTCAGCTTAGTGTAATCGATCACACAGGCAGAGACATTTTGCATACAGCTGACTGGTGTGTCATTTGACTTTAGCAAATGTGATGTGGGCAGTAGTCACACCACCATATGACCCGAAACATGTCATGCAGTCACCAGTTTCTGGTTTTCCAAGACTGATGTCCAGTAAATGTTCACCTGTATCACTTAAATTCAGCCTCTCTGAACACTAAGGGAACTGACTGCTTTCCAAACAGCCTGTATCTGCGTGTCACATGATTGTAAAATGTAAACATGCACTTGACACTGCTGCCATCATACATACACAAGCAAAACAAAGCAGGACTTTGTAGAAACTTTGTAGACTTTGAAAATGTTCATTTCATGATTTCTCCAGAATTTAAAATCACCATGACAATCGCGGCGGATGATTCAGAGGAATTACAAGAGTGCCCGATATGAGATTTGAAACTGTATCACATGGTTTTTAAAGGAAGAGCCCGCTCAAAATAACTGAAGCGACGCCTGAACACCTCACACCTCTTCAGTATTTCTCTTGAAATCTGTTTGGGGATTTTTTAATTTAACGGCTAATGTCATTATATAATCTTAAAGGGTAATTTCCATCATACTTATGTACAGATGGTTTTTACCACATCTGCACCTTTTAAACAATCAAAACAGTAAAATAGGTAAAGAAGCTGTTTCTGCTAAATTAAGAGTCCGCTTAGTGATCACAGATTGAGTATTTGAATCTTGAAAAATTTAAAATGACAATAGGAATTTGCTGATTTCTCCACATCATAGTTTCAATATCAAAGTTACCACTAGGATCTAAAAATAGCAACAACCCAGTTTCAGTTCTCACAAAGAAAGAGGAACCTAAGGTTGATGAGTCATGCGTAGGATTCAGTACAAACACTCTCCTGCTGACCACAAACCAGATCTGCTATAAATAGAAACGGCTCGTCCGAGTGGTGTGGTAACTCAAAAACTGCAGTTGACCCAGGTGTGGTACAAGATGAGAAAACACAAGCGGAAAGAAAATAAACACAATGAATTAAAACATGATATCCACACAGTATAGCTGCAGAGAAAAATGCCATAGTGCTCAACTGGAATTAATCTTATATTTACTACTGTCCACTGTTTGTCCTCTCCAGTTTTTAGTCTGGATCTTAAAGCATCCAGACCTCAGCGCTCTTGACTGGATCATGTCGGTGCAACAACTCAGACAAATAAGATTGTATCAGCCCATTAAAAGCTTTTTTTTTCTCAAATGTCTATATTGTTTTTACTTTTTATAATGTAACACCAGAAGCAGACAGAGTACAGTGTCACTTGGCAGTCAAATTAGCCTTCTTTGTTCAGCTTTGTAAAGGATTTTAAGGTGGGGGGGGGTCCACTTTCTCCAGCTGTGTGTATATTGGCACTGTGATCGGTAAGGGCCGTTGAAAACAGAGAGGACATGCTGGTTTGATATGATTCAATGTCTTTTTTTTCCATTTAGAAAACATGAACACATTACAGTCACTCTCCAGTTTACAAGAACTTAATGAAGCACCTTTAAGTTTAAAACACGCAAAGTGACTCTGACAGCGTTTATGACCGCAACATGACTGATCACATACAACCAGAGAAAATAAAATCAGCACTCAGAGCATCTACAACCTCCTGCATCTTTCTCAAAGGCCCTCTTTTTTTAAATTTTAAAGTCACTTAAGGAGACCCGCACCCTCAGACGCAAATCCTTCTGCAGGAGCGCTTTACCAAACTCTTTTCTCAAACAAGTCTCGTGATTGTGTCGCAGAGCAGAGCCCGAAGCTTTCAGTATTCTTCAGCTGAACAGAGATTAAATTAGAGAAACAGAAACTAGGATCTTAACCTTTAAGTATACTTTTATTTTTCAATACATCTGTGTAAATGAGGAAAATAAACACACAAATAGAGTTAAAAATTTAAAAACTTACTATATGAAATTATCATTTAGACATATTTTTGCTACATCTCCTTTTTAAATTTTTTTTTTTCAGGTTCTCATTAAGCCCAAGCCGGTCTTCCAGACAGCGTTGGTTGAACAGACCAGACAGCTGGTCACCGAAACTCTGCAGCAGGTGACCCGCTCTGCCGACATCGGGCAGGGTCAGAGCTCAGGACAAGATGGATCCACCAAGGAGGAGTCCAGTGAGGCCTCTCACAGCAGCACTCAAGGTTAAAAAAGACACACTGGATTTCATTATTGCACGATCGTGGATGGATGTGTATTTGATGAAGATATCATCCTTTTGAAACCGACTATTCTCCCATCATTCCTCAGAACCTCAGCCTGTGGTGCACGTAGTCACCTCCAGAGAGCAGGATTGGACCGAGCAGGAAGTATCGGTGGAGTCCAGCCCGACTATAATCTACCAGGAGGTGTCTGCCGGGGATTCCCAGTCAGCCGCCTCCACCATCAAAGCTCTGCTGGAGCTGCAGCAGACAACAGGTGAGCTATTATGTCACCAACAGGCTGCAGATGTGAAGTGGAAAGAACGGGGGAAGTGGAAAAAAAGTCAACAAAACAAACAACAACAAGCCTGTCATTGTTATATATATTTTTTTCACAATGAGCCCTTTAGACTGCAAACCTGCTGGACAGGGTTGGTGACAAAGATTCCCACTCAGTATTCAAAGCTAATAGACCGAGTGGAGCAAAAGCAGAGTAATAACAGACAATGATATGACACTGTGTCTGACGGTAGATTCTCAGGATGTGTAAATGTGTGCAGGGCAGAACAACAGGTTTGTTTGTTCATTAAAAAAAAAGGTTCAGTGTTCCATAGAGAGACGTTGTGATTTCTTTGTGCAGATAAAAATGAATGCGGTTCAAAGAGGATTTGTTTGATTCGTAGGAAAAGCAACTTCACGCAGTGCTTTGACGAGCAAGCAAACAGTGAAAGACTACCAAGCAAACACGCCATGCCTGCAAATGATTTAACAATCACATCCCTGAAATGACCATTTCTTTACCTCAGCCAAGCAGAGAGCGTGTTTTTAGTCAGAATAGGTTTCAATAAGAAGCATTTGTTGATTCTTAAATTGTCCTGTACCTGTAAGCGTCTACAGTCTGCTGTGAATGAAAACTTTTCTTCTCCCCCCTGTGTTTCAGGACTAATAACGTGGCTCTGAAAAACTCCTTCTGTTTGTGGTTGGCGTGTTAATAAAATGATGACTATGGTCTGAAAAGTAAGAAAATGATGAGAAGAATGTGTCAATCTGTGTTTCCAGGAGCGCTGGATATCTCCCATAAGATCCTTGTTTTAATAAAATAAAGAAACCAGAATATTTCCACTTTTCAGCACCTCGAGTTTGATAATCATGTCCCCTTCAGGCTCAACAGTGTCTGAAACCTCTAAGTGTTTTTATCGTTGACAGACGATGGATAAAAGGTGAAGTGCGGGAGAACAGAGTTTGACTCTATAAGTTTAAGAGTCACTGTTAATAACCTCTGTGAAACTCGACTCTTCCTGTCCATATGTTTCACATTTAGAGCTCTTCAGTGGCTCAAAGGACTTCATATTTCTATTTCTCTGCTGCCTTTTAATGTGAAACATCTGCAGGAAGTGTTTAGTGTCAGGAGCAGTAGCACAGCTCCAAATGAAGATCTCTAAATAGCCATAAGTGGAATTACTGAGTGAATATTAGCGGTTTAAAAAAGTAGATTTATGGCTGTTTAATTGGTGCTCTGTGATTAAAGAAGACCCTCCTCTTCCCTGCAGTGAAGGAGAAAGGAGAGTCCAAACCCAGACAGCACACCATCGACTTAAGTCAGATGGCCGTCCCCATCCAGCTTGCCCAGGAGAAGAAACCCAGCCCCGAGTCCCCCAGACCCTCCACCTCAGAGGCTGAAGCCAGCGCTGAGTACGTCCCACCAGGTACGCCTACACGGTCTGCTGCAAACGCACAAACTGAGAACTATGTCAGCTGAGGGGGAAGGAGGTGCAGATCTGATACTTGAAGCTCCTGTGAGGAGGTTTTAGCAGGTTGTGAAACAGGCTGAGATTAATACTGATCTGAAAAAGTCCTGAAAGTGCTGTCAAAGGGTACAACCCAGACTAGGTGAAACAGACTCTAGATTTACGTTGATTGATGGGCATCTCACAGGAACAAACTAAACATCAAAATAAACCTTTAATGTGACACCATGAGGTCAGTCCTCTGTTTTGTTCCTTCAAGAGAGAGAGAAAAAAAAACAAGTTAATTCTTTGTTTTTTCCATGTTTGAATAAACCCCTCTCACACCTGGTATCTCACTCCATGCTCTCAGGCAAAGTCAGCAGGCTCACTGTGTCCGCAGATGACGAGGACGTGGTCATGTCCTCCACTCAGCAGCTGGTGAAGCCGTTCAAGACCACCATCAGCCAGGTGACCATGGTGACCAAACCTGTTGGAGTCCCCACTGCAGCTTTGCAAGTTAGTCAAACGGTGAGACAAGACGTCAGGTGGAGACTTGTGGTAATCATAATGAGGTTGTTGGTTGTAAGCTATAAAGGGTGAATGGATAAATGTCAGGGATTCAACAGGAGGAAATATGTCCACTATGTTGGTGTTTACGATTTCAAATATGCCCAAACTCCAGGTTCATTCCCTCTTTTACCTCGCATTTTTTCCCTCAAGCTTAAACGGCCACTTTTACCAAATAAGACAAACATTTCCCTCTTTTCACCCAGAGTATGAAAGCAAATGTGCATTTACGTGTGCAGCTTTTTGAGTCTGATCCAGCAGAGGTGAGAAGAATTGTTGGTTTGTGGTGATGAAAACCTACAAATATGCTTCCTAGAAACACAACGAACACCACAAACCACTGCGGATAAGTCTCCGAGTTTTTCAGGAGAAATTTCTCCACTCAGAGTAAACAAACTTCATACCGAGTGTTTGGGTTTATTTGCCTTTTTGAAATTAGACAATTTAGTTGAAAAGACCCAAAAGTTATGATGGTTAGCCACTTTATATAAATGTAATGAGTGGTAAAGGTTTGACTGGACAGAAATAACCCAAGATAATACTAAACCATTACTTCAAATTGGTTAAATTTGAATAAAATGGGTAAGTTTTCAAAACAGGAGTGTTGTTCTCAGAGTTAAATCTGGAATACAGATTTTCTGAAGGTGACCCATGAGGATCACGTACACATGAAAAATGACATTTTGAAAAAAGAGGGTAGTACACTGTTTTGTGAAGTATTGAGAATTTAAGGATATCCATAAGATAAACTGTCATTGTGCTGTTATTCCTGACACGCCTGAAGTCAACCTGCTGTTTTAAATCGATAGCAGTGAGTCGTATCAGCTGTTTATGATTATTTACAAGCTTTGGATAAACTTCAAAATGGGATACTCCCTCAGCCGCCAGCTATCAGTTCAACACAACAAACAACCCTGGGATAGTTAAAAGCAATCTGGTTTTGATTTGGGCTTTTCTTTGTGTGTGAAAACAAGCTATGACAGCATCAGGGTATGGAGCCCAAGGAGCTCATCCAGTTTCGATAAAACCAGCGATATTAGAGCTACATCTAGAGATAAAAAATTTAAAACCAAAGTCCACGTTTCATAAGCTGTAATCACAGGCTAAGGCTGATCTGTGCAAACTTTAAAACTCTATTGGTGATATCAGAAGGGCAACCAGACTATCATGAAGAGGAATGTGAATCATCTGGTGAAGTTAAGCTGAACAGCTGAGGGCAAACAATGGTGGCAAAAGCACGCACAGCCTCTCCTCATTACAAACACAGCTTCTTACACAGTTGATTCAGTGTCTGAAATGACAGTATGATGCTGATGGGTTCATGCTTATGTTGAGGTTTAACTCTTCTGTTTCTGATTTTAGATCAGGGCCCGTATGCACGTTGAAAGCGTTTAGCGTAAACGCGATTAGGGCTTAAACGCGTTTAGTTATACGGGCCTTAAACGCGTTTAGTTCCTATACGATTTTGGTATGCACAATGCTGTAAACGGAACCGTATAGCTAACCGCGTTTACTGTGTCTTAAACGGGTCGAGTGACGGTTCGACTGACTGTCGACTGATCCACTCCTACCAACTCCCCACACAAGTCTTGGAAAGAAGAAGTGGCGTAGTACCGTAAGGTTACGAGGACTTGTTGTAGTGGAGTGAGGGTGAATCCTCGGTTCGAAAGTTCAATTTCAGCGGAAATCTCCTGTGTGAGGTCGAGAATATGGTGCCGTCGAAATCTAAACTTACGGAACACTTCGCGGTCGTCATACGTGTCGAAGGGGTGTTTTCTGTCACGAAAAATCCTGTTTCGACGCAATTGTCGCCGCTGTCTTCCTTGGAACAACAAGAGTGCCGCCGTATTTAAACGCGTATAGACCTGCTATTGGACCCCCAGAGGTGCGATAACTTTGAACGCGAAAATCCGTATAGGAACGGCTATACGAAGTGACGTGCATACCGACATTTTTGGCGTTTAGGAGTTAACGCGTTTTGCCAAGCAACGTGCAGGTTAGGTTACTAAATCTTCAAAACATACAGGCTAAAATTCGTTTAAATGGAAATGACCCTTTAATCTAGACGTTTTTAAAACTTGTAGAAACACTCTCAGCATCTTAGCTAAGGACTGCTGCTCTGCTAACGTCCCTAACTAACCTTCCTGTGTGTGTGTGTGTGTGTGTGTGTGTGTGTGTGTGTGTGTGTGTGTGTGTGTGTGTGTGTGTTTCAGCCCTCTGACAGTCAGAGTAAAACAGAAACCGTGTTGGAGGTGGGAGAAATGGAGGGCGACACTCTGGACCCTCAAACCGGCTTGTTTTACCGCTCCAGCCAGTCAGCCACAGAGCCCACGAAACAAATCCCTCACTCTGCAGCCGCTCAGCCTCCACCTGTCAGCCAGGCAGAGCAGAGCCAGCAGACCTCCACCTCCACCTCCACCCAGCCTCCTCCTCCACCTCCTCCACAGCTGCAGAGCAAACCTCAGATCAGCCAACCTTCCTCGTCCTCCTCCACCTTCCCCTCCACTCCCCCTCACATTAAGAAACAACTCCCCAAACTCCACGTGCAGAGTCCGCCCAAACCGCAGGTCCTGACCCAGAGCCCCAAAGACAGACCCGTGGCTGCTCCAGCACAGGCCGGGGCAAAGGTCACAAGCCCGGGAACGCCGACTAAGCCTCTGGTGACGCCGCAGCTACCAAAGCTCCAACAAGCACCCACATCCCACCACAGACCCCTGCACACACCCATGTCTCACCCTCCTCCACTGCAGGCGCACCACCCGGTCAGCACAGAGAAGACCTCCTCCAGTCAGGTGAGGGTTTACACCGACACTCTGCAGCACCAACAGGAGGGAGAAACAAACAACTCGGGGCTTTTCTAACATGGTGACAAAACCAGGTTGTGTAGCAGAGCTGTGGGGTTCCCCTGCAGTCTTTTCATGTTTACTTACACAGGCTGATAAGCAGCAATATAACAGGTTTACAGCTGTATTTATGCAGACTGCAGCTACTGCTCTGCTCTGTTTTATGACACTGAATTTACATCTGCTCAGATGTGCTGTAGCTCTCTGTCTCACTAACCGTTTAGGGACTTTCTCCAGAGTGACACCAGGTTCTTGCAGTCATGCAGTGAGGAGAGATAACTGTAGTAAATGAGATGCTGTCAGGTTACAAATGAATGACTGTCTGACTGTCAGAAATTCTTTTAAATGTCTTCTGTCTGTTAAACTATCCTCCCCACAGCAGCCGATCATCACACAAAGCGCCACCGTCACTAAGATCTCCTTCGGCAGCTCCCATCATTCAACGCCGGTCTTCAGCAGCGGCGAGGCCACGGCCAAACTGATCCCAGAGTCCAGCTCCGGGCCCTCAGGAAGCAAATCCTCAGTGTCAGATATCCTGAAGATCTCTATGATGGAGGCGGAGATCGACCCCAGCACCGAGCCCATGGTGGTGGATTCCTCCAGCGACTGCGGCCCTCTGGGGAAAGCTCTGGAGGTCCAGGCCATGTCAGGCACACTGGACTCAGGCCAGTTCATCAGCAGCTCCGGGACCTCCATACATCATTCCCACGCAAAGCCGCAGCAGTTCAGCTGCATGCCGAGCCTGGCTGCACAAAGGAGCAAAGAGGACCTGGAGGTCATTGAGGTAAAATGTTTCGATGTAATAAACCGCAGAGGGTAAGACAGGGATTGATGATAGGACGTCTTTCTTGTGCTGACATCTTTGATTAAAACTGCAGCTTAAGAAAAAGACGTCATGGTGGTTAAAATGAAGAAGAAAACCAGACACTGACTTTTTTAAAGAGTGGAAATTTAATTTAGAGTTGTCCAGCACATCAAATTCATCATTGACAGTTTATAAACGTTGATTTTAAATTCTCTGAGATTGATTAAACAGTACACTTTCAGCCAAAGACTACATATGGGGATAAAAAGCAGCTTTCTATACTTTTGTGACACCAATCCTCTGTATCCTTGTTTCATTTTAAAAGTATATTATTGCAATAGTAGGGAATTTGATTGACAGGTATATCTGTGGATGCATTAGTCCATTATTGAATTAACCACACCTGTGCCACAGAGATTGGAGCTGTTGTGATGCTTGCAGGGCTTGGGCTTGACGCCTGTGTCATTCTGATGTACATTTAAAGGGATATTCTGGCGTAAAATTAATTTAGGGTCAATCACACAGTAACACTGAGTTAGACACACCGTTGAGAGATGAATTTTGTCGACCGCTTGCTTCTTTAGTTATACCAACTTTAGTAACGACCGCAGATAGCAATACACAGCGGTCCCAGGAGCCACGCGCTCTAGGCCTGGACGATATAGAAAAAAAGCATATCGATAAAAAATAAATCATATTGATCGATATCGATAATTATCGATAGAATTATTATAATTATTTAACATATATTTTAATTGCAGCCCTGGATGTTTTATGCTATTGCTTAATGACCTACTTTTAATAAAGAACACAGAAGCACTGAATTCAAATTCAAACCTTTATTCAACCACCTTTTTTATTTTACCACAACTGAAAGTTTTTTAAAAAAGAACTAAAAAAAAAAAGAAATCAACTTAAGGGGCCTGAGTGACGTCAGTAAATACTGACAAACATAAAGACTAAAGTGACCAGAAAATCTGATAAATAAATATTTAAATAGTCATTTGATGAAAATAAACAAAACAAACAAATATATAAATAAACAGAATAGCTTAAGGTGGGAATAGCATACTACCAGTTTTAACCGTGTGGGAAACTGCCCACAGCCTGGTGTCTGAACACTGAAATATTTCTCCCGGGGTCGGGAGATTTATTATTTTTAATTATCATGTGATTGACTTGATACACAAACTGAGCACGAGAAGCAGGACTTATCCACGCCGGTGTTGTGTCGTAGAATGCACCCCTGCCGAATGCACCCCCTGCTAGTAGCCATGATCCAAATACTCGCGTCTTTGTAAAATATGAGCTCATTTTCTTCCACTTTAAGAAGCTAATGAGTGGACGGGATGCAGGGGTGCATTCTTCTCACCTTTTCAACCCCTGACCCATTTTCATGCCTGAAGCGCTGTGTTTGAGAAATACTTGCCGGCCGGGCACTTCATATCGCGGGTCGAGAGTGGCTAGAAGCTGGTCGAAGCCAGGCTTTTCAACGGTAGTTATTGGCAGTATGTCCCTCGCTATGCAGCATGTTACTGCATGGGTGATGTCCTTATGCCGCTCGGACGCTTTGTCGTATTTTGGCAAGAAACGAAGTCCAGTTTGGTCTGCTTCACTTGCTTTGTGCTGGTGCTGGCAGCGGTTCCAGAGGATTCCTCCTCCGACGACGTGGAGCCGCGGCGCGTCCGACACAGCTCGTACTCCTGTGGGTGCGACCGGTTTAGATGGTAAAACAAGTTGGTTGTGTTACCAGACTTGGTTTTTACTAATTCTCTGCAAATTTTGCAAACGACCGCTGTTCGCTTTTTGTCAGACTTCTAAAAACCAAAACATTGCCATGCTGGTGAACTACTGAAACCTTTTTTCGGGACAATTTCCTCCGCTTCTCCTTGCTGTATCATTTTTTCTAATACACGTGCTGTCTGTTGTGGTTTGATAGGGGCTGGGCTTGGTGCCGTAGCGTACCTGGGTCTGCGTTTGTGATTGGTTGGGAGGAAGTAATGACTGTAGCAAAAGCTACATGATAGGCTATGATGAAAAAGAAAGGGAAACTGTGTTTTTCTATCGAACTTTTTATCGACCCGTTTTTTTTCTATCGCAGCACACGTCTATCGATCGATATATATTGTTATCGAATTATCGTCCAGCACTAACGCGCTCAATCAAAAAGCCACTCTATAGCCACAAATAATGCTCAGAACAGCACCTAACTTCATCAACAGGACATATAGGGTCCCAGCCATAGCACTAGCCACCAAACATCTTTTAGCTTTGCCTGATTTCTTTAGCAAAGAGACTAAACACAACTCACCTACTCTCTTCCAGCAGCCGCTTGTCTCTACAGATACCTCAGGCAAGTCCACTACTGCAGCGGGGTGACGCAGCTCAAGGAAGAACATTTTTGGTCATTACTTTATCATTTCCTTGCAGTAATAATCATCATATTAATCATTTTACTCTGCAGACGCGGTAGTTCTTCTGCCTTAGCCTCTTGGTCTGATTGCATCACCATGAAGAAATTATCATAAATGTTCTTCCTTGAGCTGCGTCACCCCGCAGCAGCCCATAATGGATTGGCCCGAGGTCTCGCTACAAACAAGCGGCTGCTGGAAGCGATTAGGTGAATTGTGTTAAGTCTTAGGCAAAGTTAAAAAGATGTTTGGTATCTAGTACTATGGCTGTGACCCTAAATGTACTGTTGATGAAGTTAGGTGCTGTTCTGAGCATTATTTGTGGTTATAGAGTGGCGTTTTGGTTGAGCGTGTGGCTCTCTGTATTGCTATCGTGCGGTAGTTAGTCAAGTTGGTATAACTAGAGAAGCAAGCGATCAGCAACATTCATCTCTCAAGGGGGTGTCTAACTCGGTGTTATGGTGTGTTTGGGTATCCCTTTAAGTTAGTAAAGAGGTGCACACAGACTTTGGTTAATTTGAGTAAAATAAAAATAATGTCATGATGTCGTATTATCAGGATTTATCCAGACTGAAGCCCAAATGTGTGTCTAACATGTGTAGGTGATTCCTCAGTACTCCATCTTGCCTGACTCCAGCCAATCCAACGTGGTGGTGGAGCCCAGCGGCTTCCTGGAGATCACCAACTACACCAGCCAGCAGCTGGAGGAGGACAGCCCCATGGAGCAGGAGGTGGACAGCAGCAACGACGAGGCAGCGGCCGCCAGCCCCCCTGACCAACCATAAGCACACACCAGGCTCAAGATTCCGTTTCTTCTCAAACCCAGTGGACAAAGACTTTCTGGAAGATTTCCTTTTGAAATGGCAAGAGCGGGACTGCTCTTTGTTTTTCTTGTAAATATTAGTTTACTATAAGCCCTTTATTCCTCCCCTGGACTAATGAAACATGTGTTTTTTATTTCCAGTGAGGAACGCTGGATGTAGAATGTGGGAGCAGAGTGAAAGGATTTAAAGCGACCCCGTACAGCTGGAGAGAAGCTAGTCCAAACAAACAGGACTTCATTATTCCAGTTCATTAATGTTGGTACTTGCAGGACTTTGCAAGGCAGTCACACATCCATGAAACTGATTATTTGGATTTTTTGGACCTGCTCGTACTTTCAGAAACATACAGCTGGATTAGATCTCTGAAGGCCTGCATTTATTTTTAATTGTCCAAGGTTTCAGATACCTCTTTCCAATTATTGGCTTTGGTCTCTTCAGATTTTTGCACACTGACTCTCCTGCTGACGGTGATCCTCTTTAGAGGACCCGTCGGTTTGAACCGAACAGTATTTCGTTGACTGAAGTGGAACTTTGCAGCAGTAAAATCTCTTAAAACACTTATGGGATTTAAGTTTTCAGAAGAGAGAAGAAAAGCTGCTGCAGATTGAATTTCTGTGTGGAACCAGAAAAGAGTCCTGGAGGACAGATCAAGTCCAGCACAGAATGTGTTACTGCTCACTGTAACTGTCGAATGAGAATACAAATGTACCTATTTTGTAAAATATATTCTGGATTTCGAAAACTTGCTGTAAGAATTTCGCTCCGTATGGCTTTGCTTGTTGCATAGTGTGTTTTAAACTATGCATTTCTTTTATACCTTTTCAAACTAGGGGACTGGTTGAGAACGGTTGTTTAATCTGCTAAATAAATCAGCTGAGTAGACCACGCTGTTTTATACTGTTGAATTGATGATTAATGGGGATTGGAGTAAGAGGCAGTTTTAAACTATAAAAGAAAGAATGCGCTGAAAAACTCTCCCAACATGTTTTAAAAGTTGGAAAATGCTTTCAGACCATAAAAGTAGGGGTTGACTAATACTGCTTTTCAAGATCAAACATCTTAACTGAATATTCAACACCTTATTTAGATACACATGCAAACAGTTGACCCGTTACACTTACAATATAGTCACGTGTTGAGTGACATTTACTGTTGTGATAGTGTTGTGGGCCAGACATAAGGAAGCAAACAGGAACTGAGCATGAACAAGAGGATTTAAAGGGATATTCCAGTGTAAAATTAATTTAGGGTCAAACACACCATAACACCGAGTTAGACAACCCCCCGAGAGATGAATGTTCCCGACCACTTGCTTCTCTAGTTATATCAACTTTAGTAACAACCGCATGATATCATTTTTTCATGGAAATGCAATCGGACCGAGACGCTAAGGCAGAAGAACTACCGTGTCTGCAGTGCAAAATGATTAATATGGTGATTATTACTTCAAGGAAATGATACAGAAATGATCATAAATGTTCCTCTTGAGATTTGTCACCCCGCTGCAGTCGGTAATGGACTTGCTCGAAGTCTCCGTACAAACTAGCGGCTGCTGGAAGAGAGTAGGCGAGTTGTGTTTTGTCTCTTTGCTAAAAAAAGAAGTAAAGGACCCTATATGTCCTGTTGATGAAGTTAGGTGCTGTTCTGAGCATTATTTTTGGCTATAAAGTGGCGTTTTGGTTGAGGTTTGTTTATGGCTTCTCAGACTGCTGTGTATTGCTATCGTGCAGTATCCACCGGAATATCCCTTTAAATGCAAGAAACCGTTCTGCATTAAGAGCAAATATGGTGGTACAAAGAAAAGTTAATGATTCTGATATGTAAACAGCACTGACTTGGAAAACTCTAAGACTACTTAAGACCTGGAGATAGAGCACAGACTGAGTAATTTGCTAAGCTCTGTGTAGCCTGAATTACTGTAATAACTTCTGCTAAGTCACATCATGACAGGACTATTTGTTGTTGTTGGGATCAAACCTCTAAATTTTCTCCTCTGCAGGTTTAAAAACCAGCCAAACTCTCGAGCTACAGCATGTTCAGGTTCGTAAAAACACAGAGGTCAGATTTACGACACTTTTATGAGCCTTTTTGGCCACATTTGATCATTATATATCTATTTACACTTGGCCTGAAATTGGCTCAGGCGGCCAAAAATACATATCTGGAATTTATGGTGGCTCCTACTGGCAGGAATAAAAGCATATTTATTGTGTTATAAAGACGCTTTGAGCCAAGTGTGGATGGTTATTAGACACTGTGCTGTGGTGTTTGAGGTTTTTCTCCCAGCTCTGCTCTCTTGTAAAATGTTAATGCTCACTCTCGACTAGAATCCAGCTTCACTCTGGCTCTTTTTCCTGCTGATGTTGAAAGTGATACTCGAGGCTCCTGGGGGGCTCAGATCCAGCTCGCAGCATCTGATTGGTCGGCCTACACCTAAAGACATGTGGATCTGTTTAGGAGCATGCTGACTTACCGTCCCCCCCAGCCTGCACCCCCTGTTTGGATAATGTTGCTCAAGTCCCACCGGAGAGCACAGTTTACTCTACTCTGCTGACTCACCTGACCAAGACACAGCTACAGAGATGGTATGTATCACCCTGTGTTTAACAAAGAATGACTACATTAACCCTTTATTACATATTTTCAGGTTTAAGAATTCTATATAACTCCTTATCTTATATATAAAGACACCAGACAAGTCCATATTTACACTTCTCCTCACCAAAATTATTTGTTTTTAATAAGTGAATACACCCACTTTGGTTTCATTTATGATTACGTCTTAACACTAACTTCCTTTTATTATAAATCAACTCACCTGAGCAAGGTGATGTTTTTTTAACATAAAACAATGTTACCTGTACAGGGTTTTTGAATCATAACTATCGGCCTTTTCTCTCTCATGCCAAAGTCTCTTTATGGTCGCTCCATGTCTGTTTTCTTTAATTTGTTCAAAGTCTCTTTCACTCTGCATCTTTTTGGTCTCATCTCTCGGTAATGTCTGCGTTTTCTCTCCACCTTTCGCTTCATTTTCTGCTAACTTTCTGTGCTAAAGTTCTGGATACCTGAGAGAAAAAAATGTGACAGCGTCCACTTTACATGAGTAACCGATCAATAGTTGAAGGCCGTGATCACAGCTAAAATATCAACTATACAGGGAGTCAAAGTTTAAACTATTGTGCTATTTTTGCTCCTGTCTTTGTCAGTGGAGATGATGCAAACTGAAATGATGTAATGAAAATCCCCCCAAATTTAAGAGTAAATCATTGTTAATCATCTTGATAGTCATATAGTCATCATTTTGGTAGTCATCATTTCTTAGTATTTGTCATCATTTCGTTAACATTAATAGTCAGTTAAACCGCGCAGGAAAGACTCACGGTGTAACATGCTGTTAGGAGTTTCATCCATCACGTCGATGATCTATCACAGGGGCCAGAGCAGCATTCCTCCAGCTTTAGTTTTCTGGATTTCTCTTCTGTCTGTTTGTTAGTCAGGGTGAGTCTGTGCTGAGTTCCTCCGCTCTACTTTTGATACTCACCGGTTTCTTTGGAAAGATATGACTAAAGAATGGACTGAACACAATAAATCACCTCTTAGAAACAAAACTACAAAGAAACACCTCCCCACAGACGTTTAACTTTAAGTACCACAATGTCACAATGATCTGTTTGTTATCGACCAGGTTTGTGGAAATCTGAGACTTTTGTAAGTCATTGTAGTTTCAACCATAAATTAACTTTTGGACCTGCATTTTTAAACTGTTTAACCTACTATTTACAGTGAAACTGAGACTCACTAGAAGCACATGAACAGGCATCACTTTGATGAATGGAAAGACAATAAACCCTGTAAATTAAAGACATGACAGGGTTTATTTTGCAGTCATCTCTGGAGGGACATATTCACTTCAGCCCCTAATTCATTAATTGGTCTTCAAACAATCGACAGGAAGTAACAGGAAGTCCTGGCTTGAAGATTTTCATCACTTACCCCTGGCTGCACGTTGGCCATTGTTTCCAGAGGTGTCCTCTTTATCATTGTGAGACAATGAGAATCCAGAAATAGTGTTGAAAGAAAAGCCACATGAATTAGTTGTTGAGTGACTTACTATCCTAGCAGTCCACAGCTATGTCACATTTCCTTGTTCTGATTGATTTATGTGGGAGAGTCATTTTGGTCCATATCATTGAGGCCTCCCTCTTCTTATCATGGGATGAACAATGGGCTTCATAAACAATTTTCAATGATTCAAACATGATTTTTACTTTGTCTGCATTTGTCACTAGTGAGGTGAAGAGACGGAACAAACAGTTCAAACTATTTCCAGCGCCCTGGTTTTTATTCATTCCTGTCCTTTTTTGGTGAAAGTCCCAGAGTTGAAACAAGTGTGATGCAAAAGTATCTCTCTGTAAAAAAAAAAAAAATGATTGGCAGCTAGCTTTGGGGATTGTACTGTAAGTGCATTACTAGGCAGCTGATTGGTAAACAAAACCTCAACAAAATGAGAAGGAACGCAAGGTTTGGAGCTGTTAGAGTGATGGTGTTTTCATTCTTCAATGTATAACCCACGAGCCACTGACTAACTTGTTAGTTTTGGTCATAGACTGTATACAGAAGTAATTAAGGAGTTCATGTTTTCTATGATTGACACTTGATACAGCCTATGAGCTTACGAAGATTGCGTAGCTCACCCGGGGGATACGCTGTTTGAGTTGAGCGTCATCTTTTGTACCAACAGCCATCAGACTTTTTAACTATTTTGTAAATAGTAGATAACTTTTAGAGACATGTCAGGTGAGACAACAGGCAATTGAAGCGACTCTCGGCCACTCTCCCGTCAAATACGTACAATGCTAATGCGCAAGTGGTGGAGTGCGTACAACAATACTGCGCTATGTTGGTTTCAGGAAATGAAGAAAAATCACGGAAATACCGAGAGCTTTTTTGGCTTCAAATCCGTATACTGGTGGAAGGCGGAACCAAATTGTCCATAGTATATACAGTCTATGGTATTGGTCAATCAGATAGTAGTAGCAGGTTTGAAAAAGACACACCGCCACCTACTGCAACGGAGGCGGACATGCATCATGTCAGTAATTCAGTTCTTGTCCAGTGCTTGTAAACTGAGATAAGAACAGCAGACCAGTTAAACTGCCTTATCGAGCTCTGGCTGTAGCTCCACTTCACTGTGCATGTAAACATACTGACAGACATGTCACACAATCATGTGACGCTAACCAATCAGGTAGTGTTGTGGGTGGGACATAAGATGAGACAGAGTGGTGAGTGAAAACAGACCTAAAGAGAAATACACACATCATGGCTCCACAGTAGTGCGTTTTCTAATCAAAATATTACAGCCCCAATCAGCCCGATAATTGACTAAGGCGTATAATCATAATAGACCCATTATGGTAACATCTCTGGCTTAGTTCTGAGGAAACAACTGGTATAAATTTGTGACTTTAGGGATAGCATAACAGACGCATTTTTGACAGATTTAGAGTGGACAAAGAGCTCAGTGATTTACTGTTGCTCTTGTATTGCTTGCTGTAACTGTAATATTGCTGCTGCCTATCAAAGGCGGTAGAATTCATGATGTGGTTAACTAGAATAAGTGTTCAAAAGTTTGAAGCTGAAAGCTGAAAGACTCATGTCTGTGAGGTTAAAATAGGAATGTCTTCGTTTTTCTGGACTCAGGGTGATCAGGGCTGCATTCATAAGTTTTATCAGACAATACCATGTAAAATATGTCTGTGATGATGATTCAGTCCTCTTTCCATCTGTTTTAAGTCAAGAAACCATCTTTGGGAGTATCCTCCTGTTGATGGATGTGCATGTTGGCCTGTGTGTGTTTGTGTGTGACTGGCTGTGCCTCGCTCCATGATCTCCAAGCTCAACAGCGGGCAAACTGAGCGCACATATCATCCTATTATTCATCCACAGAAATCCCAGAGCTCTCACTCTGCGCTCAATATCCCGATTTATCTCCGAGGAGCATGGGAAAGGTCAAAGGTGATCAGCCCGGGCTTATTCCCTTCAGCTACATGAATTTAATGGAAGCTATTTCTGTGTTTATGCTGCTATAAACTTTTATTTGTGATGTCTCTGGTTGTTTACCTCGAGATTGCTGTGCGTGTGTTTGGGAATTAAAACAAGAGAAGCAGAAATAGGCGGGACACACTCTCAGAACAATGCTATCAAACATCCTGCATCTGCTGTTTCTGAAATAAATAATAAATATTTAAGGGGAAAAAAGGGTATATTGACTTTCTTTGAGGTCCCTCCAAGAACATTGTGTGTGAGCCTCCAGGTTGAGTCAGTTCGAAGTCAGCATGTCTGTTTTATGAGCGGGTCAAGATGTTGGGCATATGGCTGTGAGATAATCACAATATCATGCCAGAGTTTCCAGTTACATTGTCTATGCACATGCTGAGGAGTTTTATTTATTTGTGTGATGTGAGCTCATGGTTATAAATGATTTCTCTGGGCTTCAGGTGAGTCAATATTTCTCACACGAGGTAAACATGAGGTTTGAAGTGAGGGGTCATCCAAAGTTTCTTTTCATGAGAAACAAACACATGGAAAAGTACAGCGAGCAGGAAATAATCTCAGGATATACCAAGTCGACTGAACAGATCATGGATGTAATCTCAGTGATGTCACTAATTGTTGCTGAATCAGACTTTTTATGCTTGAAGGGACATTCGGGCGTAAAACAAACATCAACCAAAACACTCTATAGCCACAAATAATGCTCAGAACAGCACCTAACTTCATCAACAGTACATACAGGGTCCCAGCCATAGTACTAGCCACCAAACATCTAACTTTGTCTAATTTCTTTAGCAAAGAGACTAAACACAACTCACCTACTCTCTTCCAGAGTAGTTGTTTGTAGCGAGACCTCGGGCCAGTCCATTACGGACTACAGCGGGGTGACGAAGCCCAAGGAAGAACATTTAAGATCATTTATATAGTGTTTAAGCATTTTCTTTCCTTAAGACTGATCAGTTTTGTTTGATTTTTATTACAATTTCCATGTAAATTACCAGGAAACTAGTCACTTCCAAATATTACTCTTGGAAATGCTGACTCTGCCCATAATGGAGCCCCTAATGATGCTAAATATCCTTTTTGAACCAGGCTGTAAACTAGCTTATTGATAGACTTTTAAACAAAGTGCTGTTTGGTGCAGCATTGATGAGACATTCAAGGGACTGCTGTTGTTAAAGGATTTGAAAGTTTTCTATGAAAATAAATTCTGTAAATTGATTATGGCCTGTAAAGTGTTCGCTTCACAAACCATCTTCATCATCGTAGATTTTATGTTTTAGCCTACAGGTGATTTCTTTGACTTCTTTTGCCTTTACTTTGCTGTTATCGCTGCTTTTTCGCCACAAAAACCATGACCGGACTTCTTTCCGTGAACCTGTAGCCCTTCAGAGTCTGTTAGTAGAACCGTAGCTATGGCAACAGTGACTGTTGCTGTAAACTGTTCCTCTGTAATGTCCAATCAGAATCAAGTACCAAACATGGCAGTGTAATATGGATAATACTCGATATTTTTCATAAATCTCTGGAATGATCAGCCGATCAATCGAAGTTGTTACTTAAATACTTGTTGATACTTGTTTTTATACCATGATTTTCTTTAAGACTGAATTTAAGTTGCTGTAACGTCTGTATTTGTGCCTCTAAATACTGAAGTTCCTAATTGATAGATGATGATATGTGATATATGTGTGGCCTATATAAATGAATGCTCTCTAATCAATATTTATGACATCCTAAAAAAATGGTTGTAGTTGTTTACTACAGTGTTTTTCTCTATTTTCTCACTTTCTTTTTTTTTTCTTCTGTCTGAGTAACCTGCTCTTGTTTTTAGTTTGAAAAGACTTTGTTTGATCTCAGCAGGGCTAAACAATGAAAAACACAGGTTCATTTTCATTTATGACTCAATGCCCGGTCATACAGCAGAGGAAAAGTAAGTGAGGTCTGCTCCCAATTAAGGAACCACAAATATTTCCCGTAGGCCTCCTGATTCTGTCTGTGCTCATCTCATAAACACAGGAAAAAAGAAAGGTGGTGGAATTTTACAAATGGAGAACAGGAAAGGGAACAATGCCTCTTAGCAGGATGGCACAGCTGTGAGGTGGTGCGAGGCTGTTTTGTCCTTAGGTCAGAAAACATTAAAGCCACAGTTTGAATCTGACACGGAGATCTCACAGGTTTAATCCTACTTTTCCTCGAGGGAGCTGAGTTTTTACCATCTGTTTAACTTTTTCCCAAATAGAGTTAGATTATAAATAAAGTTAGAGTGTTTAGTCTCATTTAATGTCCAAGTGGGTCACTTTCCTGAAACACAGGGTGGAAACACTTTGTTAGAGATCAAATCTGGCAGCCAAATTTAGACAAGAAGAGTACAGAGGTTTTTCCACTGGAATAGAAAACACCACGTTGTGGATTTAGACGATATGGGATTTTTTTCAATAGGCTACTTAAGAATAATATTGGATATTACCAGCATCTGAGGTTAAACTATATTATTTAACAACATTATCATTATATGCTGGTTTGGCTTAGCATTTCAGGTTTGCACTCGTACAGAGGCTCAAGTCCAAACCAGCTGTGGTCTCTGGTTTGACTCCCAGCCCCAAACCTCTGCTGCATGTCACTCTGGCTCACAATTTCTCTCTATTTACTTGCTGTCTAATCTCATAAATCGTATCAATATTGAAAGAAAAATCCGTTGAATCACTGGAAGTTTATCAACCACCATTACTGTAGTACCGAGACCAAGCCACCCTCCTGAGAAGTGTTCAATTTTCTTAATTTACCCCAACACAACATTTGGTGAGCAAGTGTAGACTATGGGAATCACCTGAAGATATTAAAGCTCCAGTGAGGAACTCTGAGGTTTTTGTCAAATTCAGTGCCTAAAAAAGCAACACTATAAGATTTAGTGAGTCTCAGTGTTGTCAAAAACCTCCTTACAAGAGCTTTAATTAAGTTAAATGTATAGTGTCATTGTTTGCAGAAGTAGCAGAAGAAGTAACACAAACCTGTACAATAGGAGAGTACAAGTACCTCAAAACTGCAATATATGTTGCTTTGAACAACTTAACACCCCAAATATCGTTGTGTGGAAGGACCAAAGTGTTCTAAAATGTTAAACTTGTGTACATTAAATATACTTATGTAACTGCAGAGAGCTCAGAGAAGAAGGGCTTGAATAAATCACTGAACAAACATAACCCCCGCTCACATAAACACAGTCTAGACAGCTCTAGACATGAGATAAAAAATGAATGCTTCTGAGGTTTCCTGTCCCAGCTCAATTTACAGAGTTACAAAAAGCAGAAGCTAAATTGAAAATACAACCAAACGGGCTTTCTGTGAGATTTAGGATGGTAGTAAAAATCTAACACAAACACTCACTGATGTGTTTCTATTAGTGCCACACAGGGAAATAAAGTTTAAAATACTCCATGACTACGACAAAGTCAGTCTGATTTTTTGGAGAGCATGTGAGAAATTGTCATTTTTGAGTCAAAAGTAAGACCCCCCTCCCCGACATGAAACAGGATGCCCCGTGGATCACTTCCTGTACCACCCAGTCAGTAAATTATCATCAGTGAGTGTCTCTCCGGGGAGGAGGAGGAGGATCTGACTCACAGAGGAGGGAAACTTTCATCAGACAGTTCATATAAATCTTCTCATGGTGGACAGCACTTTCTCAATCTGTAAAACTCAATCCAATGTAAACACAGGAAAAGAAGAGCTGAGGAAAACCGGCTGCAGGGAGATAACAAACAAGCGTTCAAAGGGAGGCGTATCGATCTTAAATGTTATGACCTTTGTCTGTTTTATTGTGTTGTAATTTAGTGTTGACATGTGTTGTGTTATGATATTTCTGTGTGAGTGAAATAGTCCCTAAAACTTGTTGACAGGTACTACGCTACTACAAGTAACTCATTATGTGTCGACTCTTGTAATGCCTCTTGGATAAAATCAGTTGAGTTTAGCCACATGTCATTATGCTCAAGACTTTCCTATTTGATAAAGCTTCAAGTTAGAGCTGGTTCAGGCCTAGACCAGGTTTAGACTGTCTCACATTAAGCACCTCACCCTCCTTCTCCATCCTATTTCTGTCTGTATCACAAACTTTGAATCATAAAGTCTCATCAGAATCGCTCATACACAGTCTTTTCTGGGAGTCTCTGAGCTCCTTCTTCTTGAAGGTACTCTGACATTAGACATTTTGCTGCCGTGGACCTGCCTGTTTCTAGCTGCTTTAGAGAGATATTACAACGTAGAATTAATTTAGGGTCAAACGCACTGTAACACCGAGTTAGACACCCTGTCGAGAGAAGAATGTTGCCGACCGCTTGCTTCTCTAGTTATACCAACTTTAGTAACGACCGCACAGAGAGCCACACGCTCAACCAAAACTCCACTCTATAGCCACAAATAATGCTCAGAACAGCACCTAACTTCATCAACAGGACATAGAGGGTCCCAGCCATAGTATTAGCCACCAAACATCTTTTTAACTTTGCCTAAGACTTAACACAACTCACCTACTCTCTTCCAGCAGCCGCTTGTTTGTAGCGAGACCTCAGGCCAGTCCATACGGACTACTGCGGGGTGACCCTACATATAGGGTCCCAGCCACAGTATTAGCCACCAAACATCTTTTTAGCTTTGCCTGATTTCCTTAGCAAAGAGACTAAACACAACTCACCTACTCTCCTCCAGCAGCTGCTTGTTTTTTTAACGAGTCCATCGACTACAGTGGGGTGACGCAGCTCAAGGAAGAACATTTATGATCATTACTTTATGATTTCCTTGAAGTAATAATCACCATATTGATCATTTTGGTCTGCAGACACGGTAGTTCTTCTGCCTTAGCGTCTCGGTCTGATTGCATTTCCACGAGGAAACGATCATTAATGTTCTTTCTTGAGCTGCGTCACCCCGCAGTAGTCCGTAATGGACTGGCCTGAGGTCTCGCTACAAACAAGCGGCTGCTGGAAGAGAGTAGGTGAGTTCTGTGAAACAAGAAATCAGGCAAAGCTAATATTTGGTGACTAGTGCTATGGTTGGGACCCTTTATATACTGTTGATGCAGTTAGATGCTGTTCTGAGCTTTATTTGTGGCTATAGAGTGGCGTTTTGGTTGAGCATGTGGCCCCTGGGACCGCTGTGTATTACTATCCTGCGGTCGTTACTCTAGTTGGTATAACTAGAGAAAGCGGTCGGCAACATTCATCTCTCAACAGGGTGTCTAACTGGGTGTTACAGTGTGTTTGACTCCAACTTAATTTTACGCTGGAATATCCCTTTAACTATGTGCGTCAGTCTCACTCTCTCTCTATGCATCTCCCTCTCTTTCCTCTCTAAACCCAGCTTAGTCTCAGCAGATGACTGTCTAACATGAGTCTGGTTCTGCTCGAAGTTTCTGCCTATTAAAGGAAGTTCTTCCTCTCCACTGTAACTTGCAAAATGCTGCCAAGTTCTTCACTCCTGTGGTTGAGGATTGGATAGGAGCAAGTTACTGGAAATACCAGCACAATGTATTGACTGTAACATGACAATAACCAAACTTTGTGAACTTAGATTTACAACCATTAGTTAGCTTAAAAAAGGTGATGGGACAGCCCGGTTCATCATGACTCACTCATGATTGTAGGCTGTGTGGCTGGTGAATGATGATTATACAGTCAGCCAGTACTGTAAAATGACACAGCCACTATAAAACACAAATAGATGATATCAGCAGCTCTACTTATAGTCCTAGACTCACATTATTACTGCCGAGGGGAAATTACACAATAGTGTCTGGTCTAATTATGAATATACTGGTTTGTTGCCATGTTTTTAGTTAGTTATTAGTAAAGTCATAAACTCCACATTCATAAATATGTCAACTGGAAGTCACCCTTTTGTTTATTGTTTGACTGAAACCTCACACTGGTAAGCTTAGAAATTTCCCACTATTCAAGTCACCTTAATGCACCTGTACAGAAGTGAAAGCACAACAGGACAGAGCCCTGTGTCTATGGGTTTTTGTTATCAGTTACTGTCATTAGGATTCATGGATGAGTATCAAATAATGCAATCAAGTAACCTTTAAATGGTTAGTTGATCATTTTTAACTCAGATTATTGATGCGCTAAAGTGTTGTAAAGATGAGTCTTTGGTATGACATTTACATTATCACCATCTGTAAACATTCCCTACAGCCTACAATATGTAAAGTTGCTCTGATATGGAAAGGTGGAGGTGAAGAGTCCCCCTGACATCAATTTTGCATGTCCCTGAACACAACCCTTTAAATCAACATTTTCATCCCTCTGCATGCGCTCGAGCTTCAGAGTCAAAGTAAAGCGTGAAAATGTGCTTTTTTTTCGATGTTAACGTGGTTCGTTTTTTGTGAAAATAGTTTAAAATTCAATTAAAATTGCAAAATAGTTTAAAGTTTAGACTTTAAAATGGGATTCAATTGAGCAAACTTTTCTGTGTGATAATAGTTATTCAGTCTGTATCTTATAAAAACTCATTAATATATATCTAAGAATTTACTGTGATTGCTATAACTTTGATAATAAGAATTCAAGGAAATATATTTCTTTTTTGAAATGACTTTTTCCCTCAAATAGAACAAATAGATTGATGCGAGCGTTAACACCAAATTTAAAGCTCCAATAAGGGGACTGTTAGCTTAGCTTCAGGCTTTGTTTGAAGGTATTTAAACTCAAAAGCACAAACCAACTCTTTAAAGTTGTGATTCTTAGATGTTGAGCCAAGTTAAAGCTCATCTAATCCATGGATGTACACTTCAACACACTGCCACAGCTGCCTCGGCTAATGGGGTGAATAAGGAGCTAAGCCTCCTTAAAAAAGTTGGTCTTTGATGGCAGGGGGATTTAGACTCAACTAAAATAATCATAATTCTATGCCAAATTTTAAGCTATTGATTTGGTCAGACAAACTTGAGATACGTTTATTATCCTGGAATCCTTGACTTCGTTAAAAATGCAGATTTTAATTTTAAAAACTGCTTATCTGACCTGGACAATTACAGGTAGGTTAAGAGGCTATGTAAAAGCACTTGCATGGTTATAATAATTATATTCATACAGTTGATTGTGAAATGGTAATTGTGCACACAATCATTGTAACTCTATTGTAATGTTAAATATTTCATTTATGGAGTGTTGTTTATCTTATGTACATTTTATATTTATATTTGATGCATCACTTCAGAAAAAATGTGAAATATTGTTGCCTTATTCTACATTTTTCCTGCACAAAGTGAGTCATTTTTACTGTTTTGTACGTGAAGTCAGACAGAGAAACCCCTCATGGGCTCAGAGGTGGTCTTAGTCTCGTTTCTAAACACAATATAAAAAAGCTAAGATTGACACAGGAGAGATGAGGACAAAGAAACTGCTTCAACCTCCTTTAAGGACTCAAGTTGATTACATGCAAACTTTAAACAGGCTTTCATGTTTGAGTCGAAAAAAACGTCCCACACAGAGTTTCAGTGTAGAAAATTCATTTGTACACATTATGTAACAAAACATCACAAAATGACAAATATGAAAATCAGCTTGACTTGTAGGTAATTACAATAATATCAATAATAATAATAATAATAACAACTTTAGGAAAAAAACTTCATTGACTTCATTGTGAGGAATTGTGTATCCCAGTGTTGCCCACGTCAATACAGCGCTGGATTTCATATTCATTCATGAGAAGAAGAACAGTGCACTCTTCTGTGCGCTGCACTTCTACACCAGAGAATCACAGTTATTTTAGTCACGGCCTCAGCTCTCAGCTTCAGCACTAAACTGAACATTTTAGCAGATATCTGTCCATAAAGGGAGCACCACAGGGCTGGGATCAGTACAGAAAACATACTGTGTCCAAATTTTAGCTTTCTTAAGCACAGAACTTGTGATTTATTAGTGTTGACAGTCACAGATACATTCACACAGACAATAAATTTAAAGTGCAAAAGTGGAAGAGGGGCGGCTTGGGTTTCTTTATGAAAACTGTCACTTACATATACTTCATTGATTAATTAGATCATTTTGTTTGATGACCTTCTGTAGTGTCTGCTCTTTATTTTTTAGCTTTAAATAAACTTTCCTTTTCAAAAACTCTTTCACTAATGGTCACTGAGAGAAGACCTGCTTCTTATTTTTCTTACTAAATTTCACCTCTTAAACTCTGAGGTGTAAACATTTAGTTTCTTTTAATTTTCCCTCAATAGTCTTTCATCTTAAGTCCAAATCAGCACATTTCCCAGCAGGTTAAACTTTTTTTTAATATTATTTTACATCATTCCCATTTTAAAGTGTTTTAGTGTTTATCCTCCTCTTGCATTCACTATACAGGAGGCAAGTATGTGGCTTAAGTTAAACTGGTAATTCCCTTTCTTTGAGTTGCAGGTCCTTCGGTTGCCACAAGATGCTCAGGAGTAAGATGTAAGTCCTCCCAAAAGTCCAAAGTTCCTGTTCGGAAATACAAGCGCAAAACTTTCCTTCTTCTTTAAAAGTATTGTCTTTGTTTCTTGGGTTGTTATGGCAACATGTTTTCATAATTGATGGTGTCTTAGTCATTCAGTTTGCTACACATGTAGTCAGCTTGGATTATCCACTCAGTAATGAGGTAACAATGGTAAACCCATTTCCCCACCCATCTGAGACCTGAAAGGAGGACACCAGGACTGAAATGTTGGACCAATGTTGTCCTCGGTTTCCATTAATGTCTGACATTGGTTGGCCCAAATGGATCATTGATGAGGTTTTTCATTGACTTCATACACCACACATATTTTATGAACAGACAGTAGAGCTATACCCACTTCAGGCCTCTGTACATTCATCTGGGTTGCCCATCTAGGCCCCAACACCAGTCCACCAGACCCTCTTTGAGCTGTTGGTTTGGTCAAAGCTTTGCGCTGTCCATTAAATAGACAACAAGACAACTGGGTCTTTTTTAAACCTCAAAACCTTCATTTATACAGAAACTGGAAAAAGTCCTGAACAGAGATCCTTCATGGTCCAGCATTAGGCACTGAAGCTTCGACTGGGTTTTCGTTTCCTCGACTGGCAACACTTAATGAGCAGTCCAAGCACGATCAGCACAAGTAACACTATCAATACAACAGGAATGACATAGTTCTGTATGCTTGGTCTCTGGCACATTTCCTCCGTCACCTTCTCGATGTTGACTGGCTCTGAATAATCTTCCAGGATGCAGGTGACGGTCTCGATATCTGGAATAACCAAAGCCGAGTTCTGGATCATGTGCAGGAAGCCAAGGTTGCTGCAGCAGCTAAGAGGGTTGGAACCCATATAGAGTGTTTTGAGTGAGTGCTCCAGAGCTAGCATGGTGCTGGGCTCCAAGGTGACCAGGTTGTTGTTTTGCAAGTTCAGTGACTCAATAGAGGACTCTTGGTTCCACATTGGTAGAGTGGTCAGCTGGTTGGTGGACAGATCGATGTGTTTGAGACTCCGTAGAGATGACAGATCGATGTTAAGACTGGAAATGTTGTTTTCCCTCAGGATCAGATGAGCCAGCGAGCTCTCCAAACCAGAGAGCGAGTCTTTGTGCATGTCTAAACCTGGGTTCAGGGACAGGTCCAGTAATTTTAGAGGAGTGTTTACAAAAGCATTCGAAGGAAGAGTCTGAAGACTGTTTTCAGAAAGGTACAGGAACTGCAGATTTGGTATGGAGGAAAAGGAGACGCACTCTGGCGGATTCTTGTGGTTTTGGCTTGCGTCACAGATTTCTAGATCATTCTCCTGGAGGTGTAAGTGTTTGATACTTGGGAGTCTTTGGAATATTTGGTGGTCTAAGATGGTGAGGTCGTTTCCTTGCAAAAAGAGCTCCTCCAGTGACGGCAGAGTGTTTTTGCCAAATGTTAGACTCTGCAGTGAGTTATAGCTTAGATTGATGGTCTTCACTGTCTTCAGGAGCTCAGGATTGGTGATAGAAAATGAGTTTATACAATTGTTGCTCACATTCAGAACCTCCAGTGAGCCCATGCAGTTAAAGAAGGACTCAGGTATCGTTTGAAGTTGGTTATAACTCATGTCCAAGTATCTCAGGTAATACAAAATCATTGTTGTCCTTCTGTCAAGACTACCTGTGACATTGAGACTTTGGAGTTGGTTTCGTGACACGTCCAGGTGTCTCAGCACATTGTTTTTCGGCAGAAGAGGAAAGTAATGCATTTTGTTCTCACTCAGATCGAGAAATTGGAGTCCGTATAAATCTGTCGATCCCGTGCTTTGGAAAAACTCCAGGCTGTTCTTGCTGAGATTGAGCACTTTCAAATTGCACAAATTAAAGTCTGTGATGCATGTGATCGAGTTCTTGGACAAGTCGAGTTCAGTCAGATGATTCAAAGAATCAAAAGCTCCGTCTTCAATCTCCAGGATGACATTATTGTGGAGGCTGATTTTTTTAAGGAACATGGACCCACTGAAAGTGTTTTGTGCTATTTTGGTGATGCTGTTGCTCCTCAGAGAAAGGTTGGCAAGCGATGGGGAATCAGCCAGGAAATAGTCGGACATTCCTGTGTACAGCCCGTTGCCTGAAAGATCAAGTGACTCAACAGCTGTAAGAGGCCCGATGTTGATTTTGGAGTGAGCGAAAACATTCAGATGATTCCTGGACAGATCTAAGACCTTGAGATCTGTCATGTCTTTGAAGAGCCCCGGCTGGATGTAGTGGATCTTGTTGGAGTGCAGATTCAGGTGATGGAAGTCGGTGTGGAATGCGAGAGTTTCCTGGGTGAGATTTTGCACCTGGTTACGGGAAAGATCCAGCATTTGGACGCCACGGGGAAGGTTGACTGGGGCACTTCTGAGGCTTAGATTGCTGCAAAACACATCCATCTGGACCTACGAACAAAGACAAACACACAAGTCTGATTATGTCGGCGTACTGCCAGATTTCCTGACCATGACACAATACAGAGCAAATGTTTAGAGCGTACGTGGAAGGTCGTTTTATGAGTCAGTGTATCTACAGCATGTTCTTGGCAGCGAACAGTCCTCTGGGGTTAATGACGGTGAGCTTTTCTAACGAGAAAAACCTCTTTATCATGGATATTTCTCTTTGAATTTATTCCAAACGTCAACGGTCATTGAGAGACTGATGATAAAGCTCCATTACTGAAGCTCTAACTGCACAAAAACAGCTTTTAAGGGGAGATTTTTCAGTTTAAAGACAACACACCTCACAAATTTACCACCCAACCCAGAGTTTTCGTCATCCTCTCTCGCTCTCTTTTTCCCTCAATAGACTCAATAGTTTAAGTTATTAAGTGAAGTTTATAATCGAAACCATATGCCCAGAGACCACCTTGTCCAAAAGCAACTCATAAAACTGTCTCCTCCTCTGTTTTCTCTCTCAGTACATCGGGGCTCTTGGCATATTTGCGGTGGCCTTGAAAGCAGCATTCCTTGTTTTCACAGAAGTAAACAAACACATTGATTTATTCAAGAACTACTGGAGGGCAAACATCTTGTGTCTCTTATGACACACAGAGGAACAAATCGGGCACTTTTTTTCATAAAGTATCCTCATAAAAAGAGGATAAAACCTTTTTCCCTGTGAGATGAGCACACAGCTGAGGTGTTATCAGGGGTATAAACACGGCCTGTTCGGAGGTTAACTGCTTACATTCCTAAAAAGTCTGAGCTTAAACTTTTGTTTACTGCATCTGATACGTGTGTGTGTGATGGTTTATGTCATACGAGGTCATCCAAATAAAGTGTCTAAAACGTGGACTTTGTCTCAGAGATGTCACCCTTTGGTTTCTGAAGCCAAAAGATGGGTGCTCCTCCAGCCTAGTGGTCCCAAGTAAGAAGTAGTGGTGGGAGAAAAAATCGGTTCACATAAGTTTTGCGATTTTTTGTTTTACAATTTTAAAATCGATTTTTATGTTCAAAAATCATTTTTTTTTTCTCTTTTTTGTTGTTTTTTCAAATAGTCAATAGACAATCATAATAATTCAACTGTTTCACTGGTGTTAAAAATACAGACTGAAAATCAAGAAAATAGAGAATATCCTAGAATCGCAATTTAAATCGAATTGGCATCTAAAAAATCGTAGAAGAATCGAATCGGGAGAAAAGCATGTCGTCCCAGCCCTAGTAAGACGGCTGTATTTACAAAAGTGATGCCCCAGGCTGGTGAGCTAATCTAAGTCTTTTTGACAAACCCAACACACCAACTGTGTGTAATTACTTTATCGTATGTCATATCAGGGATGTTGGGAGCTCCAGAATGCTCTGCCCATGCTTTGTCTATTGGACATACACAATAAAAATGGGCAACTTTTCATGAGGTGGACCATGAGGCCTCTTTCCTGCATGTCATCTCCTCGTGTCCTGCTTTTCTGACTCTCTAACTAAAGGCAGAAGGCCAGCAAATAAATCTGCACCCATAAACCAGATGATTGAGGGTTAAAAAATTGAGTCCAGAGACCTAATTTAGTTTTGAACAATTATTAATCATGCTTTAAAATTTGACATTGTATTCTGGCCTCAAACGTTGGGAGTCAAATCAGCTTAAACACTCAGGGAATTGTCGTTGTTTGCACCTCTATATAAGCTGTGTGTTTCAGCATCAGAGTTGATCATTTCTGATATAATTTTGCCATCTCATGTTTGTGATACAGCACATACACGTCGAAGGAAACACATGAAAAACTCCCCACACATACACAACGGCAGGTCTGTGTTCCGTTTGAGTCACACTAACCACTACTCACTGTTGTGATTCAATCTGTGGCAACTTTATCAAGGCTCTTTTGTTTATCTGTTCTCTTTCCTGAGAAATAAAAAGTATATTTTCCTGTTTGTAACATGAGTAAAAGACAGAATGTGCAGACTCATCTCATTGCATGAGAACCTGAACTAAACTCAAACAGAATTCACCAGAAACTCAAAGGAGAAGATATCACAGACCATTGTGGACACTGATACTTCCAGTTTTTTCTTCAAGAGAAGCCCAATAATGTTTTCATTGTTTAGATATTAAGAGCTCAAGGGTCTGACTGCAGCACAGACTAAGAGCTTAAGATAATAAACCAGATCAGCTCAGGTCAAAAGCCTTAAAATAAACCATCGGCCTGAAGAAGAAAATCTGAAAATACCTTAAGCACCTGAAGGCCACGGGCAACCAATGAAAAATAAACCCAAAGCAGATGAAAAAACACACAATCAGGTATGTTTGAAACAAGAAATGTGGAGACTGTGCTCAGAAGATAGGAAAGATTTATATGTAATGTAACTGAAACTCTCAGAGATGTCTCTATATCAGCCTCTACTTACCACTTGGCATGCTGGGAGCTGTCGAGGAGGGCGTGCGTTTGCTGCCACACAGCTGACCAACAGCGGGAAGAGCAGCTGGAAGGCGGCCATGGTGCTGCAGCAGAGAGGGGCAACAGATCCAGATAACACAAGTTAGAGAGCCATGAGTGCAGGAAGCGTGCTGTAGGTGATATGACGTGAAAAGGGAAGGAAGAGGGAAGCAGCCCTACCTACTGAGAGACACGCTGACCTATGACAGAGCTATTTATGCACCAGATACAGAAAGGGGCTTTTTGCACGCTGCATGTTCTGACATTTCTATAACAACAGCTGCAGAACTGGTCCTATACCGAGGAAGAATGACAAGGCAGAGATAGTTCACTTGAGTTCTGAGGAAATCTATTCAGGTTTATACTGTAGGTTATTGTTTCGATCAGAAAGAAAGAGTGATTGTTGGGCCTTAAGTGAGTCACTTTTTTACAAGTTTTACAACTCATTATTTTGCAGAAACTAGCAGAAATGTTTCCTGATTGGTTCCCATAAGCAAAACAAAACAATATATAACCATTCAGGGCAGACAATGTGGGAGTAATTATCATTGCAGTATTGGTAAGTACCCAAGAAGAGGTTTCACGGGGGAATTTAGGCGAAAACATGGGGGTAATTTAGAGGTTTTTAGAGTATAAATGATCTAACAGAGTTAATAATGGAAAATGTCACACTTAGTTTACGAGACGCTTCTCCGTAAGCTTTTATTTAAGACCGAAACACGCAAATTAAACTCATCACGATGCCATCATGTGATACTTGTGAGTAATGCAGAGTTTGGGAGGATGAGGAGCATGTGAAGCTGCTTTAGATACAGACACATCTTTCATTCAGTTTAATAGACCAACATCTGGGTTTCTCAAATTCGAATGAGAAGCAAATTTCTATCCAGCAAGCAAGAAAATCAGCAAATTTAGAGTAAAATCACAGAGCTTTTTCTCATGATGTGGATTTAGTGGAAGAGCCCTTTAAAGCTCCCGTAGGCAATTTTTGCCAGTCATGTAACAGACTCAAATTGAGACTGATGCTTCTACACAGGCTATAAAAGCAAGAAAAGATCACCAGTGAAACATTTTTTTTTATTGCTATTTAACTATTTTTAATGCTAGTAAATTCTGACATGGGTGGCTAGATGTCAAATACTGTATTTTTCGCACTATAAGGCGCACCTGATTGTAAGGCGCAGTATCAATGAACACGTCTATTTTCATACATAAAGCGCACCGGACTATAAAGCGCATTAAGCCAAACAAAACAGTCAGATAAGTCAAACTTTATATAACTCCGCGAGGCTACGGTAGCTGCAGTGCTCCGACAAGCCAAAAGGATCTTTAAGTGCGCCTTATAGTGCGAAAAATACGGTACATCCTACACTGCCAGAATACATAGTGAGCAATGAGTTTAAAGACAGTTAAAAGTTTTCATAGGAACTTTTTATGTTAGAAAACACTTTTTCCTCATGCAATGTCAAAATCAGCAAGTAGGTGAGATGTAGGCCGACTGTTTTGACCACAGGGGGCGCCAAAATCGACAGAATTTAAAATAGGAGCTTTAAAACACTTAAAACTCACAATCCATTTTAATATTGTTTATCTGCAGACTCTCTGATTTCTTGTTTGATCTTGTACGTTGCTCAACCTGAAGTGTTTTCTGAGTGTTTCAGTCCAGTCAGTCACTCATAATTTTATTTCCCGGTCGATTTCGGGGAAATTTGTCACTTCGCAACATCTCTAGTCCAGACCTGCTCTTTCTGTAAAGAGTCCTGAGAAAAACTTTTGTTACACTTTGACAATAAATAGATGAAAACAGATCAAGACTCTATTGTTGTTGTATGTGAAACAAGAAATTGATCTCCAGGAGAAGTTTTGAGGTACTTTCCTCGAGTGTTTCAGTTTCACAAACACTCGTTTATTTAATTTATTCATTTATCTGATCAAACAATGTGAAATTAATACTGATTTAAACTTCTGCCTTTCCACCTTTCTTTCTCAGTTGATGTTTTCCCTCTGTTTTCTCACATGGTTTTTATTGAAATATCTCAGTGAGGCCCAAGGCCGTCAGATGATTCGACTTCATGAAAAAATCCAACTATGACAGCAAATACTTTCAGCTCAGTTGGGTTATTACTTTGTCTTTCCATGAAGCTTTCAGGCTTTTCCTGGGTTACTCCAGAGAGGATTGACTCTAAACCACTGGACTTGACTCATATAAAAAGGATAAACAGGCTTCAAGTCTCTTTGTTACATCCATATAATGGTGCTTGCATAAAGCTGCATTAGATTAACATCATTATTGAACTTTTATTACTAAAAGGGGACATTTCTGCTGCGTGAAAAGTCATTTTACTTTTTATTTTGATGTATTGTCCAACTGAACTCTTTAGGTATTATCAGTTAAGCACCTGAGCTACGAATGATGGGATCTGGTCAATGATCTGCTTGTTTTTAAACAAAGATTAGCTTTGGAATTTTGTGCTTTTATTGGGCTGTATATAATTATGTTTGATACATCATGTAGTTGCAGTTTTTACTGCCCATACAACTTGTTTTATGCAATTTGCTTTAAGTAAATTGGATAGAAATAATAATTTAGGGGAGCAAAACAAATAAACATTTTATGTTAACGGTCTAAAAATGTTTTTTAAATGTGTTAATTGCAAAAAAATATTTAAAGTGATGGAAAAAATTGTGTTTATGTGTGTCATTTCACATTTTTCAAGAAATTACATCGCAGGTTTTTCCATGTCGCTGTTTCTTTCATCATATAAGTTTAGTTACATAGTTGTTTAAGTTACATAGTTTGTTTTAAAGTAAAATATTAACAGCAAACTGGTCCATGTAAAGGCTATTGTTCTACTACTTTGAATGTGGGGAAAGTCCAACCTTGCTTTCCGTTTTCGATTTTAAGAGACAGAAACACCTTGAACAAATATTTGGGGAGGATAAAAACTTTCATCTTGGCATTTACATGATAAATGATATCAACATGATATCAAAAATCTGTACACATGTGCCATGTCACGTCAACAAGTGAATCAATCAGTCTTTTCCCTACAGCTGATGTTTTCACAAACGTTAACCAGTATTCTCCTGAAATACTCAGTTTGTCGTAATATAATGATAATGTGAAGACTGTTGTACTTTTATGTGAAGTTCAGGGGAAACTCACTTGAGATGCTTGACACTTTAACAATCTTAAGACTGATTTTTAAATGAGGTATTTTGCCCCAGGGTTTGCTAAAGTTACTTAAAGCCTTGTTTATGTGTGCCATATAAAGTAAAGCCACTTACACTTTCATTTCTTGTAACTGTGGTTCCATTTTTTCCCGTATGGAGCTTCTGCACTTACTCCAATACTTTATGCGAACTAATCTCAATTAAAGCTCCTATGAGGATATTTAGGTTTCTGCTGATTTTGGCGCCCCCCTGTGAACAAAGTTAGTGGTTTACAGAATTAACTGAAATTCACACTTATGCCTTTTTATGACATACAGAAGCAAATAAGACTACAAGCGACAAGATACATGGGCGCCAAATTTGACACAGACTGAAAGTTCCTTACAGGAGCTTTAAAGGTAATCATTTAAAAATGACAGTAGGATTGTTTACATGTGAAACTTCACTTTATAAGGCATCACAATTCATCATACCACCTAATTTCAGTATTTTCAACTCCTTTACTTGAAAAAAAAAATTAAGTCGTATTCAGAAACTTTTCACAATCATATTCCCCATTGAAAGGTTTTTGTTTCTCACTTTAAATTGAAGAAATCACAGCATCATTGATGTCAAAAATCTTGGATACATGGGCAGAAAAAGGAGGATTTTACTCTTTTAGCCTCTAAATTAAAACATCTCCCCTATGTTTTGTTTCTTTTCCTCTGAAGCAAGACTCTTACTTTTCAGAGGAAGTGTTTTTTTTTTCCATTTTTGAATTGCTACTTTCACTCAAATAGAGGATCTTAGTCCTTCTTCCACCTCTGCAGTGTGGACACATGCACGCACGCACACACGCGGTTTAACAAACAGTCCCACAGTCCAGTCCAAACTAAAACACAACCACATGTAGCACCAAGAGCCAGAGTCAAACATGTACCTCACTTTCAGTTGACGACTGATCTTCACAGAGCCTTCTGACCTCGTTGATTTCACATCCTCAGCGCTCACACCCACCCACACACAGATCGATAGTAGCCGTAGAGAACACAGCAAAGCCAAACACTCCTCTCAGCTGACTCTCCTCTCCACATTGCTCGTCTTCGGCTGCTCTCCAGCCATCACATCCTGTGAGAATATCCTGCATCCCCCCTCCCACTGTGCTCAGGGAAATGCCTTATAAGGGGGTGGGGAAGTCCACTTTTATGTTCCACTTGGAGGAGACGCAACCCCCTGCTCGCCCCCCTCATCCCCTCCAAATATCCCTCTATTAATCCTAAATTTGGATGAAATTTTCAGGAGTAGTTTGGATGTTCTCATACACTAAACGCTGCTTGGAATTCAGGGTATTTAAGTATCTCTGACCACATGGCCAAGAGTTCAGGCAAAACTAGTGTCTGTAAGTTTTCTCCTTTTTGCAACCTTTTAAGGATGAATTTTAGCAAAGAAAGTCTGTGTCGGTCCATCACACTCAATCCAGGGCAGACAAACATCATCAGAAGCTACTGATGGTCTTTGGAAACAGAAATCATCCACTCTCTGGACATATGTGGGAGTGTTGAAAAATCACACATCCTTTTCGAGAGTGTGGGAGTGAGTTTGATCGCTCATGTGGCTTATCTTTGGTTCACCAAACCGTAAACAAACAAAACAGTGACTGAAGTAAGAAAAAGTGGTCGACATGCACAGACGATAAGTTTACGTGAGCGTAAAACCGTCCCAGACAGCCGTAAAGAGTGAGTCAGTACAACTTTCTCCCCCTTCAAAATCTAATTATTGTATTTGTAAAGACTCCAGTGTGATGTGGTTTAACTGCACTTTCCATAGTTTCGAAAAATCTATTCTACAGTTGTCTAAAACCATTCAAAAGACATGTTTTGTGTAAATTTGCATAATAGGTTAAAGCTCCAGTTAGGAACTTTCATTTTGTCCTGACTTTGGTGCCCCCTGTGGACAATTCTTTACTGATTTTGGCTTTGACACAAGGTTGTTTCAGCATTTATTCAACAGGGGTGCATCTGAACTGTGTGACTGGGGAGGCCCAGCCAGGGCACTGACTTTTGCATTGGTGGCCTAAAGTCTGTTAGAATGAGCAGGCTGATGAAAAACATTTACTAAAGGGCACTTTTTATGTATACCTTACTCATATCTGTTTTTTAACAGAGACCAGTTGAAGCTGGACTTACACCCTGTTACAGAAAGCTTTTATTTATTACAAAAAACTTGTATGGCGGTTGAATAACTTAAGAAACTTAGCAGGTAATCTAACCATAACCGATTCCTGATTGGAGCTAGCATGCTTGCTGTTATATCTGTAAAGACATAACTCTGAATACAAAGTTGAAACATTCGTGTTGAAATAAAGATTTTCTTGGATGATGCTTTTAGATAAATAATAGTTTGTTTTTTTAAGCTACCAGACATGCAAAGCAACATTAAAGGTGATCCAGACTGATAAAATACAATCTGCAACAAACTATCAACCACAGGGCCCCTTATTGACATGTCTGCCACTAATGTGAAACATCGGAGCAATTTCTCTACATTTTCCAACTAAATAAACAAACAGGGTGCATATTTTTACATTTTCTCTCTGTAAAAATGACCACAGCACTCTTTATTTACAACTTTACTTGGCGGAAATGCAACCAAAGAGTGCATTGTTTACATTTCAGACCCAGAGTGAGCAACCAAAGGTCACTTTTAATATGTTATCCACCAAGAGAGTGAGTAGAGAGTGCTTTGTTTACATTCTATATACTGGAGAGTTTGATATATGTGTCTACTCTGTAAGGACACCAGTGTTTATTTTTAAATTTCCTATAAAGGCACTCGAGAGGGAGTTTGTGTGGCATTATTTTTAGATATAGAGGCACCTGAACCCCTTAAGGCCTAATCAGATTAGACTTTTATCTTAAATTGCTTTTTATGAATATATTCTACATATTGTGAGTGGCCTTGACCTTTGACATTGTAAAAAATAGTGTCCTCAGCTTATCCTTGAGTGGAAGAAACACAAACATCTCTATTTCTCATATTAATGTGGTTCCAGATGTAATAATGGACAGACAACCCAAAAACCTTCAACGTACTTACCATGAGAGTTAAATGTTTCTCTGTTGAATTAAAAATATACCCCCACAATTATATAAAGCTCAAGAATAGAAAAGCAAAATTGAGAGAAAAAAATTCCCTCAATAGATAAAAATATAAGGAGAGATGATCTAACACTTGTGTAAACAGGAGTAGAAGTAGAAGCACAGGTCTTACCTTGTGCTTTCCTCTGCAGAGCGTTGATCTTTCTCTGCAGGTTTGGTTTCACATTCATCCTCTCATCCTTCATTATGTTTATTAGCGGTGTCATGTGTTGTGTATATGTACACACACACACACACAGCTTCATGTTACAATTAAAGCAGACCACATGATGCTCACAGTTTCCTCAGGGGAGTGTTTTCTTCCCCGGGATTCCCAGACTTTTTTGTTTCCTTTTCCTTGAAGCCCAGTGTCGCTGAAGGCTGTGAGGAGGGGTTTGGTGTTTTTTTTAATCAGATGTTTGTTTCCTGGAGGGACACAAGAGATCAGCTGCATGTTTTTTCCACATATTCATCAGTAATTTAATGAGCGAGGAAGGGAGGGGCGCTGAGATGATGACATCTGTGCAATTTGGAGTCTGTTTGATCTTTCTCTGGATCATCTCTGCCCCCTGCTGGCCACTTTCACACACTACAGCATTTATTATTTTCAAACAGCTTCATAAGGGGTGGAAAGTTATAATTTTTATTACGTAAAAAGACAGAATTAAGCACCATTTAAGGGACATTACTAAACAAAATCGGATTTTTTGAAAACTACACTTATAATAAATCTGATTTTACTTTTCAAATCAATATTTTTGGCCTAAATACATTTAAAGATATTCAAGTAGAGCTGAAATAATGCCAATAATTCCACAAATTCCAAAATCATTGATATTTTTTGTCATTTCTGAAGGTGTATTTATTGTTTTAAGCATCACTGGAGTGAAAAAGGCCACTTTTGTGTTAACTGAGATGTTATAAAATCAAAAATTGGAATAATCTTTTAAAACAAGCTATGTAAACATCTTATTTTAAGGACTGGTGACATGGAGACTGCAGGTAAATCTATCCATCTACTATCTATATCTGGGGTGTTGTTGGCTTAGCTGTCATGATATGTTCCGTTTGAGTCAGTTTTCCCCTGGTTTTGTGTTTCCCTTGAGTGTATTTTCTCTGTGATTTTCCCTTCTGTTCCTGTTCCCCTGTAATCCTGTCCTGTGAGTTTCAGTGTTTTATTTAGAGTTTTATTTAGTTTATTCTCTGTGTTTCCAGTCTTGTTTTACTTCCTCAGTTTTCCCTCTTTAGTAATTGTCTACACCTGTGTCTCAGTGCCTCACCTGCCTCTTGTTGCTCGTTTCCCTCTGTGTGTGCATATATATAGTCCCCGTCTCCCTCTGTTTCCTGGTTGGTTCATTATGTGTTGTGTATGAATGTATGCAGATTGCCTCCAGTGCACAAAGTAATTCTTTGCTGCTTCTTGTTTCGTACTTGTTTTAAATAAATCCTTTTTGTCGTCCTGCATTTACGTCCTCTTTTCGTTTGTTTAGAGAGGGATCGTGACATTAGCCATGTATTTGCTCCATGTACAGAGGCTTTTTTGCAGCTTCCAGTCTCCATCATTCACAGGATGTCTTTCTCCACCCTCTGCCTGCCACATTCCCTGTGTCTCTTCACTTTTTTCTTACAAAGAAATGCAAAAATGCCCCAAAATTGTAACTACAACAATAAAAGCTAGATTCCATTTGGGGTCACGGGGGGGTTGGAGTCTTTCCCAGCTTTCAGTGGGCCGTCCTCAGACTGAAAGCCTGCCCATAACCATGCTAACATGTGGACAGATAACCAGACATAGCCATGCTCATACCAATGAGCAAAATAGTATGACCGATTAATCTGAGGAGCACGTCTTTGGACCCTGGGAAGGAGTCAAGGTAACTCACGCCTGCACAGGAAGAAAATGTAAACTCAGCATAAACCTCAGCTGGGATTTCAACCAGGAGTGGTTGTAAAGCTTCTAATTTACACATGAAATACTTCTATTAAACAGTTGAATAAAAATGTTCTGAATGACTGAAAATAAGCTCCTTATTAGGTGTAATTTTATTTGTTTGATTGGACCGAGCTGTGAGGTGAGACCAAGAATAAACCCTGGGAAGGACTGCAGTAAAAACATAAAAGAAGGCACAGAGGAAGCTGCAGTTTGTGACACTTGTGTGCTACAAAATAAAAACTTCCTGACTTTTTTTAGATGAAATAAAAGGATTTTTAAGTACTCTGTTTCTAAAAGTGTTCTAGAGCTTCTCCCTACAGATACAGTCGCTGCATGAATGTCTCCCAGCTATCTATCAAATGGTTTCACTTCAATCCTCAAAAACAAACTGTGTAACAATCCATTTAGCGCCTTATTAGGGTTATTTAAGCGGTAGGGATCTTTGTTAGTCTGCATGTGCTTTCTTGAAAATTTCCAGAAAATTTTGGGACAGTTGCCCAACTTGCTTATTCACAGCTGTCCCTCATGTTGTGTGATTATCCCTGTCAGAGGAGAGTGGAAGTGAGGAGTGGGGGCTGTCTCAAGAAGCAGGACAGGACGCAAAAAGTACACTTGTGCAAAATCTACGGTGGATTACGCAGTGGCACTAAAATGACACTTTTCTTACCTTTCAATAAATGATACAAGTAATTTGGAGATTAACAGCATCAGTGAAAGTGTAGAAAAAACTCACTGAGATGAGTATGAAACAGACTCATTTTCAGCAGTGTTAGAAAACCCCACACTCGATTACAGTTACTTTCACCTGCAGCTTCTTCACATTGGTCCACATTGACTCCTGCAGTCATGCACATTTCAGACAGTTTTTGGTTAAGTTCATATCTGCAAATGATCGAAGTATGAACTAGAGACTTTGTACTGGCGTGAGAGAAAGACTGTCACTCTCTGGCAATGCTTTTCAGGTAATGAAATACTTTTTGTGAGTTTAAAAAATGAGATTTTGATCAAACTTGATTATTTACCCACTGGATTTCAGTGCCAAATCCAGCGGGTAAAACTTCAGTTTAGTGCTGGTTGAGCTGTAAAAAGTTCTTGACCGTCCATGACTTTGTGTCAGTTGGCTCTGGGTCTTTAAGAGATGTGGTGAAGTAAAGCTGTGTGAGTGTGTCAGCTGTAAGGAAGCCCAGTGCCATATTGGAAATGCTGATTTATAATTTGATCAACTTTAATATGGTCCATAGGCCGGCTCTATGCCTCCTGACAAACTGTTGTTACGCACCCACATGCAGAAAAAATGACCAGGACAAACACACATTTAGTTGGCCAGGAACAAGTTTTATATAAAATTTGAACAGTGGATACAGAGGCGATATTATGTGTATAAAAAAATACATACAGTAAAAGGAAAATAAATGAATCTTATCTTTTCTATTTGGAGCAGATGTTCAAGTTAGCTGATGAAATGTAAAAGGCACTAAATGTACAACATTCCAGTTTTAGAGACATTAAACAGAGGCCGAGGTCATTCTGAGATGAACCAAAATCAAAAAAAAAAAAAAGAAAAAAAAAAAAGTAAAATCACAGGGAATTTGCTGTCTTTGATATGCAAGACATAGTGCAGATTTTACAACATAACATACCAAACAATTCTCATAAACAAACATCTATTTACCATCAAAAACACTAAGCACGCACTTCAAGACTCGCCATGAGCGGAGTGAACACTCACTCGACATTTTCAGACATGAAACGCTGCATGAGAGCTCGGTCGAACTGTAAATCTTTCATAATTTATAGTTTACATCACTATTTCTACAACAGCACTAAACACTGCGACGAGTCACGATTAGAGCAAAGCGACCAGCAGTAAAGGTTTGGCAGTATCATACAGGTTGTTTTCTCTCTGATTTGGTGAATACGTAGAAGTACATGCGAGAACAAAAGGAGAACAAAAACAGGAGGACACACAGGAGTAAACAGATACAGAAGGCTACAGCGCCTGCAGATGTTACTTCTGACCAATCAAAATGAACCGAACTGAAAACAAAAAAAGGAGTGACGAGAGTTAAAAAGTTTAAGAGCTTAAATAACTGGAAAATAAATCGATTTGGGTTCATGTTAGTCAGAATTGTGCGTTCTCTTCAGTTTCTTATCAGTATTTATAACAGATTTGCTGCTTTTGTTTTATCTGCTTGGATATTTGGTGCAAAACTTCATAATTTCTGACTTTTTCCTGTATTTTTCCCTCCTAAACAAATGACTGCTTGCTTGCTTCAGCTGTATTTTGATATTATTGCTTACATACAAAGCTAACAAGCTCGTGAAACCATGATACTAAAAGGCAGGTTAAATGAAAATAGCTGGAGCTGCTGGAGTGACATAGAGCGTCGTCTGATTAGAGGCTGCGGTGTTTACCTTTGACCTCGACATACCTTGTTTTTATCCTTAAAGGTATCAGAATAATTCAACATTAAATTTAAATATTAAAGGTCCTATGGGTAGTTTTTGACATACATAAAATCCATTGATGCTTTTCTGTGATCTAGACAGGCAATGAATAATAGCTGTTAAATGCAGTTGTGCATTTAAAGGACTACACTATTTTGTCCACAGGGGGCGCCAAAGTTGACACAAATAGAAAGCTTCTCAAAGGAGCTTTAAACAAACTAACCTTAATGCTCACATCAACATGAGCTATTAGCTATTATCAAAACTTAAAATCCCTGTAAGGAATTTTCTGTCTGAGTCAACGTTGGCACCCCCTGTGGATAAAGCAGTCATTGCTTATCTTGCCCCTTATGCGGTATAGCCGTGTCGTTTGAAAAAAAAAAAAAAAAATTATGTTGAAATTGTAAAAACAGTGTTGTCCCTTCAGCTGTGAGTCTGACACCTGAAAAATGGTGACAAACAGATTGCCATTCGTGTCCCTGATACCCTTATTTGCATTCTGATGTCATTAAAAAAAGAATAAATATGAATTTCAGTCTATCCTAAAAATGTCAAAAAACTTGTCAGGGAAGCTTTAAATAGGAAAATGCTTAACACAGTTATTTAAATTCTGTTAAAACTTAAAAAAGTCTTCTTCTTTCTTTAAATGCATGATTAATTGTGGACTTTATTGACAGCAATAAATAAATATTAAAGTTCTAGCCAATCTAACCTCTGGTTGTGTTTGCTGGTGTGTAAAAAGCTTTGGTGCCTCTGTGGGTGCAGGCTTTCATTATTGTGCGGACATGATAAACGAATGTAAACAAAGTCAATCAGTGTGTTTTTTCTTATTTTTACCTTGACATGTTTCAACTACAAATTTCCTACCTGGAGCAGCAGGACAACCAGCCCTCCCTGATGTCCAACAGGAAGACCAAGGAAGTATGAATTTAATACATTGAGGTGAAAAAACACACTTGTCTAGATATAGGAGACATTAACGTATTTCATAGCTGGGGTTTTTGTATCTTTGGCTTACAGTTGATTTTGTTGAAGTATTTGTTTCATGTTTTTTGCAGAACTTTGACTTCAAGACATTTTATGTGTCTGTAAATTTGCGGGATATTTTTTTAAAAGGAGTCTGAGTTGATGCATTGCAATTGCACCTGTTGGCCACAGATGGCGATAATGGACTAAAATTCAACAAAAATATCTGCAAATCAGTAATATTTTTGTACTATTTTTGGGGCTTTTCTTGAAAAATTAGGATAAAGTTCTATAACTACACGATGACCTACTTAAATACTTCAGTTTTTCATTATTACACGGAAGTGGCTCACTATTTAAAACCAAAAATATGTGATTTATAAATGCTGTGGAAACAACTATCTGTTATTTTGTACTCATGATTTGATAAAAAAAAAAAAAATTCGGCCCATTTTGAATCATCAGACTCAACACGTCCTGCAGGTACCGTACGCTCAGTGTCGAGCATTTGACAAGAAAAACTTAAGACTGAAAAGAGAAGACGAAAAGGACGCCATCCACTCTTAAGACCTCTACAGCAATCCACTTTCCCTCTGTGGAAAGCGTTCCACGTCCACATCACACTGGAATGAGTTACAGTAAACAGCACTATATCTTACATGAGCAGGAAACATGTACAAATACTGGTCAACATGGAGATTTACTGCATTCAGGATCACAAAGCTGAAGCGGAAGATTTAAGACACGTTTCAACACAAATATCATTCTCATCGGTTACTGAGCCTTTGACGAACAAAACCGTAACATAAATTTGGCTTTTTTAAATGCTTTAAAGAGACAGGAACAACAAATTTGGAATGCATTTTAAAGCTTAAAAGAAATCATCGGATACATTTGGCCCGTTAGTTTTGAAAAAAATAAACTTACATGATACATAGATGAAGGAAAGGATGGATATGTTTGTAGTAATGATTGTTATGTTAGTAAACTGCATGCAAACAGTGTATTTAGCATTTGTTCCGTCCAACAAATGAGAGCTCCCAGTTTTTGTAGAACGTTTCACCTCAGGTGCACATTTCGTTGAATCATGCATATTTCAACATCACCCCTAACTAAGACGACTGCCGGGTTACAGCGACCCGCAGCAAACTTTTTTTTAATCTTTCAAATCAAACAAGCAGAAAAACTTCTTGCACTGTGATGCAGAACACAAGAACCAAGGTTGCATTGCTCTTGTGTTTTCGTTTTCTTTTTTTTGCACTTCTTTTTAAATGAAAACAAACATTTTCAGAGCAACCGAAGTCAGTTAAAAGTAAGTTACACTGAGGTGAAAATCAAAATGGGAGGCTGTTCTTTGAAATCAAGGTACCACAACAACATGCCAGAAGTCTACAGAAAACTGAAGCATTCACAGTAATACAATGCCAGACTAGTTGAAGAGTACCAACTTTAGTTTTTAGATGTCATTACAGCTGCATGCAAAGTTACTGAAGGCAATGTAAAATCTAACTATGTTACACGCCCCTACAAAACAAAATCACTATGAAGTGCCCTGATAGAGATATGAGCTATGGTTTCAGCAGGCTGTTGCACCCCAGCGTGTAAATTCAAGTATAGTTTAGCTGGAATGTCACTGAAGCTTATTAAAGCTGCACAGTGAGTCACAAAGGACAGTTAGGATTAAATTAACTGAGATTTGCACTCGGAAGATAAATGCTGCAGACACTTTCGGTTCAAAGTACTCGATTTAACATTTTAAGCTTATAACTTACTGCTTCACCAAATTATCCCAGAGATTGAGGGCTAATTATGAAGATATTATAGGCAGACTAATAGAGTTAGAGGTTAGCTTGTTTGTATGTTAAGATAAACTGTCAGTTTGAATATCTCTCCTGGAGTCCATAATCGTTGTATAAGAAGCAGACGCAGCCACTGCGACATCATCTTTTGATGGGGGGATTACAGTTCAAGCTTGTTTTGCTGGGAATAAGGGCTGAGCAAACACAAGGGCCTATGTCCACCAACACGGTTTTTGATGCAAGTTTATACACAAAAGCGGTGCAGTTCAGCATTTCAGCACTAACAGTCAGTCAAAATCCAACAGGAGGCGATATTTCTTCTGATATTTTATTTGTCAACAAAAATATTAGAAATATTGATTTCCCTTTCTGTCAGTCTGCCCCAGAGCAGCTGTGACTACTAAGGTAGTTTACCACCACCAAGGTGTGACTATGTGAGTGAATGAATGATGTTTTCAGTGTAAAGCGCTTTGAGGGTCTCTAATAAAGCGCTATATGAAATCTGATGCATTATTATTATTTATTATTTCATTTTCAGGTCTGAGCTGCTGCTAACAGCTAGCATGATTCCCTTTCATTGTTTCAGGGTTGTATTATTTCTTCAGTGGAGGCAAATAGGAAGACAAATTTAAAACTGACTTGATGGGCAGAAGAAGTGTTGTAGGACTACTTTGGTGACTAAGCTCTGAAACTGACGTCGTGAGAGCTGCTGATGCAAAAACCTCTGTCAGTGGAAACAGGCCCTGAAGTTTGTCCCAGCATGGCCAGTATATATTTTGTAATTTTGTTGCTGTTATCAGTTGGGGTGTAGATTCCAGAAAACAAATGTAAAACTCAGATTAAAAAAAAGAAAGAATTAACAACTGACCAAACAACGTGGCTTTAGTAATTGTAAGTAGGTATAAGGTCATAGCGGTAGTAACTTATCAGACAAACCCATAGACTGTATAAACTATGGACAACTTGGCTCCACCTTCTGTCATTATGCATATTTGAAGCCAAATTGCTCTCGGTATTTCCGGGATTTTCTCCATTTCCTGAAACCAACATTGCTGTGTAATTAATTTCTAAAGTTTGTCCACAGCTCCATAGGGATTGCTGGAAATGGCGGGATTTATGACCTATACTGCAGCCCGTCAACAGAGGATGCTGTTCTTGCAGTGGCTTCACCTAGCGAGGAGTCAGTTAGCGTTCTGTATACAGTCTATGGACAAATCCTAAAGACTCAAAATTCATCAATGAACTCATCCAAAAAATTATTATTGTGTATAAATCTGATTTTTTTCTGTAAACCGTGGAGTCGCCCCCTGCTGCCTGATTGTAAAAACGCAGGTTTAAGGCACTTCTGTTATGACTTTAAGTTTAAGACTCAATGACTGCATCCACTTCTCATACTCATCCATTTCCCCATCACTATGTCGTAGTGCTGACTACTGAGATATTAGTGTTAAATAAGTTCTGATAACTGTAGTTTTATGTTGTGATGGAGCAACTTTTTAAGGCAAGTTTAGAGTCACATTAAGTTAAAAATAAGCATTAAAGAGTTCGCTCATCTTGGGGCAGTGCAACAGCCTGCTGAATTTTTGTAGGCACAAACACAAAACATGATTAAACTAAGTATTTTTACATGTGGAATGATATCTTTGAAGGCATTTTTTTCTTTCTCATGAACCCTGTTTTGGAGAAAACTTTCAAGGCTGATGTGATGGTATGTTATTGAGACTGTGAAGTGTTTCTTGCTTTTTTCTTTTTACAATAGAGCACATGAAGACATTACTTTTTTCATGTAACAGTATCATGCTTTCAGAGGACAAAAGAGTTAAAATAAAAGTGGAAACTGCACCAATTTCTGTCCCTGTTGATATATTCCCACCCGTCCCAAGAGCAGCTAATAGAGAGGTCTGATACTTTACTGTGTTTTATTTATTTTTCTTTTGGTCCCCGTTCCCTCTTCAGTTTTTACGGATATCAGCGTAGACCACAGGCTCCATCTTATGGAACGAGTTTTTGCTGCCTGAGTGATCCAACTGGGCGTATATCACCGGGCCCTGGAATAAAAGGGAAAAGAAATATTAAAAAGTTGACAAAAGACAACAATATATGCACATAGAGCTTAGTATTTCTCTTTCTTGTCACCGCAAGCATTAAAAACATACTGGGTATTTACAGTCTGTTGATTAAGAGTTTGTCAGGAGCAATAATTAAGAGTAAAGCTTTTTCATGGAAGATTAGTTTGAATTAAGAAATATTTAGTTTAACTGAGACGTTAACTTTTCTTTGGTTGATTAGTTTCAAACTGTAACTTCAAAAACACTAACTCGTGCAAAGAGCTGATAATGGGAGTGAAGTGATCTCAAAAATTAACTCATCTGCAGAAAACCCATTTTGTTTTTTAAGCAAAATATCTTGGAAAAGTGAAATCACTTAGGCTCCTCTGCAAAGAAGCAAAAACCACATGCCTATTAAGTGTTATTTTTGATGTTTTAAAACTGAAGAGATTCTCGTCTTTACACAATATTATTTTGTGTTTACTTGTTACCAAAACAACAATACCTACAAACATTTTTTTTCCATAGTCATCTCATGCTGCATTCAAGTTACCTCGAAAGTCAGATGTTGGAGCAGAAAATGACGTCACACCTGAGTTACCAGCATTTCAGTTACCAAGTCAGAAAAAAGCAAAATCAGACGCCTAAAACAAGATGGCTACATCTACGGAAGTTATTTCAGCACTTGTCTTGTCTGAAAATAAGACAAGCGCTAAAACAACTTTCGTAGATGTAGCCATCTTGTTTCCGCCTCCAATTTTGCTTTTTTCCGACTTGGTAACTGAAATGCTGGTAACTCAGGTGTGATGTCACTTCCAGCTCGGACTTCTGACTTCCCAGGTAACTTGAACGCAGCATAGTCTCTCTGATTTCTTTTAAATTGTTTTTTAAGGTTCGTTCAATCTCTATTTTATTCTATACTGTATGTCACATTTCTTTAATGGTGATGGATTGATGGAAAAATTCAAGAAAACTAAGTATTTATCAATGTATTTAAAATTGATCAACATGTATTGTAATAAGTAACTGAAGCTTCTAACACCACAGCATTTACATTACCATGCATATGTAGTTATTATTAAACAATATTAAGCAATATTTGTCTCTGTAGATATCTGTACACCAAATTCTTGTGGCTGTTTGAGTGTCATTTCAGTCAGGAACACTTGAGTCTGAGTAAATTATTAATACGCAGTAAGTTGTATTTGCTCTGAGAGTTCCCTGCCCTTTCACATGCGCACAAGGAATACCAAAGCCAATCAATCAGCATAGGGGTGAAAGATTTTCTTGGTTTCCAGGGTCTGTTTTCATTGTAAGAAGAAAATACTGAAACATTTTCCAGGTGAAAAGGTGGCAGCCGATAGTTTTCTCCGTCCCCCAGCTCCTACCTGTAGTGGACCCGAGGGACTGGTACACCTGGAGCCCTCCAGATTGGCCTCCACCTTCTTTCGCGGCTGCGGAGCCTGAGAGCTCACGCTTTCCAAGGACGTACATCTATTTTAGAGGTAACGATTTGCCATGGTGTCGAGCAACCATTGGTGCACAGTCAAATGGAGACGAACAACAAATAATGGACACGAGACAAAAATAAAAAAAAAACAATGAGAGATGAGCACATGAAACACTGGATGCAAACAAAAGACATGAAGGCTCCCAGTGGTTTGCAGAGATACTGAAGCAGGGAGGAGACTAGAGGTGCACTGAAGGGAATTAAGAGTGAGAACAGACTGGTGCTGGTGCAGCTTTCAAGTACTTCCTCTGCTAATGTCGGAATCTGTGACCCAGATTTCTGCTAATGTTGTTATTCAGGTCGATGTAAGACAATGCATCTGAAATGCACACATCTAAAAGTATAGTATTATAGAGTATGTTAATGGTCAGAGATCGTATGGTATGATAGCATTGTACTGGTTTGTATTGTACAGTATGGTATCGTTTGTTTCGTATCTTATCCTTTCCTTTCATATCATATGGAATTATTGTATTGCATGAGATAGTTTCCTTATATCACATTGTTTCACACTGTATCATATTGTATTGAATTATATCATCTCTTGCATCATATCATATTGTACCATCATCCCAAATCTCATAGTATCATATTCTTTTTTGATCTTACCAAACCATAAGTTTGAGAGTTGTACATTTTCCTACTGTGTTATATTGAATAATATTTAAGTTTCTGTATCACTGTTGTTGGAGTTAAACTGTGGAGCAGACTGAGTAAAGAGCTAAAACAAATTTTGAGCATAATTCTGTTTAAAAGGGGGGATAGAGAAATGATTTTCCAGAGGTACATGGATGAATAATCACCACAAGGTGTTTTTTGTTTATTGGAGATTGGTATGATAAAATTGGTATGACTGCGTTTCTTTTTGGATAATTTAAGACAGTGTTAAAGAGATAAATCAAATTTAAGGGGGTACGATTAGACAAGTTTATACTTCTTCCTACTTCTTCTCGCTCATGTAAACTGAGGGGCTTAAAAATGAGAGTATTGATTAATCAGCTACTGTCTTGTTTTTTTTTTTTTTCCTGATTGTCACTTATTTGTATTTTCAACTGGTTTTAAGTTTCATTTACATGATCCAAATAAACATATCAATCAATATCAAATCATGTAGTATCATTTAGAGTAGTATTGTACTGTATTGATAGTGTAACATATTGTGAAATATTAGAATAGCATTGTGACGTATTGTAGTGAATCACATGGTATAGTTTGGTATCATAAAGCTTTTTGTTGTATTATAGTGAACAGGTTACAGAGATTACAATTTAATAATTTTACAATGATTGTAATCTGCAGCTGTGATGTTTCTGTGTACTTTGAAAGACTACTCACACCAGACTGTTGTTCAAAAATACAAATTTAGCAGCTCATCAGTACACCTCTAGTCTAGACAGTAAATACAGTTAAAAAGTAAACCTTAGCTTCATTATGCTGTTTGGTTATGACATATTAAAGGTGACTCTCCGGCGTCAACATCATGCCTCGAATCATCCATACTGGTGTAACGTGTCATAAACGATTAAGTAAAAGAGCACGGGTGAGAAAAGTAGCTGTTAGTTTCAGGGTTAGTGACAAGACATGATGAAGAGTGACTGGAAGACATGCAGACAACAGACTGATCAATAGTGTTAGACAGGAAGCAACATTGTCGAGTGAGTCATGTTGACACAAAGTGATGGAGGAAAGTGACTGGCACCAGAGGAAACAGACAACCCAAAGATCCCTCAAACTCAAGCTCACAGGCTCAAACCATCCCTCATCCTTTCTCCAAAGTAGAAATGATGTTTATTTCAACATTTTGATTGCTTTGTATGTGGTTATTTCATCGAAGTTAAGAGCGACGACATTATGACTGTAGCATGCAAGGCTGATGACGGTCAAAGTACCCCACAAAAGCAAGTTAAGTCTAGTTTTAGATAATGTCTTTCATGACAAACGAAAATCATTAGTAACAAAATGAGATCACCAAAACAGCCCACAATGCAGGTTTTTGTCCACACAGGTAAACACACACAGAGAGACACTGAACCCAGCTCCCATGCAGAATGAAAGGGTTAGCGAGGTGTTACAGTCTGATGATTGAATATCTGGAAGGAGTCAAAATGTGACTAGAAATAAAAACAAAAACATTCAGGGAAAATAGATCAAACACATGGTGCTAAAGATTAACCTCAGACACTTACCTGGAAAAACCTCCAAGAGGCTTTAGTCCGGAGGTGACCTTTTGTTTTGTTGTGAGTAAGTGTGTGTGTTTGTGTGTTTGTATAACCCCCTGGACTGTAAAAAACACTTCCTTCTTTTCTTTACCACAAAGTCTAGATTTCAACATGGCAAAGTCAGATACATACAGAAGTCCAACATCACATCAACATTGTAGAGTGAGTGGAGCGAGGACAGCTGTTTTATTTTAGGATGCTTTTGTTTTATTCACGAACAACTCCTGAGTTTTCTTCCTTGGGACTTTCATTTATTGTTTTGTTTGTAAGTCAGTTTTTCTTTTCCTTCAGGCTGTTGCAGTTGTCTTGTTTTGTTCCATTCTCGTTTTTCTGAGGATGCTTGTGAGTACCATTTACCTGCAGATAAATCTGTATTTTCAGCTTTCAGCTAACTGTTGTATCTTGAAGTAAGTATCTGTCAGTTCTGGAGTAGTTGGGAGTGTGTTGCTGAGTAATGAATGAAGTCTCTCTCTCCTCAGGCTGTAAGTCTCTCTGTCAAAACTGGTCCATTATTCGTGTTGGTCTGCCCTCTCTCTTTAAATGCTTTTCCTTGTGTTGTTGCAGCATCCTCCCCAAACAGTCACAGTCCAAGTAAATCCTATTTCCACTAAGTTGTATTATTTCCTTCACCAAAAGCTTATTCAATATAGTCTCCCTCGCCGTGAACTGAAGTTTACGACAATAAACCGTGGAGACTGACCTGTTTCGGGCTTTCGGGAGAGAGCTCAGAGTGTGTGCTGGATCTGAAGGTCTGGGTCTATTTAAACTTGAGACTCTCCATCCTGACATCTAGACTTGGACTCTCTTGTTGTGAGCTATTTTCTTCACTGCCTAATGACTCGACATCTTCTGCGGAAGTAAAAGCATGTTCTACCTTTCAGTTGTTGTAAATTTCAGGTCATAGTTTGTCTTCCTCAAGCTCTGTCAGCTCATGCTGCTCTGAAATAAGACCATGCTGTTGGAAGTTTCAAGTATTAGCAAGCTTGATCAAGTGGCTCTTCTTAAATCTGAGTGTAAATTCTGTGCAAGGATGCTAATTCTCATGTTTTGGTAAGATTTTCTCATCTCCAGTGTCCAGGCTGTTCAACTGCCCGGCTGGAAGTCCTGTAACGGTATATTTGAAATCACTCTGAACATGTAAAACCGCACACTCACCCTTCATACTCATGGCGGCTGTGAAGCACCCTCATGACGATGCAGGCGGCTACAGCGACAAGGACCAGCAGGAATAAAGCACCACAAACTGCTCCGACTATAACGGCCGTGTTACTCGGAGGGAGATTTTCTGCGAGAGAAAAACAGAAACAGCACGCCGTCATTGGTTTGAATTTTCATCTGCATTAAGAGACCACAGTTTTTTTGTGTGTGTGTGTTTTTTTTTGCCATCCTAATATGCACTGATGTCTGAGCTGCAATATAAATGAAAATATTAGCACAAAAGCCTCAAGGCCAAAAGCAATTTCTAATTCACCGCGTCCCTGTGTTTTGAAGATGATCAGAAGAGTAGAGATCAGTACAGATGTGAATATTAGAACAAGATTGAATGAAAAGATTTCACACAAGTAACGTTAAAGCCAGGATAGAAAACCTATTATTGCCACAATAATCAATTATATCTGAATGAGAGTATCAGTAAAAATATCAACATGTTTCTTTTCAAACCACTTTGGGCTTGTTTGCTTGTGACAGACACCACATAGATGTTCACCTGTTTTCCAGCAAAAGCTCTCAGCTTCAAGTCTGACTCATTGTCTTTATTTTAGACCCAGTCTGAAGCATAGACATAATATACGTAGACGCCTCAAAGCCTGATGCTGCCTATTGGAGCTCTCGTATCAGCGCAGCCGCCATCTTAGATGGGCCCCCCATGCCCCTCCAGTGCATTAAGGTAGGTAGGAATGCTCAACCATATTGATAATAACTCCAAATCTCTGTCCAATTTTCACACTGTTTGGTTTGTTACAACGGCAGAGATGTAGCCATAATACAGGACAATGTCACACATTAAAAATAACACAAATTACTTTTCAATCCTATTTGTGAAATGTAATCCTACGGGATCTGGTTTCAATACTGCGTCCGGTTTTTCAACCAAAGAGTGCAAAAAAATGGGCAAAGTTGCTCGTTCTCCACTGACCCTGTTTGGCTGTTGAGCGAGTCTGGATTGGGGAGACTCATCTAATATGGCGGTGACGCTTGATTACGCTCCAGGACATAATGAGGCATCTACGTATATAATGTCTATGGTCTGAAGGTCCTAAAACTCCATTTTGATTAAAAAAAGGCAATAAACTTTAAACAATGTCAATAATAGAAGTGATAAGGACTGAAAAATGTTTTCACTACTTTTACCGTTTCAATGCAAAAGCTCCTTCATCAGCACTTTCACTGGGTTTCTTCGGCCAGTCTCAACATGCTGCTTACATGAAGTTGTGTAACTAACATGGCTATAAAGTTTTCAACGATCCCTGTCAGTGCAGCAGTAATAAATCCAGTGTGTGTGTGTGTGTGTTCTGGAGCTAGAACAAACAAAGATAATAACCTCTTTTCTTCTGGTAGTGTGTTTTTTCTTCCTAGATACAAATGTTTGATATGGAACAAATTCCCACTGTGAGGGTGGAGCAAACTCTGCCGGGCCAAAGGATAACAAGCCGTCACATGCACATGCAGGCTTCATGAGACAAAAAAAAAACAAGAAAGCACCTGCTGGAGCGGCATTTATAGGTCACAGAGACCGTTTACGGCTTTAATATTTGATGGATTTAACCTGGTTTAACTGTGATCATAGGATTCATGATTCTGGAAGCTGAATACATATTAAAGGAGAAGGAAGCGTGACTTTGGCTAAAAAGAACAGAGCCAGAATGACCTGCTGTGTGTTCCTGAGATGACTGAACCACGTGGATGATAGCAGCTGAAGGAGGGAAGAAGCTTTTTTTTTCAACTGTGATACCAAATCAGAGAGCATAAACTGTTTTTAAACCACATTTTAACCCTGTCTAGTGTTGAGTTCTCAATAAAAGGGACACAAATAAGGGGTATGTCAACACCGTCAACAGAAATTAATGACTTTCATGCTGGGAGAAAGCATCTTTGTGAAGTGAGCTCTCTCATATCCCGAGTGATAGTCAAGTATGCAAAAGAGCAACCGAGGAGTCACAGGCGAACGAAACAAACAAAAAGGCAGCAGCTTATCGCATCCTCAAAACCTCTTAAAACCCTCACGCCTCTCCATCTTTTCCTCTCTTTTCATTCCTGCTCTCCTTCCACGATACATGAATTCAGGGAGCGGTTTGTGTGTGGCACCACATTGCATTAGCAGCCATTACTCAAGTGGCAACTCGGTGTCTGCAGATTGTGACAGCATTATGGGTGGGCTGGAATTTCCATATTTGACATTAAATACAATAATACAGTGATTACACAAGGAGGATTGGAAAAAAATGATGATTTACTGTTTTGTTCGACCATGACAGTTACAATAATCCACCAACAGCTGCTTTAGGCAATCACAGACGAGTTACATCAGCAAATTTGCTTCTTAAACGTTATATCTATTTAGCACATATTTTCTTTCTTCATTTAGTTATTTTTTGTAGTAGTTACATGCACCTTCTTGATTAGCATTGTCGCTCAAAGAGGGACATTATTTTGAAGACACAAATGTAATCAGCAGGTAACTCATTAAAGCTCCTGTGAGGAACTTTTGATTGTGCCAATTTGTGGATAAACCAGTCTTCGTTTATTATGTTCCTTACAGTCTGAAGTTGCTACTTAGTCCAAATACTTTGGCTTTTCACGGTCAAATGTATCATTTATTTAGCATCACTATGAATTTCAGTCTAAAAAGAACTCCTCATACCTCCTGAAAGAGCCATAACTCGAGTTTGAAGGGTAATGCTCCTCCGAGTCACTAGAGGGCAGCCAAGAGTGATTTTGGTGGCAGCTGAGACTCACCACAGGTGTTTTAAGTTCAGTGATTATGGTGTCAAGGATGTTGCTACAGCATACAAAGGAACATTTGTGTTTTAATTGTTAACCTCTGCTTAATAGAAGAAATTAACAACACAAAACTGCGGTAAAAGAATAAAACGTATCATAACTATAAAAGGACCAGACTTTGTGATCTTCACTGAGTACACGTCCAGACAATAGGCCAATTAGCAGCCATTAGGGGCTTCAGTATAGGACTTGTCACTACAATCCTCCTCATAGACACCACAGCACTGGTGGCAGCATGTTAACTTCCAATGGTTTGTTGGATTGGTCTTTATCTATAATCCACATTCATACTGACCTGATCCCAGATTATCAATGTTGGAATACGATATCAGTGGATCACTAGTAGGCTAACCATGATGCACTTAAACCAAAATCACGTCTTGCGTTAACACCAGAATGTGTGAAACCCAGAGCTGAAATTTAAGAGTTTTATCAAACCTGAAAGCTAAGTAGATGAATAAGAGCCTTAAAGTAATTGTGCAATGCATTATCCAGATAAACTGATAAACACGTTTCACTGCACTTGTTGACAAATGTAGCTCTCCAAATCTCCTCCATGACGACACATGGACTCAGACAAATTTGGAATAAAACCTTTAAAACTAAAGTCGCATTGCCAGTTTGAACATTTTCTGTTAGTACTAGCGGTCTCACCCTCTAACCACCATGAGCATCATATACATATTATTTTTAGCATCTGACTGAGAAACTGGAGGTGTTATCGTTGTGTGTTTGATCAGATCAACAGATGATAATGTGGACTAAAAGTGAACTCTGATTTCTCTGTTTCCTGTTGGGCGTGACTTACAGGAAGTTTGTTGTGTTAACAACAGGTGTTATTTTCATATTGTGTGTGAATCAGATTTTGCAGACCTTAACTGATGTTAACTATTCATGAAGGATTTCATTCTTCATAACTCTGGTTAGACACTTGAGATGTATGAGGACATTTATTTTTGTTGTACAGTTTTTTCTTGTATTTTGTTTCGCACGCTTGTGCACACATTTCTTTCTAATCCTGACCTTTGTTTGCTCAGCTTTGTTGTTATTTCAGCTCTGAGTAACAACACTCTGTGTACACATACTTGGCTCGTACAGGATATTTCTATTCTTACCTTCACATTTTTAATGGGAAATAACTCCAGTAACCATTAACTTTGCCCGCTCGTTAAGATTTCAAGTAAAAAAAACTTCTAGGAGAGGTAAATTTAAGGATCAGTGGTTTTTATTTTGGAGAAGATTATAAAACATAACATTCAGAATACTGCAGCATCTATTTGACATTATAATCGGCCTCTAGAATAACCTTCACACACCCTGACCATTAGGGAAGACATCACGCAATGAGGGCGTATGTATGAAAAGTACTGTCGGGTAGTTTCAGTTCCTGAAATTTTCTGGAGTGCATGTCTGAAAGGGGCTTTAGTTGCTGATCACTGCACAATAACTCCCACCATGAGTGGTTGGGATAATAGCATCAACACAAGTAACACTCGCCTTACTAGTGTTAAAGTAGGTGTCAACTCTAGAGAAAGCTGAGAGTGGACACAAAAGTCAATGTATAATTCTTGCAGTAGCCCTGTCGACCTTGCCTATCATGACCTTCAATCTAATACTTCAGTTTAAGGTGAATTATAACAAATACATCTTGCAACTCTGCCCTTTTAGCTGCTAATACGTCACTTTTAATCAATGAATTTGTGTCAACTTGCTGTTATTATCAAGATTCAAAGAAAAGAGTCCAAATATTTTGCTTTGTGTATCATGAATGCAGAATATATCAAAGTTTCTCTTTTTTTAATGACATTTTAGGAAAAATATAAAGTTTTAGTAACTTATTTTAATTATTATTATCATGATTCTTTATTCTAACTACAGCCTTTTATTTTTTTCCTTACTTAGTTTTTAAGTATTTTATGGTTCAATTTATACTTCTTCATAGTCGTCAACCGTAATGCCGTGACTTCTCGATAAAATCAGTGAAGTCGTTCTAAATCTGATGATAAGTTCAGGTTTTTATTACAGTCAGTGAGTTTTCCATTAGACAGGCAGGAACAGGACAAGAGGAAACAACCTCAAAGTGCTGAGCCTGTGGCTTTTTTTCGCAGACCAGCAACCGGTTCTTCAGCCACTCGTGGGAACAAGCGCGCCCGCAACACCAGACTTACCTACGTAAACGATTGTCCTGATGAATGGAAAGTCACCTGTGCTACATGATTGTGCAATATCTGAGGCATGGCATTAACTCCTAACCCAGTAGTAGACAGTAAGGAGTAGACAGTAATTATTGAACCATTGACCTATTTTCTGATATACCTGTGAACTTTTAGTTTTGCAGTCTGATGTGCTGTCTTTCCTAGGGCTAGGCAAGTCATAATATTGAGCTAAAGAATGATTTATTCCGGGCTTTGATAGGTTATAACTGGTGCTCTCTCGCTGTTGTGTTCAAACTGGCACCTGTCAGGCCAATTACATGTCATCACAGACATCCAAAGTCTAAATCTTGGGAGTCAAACGCCTCCGTGACTGGGTTAAAGCATCTTGCCTGGAGACATGGTTGATGTATACTGCAAGTTCAGACAGCAGTGTTTTCACACACCATCCAATCAGCATGTGAGCATGCAGAGAGCCAGTGAGTGGGTGAACACAGCTCACAAGAGTCTGGCCAAGGCTGAGGGTGAATGTAAAAGAGGCTCTTATGTAAGCCAAGAATCTCTGCCTGCTGTTTTAACCGACTGTTTTTCACTTCCACTGAAATCCTCTAGAATTAAGAGAGCCAATTAAGCATCCTGAGAGGATAATTACCTTTCAAAACGACCCTGAGCTCTGTCCGAGCCGTTATTCCCACCACGTCAGGTGGGTTCTTCACGTCGCAGAAGAAGGTGCCGTTGTCGCTGAACTGAGCAGGACTCAGCTGTATGGAGACGTCCTTCTTGTTTATGTCTCCAACAAACTGCACCCTGCGTTTGAACTCAGCAACTCCTAAGAATCCTTTCCCGTTGGAGAAATAGAAAATCTGCGAAAGAGAGGAGAAAATCGATCAGGATCTGTCAGTTTTTCTTTTATAGTTATGGTCTCTTAGCTATTAATAATAATACATTTATTTATAAAGCACTTTTAAAAACAGATGTTTACAAAGTGCACAAGAGCTTCAGCACAAAAATAAAAACACAAAGGCCTTAGAAAATGAGGACCACTTTCACATCTCATAAGAAACCCAGACAATACAAGAACCATGCAACATAAAATTAGACCATGAGAACCGAAATAATAGCAAAAGACATCAAATCTGTAGGAAAACAAAACGCAATAAAAAAGGGATTGAATGCAAAAATAGGATAGCAAATATAAAAAGATGATGTCAATAATGATAATAACATAAAAATTGAAATTAATACACTTCCTAACTTTCTAGAAAGTCACATCTCACCTCTGGGTGGTCAGAGAGTGTGAAACAGTTCACACTACTTTCTTACAGAAAAAGCAAAGTTAAACTTGACTAATTTAATTGTTGCTTTTATTTTTCTTCTGTGTTTATTGTCTTACAATGATTAAGGACTTGATCCCACATTCTTGTATCATAGATAATCTGATTCCCCAGAGTGTCCTGAACTAAAAACACATCTATCATATGGTTGGGTAGTACTCAGGTGAGATCATACCTGCCTTTTTGCACATGGAGCCCTCGTAGGGCTTAACTCATTTGTGATTTAACATATTGAAATATTATTTTAATTTACAAAGTTCAAACAAAACAAAGAACATAAAGGCTGTAAATTCACACAACATGCTTATTTTTCTTCTGATCTCTCCCGTCTTGATTGTCAAAAAATAAAGGAAGTAAATTTTTTTTTTAAATGATTCATGTGATTAAAAAATTATGTGTGATTAATCTGGATGTCTAGATAAGAACATGTCTGTTTTCAGTTATTGTGTAGTAAAAATCCCTTAACATGATATACAGCTTTTACCCACAGTGTGTTCATACAGTGTTTTTGCTTTAGCAGTAGAGAGAGACAACACATGTGGAGGACTTCAACTTTCAGCGTGATGAGTTTCATTATTCAAAGCTGCTTTAAAGACACAATGCGAATGAGGGAACATTCATTCTTGTCAGATTTGACTGTGAAGTACAAAAACTTGACTGCTTTGTGATCCTTTTTGTGTTTTTTTTAATCAAAGATTGAGTTATTCCATCTAAAGCGTTTCACATCCTGTCATCATTGTTTTTAACTTTATCACTCTACCCTGTTAAAGATGTCGGAAACAGGCTGTGCTAAAGTGAACCTCTGCTCGGTTTCAGCCCCTGAAGCTCCTCCACAGACTACAGAGAGAAGCTGATTATCAACATCAAACTGCCTCAGTCATGGCTTTCTCTGATTTTAATCACCAGGTCTGTTTATTTTTTAGGAGATAGAAAACTCTGCGGATAATCCCGCTGCGGGTAAAACCTTGTTAAGGATGAACACTGAAGGAACCCTGACCTAAAAACGAGCTAAAAACCTCGAGACGAGCTAGCAGCAGCTTAGCTTACAGCCTCTCCGGAGCCCCTGGGAGACTTTGATTTTTACAGTAAAGCTCCTGTTTTTACCAACTTTCATTTCTGGGTTTCATATCAAAATCTTGTGAAAGACATTACAGGATCATTTAGGGGGCTTGGATTTAAGGGCACAAAAGCTAATATATTATTTTTAAGGGCTGCCCCTTGAAAGACATGCAGGACAAAGTCTCTAAGCGCCCGTTCCCTTAGATATAAAGTGACACATGAGGCTTCTGACCAATCTTCTGTGTAAATAATGGAAGAATCTGAGAACAACGTAGTCGCACGACTTATCACATTTGTTGGGAATAGAGTAGATAGTAACATACACACAAATACAAAGTTTTAACTCAATAATATTACGTTTTAAAATACTGTTCGTCTTGTATTCGATTTGACTGTCATTTTCAACATTAGTTTGTAACAGACTTCAGGTATTAGAGTGCCGCTTGGATGCAACTCAACTATAAGGGATCCCATGACATAAATATAAGTGTGACAGTAACTCAAAGAGGGTAAACAGACTCAGTCAATCGATAACATTTTATTCCTACAGTCTCCTCAGCACCTCTTTAAAATAATACAATGCTACTTATCAGTAAGTTTGGGAGCTTTTGAGATCATTTAGTGCTAAAACAGGTTTGTAATCATGTATTCAACTCTAAGCTGCACCAAGCAAAGGAGAGGAAGCAACCGCGGTAAATCAACTTCGATATTAAGTTGAGAGAAAGAGGACAAAGCCTAAATGAGCTATTTTTGTCTGATTGCACTCAGGTTTTAGTTTCTATTTCTTCCGCACTTCTGCAGAAACGGATAAGGAGGTACATTTCTTTAAAATGAGCTGTCCTCTTTCAGTCCTGGCTTGTGAACTGGGGTCAAAACCCTCAGAAGTGATCTGCTATTTGCAGGAATTGGAGGGAGTGTGACAGCGGGAAAGAGGAAGATACAAAAAACAGATGGATAAGGACAAACAGGTCAACAACTGCAACAGAAAATGCAGAATAATGACGCACAATAAATTCCACTTTAGGACATGGAGAGGAATTCGGATTCAGGATAAAACTATCTGCGTTTGATAGCAGACGTTGTTAAAGGCCACAGCAGGATGAGTAAGTAGGACAAAGACCCAGAACCCCGAGACTCAATCAGAGAGTTGTTTTTTTTTTTTTACACCAGATTTTTTTTACACATTTCACACGCGAAAACATCTCATGTAATTAGAAAAGCAACCGCAAAATTCATGAACAAGAGTGAATCATCAGGGCCAGTTGAAACTCATCCATGCGCTTTGTTTTTCCTCCTTCCTCTGACACATTTGCTGTCTCATTCCCACAATTGGATGCACATTGACAAAAACCTTCAACATCCGTCATTGTGACACAACAACAAAAAAGCACACAATCAAGAAAATTCAGCGAGGACACCGCCGTGAAATCGGCGTGCTTTATCCTCTTTCTGGTTCAGGATTTCTTCCTTCACGCACCCGCTCTCCCCGAGGGTACCGTGGTTAAAAATAACATTTGCTTGAAGTCTCCTCAACACTAATCTGGCTCTGGCTCACATACGGGGAACAGACGCCAGAGATTCTGTAAAATCACGGCTGTGTTACTTTTAGCGCTGTCAGCTGGGTAAATGAAAGTGAACAGCAATAAATTTCTTCCCGCAGTCTGAGAATAAACTTTCTTTTTCTGGGATATTATCACTTTTGTGTTACAGTAACAGGAAGGGAATTTCCATAGTTTCAGGCGCACTTACTATTTGTTTATCTGGGGAGAGTCATTGTTCACATCAGGTGATTATTCAACGTGGAAAATGTGTTTTCTAAAGACCCCCAAGCAGAGTGACATATTTATATGGGAGAAAAGCACCAGGATTTCATATTCTATTGTTACACTGCAAGGAAGTAGAAAGAGAAGCTTTTTATACTCTTCATATCTCGTACATGAAACACACTATTTGTCAAGCTTTTCTTTTGGCTGCAGCCGCTTTCACACCAGTCTGCAGATTAGCGTGTGTGTGAGTGACATCATTCTTCTCAAAGCCGAATCACCTCCATACGAGCGAGGGTGTCGTACAACACCGATCCTGTGTTTCATTTCTTGGAGCTGCTTGTTTACTGCCATGCTACACTCGCTCAGCTTGGTGTGATGGGTGAGCTCTGCATGTGTGCAACTGTCTGTCCTAAATTCACTTTTAATTTAGATCTTTGGGTCTATATCCTCCTTTCAAATCTCTGTCCAGCCCTCTGAAGTCTGCACGCAGAAGTAGAGCAAGTTACTAAATAAACTGCAGAAATGAACACCAAACTTACCTGTGTGTAAAGAATAACTTCTGTGGATGTTAAAAATTGTTTTATATGTAAAGCGAGTCCCATGATGCTTTGACTAATTAAGCAAAAACTCAATATCTTCTGTGAGTGGTTTCTACATTTCCACAATGTACATGCACCGAGGGCTGTCCCGGTACGATACTGATATCGGATATCTGGATCTAAAATCTCCGATATCAGCACCCCAATATAAGCGGTCTATTCCAGACTCCACTCCAGCACCTCTGGCTAGCAGCGCCCCGATCCAGCATGTAGAGCCCACGTAAATGTAAATGTAAATCTCTTTATTTAAAGTCCGAAAAAGATGTTGCAGCTGAGCGCAAAACTTGTCATGCACAAGTTTGTGCCGATATCGGATCGGTATCGGCCAATACTGATGGCTACAATATCGGTATTGTATCGGAAGTAAAAAAGTTGTATCGGGACACCCCAACATGCACCGCAGTTATAAACACTAGAAATAAACACTCGGTGGTCCTGTTAGTTTAGCAGTCTGTACATGTGCCTCAAACATTAACAAGAACAGATACAAGCGGGGCATCGCAACCAACCAGGTCATTCAGGGATCAGAGCTTAAGTAAATGACTATGGAAACCTCAACTACTGTACCACCTTGGTCAAAGGTTACAGAGAAAGCAGCTTCATCTTGCCATCTGTCCTATTTACTTTATATATTTTCTATTTTTCGTAAATACAATGTAAATATGCTGGAGAGACGGACCGTTAATTGAGTAGCGCGGAAGGGGTAGGTTTAAATAAACATAATGCTTCATCCTACTTCTTTTCGGACATGTTGGATTTACATTATAATTAGTAGTAAATTTTTATTTTTTTCCTTTGATTATTGTTATTGTTGTTTTGAATATTCTCATTGGTTCTTGTGTTGCACACACGTTCTTAAAAAATAAATCAATAAATTCTTGGTCCGCTCCTACTGTGCTCTTAAGCAAAAGCCTGAGTTCTCAATGCATCACAACAACGTTGAATGTATGTGGTGTGTCTTTCAGAAAGTTTATGCATTTCAAAGCGGCTGCAGCTGACCGCTAAACCCAACAAAAAGAACGTGGACATTGAGCAGGATGTGCAGAGTGTCCCCGATCACATGGGGCTGATGATTTCCTCTGTGGTCTCTAGTGTTTACGAGTCACTTTTTAGGGTTGGCTCAGCTCACTGAAAACCTCCACGACGGAAGGACCAGAAAAAGTACAAGGTGTGAGGTTCATTTATAGAAGCTCTGCCAAAGGACCAGTTGTAAAAAAAAAAAAAAAAAAGGTCCCGGGTGGTTTAGTTGGAGTGAAGCTGTACCATGGAGTAGAAACGAGGCTTTAGTGAGCACTTACTCCAAGTGTTGGCTGCGTGTTTCTGCTCTGGTATGAATACTCTGCAATTTAAAAACCCTACGGCTGTGTCATTATGTTTGCAGGATATCAGAGCAGACAGGTAGGCCCCCGCCCAGACTCAGAGATATGTACACAAAGAGGAGCTGGTGCTGTGGATGGGATATGATCCGTGTACCTCCCTGCAACACTAGCTTTCTTCGTTTAACACATCCACATACTCTGATCGCATTTCAGCACATTCAAAAAACACATCATTTGAACAAACTATGTCAAACTTTAAGTATTTCAGATAGTCACGCATGCTATTAATTCTCTTCGCTAACGCCAAGAGTAAATCTTGACAGTAAATCTTGGTCATTAAAAAATAACTTGTGGTTTTCATCTGTTCAATTAATCATTTTTCCAGATACAAACTCCGCTGACTTCTCCTCTTGTCTGGAGTGATTGCAGAGAGGATTGTGTTGTTAAAGTGGAACAAGTACAAGAAACACAGAGAAAACAAAACAAACCATGAAATTAAACGATGACTACCGTGCTTGATAGAGACACAAGATACACAGACAACAAAAGCACAAGCAGAGAGTGATGCAGTGGCGAGAGACCAGAGCTGGAGTGAGTGAGCGAGCCTGAAAACAAAACACAAATAATAGGAACAAGTGCCGTATTCAGAATCCAGTAAAAATAAATGCCTGGCACGGGGATACTTGTGTATACTGAAACCATCACAATGAGGAGCAGCTGAAGCCTTTATGTGACAGGACAGATAACAACAATCGCAGGAAAACATCCTGGAGCTGTGAGAAATCTTTCTCAGCGCGGATACGACCTGAAAAAAAAAAGGCCGACAGGACTCACCACATTTGGAGCTTTGGAGAACTGATTTTCAGGCTGACTCGACTGAAAGCTCCATGTCACCGAGGTGGAGTTAGAGACCTTTTCACTCGACTTGAAGGTGCATCGAAGGGTTCCCGCCGTGCCGTTCTGCAGAACCACCTCAGGGTCGGCTTGGATGTCGATCCCCGATGTCGGTTTAGTGACTGTAAATAAAAGAGAAACGGAAAGAAGTTTTGTTGTTATACTTGTGTGATGGACGACAAAACACTGAAAAAGCCAAGTAACGCCACACAAAACACCTCCGACTAACTACGTTAATTTGCTACAGGTTAGTAACGTGACTGGGAATAAGAGGGGCATTCAAGAGAGGCAGGGTCTCTGAGCTAGGGCTGGGCGATACGGCCTCAAATCAATATCACGATATATTGAGCAGTTCACCTCGATAACGATAAACCAACGATAACTACTCCACAAGCTGCTCACCCCCTCCCACATCAACTTTGTCTACTTAAGCCGTCGCTCCACCTGCTACAACTTTTGAACCGTCCTCCATCTCCTCACCTGTCTTTCCCTCTTTGTTACGGACTGGATGGGGTGGAGTCACGTCTCCGATATAGGACAGCATCTTAAAGGGACATGAGACCATAGCCTACCTACACACATCCAAAACCAACTTTTATTTTTTTATTTTTTTGACACTGAATATACTGACATGGGCAAAATGACATCAAGTTATTGTTGTAAATTTCAGTATCGGTAAAGTTTCGGTTTGTCGCCCAGCCCTACTCTGAGGGTTTAAAGAAAGGTAGGAGTTCGCCGCTCTGTGAGAGACTGTGTGAGCAAATAGTTCAGCAATTTCAGAATCTCAGGGACATTCATGAAATCGTTAAAAAAATCAAAGAATCTGACAAAAAGGGGAACCAGGCAGAAAACCAAGACTGGAAGGCTGATCTTTGGGCCATGACTCTGCAGTGGAAATCGCTGCATAGACTCAAAAGCTGTACCATGCAAAGAGGAAACTATATATAATCTATTTAAGATGGATGGAGGCTGAGCAGAAAAACTGAAATGTAATCTGAGAAACATTTGACATTCTTTGTGGAAACCATGGATGCCACAATTTCAGCTCTAAAGAGGGTCGACCTGGCTTTTTATCGGCACACAGTTTAAAACCCAGCATCTGTGATGATATCGGGGTGAATAAGTGCGCATGGCATGTGTAGCTCACACATGCACCATACTAAGGTTTAAAGCAACAAATGCTGCAATTCGGCTCAATGCTAAAGCCCATGCTGCATGTATTACAACAGCATGACTCTGCAGTAGAAGAGTCCTGCTGCTGAACCAGCCTGCCTGCAGTCCGGACTTTCCACAAATTGAAAACATTTGGTGCATCATGAAATAGAGAGTAAAACAGGAGACCCACAACAACAGCTGAAATCCTGTTACAAAGTTAAAATACGACAAGTTTCCTTTTAAACTCCAGGAACTTGGTCTCAGATTGAAGTGATTGAAAAGCCCTGACTTTTTTTGACCAGTAATGCTGATTTCTTTTTCATTGATGGAAATATTTTTAACTTTGTGTCACTTCTTTCTGCAGCAAACAGACGGAATTTCAATCATGGGAAAAATCAAAATCTGAGGATAGTGAATAGCTTTTAGCAAAACGAAATAAAAAATTTTGATTGCTTCTTTTGGCCGAGCAACTAATAAATTTAATTTTAAAAAATAATTCAGAAATTAAACATTAGTCAGATTGTTGTGTTCCCAGTGAGCTGAACTTTTTAAATGCTTCTTTGAAAGTCCAGGGGGATGAGAGAAACAGAAAAACAGCAGGTAATACATTGACTGTAGGTACTACAGCCTCGCTCATTTACACTGACACAGCTAAAACAACACGGTGGGCTGCTTTGGACAGGTTGTGTTGTTTCAGGTAGCTGCAAGACAATGAAATATTATACAGGAAATCCACTGTGAGCACCAGGGTTGTGTGTTTGAAGGGTTTCCGGTGGCCGTAACACTGACTGATGGTTTGTGGAACTCAGAAACAGAAAGGTACAGAGACTGAAATAAACAATGGGCAATGTTTACTCTGGTTTTCTGTTAGACAGAATATGAACAATAATAACAATGTGATAATTCAGTTAATTGTATGAAATATGAGACTTGGAAATTTTAGAATAAACACCCAAAAGCAAGGAGTGAATTATTTGACAAATCCTGGAAAGCATGGATTGAGTTTACTAACCACATGCTGCATCATAAGAAGCTCCTCAGTAGACATAAACCTTCTATGATTATGTCTGTTTTCACTCTTATTCTGTTTGCTGTCTAGTTTCATTTTTTCAATGTGCAATTTAAATGCATTTGTTTATTAGATCAAGGAAATTCAAGAGGTCAATCACCTACCCTGGAACAGCAGTTTCAGACATTCAATATAATAAAGAAAATGTGTTTATTCCTGATCATAAAGAGGTGTTAAAACAGTTTTGAAGGTCTGTTACAGAACTAGTAGAAACTTCTTAGAGTGCCCACAACAAACAACCACATCAAATAATCTAAATCAGTCCGAACATTTTCAGACTGGACTGAAACTGCTGTGTTGACCCTTAACCGTTCATAAAAGTCTGACTCTCACTCCAAACAGCACAGCAGTCAAACCGAGCAATAAATTGGTAAATAATTAAAACACACTTGAGAAAAAGCAGGAAACAAAAAGCAGACATGTGGCTCTCTTGTTACAAAGTAATCCTCCTGGAGTGTGTTCTTGCATTTATGAGAGTGACCAACGCAGGTCTGTGTCAGTTCACTGAAATCAGCCTCATTCATGTTATTCGCTGGAGTCATAGACCTCACAGCTCTGCCCACATGCTGATACCACAGACTAAAGGTTTCCTGAATCTCAAGGTGACATTTTCATTCTCATTTTTTCCCACACCAAATAGGGAATAAAAGTACAAAAAGATATGTTTCTATATTTCCGTTACATTTTTTGTCATGTAAGGACACAAATGATTGGAGGTCATCATTTCAAGAGATAAATCAATGTGTTGAACCTTTTAACCCACCAAACAACCTCTTTATCTAAAAGTAATATGCACTGTATAAGCCCTAATGTCCAGAATGTGCTATTAAACACAACATACAGAGAGACGTGTGTATTCTGTCTACATCCACATGCCTTAAATGTAAATGCTGAAGTGTGTCCTCTAATATTTATCCCTGTGAATCCTTGACATGCACACAGACATTTTATATGTTGGTCACTGTTGTTTCCCGTATACTGTATATTTACAGAAGAACTTAATTGTATGAATCAGCTCTGTTTATCTTGACCTCTGTTGTTTAACTTGGTTGAGGTTTTTCTGTGTCTATTTCTACTTTATATAAATTATTCTTTGAGATCTGTGTGTGTGTGTGCATGCGTGCGTGCATGTGTGTGTGTGACATCGACAGCAATTTAAACTGGAGTCAAATTTCCTGTCTGTGCAAAATAAGGTCAAATAAAGCTGACTCCATTTCTGACATTTGAATCCAGACAGGAAGTTAAAATCAGTAATAAAGAAAAAAAAAACTGGCATCTTACGCTTATTATTGAATTCATCTGTATAGAAAGAGATGAGTCAGAGCTCCTCTGATAGGACGTGATGGTGTCTGGCAAGAGTCAATGAGAAAAGGTCATTCAAGGGAAACCTCTGCGTCTCTGAGTCATCTACTTATTGGTATCCATGATTAAAATATGCCATGTGTAAACTCAGACTTGTCCTGAAGGTCTGTACTTTCATTGTATTGCCGTTCTACACAATTATACTGTTTCCTTTTTTTTACTCGAGTTAATGTTCAGCCTCTCCTGTCAGCTGTGTGCTAAACCTAACATACTGCTGTATATGATATGGTACTGAAGGGCTATATAAACAATGGGGTTCAGATCATAGTGGATCTACATGAGCTAAACACAGCTGTAATGGGATTTAGGGTTAAGTTAAGTGATTATATTTAGATTGAATTTGGTTTGTGTTATGTCTTTTTAAAAAGTTAGAACTTGGTAAATTGTGCTTTCATGTTCATTTTCACAGTCACATGGTCAATTCAAGTAAATAACTTCATCAAATTCCTGAAAAAGCTCTAAGTCTAGTTTATATTTTGCAAGGGTTGTCTCAGGCCTAATTCCAATCTATACTAACAGATCAGAGCTGATCCGGGGACTTACCATTTACTTCAACTGTTACAAAATGCAAACAGGCTCAGGTTAGGGTATCTTGGTTTCACCAAGTTTTCTGGATTGCCTAACTTTACAGTTTATGCGAAGTTTATAAAATGGACAGAAATTCATACTGATATCTTTTCATGTTATCCAAAAGCAAACAAGACCATCAGCAACAAGAATGACAATTTGTTTATGTCATTTAAAAAAAATATATAGTTCCACAATAAATATTCACAATAAATGATATAGCTGCCTGCCAAAAGTAAACAGGATGAGTTTTTTGTCAACAGACACTCCTTAACAGTGCAGAGAACACAGTAAGTGAAGACTGTTTTGTCCACAGGGGGTGACACAAACTTAAAGTTCCTTACAGGAGCTTTACAAAGAAAATATCAAGGAGGATATCACCAGTCATGAATTCAACTTTCCTGGGCAATCACATGTGCGAAGTCAGCCATACTACAGCAATGATAACTGCTTTACTGTAGGCTAGGATACCACGGGACAGTCTGTTACATTGGTATTGGTAATCCTGGTTTTAATGTAAGAAGTGTAGAATTGTGAAAGTGAAAACAATCCAACAGCCAATTGCAACATAACCGTTTTGCACAGCAGAAGCAGTAGAGTTCAATACAACCAATTCAACAGGACATCTAAAAAAACTCAACATGCAAAGAAATTCACAAGCAATAAGAGAAAGGGCTTCTCTCCACTGAAACAACAAACCCTGGATTTTATAAGGAAAGATAAATATCCGTGACAGCCGTCTCCACGCTACATTTCGGGCAACGCCTTCTAAGTTTGTGAGCATGCGCCCTGATTTCAAACACAATGTAACTGCTGTAAGTTTTGCAACAGACATTTGGAGCTCTGGTGTTTGTCCCATGTCACTGCCGAGCTTCACTGCATGCTGGATTGATCCCTGCACTGTCCAGTTGAAGTGTGGTGTCTTGTGTGCACACTTGTTTTGTTGGTCTCAGACAGCAGAGTATGTTTAACAGATTTATGTGAGTGTCCAAACAAAGCTAACTGGACTTAGTCACATTAGATAGGTTGAAGAGAACTGCCTCTGTATTACTTTATTAGGTCTGTAAATGTCAACCACTATGTACACAGCTTACTCAGGAATAATGTGTGCAGGTTTGAATAGGGAATGTGTCACGACACAATGACTCACCTTTAGACAACTTTGACTAAGATTTTTTTAACTTTGAAAAATCCAACCGCAACTTCAGCAAAGTCCGACATGTGACTTTCACATCTGCTCTCACAATAAAAGGATTCAAAAGCCATGATGCAAATAAAACAGGAGCAGATAAAGCCCCTCTCTGCTGCACTTTACACAGCAATTAGACCAAATACTGCCTCAGGCAACAGCTACAGTGATTCAGAGTCCTGGGAATACTTTGCATTAAAACAACAAAAGACCCACGACAGCAGCCAGTCAGATAATCAGCTGGAGATAATTTCACAATATGAAAAGGAAGGAAGCGTCTGTCATGCATTTCCTCCAGTCAGAAGTTATTACTGTGAGATTTAAAACAGAGAGAAATATATTTGCTTTTCTAAAGTTGAGAAAAGGCACTGTCCAGATTTTTAAAAGGGCAGGATCTGGAAGAACAAAGATAATATGTTACAGGAGAGTGTCTCTTGCTTTACTTGAAATGTGAAAATTCAACATATCACACAAATGCACACCTTGTTTAAAAGTTTTTCAGGGATTCTTGAAGGTAAAACAGCCAGCCATACTACCATGAACACCTGGGCAAGCTAATTAAACCTCATATATCTGCTCATAAATTGATTACTTCACTTGATATCTACTATTGAGGGCGTGGTGGGTGCTGATAGTTTACTGGAGTGTTTTAAATTAAAGTGTGATCCTTGTATTTTGTCCACTTCATTAACAAACATCTCAATAATATAATCCCCTTCAGTGCAACTTCAACAATTAATTTTAAGAACAATAACCAACTTCTGACCATGCAAACAAACACTGAAAACTAAGAGGTTAGAGCTAAAGTGTGGATTATGGTTGCTATAAGAGCTGGGAGGTAAATGTTAAGATAAGATAAGAGGAACTTTATTAAGTTTGTTGTGTACATAGCCAGCAGTTAGCGTGGTTGTTGCAGCAGTAACACGTAGTTAAAAGCCAATACTGTCCCAGTAAGTAAAGTAAAGAATTCAGGAAGTAACAGACCGTGTGGTTTTTGCGATGTATATCATAAAACGTGATAGGTAACGTCCTATCTGGTTCTGAGCCAACAAGGAACTATGATGTTATCTCCGTATGCTAGGCTAGTCAAGGTAAAGTCGTCTTTCTAAATAACTGGTGAGTTGGCACTGTTTTAGAGCTACTACTGTGTTGTCGTGAATACAGATTATAAAGATAACTTGTGCTGTAAATCACTGCGAGCACTCTAACCTCCTCTAGCTGGCCACTTTTATGGTTAGTTTTCCGTAAATGACACGTAGAGAGCAGTCACTCACTCGTCACGACACCGTTATTTAAAACAGTAACATTTTAAGGTGGTTTTGTCCGGCGTCAATGTTTAAAACATGAAACCACACATTTAATCACATTTTCTGTTTTAGTTTTGGATTATCTTCCAATCGGCGCGCAAAAACACACCCAACAACTCTTATTTAAGCATTACTTAAAGGTGCGCGGACGACAGAGACTTGCTTTTACTTCTACGGTTGGTACCACAACCCCCCTCCACAGAACGGTACCAACAAGGGCGGGTGTTCCGTCGAATTATGTTTCCAAACGAAATGTAATTTCAAGCTAAACTGCGCAGGCGCGAATCCAGAATCCTGGATTTCCACTGGTAAAAGTCTATTGTAATTAGCTCCACCTGAAATATTTAAAAGTGGGATTGTAGTAGTAATACATTTTTTTTTTCTTTTTTATAACAGCAGCATTATTTCTATTTGTTGAAGAAAACGTGAACAAAAATGGCAGCATCATTCGATAAAAGAGCATAACTCGACAGAACATCACTCTTGCCACTTCCTACAGTCTATGCTCTGTACCAGTTCTTATTTTGATTTTGGAAAATATAACTATTTCCTCTTAAAATATAAGTAATGGCAGCTAGTTGTCCAGACAAGCAGACTGCTGACTGTGTCCTTGATGGAAATGATTTCGGCAGTGGTAGTCAGTGTCTCCAGCGATGATGGAGAACAAAGACACGTTAATTAGCAGGATTGTGAACAGAGGTTAAGGGGTGTAGTGAGGTGTCTCCCGTACAAGAGATACGATACAACACTGCTAACAGGCTAACCTGATATCCCACCTTAAATAATGAGCTCAAAATCAAACATTTTCAAATAGAAATTCCAAACATAAAGGGCGTCGACACTCACCTAATAGAATAAATAACATAAATCCAGTCAATAAAGCACGCTTGCAAACGTTGTTTGACCATTTTGGCTCCATTATGTTGTTGTAAACAGGAGTAGTCCCTCTGCTTTTTTTTCTCCACCCTCTATCGTACAAGACCTTTCTTCTTCGTGGGAGTGTGCAGTAGCGGCTTAAAAGCTAAAGGGTGTGGCTGCTGCCCCCTACACGTAGTTTGAGGCTCTGCAGCTGTAACTTCAGTTGTAAAATACTCTGGAAAAAAATACAGATTTGTTATTAAAAGTACATAAAGATAATCAGTAAAAAATATATTACTTGTATATTAAATATATTTATTTGGTTTTATCAAGCAACACAACGAAATGTGCATTTGATAGGCCTATTTACTTTCAAAAAGAAAAAGAAAAACATTCAATTTGTAAAGAAAAAGTTACGCAAACCAAATACTATTAAAGTTGTTTACATGAGACATCTTTGTAATAAAATTCATTTTAGAACAATTCAATATTTAGGACTTATTTTCACATGCTAAAAACTTGAACTTTATACTTTTTTACTTTTTTAAAGCTATACCAGAGAAGTAATAGGGAAATAAAATTTTATAGAGTTACATTTGCAGCGTTGCCATAAAATTTGCATTTAAAGATCCTGTGAATAACTTTTGGTCCGAGTCTATTTTGGCACCCCCTGTTAACTAAATTTTACTTCTCATGTGTTTGCTAATTTTGCTGTGTACTTGTGTGAGTAGTGTTTTTTTTTTTTTAACAAAAATCTAACTTTGCTTTCTGGTATCAGACAAATGAGAATATATGCTGTAAAATATGAATACAGAAGCTATTAACTTTATTTGACACCCACCCATACCAGCAGTTTTGACAATCAATAACCGCAATAAAGAAAAAAAACTGTCTTGTCACTGATGGTCTTTTCTTTTTTTTTGTTTGTTTTTATTTTCATGTCATAAGAAGACATCATTATGAATTTTATTCTGATGCTGAACCATCTAAAAACTCCTTACATGAGCTTTAAGTTCACTATACTTCTTACGTTAGCCAATTTATCTAGTAATCACTGATTTTCAACAAGTTATGCTCCAAATAAAGACTAACACTGTGAGCATTATACAAACAGTATAATCTTGGTCAGGTGAGCTGCATCTTGCCTTGTTTGAAGCCTCAGCAGCCAGAACAGCTGAGCTAAAACAATGACACATGACCGGTTTGTCTTGATGTAAAGACGATGTGTCATCACAATGATAACATGATCAGGGCACCTTAAGTTATGGCAGCCACTATTAGGCAGGGCGGCGACACCTCAGCAGATCTTTGATGGACTGCAGTGGCATTTAACACAAACATACAGTTTTTCCCTGGGGTTGAACCCTCATAGCCATAGTTGTCCCCCTGACTGTTCCTGTAGCGCCATCATGAGGTTAAAATGTCTTGTACACAGATAGATAAACTAGACATAGGTGGAGGACACACTTTGCATCCCAGCAAAAACGTAAGTATTGATATACCAGAAAAGCTTGACTATGAACCATTGTGATATAGAGTAGTAAAGTGGTTGTAAGTGAGGACCGAAGCATTCTCAAGGGATGTAATCAGAGATGTGACTGGATGATTAATGGCTGATCCAGGATCAGTTTTCATCACTAACATGGTAAGCTTGTGTAGAGTCGTCAGCATGCAAGTTGAAAACCATAAACTCATTAAGCAATGGACAGAGGGGGATAAGGCCAGATAAATGTATTATTTTTAAATAAATTATCTCGGTTCAATGTTTTTTCTTTCTCTTTTAAATAAAAATCAGCAGTTTTGGGCATTCAGAATAACAATTTAGACAAAGTCAGTCTTGTTAATGAGGATCTTGTTTCATTTTGTAGCTCATGAAAAAGTATCAGTGTTAAACTTGATCAGTTTTACAGCTTTCAATAATCTTGCATGTACATTTGATTGCTCAGTGCGTGCAAGTATCACTGTCCTGTTGGTTGGTGGTTGGGGGACAGGTAGCAACATTGGAGGGATTGTGGGTTGAATTATCTGAATCACTACAGCTGAAATTGTTAGCCTTATTTGTTGTTAGTAAAACTGTGTGCATTTCATCAGTTTGCAAAATAAGTGGAAAAAAAACATTTTCATACATGTCAGCATCACTTTATCATTATTACACGCAACTCCTGTTAAAATGAAGATAAATTAAATCAGGAGACACAAGCCATACTAATGACTATGTTAGCGTTTAGCTCTCAGAGCAGCTACCACTGCTGTAACTCTGTCTTGTTAAAGAGTAGAAATAAACCAGCACTTTTTGCATGTTTCTTCCCAAAGAGACCCAAGTAACATATTTCAAATTCATTATTTATGAGTCATCCTTTATAGTGCTTGGGGGGAAACACAGCCTGCATATGCTACAACAGTAGACTGTTGATGGTGTGGTGTTATGAACCAAAAGAGCTCTCAAATGAAACACGAAGACCCTGTTTTTCATCCAAATGAGTAAAATCAGAACATTTGAGCCTCTTGTTGACCATCTGAAATGTTTTAAGTGCAATCACATGTGCATGAGTTAGTGTTTCCACGGTGCATGAGTTAGTATTACAACATCGGGGACTGACAATTAAAACTCATATGCAAGCTTTCAAGACTTCAATCTTTTATTTTATTGTTGTGAAATCAAACCTCTCTGCTGGAGCCCATGCTCGTACATTAAATTTAGAGGGAACAGACAATAACTCCTGTCACAAAATTATTATGAATCTTTAAAGAAAAATGAAGATCTCTATTAAACTGGATCCAGAGCGAGCACTAAAATATTATGTATTTTAGACGTGTTAATACCACAGTCAGAAATTTGGGGAAAACTTGTAACTCGAATGAAGATTTTTAGTAAAACTTGAACGTGTTTTGACTCAAAAGAGTTAAATTAAATTTTATTTTATTGAACCTTTATTTAACCAGGTAAGAAAATCCATCGAGATTGATATCTCTTTTACAAGGGTGACCTGGCCAAGAGGTCAGCAGCACACGTCACAATAATAAAAAATACAAGCTGTGTCAGAGAGCTCCAAATAGAATGAAATGTTGACAAAAAAGCCTCAGGGGTCAATGGTTTAAATGTTTTTTCTCTATGGTGATGTTTTGAATAAAATGTTCTGATGATGCTTGTAATGTGCTCAAATGCTCTACATACATTATGTTGACCATGTAAATTTTAACTTCATAATAATGGTCATTGTACACGATGGAAGCCTTAACTGGACATGCATCCATACCAAATTCACTTAGTTCATCAGTTTTTGGCTGTTATGTTGAGCTCTTGACTTCAAACAGGTGGCAAAGCCGGTTTTACTAAAATAAAAAATGTATCAATCTCAAAATAACAAGGCTTGTGTTCCAGGATTTTTATCTTGAAATAAGGAAGTAAATAGGCTGAGATCTCTTACAGTATATCTGCCACTATCACATGTGATTGTATGAAACCTGGTGATTGTATGAAACAACCTTTACTATTGATATCCTCAAACCTGATATTAAAAATCCCCCTCTCTTCAATGTGTATGAAAAGAAGAAATTGGCCATTGAGACCAGAATGTTTTGCACCAGGTTAAAAACATGTTTAATTCTGCTGTTGAAATAATGACATGAGACCTGATAGGGATTCCCTAACTTTTGGGACCACCCTCTAATGGACACTCGAGGAACTGCAGCTTTTTTGCACCTCTGTTTGAGCTTCCTTAACAGCAGGGGTTGTCACTTCTGAAAACAGAGTGAATACAGATGCATGTACACTTCGGGCTTCATAATTGTCATTAAAGAACTAGTATTGAAATCTACAAAAAAGCTCATCTTCCAGTGCCAGAGTCTTAGAAAAACCAACCAAACATTTAGATTGCACCAACAAATCTTGAAGTCAAAGTGTGTCTTATTTGTCATGTTGTCAATTTTTTACTAAAAACTATGCAGTTGGTTGTACACAGTGTGAGCTTTAGGAGAGTCCAGTATGTCTCAGCCCAGTCATATCAGAAATTTTTCCAAGACAAAAAAAATCATGTTTAATTAGGAATTATTCTGTCAAACCAAATCTCAAAAATGAACACCATGATCATTGTAAATGTCTGCATCCATATATGGGCCACACGCAGAATCTGTAACTGCAGTGGACATCAATATGGACAAATGAAGTCAAAACACACCAAGTCAATTATGCAATAAGGCCTTCAGAGGAATAAAATCCACATCTTACACTAAAAAAATCTATTTTTACGTCCTCAGTGTCCCAACATGAGCGCTCAGCCCACAGTCATACAATCCAAACATGTGCAGCTTCCTGTCAGTGCAACCCAGGCTGACTCACCCACATACCCACACCATCTCACACCACTCAATCATAAATATCAGCTCAACATATCTACAGTATAAACATGAGACATGAGGAAATGTTATACATGCATGTCAATGAGGAAAACACAGTGATCAACACATCCTTAAACCATACAGAGCAGGTTTAATGAGGTCCCCTTCTTCCATTTGAGTTCCATCAGAAACTCATTGAACCTCATATTTTCTATATTTGCAGATTTGTGTCAAACTGTCAAAGGAGGTTAAGAGGATTTAGTCAGGACCTTGGTTCAAAAGAGGCCATGTCTGAGTATTTCTGGAAAACTGTTCGCATCCTAAAAAGGCTGAAAACCCAAAGCTCTTCCTCCAGTAACCATATTTTCTGTTTTGGCATTTGTATGACGTTTATTAACAGCTTCCAGACTCTTATTATAACAGCTTTTTTTCATCAGTGACAGCTGATTTTATTTCCAAATGAATACCCAAAATCACACTCCTCTGTGCTGATTTCATAGCCTCAACTGATGTGGGTGTGTAGCAGATGGCGAAGTACCATCTCCCCTCCTGTAGCTACTTGAGTTGTGTAATGGCTTGTGTTTGCCCACATTAAATTTGCTAATTATGTAATCAAATCCGACCTACTATGTGACTGTTCATTTTAACATGGGTTTAAGATCTCAGTAAAACTTCTGAAAAGCCATCTTACTGCAACTGAAACCCTCTTTAAGCTGCTTTAACACTCAGTCTAAGTGATCATAGATTTTGTTTTTTCCCCTCACACTTCCTACAAAGATAACTGACCAGGATCAGATTGTCAAATACACATATTAAGTTGGTGATACGCCTGTTTTTTGTTGAGTCATTCACAACATTTTCACCACTAGGCGGAAGGTTAAAGGGCCGTTTACATTTAAAACTACAACGCTAGGCATCTTAATTTAACTAGTGTTAAACAAACTGAGTTTGATGATGTGGTCAGAAAAAAGACATTGGAAATGTTTGTTGAATAATTAGTATACATGGCCTTTAAAATACTCTGTGGAAACACTCCTACTGTCTGAAGTACACTGTTGCCATGGATACAGACTATGTCAGAACTACCGTATCAATCCACTGAAAGAAGTTTGGTCGTTTCGTCGTCGCTTGAATCAGAGGAAAAACGAGAGAAAGGCGGCAGAGAAAAGGCGGTTAAAAGGCAAAATCGGAGGCAACGGTTTTCAGAAAAATCATTGACTTCCAGAAGTAACTTACTTCCAGGCGGATCTAGGGGATGGCAACCCAATTATCCACCCCAGTAGCCACACTGAAATCCTGAACCATGGTTGGCTTTTTTCCTAAAATCTACTATAGGTTAAGTTAAACAGGAAGCTTGTGTCTTCCTAAATGTGGGATAAATCCTGTTAGTAGGTAGGTTTATTGAATTTCCCTTCGAAGATTAACAAAGTTCTTCTTAATCTTAAGTGCAGCCATACACTTAACACAGTTCTCTGTCCTTAAACAAGTGAACTAAGCAGACTTTAATTGATGCTTTTTTGTTGAATTAAAAAGACACAAAAATATCTATTGACAAGCAAACAGCCAATTTCAGTCTTTAGAAATGAAGTTAATGTAGAAGTGCTAAAGACTGCTGTGCAGCACCTGCTACACGTTTGTAGATACCAAGATTACAAGATTGGCAAATCAGAGGCATGGCTGACCTGACTGTGACCCTTTCTCCAGAAGGCTAAAATCTCACCTCTGATAGGTTGACCAATAGTGAGGCTGAGACTGCATTTTTAACATGGTGACCACCACTGATAGGGTTCAAAACTCAGCTTCACAAATAGGCGACATGACTGAGGCTAAATCCAGTTGTACACTGTCTAACCTTAACCCTAACCCTACTGTCCCTCTTTGGTTTGGAGCCTCAGTTTCGTACACCTTAATGTCATACCACGATTCAGTGTTTTATATTAAACTAGAGTTGGATGTTGGGATTTACCACCTGTCTGTCTGCACCCATTCCTATCTCACCAAGTCGGGTCAGACCACACTAGACTCAACTTTAAATGCCTTTGTGTGATAACTCCTAGAACCGTGTGCTGTTTTTAGACTGTATGGTACCATGAGTACAGAGTTTTAAAAGTTTGTTTGAGTTTCAGCCCCTAGCTTTATAACCTGACCACAGCTAAACGTGTGAATATATATGACAAATACAGAAATAAGATAAAAAGAACTTTATTTATTCCCAAGGAGTAATTCGATTAATTTCCCCCCGGGATAAATAAAGTTCTTGATAAATAGAGTCCAAATGAGATTACAGAAAGGTAAAGAAACCGGTGTTAGTATGTTATTGTCTGTTCACTGAGTCAGTCTGCTCCTCCGTATGGAGCTGTGTGACATGAGGGGGTTTCTGGCCGTCCTACACTCACTGCACATGGAAGAAACTGGCAGCTTTAGTCATGTAGGAGTCAGTGTTATCTTTAGTTTCTTAAATTTACATCTAATGCAAAATCTTCAGGTTGTTTCTTCATTTGCGGTTAGTCTTGTTTTTACTTATCAGACAGTAAACCTTCATGTGAGAATATCTCAGAGTAATGAATAAACTTTTTTTGTAGCTTAGGTGCAGATATGTGAAGTCAGTTATCTTTTTGTCAGACCTGGAAATGTCAGCAATTCAATCCCTCTTTACCCCTCCAGTTTTAAAGGGCTTGTTCCTTTGTGTGCCAACCAAAGATGAGGCAAATTTTCACCAATCTCTCCCTTCAGCGAGGTTGACTGTTGGATTATGAGATAAGTTAAAGAGCTGGGTCGTGTTTTGTTTGGGCTCATACCAACGTGAGGCACAGTTTGACAAATTTTGCTGCTTTTTTTTCCCCAAGAATTGCATCTAGATTTCCTTTCCAGCTATTTGGGTTTAAAAAAAAAAAATCCAACTAGCTGTGCCTCAAACTCCCAAAGTCCCCCTTTGTAAATTTCGTTTGCTTTCTTTGTAATCATGCAGCAAATAACCTGCTTTGTAGGTTAAGTCCTATTTCAACCAGCCCTATCAGAAAAATACATTGTGCCAGAGCGGTAATGGTGCTTTTCCATTTTATATTACTTTAAAAACCATCCAAGCTTAATCCAAAAGCCTCAGAACCACATTAAGACAGTCTGACTAAGAGGAATTTAACAGGACGACCATTAAAGGGAGCAAAAAGTGTGTTAAAATCCATTATTATCCATTGACACTTCCTCTTTTCTTGCCATGTACCCATTCTTTTACCTGTCAAAAACTCAGTTAAATAGCGTTTTTGTCTACGGGTGAAAATGAAAAATGAAACTTGGGACGTGTCTGAATGATTCTTCACTGTATTTTTGCAGCTTTTAAAATTAAAAAAGGTTTCTGTTAGACATTAAGAACAAAGCAAAAGTACAGTAGATGTGTTTTTTTTTTATAAGAAATGGAGGGTATTGCTCAAATTGTATTATGTTCCTTTTTTTTTTATCCCCGATAAGTTATGTGCAAGTACTTTCCATGAATTTCCTTCGGTGTGTCTCTGTCACAGGGTGAATTAAGCAGATCAAGGTGGAAAATGTCACAGGAAAAAAAAGACAGAGAGAGGAGCGAGGGAGGGGGAGAACAAGCAAGTGGAACAAGGAAGCGACTGTTTTAAGAACAGAAGGAAGAAAAGAGATGCATCCAGTTGTTTGAGTTTCGCCTGAAAATAGAAGTCGCAGATGAAAAGTGCTTTAAGAGATGACAAACCTTTTTTTGGTTGAGCTAATACAGACAATCATATCTACAGTAGAAACAAGACACAGGCAGACGTCTCTCCCTCCTTCTGTCCAGAGTCACACATTGAGTTATTTACATTTTTTTTAGTAGTGTTCTTCTTCATTATTTCATCCATGATCCAAGACTCTTAATGTACACAAAAGGCTCCTCCTCATGCCATGTCCGTTCTTGTGCCTCCAAACTCTTCCTCTGTGGTTATGGGGGAGGAGGAGGAGGAGGAGGAGGAGGAAGAGGAAGAGGAGGAGGAGGAAGGAGGGTCAGATCAATAATGTTACTGGGCCAGTGATAAGAGATAGAGAGAGAAAGAGAAAGAGAGAGAGAGAAAGAGGGGAATGAAACTGAAGGCAGTCTTCACTCAGTGGTATCATGTCTCTGGAAGTTGGTTGATGTCAGTCAAGTTGGTGTCATTAAGGATGACTTTGATTCGATCCAGGGAGTCTGCCTGTCGTATTCGCTCCAACTGTACCTGTGGACACACACAGACGAGCAACTTCTAAACCTTGTTTTCAATCTGAGGGAGAGCTCACAGGATCGGATATTATTACGGCCTGTGCAACATGTTTCAGGTTATTTCTCCTTTTCTAAGAGAAGAGAGAAACCCACACAACACTGGGGCTCTTCAGTATTCTTTATTGGTTATTTAGAAATGAGAGTTTGTGGTACTAAAGACAAACGCATTAAAGCCTTCAACCCACAGGATATGTGTGCACTGTCTTTTCATCGGTGCAATGCTTCTTCTTTTTGCATCTCAAAATCTGCCTCTATGGAGTCAAAAAGGTGGCTGGGGACCATTGTAAACGCAGGTCAAGTATTGCAAACAAACAAAAAAAAAGAATTGTAGATGAAAGTGATATATAAATGATCATTTAATCATTAGAAACTTGGTATTTTTGGCACTTACGATACTTTTTTGCTTTTACAAAATGCACACCCTCAGATAAAGCAAAACCAGAATGCAGTGCACATGCATCCTGTGAGTTTTCAAGGTAAGACTCTGGCTTGTCACGGCATTTGGACAAAAAAAAGATAAACTACCTTACTGTATGAATTGAAAACCCTTATAAAGTGTTTCTTCATCCTCACCTGAAGTGTCTGAGAAAGTTTGACAAAGTCCTTCTGAACCTGCTCGCTGACGTCCAGCTCCGTCTGCAGCCGCTGAGCTTTGTCTCTCTCGTCGAAGACCTGGCTCTCTAGTGCACTCTGCAGTGAAATCCCACACATGCAAACACTGAGTTATGAACTGAATCAATGCTTCAGTGTAACACAGGTTCAGGTTTTCATGTTTATTGACCTTTTTTGAATCAAGACTCACTTCTAATTGATCAATTTAAAAAAAGGATGCCTGAAGGCCGCCCGCTTTCCTCATGTGAGTATTCATTTGGCTTCTTGACACATCCTGATTGTTTTCAGTTTTCATCGCCTCATTTGAGAGCATTTCACCGCAATCAACACATCCAGCTTTCAGCTTAGCCTCACTGCCTGCCATTATGGATTTAAAATTAATGCATTCACAGTCAGACTTCCCTAACACACGCTTTCAAGATTTTACTGGCACAGGTCGTCTCTTACATTCCAAAATCTGTCCCTTTTCTTATCACTACATCAGTGAATGCCGGGAAGCTACCAGCAGCAGTAAATGTGTTTGTCCAGTCAGATGAAGAGTTGTGATCGATGTGGTTAAACTCAAACATAAGCACTGATTCAATCCTGATCAGATTCTTCTCAGTTGTTGGCATATATTTTAGGTGTTTAGGTTAAAGACCACGAAGCATGTCTTATCACTGACCTTTGCAGTGGTTAGCTCTTTGAGCTGCTGCTCCAGGCTGACCTTCAGGCCCCGGACGCTCTCCAGTGTTTCAGTTTTCTCTGCTAAACTGCTCTGCAACTACACAACAACAAAAAAACCCAGAAATGAGTAAGAGATAATACGAAAGATCAACTTCAGCAAGAGCTTAAACTAAAGGTAAGGAAAGAGGGCGGTGATGCTGTAATGAAGAATGAATTGGTTTGTGGAATTCTTCAACATTGGCCACTAGGGGGCTGTAAAATCACATAAAACAGAAAAGTTTGACTAATTTAAGTCACAGGACAAGCTAGTTAAGATTTTTTTAAACATGTTAGAAATATGAATTGATAAAGTCATAGTTTTTAATCGTTCATCTTGTCATTGCTAGTTTTATTTTATTTCATTTAAAGTCCAAAGTTGGTGCAATTTATTTAACGTCTCTAACTGTGACATTTCTGCTCTGCTGATTGATTCATTTCTCATCTTTTAAGGGTAGAAATTTTCCCTTTAAACAACAGAACAAAATGCACTTTAGAGAAATCTCTGTAAGCGTCCTTCAGTATCAAAGAGGACTTACCTTTTCTTTCTCCTCTTTTATTCGCTCCAGCTCCGTCTTCAGACTGGAGAAAGACGCTGTGGGACACAGATTATATTAGAGGATTGTGATGTTCAGAACCTCGCTCTGATGTTCTCTGTAGGTTTACAGTCGTGGTGATCTGTTAAAAAGGTTATTTGGCATTTCCCGAATAAAGCAACAAAGCTGCTGTGAGTTTGTGAGTCTGGCTTTTGTGAAAAAAAAGAGGTCAAATCTGAAAGTTTACACTGTCTAAGTGAAACACAAATAACGGTTTTGGTAATGAGGTTGGCTACATTACTGCATTACAGTGTTTGAGCTCAGCTTTTTTTTATTTTTTAAGACAGAGTTATTAAGTTTTAGAAGCTCAAATTTCCCCTGTTTCTAAGATAAAAATAATAAATTAAACACAAAAAACTCTGAGTCCAAAAACTTCAACTTGAGCCCACAATGATATTTCTGTTTTAACTCTAACACTCCCATTGTCTGAAATACTCTGCTAAAAATCACAATCACTACCACATATCTGTTTATGCTGTGAGTGCACACATACTGTTGTTCTGAGTTTCCACACAATGTTTGCCATAAACAGGAAACACCCTTGTGTAACATCTGGGTTCACAGTGAGATATGTTATAGCTTATCTGTGCAGCGGGACAGCAGTGAGTGAGGTAAATCATCGATTAATGCACATTTCAGAGACGTTCAAAGACAGTTAGAAAAGTGAGGGGGAAAACAGTCTGTCGTGAGCTAACCGTCGTTGTTAGTCTGACAGCCACACCTTTAACACACACATTACAGGCAGTTACAGTGGGCTCAAAACAGGGGTCATACCTTCCAAGATGTCTGAATGAAAGTGGTGAACAGGGAGGAACAAAAAGCAAAGTCAGAGGAGATCATGAAGAAATGATGGCTGGAGACATCTCCACAGGAAAGTCTGTTTCATTTCTACTGAAAATGATCCGTTAGTTATCTTTCTTTAATGAGTCATTTGAGTCTCACCGATCTCCTCTTTGCAGCCCTCGATCTCCAGCTGCAGCGTGTCCTCCAGGTTCTCCTTCAGACACTGCTCCGCCTGGATCTGCTCCTTCAGGAACAGGATCTTAGCTTTCAGCTTCTCCTCCATGTGATCCGCAGACGTCCGTAACGAGACCAGGTCCTCACGGTGCCTTATCACCAGGCTCTGGAGCTCCTGGAGAAACACATAAAAAAAAAAAAAGGAAAATAAGGCACATAATGAGATTAATTTGAGGAAGTAGAGGAGATAAATAAAAAAAGAACAAAGCGCGTGACGATTAGCGTTGGTATTTCTGGTGAAAAAACAGGTTTAGAGATTCTGTTTGCAGACGACACATCTTTATGTTTCTATGTTGAAACTTCTCATACATTATAATTATCAGTTACAGTCGATTTGATGTCAGCACTCAAACAGTACTTGTGATAGTCTGAGTTGTCTTTGCCTTCAATGAATTTTTGACAAATTGCTGAAAAAGACAAATTCACAGTTACGATATTGATTTCAGAACATCGTGAAATAACAGAATTTCTATTAAACACAAGTCAGTAACTGTTTTAGATTTGATTTACTGTCATTTACAATCGAGAAAATGAGTTTAATGGTGATATCAGCCTTGTGAGGGCCAATGCCAACAAAAAGTCAGTTTCTCTCGTTTTGCTTTTTTAGCTACAAGTTCGTAATCTGACGTGATGGGCAAGCTGCGGTGTGGTTAAGTGAAACAGGACGTTTGTATGTGAAGTATGTAGATTTCAAGAACAATCTAGCCTCCTGAGGAGCAATTTTACAGTTTTGTGCAGTTTTTCATTAAATATCTACAACATCTGAAGCAAATTAAAAAGCATTTAGATATACTCTGATAGTTTGTGACATGAACTTTCCTGGGTGATTGTGCTTGAGCCCAGACTAAGGGGTGACTGTGGGCCAGCGGTTATCGAGGATTGGCTCAAATCTATTCCTCCAGGCTCAAACTGACACCACATTCACCTCGAGGACCCATGTGGAGAGTCCAGACTGCAACAACAGATCTATTTTTTTAGACACTCTAAAGGTCTACAGAGATGAGCAGAAGTTTTTCAGTCCTCTGTTTAGTCAGGTATCATTAGTGTCAGGTTAGTTTGTTCTGTGTCGTTTAACCAATTTAGAAAAGACTCAAATCTGCCCTAAGATTATTGAATTCAACTGGAATAACACAAACAAGTGCTTCTCTTTCTTTTGGTATCTGGGTGTAGTAAACAGGGATTTTAAAGTTACATGAGCAGCTGGTTTTTACCACCAACAAGCCTCAAATGTTAGTGGGTCATCATCAGCGCTACTCCACCTCCACAGAAGCAGGGCCCACTCTGCCTGACACACAGTCAGGCGGGAGAACTCAGCCAAGAGTAACAGTGTGGGAGGATGTTTTTGAGTTTCAAGGAGGAGGGATTACAGTCATAAAAAGATAATACTCTAATCTTTGAGGGACTCCGAAATGAGCAGTGCTGCCTTTAATCACTGAAAATGAGTCTGTGGAGTCATAATAGTGCTACCCCAGAGGTAATCAGTGAGACACTGTCAATTTTATGGTAATATAGCAGCTATTCTACTTTATGTAACGTATGCAAGTGCTTTAAAAAATGCCTCCGACGCAATGTTACACCCTCTGATCACATCCCTTTGCACTCTTGCCACCAGGACAGGCTCCGAGGCAGACTGAGTAATAGCCTCTTTTCTCAGGCCATTAGGACTCTGATCACCCTCCCCCTGTTGCCACTCCCACCCTTTCTCCCCGAACACCACAAGACTGCAGAGGCTGGTAAACACACATATGCACCTGCACCTACTTTAATATGCTCGCCAGCGGCCAAACACTCATAACTGCACTTGTACACTTAATTATGCAAGAGCACTTTGTTTCTAGCCATGTTCTTAAATATGGGATTAGTTTTAACAGGTTTGTATTTGCAGTTATATTCCTTGTTTTAAATGTTTCTCTGAGGATAAGAGTATTTTGCATCTGTAAGTGACAATAAACTGGATTTGAAATCTTGCAAGGTTTCAGGAAAGAATCTCACGCCTACTTAGAAAAGCAGACGAGCAGAAGATGTGGAGACAAATTCAGCATCGCACTGCAAAATCTCAAATCTTACAAAGTTTGCGTTTTAATTTCCAGTGTCAAAATATGCTTTAGAGAAAACATCGAGTTTCAAGGTTTTACAAGCATGAAATTGGGTTTGAACTAAGTTTATTCTCTGTAAATAAGAAATTTAAGTGAATGTGACTGGTGCTTTTGCCTGAAATATCTTGAAATAAGATGTTGTATCTGTTCTTGTAAGGATCATTTGGCTAATACTAAGTACAGTGCAATATTTTGACATGAAACTAGACAAATACACTAAAATCAGTATTTTTGCTGTTTAGAGACTTTAGAAAGAGATGAGAGAGAAAATACATATCGGCGATAAGTGAGTTTTTCAGAGATTATAAATCCATCAACACAGTTAGAGTGATATTCAAGGATCTAATGCACTGAACTTTAATACTTTTTTAAATTTAAACTTTTGGGGGCATTTTGCTTTGATTATATAGGAAAGCTGAAGAGAAACAGGAACTGTGGGGAGCAGAGAGTGGAGGGACACATGCAGCGAAGGGTCGTGACCAGGTTGTGGCCTCTAAACATGGTTTGTTTAGACCACAAGGCCATCAGCGCCCCACATTTAGACGTCTGAACTATCCTTGTAGCTGCAGATTTTACTGACTACTGTAGCTCAGGCTCCGCCTCTGAATATTGTTCACCTCATATTAGAATAAAAGCATTTTTACAACATAAGAAAAAAGCAGCCTAAACCCAAGATGGTAAAAACATAAAAATAAAAGCATCACAGTGATCGTTTTGTGAGGCACAGATAAAATAAATCTTCATTATGTGTGAGTAGATTTGGTGTATCAGGAAACCTCATTAAGTCACACCTTTGTCTCATCTGTAAGGTGAAAATATGTCACCCTGGCAACACTGTTCTCAAGTTTCTTTTGCAGTCATTATTTTTTAAAATCACCTCCTGATATCACGTTTTGGTAGCATGTACAAACCATGTACAAGAAATCCTTCTCCTCCTGCTGCTGAAACAAAAATCTGTGTTTGCAGATTTGTTCCAGTTGCTATCAAGACGGTTTAAAGGATTAATACTCGGCCCTTATTGATTTTGCTTTCACGTACTTGCACAGTGCCGGGCATCTGAAAGTCCTCCTGTTGCTGCAGCTCTACGTGCAGCCTGTGTTTCCCCTGCAGGCTCTCGTTGTCTCTCTGTAGTCGACTTAGCTCATCTGCCACCTGCTCCCTTGATTTCACCAGCACCGCCTGAAACGAACAAACAAAGAAAAGTCACTCATTCCGCCCTCGTCGTGTGTCAGTCTGTAAAATCATCATCGCATCATACGCGGCGTGACAGGAGTGAGTCAACGGACAGCGTTTTATTTTGGATACGTGCTCCATCCGACTCTCCCTGCAGGGCTATCATTCTGCTCGCTGTAATATTAAAACTGAATTAATGGAAGAGTGAAGACCCATTTTTCTTCAGATCAAAGCCAGAGGCAGCAGACTGAATGTCTCATTGCTTTGCAGACGGTATGTTGTGTGTGTTGTGGCCCAGCTTGCAGCTGCACATTCATTATTAAGACGGCTTTCTGCCTCTCTCCTCTCCCGTCTCTTTTCCTCACTGTTGTGAGAAGGTGTTCATTACCTTTTCATGAGAAAAGGGAAATTATGCTAAAATTTAAGATTTAAAAAACTTCTCTATTCTGGTTATTGAGTGACATTTCAGCAGGTTGCACTTCCTTTTTTATAAGTAGAAATCCTGCAGCCAAAATCTACATGATGTCAGTGAACATATGTGGTGAGGAAGTGGTGACCTTATACAGCCACTTCTTTCATTTAAAAAATCAGGTTCCCACAAATCCAAACCATTTCACATGACTATTTACATGACTTTATGTCTGTGGAGGTAGTGAGGCTTTTGCATCATTGTATCATTCCCTGAGACAGGCACAGAAGCAACAATAATGTATGGAGATGGCGGCAAACTGGTTAATGTTCAGTTCAAGTCGTTTTTAACAGAGGAGCGACCCCAGCTCATGAAATGAGTGCTGATACTTGGCAGACTGCTGAGATATGGAAAAGTTTGAAGGCCTAGGAGGGGGGGAAAAATGAGAGGGGGAGGTTTTTTTCATTATAAATAAATATTATAAATTTTACAAAATAAAGTTGCAAGACCGGCCCTGGCCTGTCCAGGCGTGAGGTTGAGTACAGAGAGTCTGCATGCCAGTCTTCCACAAACGGTTAGAAAGCAACCTGACGATTTTTTTTTAGGAATATTTGTTTTAGCAAAGAGCCAAACTGTCTGTCCTCTCCAATAAACTGTGTGAGGGATCATCAGAGTCACGGGACTCGGGACGCTGCTCTGGGTCCAGGACTGATGCAGTCTGTGGAGCCGTAATGTGGAATAATTTAGCAAGAGTCCTAACCGAAGTACTCAAAAGGCTGCTGAAGACACACTTTAACAGCCTTTGGCATATTTTCTGTATTTTAAGCCGTTCATGTTGTTTTTGTATAATTTTTTCTTCTTATAATGCTGGTTGTATTTTATGTTCTTTGTACGGAAGAGGATTAGGGCTGATGGAAAAAAAATATCTTCTTAAAAAGACAGATCCCTGGCGTCTTTGTGAACTGCATATACTAGTTTACCTGCTGCAGACCTTCTTTAAGCCAACGAGCTGAAAACGTCAGCGTGCATCTCTCTATCAAACCTTTCAGACCAGTTTTGCATCAGAGCAGGAATCCAGCAGCTAAGTGCTTCATGGTGTCAGCATGTATTTGTAGTGTGAAAGAAAAAAGCCATTTATCCACTCAGGCAGAGGAAGTCAAATCAAAAACACTAACAGACAGCAGGATCCTCGAGCCATGATTCACTTTGGCTGCATGTCCGCCTGATGTCACAACAAAAATTAGCAGTCCCCTCTTATTTCGAAGGCTGAGGTCCCTCCAGCCTCAGCAGACACCGACACGAGAAGGAAACCGGAGATTCAAACACAGCCGGCAAAAAACGGAGCCACACCAGAATGGAGAGAGTATCTGCTGCTCACCATCTGCTCCTGCGTGTTCCTCTTGGCTTCACCGAAGGCCTGCTGTAGTAGGCCGAGGAGTGTTTCTGATTCCTGGACTCGCTGCATGAGGGCGGACACCTACAACACAGAAAAAAAACATCAATAAGACACAAAAGCTGTAGTTCAACTGGCTGTAGTTGAAAATACTTGATAGAAAAACAATCACATGTGGGATTTAGTCACAGAATACGCCAAGAAATAGAAAATGAGAAATAGGAGTTTGTCTTCTTTAAAAATGAGGTTATATAGGATATAAATTTATGTCCACTGAGACGAAGTCATCACAAGGTCAGTCAGTCAGCATTTGAGCCGATTCACCCTTGCAAAGGTCTAACAATCCACTCTCACTTCACAGAAGAGGTGCAGAGCAGAGGGCTCTTACATGCTGCCATTTTAAGGTCAGATATTTATGCCTATTATGTCTCGTGTGGCGCACAGAGAAGTCATGGTGAGGTGAAGTTGTTCTCCCTCTGATGTCCCCTCAGAGATAATAACAAAGGCAGATCCAAGGGAAGAAGGTGGCGGTGTGCAGCGTTGGAGCTGACCCGATGAAACGGCGCTATTTGTGTGTGCATGTCTGACTGTGGGTGGATGTGGCGATCCCACTGTGTGTTTACAAGCCGTACCTCATGTGCAATACAGTAATGTGACATGTAACTAATCAAATCCAATCTGCTTTATTCATATAGCACATTTTAAAAAACATCTAAGTTTACCAAAGTGTTGCACAATAACATGAAAAGAGCAGACAATCCAGAAAACATCAAGATGAAATAAATAAAAACAGGAAGAAACATTTAAAATGAAATAAAATAAATGAAATAAAAACACAAAAACATAAAAGAAATAAAAATGATAAAAGGACCATAAAAGGACAGAGATTACACAACTCTCATGCTGAGTTACAAGCCAAGGAATAAAAATGAGTTTTAAGACGTGATTTAAAAGTAAAAAGAGTGGGGGATGTTTTAATCTGGAGTGACAATTCTTTACACAATTTGGGAGCCACAGCCAAGAAAGCTTGGTCGCCAACTATAAAATAGGACGCCGATATTTCATCACGTCACAGAGCAGTGTATAAGTACAAAGGCATTGTGATAGCAGGACAGTGCTGTTGCAGTGGAGGCTAAAGTGTGTAGGTGGCGTCAGTCCACAAAACCTCCTACTGCTCCTCCTTCCACTATGACAGTCCTCCAAAATACCAAACCAGCAAAAACGACCAAAACTTAAGAGGTTGGCTCCTTTGGCGCCCCTGCAGATATCAAGTGTCTTTTCAATCTTGCAAAATCAGGGGGAGGAAACCAGAGAAAGTGATCCAAACTGACAAGCTGAAACAGAAACTCTTTATGTGGAAATAGGAGTTATTTTTCTCTCTTGGGTAGTTTCAAAAGTGGACACTGGAGTTGGAGGATGGCCTGGGAAGGCATGAAGGAGTCAAGGAGGGCGGAGATGTTACAGTGAGGTGACAAAGTGAGCTGAGAACACTGAAGAAAACTTTTTGTGGTCCTGACTTACTTCAAAACAACCATGACAACAACATCACTCCTCTGCTTTTATGCCCTTAAGCGTTGTGGGAACCAAAGGCGTACTTGCAGAGTTCACAGGAATTCAGCTCAGTAGGTGGTTTGTAACTCAAATAATGAGCCAAAGGTTTCATGTTCCTCGGGCCATTATTTCAAAAGCTTTAATTTCAGAACTGGCACACTCAGAGAGAAACTTGTTTTGGAGTAGTACGAGCTCTAAAAGTCCCGACACACACTGTGCACACCGTGACTTATCTAGAAATGTGTCCAAACCTTTGTTGTGGTTTCCTCGTTTCCTGCTTTGACTGAATCCTCCAGAGTCTGCTTCTCAGTCATCGTCCTCTCCAGCTGATCGTTGGCCTGGCGGAGCATCACCTGCAGTTTCTTCACCTGAAAGGAAATGTGAAACTCTATAGATTAAAAAAAACAACAACTTCTAAATACCACGAATCTAAAAACAGCCACAGTTTGACAGAAAGGAAGGAAGCTTTGCACCTGATCTCGTGTGTCGGCCTCCTGCCCTTGGATGACCTGGAGCTGCTTCTCGTAGTTAGAGCACATGTCACAGCGACGGCCGAGTTTCCTGCCAGCGTTTTTCACCTGGTGATTGACCAGTAAGAAAACAACGAAACCATTAAGGACAATTATTGCATAACATAAACAGATGTCCACTGGCAATTGTTTGATGCTTCTGACTTGGCTACTGGTTGGAAATAAAAAACTCCAAACTGTAGCAGATGAGCTCGATGGTTGGAAGGAAACTAGCACAGCCTGCGTTAAGAATACAGGCAGTTTCATAGAGGCCAAATTCACAGCGTAGGTTGGATAATAAGATGCAATATGTTCAGAAGGAAAAGACACAGCTTTGAGTTAAGGGACTGAGTCTAGAAAGAAGATGAGACAGTATTTCCTCTCTTAAAAGCAGGAGTCACCTTTCCCTTCATGTTGATTTTGCCGTTGAACAAAGTGATACCACTTCCATTGTTGCTGATTTGGTCCTGTCCAAGTGTACGTGCTGTTTTCTGACACACAATCTAATCATGCTTTCCTTTAGCAGTAACATTTATCCCTCATTATGATTATTAGATGCAGAGAAACCTTCAGCCAGCTGCAAATTATCTCGTCTGCCACCTACCCACTTCAAGCTGTTACAGGCATTTCAAATGCAAATACGTAAACGGTCAGTCTTATTTGCTTTGGTTGGTCAGAGAGAGGCATCTCTGTTAATTTCCATCTGTTTCATAGATAATAAAAACTCTTGCAGCAGGTCAAATGTGCAGACATGGAAATATTGAGAGTTATCTAGCAGTCAGAGTCTAGACTGATACTTCCCTGCTTACTCTGTGGCGATGCATGACAAGTATGATCCTCTGTTAGAAAAGGTTTTCCCATCAAAAATGTCTATAAATACAAATTGTTTTGCCTGTAACAACAACGACAACCTCTCTCTACTTCTTTGTCTCTAGACTGGTACAATCTGTGGCTCCTCTCCACTAAATAAAAGGCTCGTTCAAAGTGAACAGGAAACGAATTAAACTTTATAGTCAGATGATGCACCCTTATTTAAAAATGCCAACGCTTATTATATGGGGATACACACTCTCATTCGCACAGCATCAGTATCAAGAGATAATGCCTTATAAAGTTATCTTTTGTATAAGCAGAGATAAAATTTGTTTAAGTTGGTTTCTCTGCCTCTTCCAATATCCATATCAGCCAAGATGAGTGTGAAAATACTGGCAAAACAGATATTAGGAAATCTAAAATTGAGCAAGACAGTCTGGCTGCAGATCTCCACTGTGAGGACCCTTCCTTGTAGACCTCCACTGAGCAGACCGGGAGTTCATTTGATGCCTTTCAAAATAAAAGCAAATATACCCAGAGTATTTTTTGTTGTTGTTGTTTTGTTTTAACCGCAGAACGTTGAATCACAGCCTTCCAAATTAAAAGCGATTAGACCGGGGAGTACGTATTTTTTGTCTTGTGTGATTATATCTTATTTAATGGGGTTTAATTTTATGATTACAATGTTAATACGATTTTTGTGTGTATTCAGGTGTTCAAAGAAGACAAAATACAAATCCGGATGACCACTTCAAACAACCTGGAGCGTGTCGGACAAAAAATTCATCCCAGGTCCTCTCAACGGAGCTGGTCCTCACAGTGGAGCTGGTCCTCACAGTGGAGGTGGGTCCTCACAGTGGAGGTCTGCAGCCAGACCTCTCTCAAATTAAGTGGCTTTCTGGTATCAACATATCTGAGGATTTGACCTGCAGAGATGAGCATTAGCCTGTAATACTAGGTTTTTTTCTTCTAAAATAATGACTTTTACGTTTTAAAATCAGAACTTTTTTCTTGTTAGCATAACTCTATCCTTAACAATCTATGACTTTCTTTACTTTCTTGATGTGGCCCAAATCCTCCGTCACAGCACCTTGAAAGTGAGACGCGCTTTTAGGATTTTTTTTTTTTTGTAATAATGACTCAAAATAAAAAAGTTTTTGGGTACTTGCGTCCCTGTACTTTAAGAGCCTAATAAACTCAGATAAGATCTTTAAAAAGGAGCAAAAACACCCACAAAGGATGAAATAACTGTGTGTGAGGGGCAGTAAGTGTTTGTCTACTTCAAAGACAGATTTAAAGGATCTGAAAGAAAAATACTTTATACTGAGAGATCAAATCTAATTATTCTCTTTTATGCCAAATCGAATGTCAATCCTATGAAAGATTGATTATAACAAAAGAAATCATTAAATGAAAACCTTTCACAACACCTCCAACTAGACAGATTATGTTTTATAGTGATTTCATAGCCTGGTGGTTCAAAAAAGCAAAAATATTGTGGAAATTTTTGTTTTTTCTCACAATAACTCCTTGAGCTTGAAATATAAATCCAGGTTTTTATGTTGTTGTTTTGTTTTTGTTTTTTTATCTACAGGCCATAATTACCTGAGTTAATATTCAAAAATAATAAAAGTTTTCCTGAGCCTAAAATATTCTAGATATTTTTACAAGTAAACAGTAAAATAGCACATTGAACCCCATGCTGTGTTAAAACTGGTCCAGAAAGCCTGAGTGTTGCACCTCTTGCTGTAGCAGATTCCACTCGCTGTCGCTGACCAGCCTGTAGCCAGCAGGCGGTAAGTAGGCGGTGTCGGGGGCGTGGGAGATGCTGGAGAGCAGCGACGCTGTCTCCTCCTGCTCCGGCGTCATGGCCTTGATGGCCTTCTCCTGGTCTTTCGTCAGGAGAAAGTGGCTCGGCGTCAGTTTGATGGAGCTGATTGATGCGGTTTCACCAAAACTACTGTCCGTCACGCTGCAGTCGGCCCCCACCAAGGGCCCAAAGTCCGACTCGTCTAAGTGGCTGGCCGACTTGGCTTTGTGGTTGTGACCGCCGAGGCCCTGCTGAGGAGAGAGCGAGGAGCCGAGGCTGTCCGTGGACTGAACTCGACGCAGGTTTTCTTTATAGGGGTCCATGGGGCTTCCTGCTACCACATCAGTGTCTAAAGAGTGCATGGAGCCGTGGGCGCTGTGGTTGGCGTGGGGCTGCAAGAGAAAGAGCAAATGAGTACCCTGAACAGGAGTGTGGAACAAGAATAGCCAGTGCCTTATTTCATTACAGCTGAAGATGAGATAAACAAAAACCCCAAAAGACTGTTTCAGGCTGAATGTTTCACACACATCTGGTCTTCTGTCAAAGGAACATGTTTGCAAGGGAATCTGCAGGCCTGATACAGGAGCTTGTACATGCACTATACAGATTCCCAACCACAGTTTTACATTATATCATGAATCTACAGATGGCAGTGATGCACCAAGAGACAGAAAAATATGCCTAACAAACAAAACTGCTGGCAAACAAGAAAGGAGAAGCGTTATGGTGGAAAACCCAGTGGTACATTGATTACAATAACTGTGTTTATCATTGTAGCTGTAAATGTGCAGCAGAAAGGATTACCATGAAACGAGAAGGCAAGAAAAGTCAAATATTGAACCTCCAACTCTGTGCTCTGCAGGGAAGGTTTTTCTTTATCTCTCACAGCAAGTTAATATAAACTTTAATATTTAAGCCAGTTTCAGGGCTGAAAATAAGCTGCACGTCAGGCAAATTTCATGTTTGACAGCCTTAGAAAAACAGACAGCAGCTGAACAGCAGACAGGTCTATGTTTGTTTGGGTGATTGAACAGGTACCATGCCCCCCTGAAAACACACACAAAAACAACAACTAACCTTCTTTTCACTACATTTTGTTGAAGCCACAATTCTGGGTTCAAATCGGGCTTCATTTCTATACTAACTCCCTGATTTTATGCACAGCAAAGAAATATAATTGTGCACAAGCGGAATATCTGAGCAGTCATAATCATATCACGTTCTAAGTGTTATGGACCACCAGTACCGGCATCGTCTCAAAGCTGCTCGGGAAACAACACGCATTGATAAAAGTGTAGGTGCCGTGTTGCCCATGTTGAGATTGTGTTACTCTGAGGGACATTAATATGACGTAAGACAATAACCTCCTGCCCAGCTCACCCTGAGGGACGTATCAGATTACATGATTCTCGTACCTCCTCAACGCTCAGCCCGAGGAAGGAATCCTCCAGAGGCTCGGTGTTATCTCCACCATCCTCCTCCTGCAGCTCCTTCACTTGGTTCAGCCGCTCCTTTTCATCCTCCTCCTAAGACGTGGACAGACAAATCCTTTTGTCACTTCGTACTTTAGTCGACTATATTTACATAAATATATTCAGCAGGACTTCAAAGCTAAAGTGATTTCATCAAACAACTCAATGAGTGAATACAACCCATTTTTAACTCCATTGATAAGCTCAGCATACGGTTGATGCGTAAAGAGCTTAAAAATGCACTAATTCTGTCAAAGAAATGCAGATTAGTGCAGTTTTTTTTCCTCTGAGATGTGATCGAGTGAAAGAAAAAAGCGACAAAGCACCTGAGGCTTTCAGTATGTCTCAGTTTTTGATTTTGAGTAGATCTATTTGGTTTTATTTCACTGGAGGAAAATTCAACCAATTCACCTCCAAAGAGAGTTAATTCAGAGTTATGTCCTGCGTCTATTCAGATCACCACCCAAGATAACTGCACCTCATTGATCTGCAAGAAACAACCGACCCACACAGACAGCTGATCAACCAGATTTTTGGTCTTGATGACTTTTTTTCCCCATTTTTGATCATATTTCATATTTTTACAATCAATTAAAGTATTGTTTTTCTCTTTTAACACTTCTAACTTTTTTTTTTAATAAAATGAAATTCATATTGATGCTTTTTTATGACACCCTAAAGCAAACAAGTCCACCAAAAACAAAACAGAACATTTTTTTTTAATCCTAATTTTTGATGCCTGAAACTGGTGCAAGGGGGCAGGTGTCAGCCAGGCAGCTGAATAATCAGCCCTGTTTTTAATTCACTCATAAAGTATTCAGCATGGATGATCAATTTCACTTTCAGATGTCTGCTAAATGATTTTTAGGGGGGGTCAAAATTATTATGTGTTTAGTTGATTAATATCTTATCAAAGAGGGACAGATTTTTCTTCTTTCTGCTCCTTTTCATTCACAAGTTTGAGATTTTTCCTTGTTTGTATTGAATGTTTTATATACTAACCGAATGAAATAAAGTATGAAATAAAATGAATACTATCCAAGACTGCTTTGTCCACAGGGGGGCACCAACATCTACACAAACCAAAAGTTCCTCACAGGAGCTTTAACCGAGCGTAAAAATAATACAAACAAGTTTTTAAATAAATGTTGGAAAGTAAAATAACGATCTGACTTTGCATAATCTACTTCAAGATAAATACATTTATAAAAAGTTTAAATCAATATGCAGCCTCAAGTACTGAGCTCACAATACTGTAATTGTGGTAAGATTTTTCACGTTTTTTCACTTCTTTTGATTGTCTGAGTTTTCATTTCCACTATTATTATGATCACGACCAATATTAGGATCACATGTGGTTCATCTGCCTCATCCTTTATCATCTCAATTCCTGGTGACCTTTTCTGTCTTCCAGTCACAGCAGCTCGACTTTATTCCTCTGGTTCTTGCTAAGAAGCTTACATATCTTCTTTAAAAGATGGAAATAAATTATCTGTCAGACGGCAGGCTCGCTCGCTTTGACAGATAATTTGACTGAAAAACGCCGCCTGAAAACTCAAGTTTGCACAACATCACGAATTCCCCTCCTGATCAGATATCCTGCGAGCTCAAACACACCAAACTGCGGGGTATCCAGAGTGTATGCGTGTGCGTATTTGTGTACCTGGTCTTTCTTCTTCATCTCCTCCACCTGGCGGAGCTGTTCTGACGACAGCACGCTCTCTATCCGCTGCATGTCCCTCATGAGGAGACGCTGGGACTCCAGGAACTGGTCGTTGGCTCTCTGCCACGTGTGTTTCAGCTGGTTGTGCTGCTGCCGCTCCAACTCCAGCTTGTGACACACTGAAGCGTCAAACGGCGGCACGACAGAAGACAAGAGGGAAAAGGTTGGTTAACGCTGATGGAAGGGGTTTATTTCTCAGCCAGAAGCACCAAAGTTTTATAAATCTATCATTAGACAGTAAAAGGACAACTTTAACTTAACACTGAGTCATATTTCTGATTCCTGCTCCATCAACTCGGATGAACTCTTGTCCTACTTATCAAATAAACGGAGGAACAGGATGGAGTCTTCATTTCTCTTGGGCTTTTTTATGCCTTTTTAACCTTTTTCTGTTTTATAAAAATACTTTTTCTTTCAATGAATCTCCTCTAAAATTATGAGACGTGTGTTATGCATAACCCCAATCCTGTTACAACACAGTGAAGCACACCTGCAGAGCAGCTGCCCTGTATTTGACTCCTGTAACAGCCCACACGTCAAGCCTCATTTTTGTACGCAGAAGACCCCCTTTTGAAGGATTTCTTCCATCTCCTCAGAGTAAAGCATCAGTTTTCCACTCACTTCTGGAGGAAAAAGTCTGTGTACTCAGTTTAAGTAGCTCATAGCTTAGTCTAGGTCTGCAGTAGTTGGTCTTATAATCTTTGATGGGGATAGAAATACTGGTTTAATAATCCAGATCACATCAGTCAGATTTTCAGCTCTTCGTTTCCTCTGGTTTCCGCTTCCTAAATGTAGGAATCTGCTGCTTTGCTTCATCATTCAAGAAGCTGAAAGACATTGTGTTGGTCTTTGATAACTGTTTTACAGTTTTTCCTTTTTAATCATCAGTAGAATAAAAGATATTTCCATAAACTGTAACTTGATATTTCACATTTCCCCTGCTAACAGCCTAATACAGGCAGATATTATAGATGGGTTATGAATTTTACATTTTTGGTATATTTATTAATTCATGAAGAGATGAGAAGTTCATTCAAATATTATCTTACTGGATAAAAACATCTTTTCACTGTTTTTATGGTGCGCTCCTGTCAGACAGAAGTTCACCCAAGAGCTATTTGCAAACTGCATTAAACAGCAAATCGAGTACAAAACATATGCAACAGCTGTTTGGGATACACATAACGAATGCAGAGACTAGATGACTAGACTGTTGATGTTTTTAAGAAGAGGCCCAAGACTCACCTTCTTATTGCAAATGTTCATTTTAATGAAAGTTCTTATTCTTATTTTATGTCATTTTATTAATTATCTTTGTTCTTAGTCTTTTTCTTAATTCCCGTCATAGGTTTTTACTTCTTTTACCCCTTTTTAGATGGTAAAGAGCTCTTACGTATCTGAAAATATTGTTTTCTTGTTTTAGTTTATCAGGTTTTATTCTTTCCTTTTAACATTTTCTATTTTTTATCTCCAGTGTTTCCCAGAGGTAGCACTTTGTACCTCACGTATTGTCTCGGTGTCAGGCCATGTCTCTTTAACAATATATCTTAAATTCTCACACTGTGTGCACTTTGTGTGTGTATGTGTGGGTGAGTGAGTGAGTGAGGGTGGGTGTGTCTTTGGTGTGTGGGTGGAAGGGTCAGGTTTTATTGTTGTTAATTGTTGTTTTTAGCCTCTGTGAGGCACTTTGAACTGCATGTTTTGTCTGAAAATTGCCATAAAAACGAAGTTGAATTTAGATATTCTGTTTGGTGTAAACATGCACGCACACACTACTGAGTCACAGAAACAGCAGCATAAATCACAGTAAACTCTCATGGAGAATTTTAGTGTCCACACCTCTAAGTGTTGTATGAGTCACTGTTGTTTCCCAAATAAACACTGTGCAGGGTTCCTACACAAGTATGGAAAAGTATGGAAATAAATTTGATCAATTTGAAGGTCTTAAAAAGTATGGAAAAGTATTTATGTTTCCGGACTCTTACCACAGTTCTAAAATACTGTTTTCTAAAATAGAAAAGTAGGTATTTCCAGAAATAATTCTAAAAAGTAGGGTATGGAAAAATATGGAAATTCCGACTGTGTTTCAATCATAGCTACTCACAAAAGTTACACCTGCCACTGACCGGGACCAGTGAGATTCAAAACAGTAAATGGTGAAAAAAGTTGTAAATATTCAGAATGGGAAGAATGCTTCACTCAATGCAGGGCTCAGAGGAGCAGGCTTGTTCTTGTTCTGATTTGCTATTTAGATTTGAGTCGTATTTTGGCCTGATATGTCCATCTCTTGTGAATATTGAAGTGGCGGGTCGATTTCAGGACCAAAAGTACAGATTTTCTTTTTAGAGATTGCTGAATCTGATCGTCTGTCTGTCAGTGGCTGGTAGACATCCACATTTGAAAAGTCGATTTCCTGTCTACACTGCAGCTAAGTGTGCGGAGCAGAAGTTTCAACCCCCCTGCCTGAGTGCTGACAGCCTCACAGTGGAGATGATTAAACCAGCATCTGACACCATCAAAATCAGTGATACAAGATGAAGCAGCGTGTGTTTTGGGGGGGGGAGCCGATGTTGCAGAAAGTCACTCTCAGTAAGTATCTTCAGTAAAAACCAATCTGTCATAGTTTACTCTCTTTTAGAAAGAACAGAGGATCATAACTCGGTACCTTCATGGAGCTCTTTCCGTAGTTTCTCTGCATCTTCCTGCAGGACAGATTTCTGAGTGTTCAGCACGGCCACGTACATCTCCAAGTCCGTACGACACGACTTCTCCGCCTCCAGAACGTGATTGAGCTCCTTGACCTGTCAGGAGAGAAACAGGAGTTTATTTTCTCAAAAGTTACAAGTTTCTTAAAGTTTCTTTGATCGGAGTTTTGTAAAAAAAAAAAAGCTGCTCCTCTGTGATGAACTGAGAAAAAGAGACGACATCAAGCAGTATCATTTGATATTTTCAGCTTTGGTCTCCACTTTCTCTTGAGGGAAATGTCTGGCTCTTTAGCAGCTAAATGCTCCACTTTCTCTGCCAGATACTTGCTAACTGTGTGTCTCTGCTTACAAAACTTTTATCAGAGTTCTCCGCGCTAAAAAGCTGTCTGCTTCAGCTGGAAACTGGGTTGATGAGAGAGCTGGGATAAAACACAATGAAGTTGCCTTAAAACTGAACAATTATTTAGAAATGCTGCAAGGCTGAGGGAAACTACAGAGAGTGGCTACAGATAGAAACGCAGCACTGGGAGGCTTAAAAGGTTGTGATCGTGGTTAATTAATTTCACTTATGATGGAGTGGAAGTGGAAATGAAACGTATCAAAACATGGTTCCTCTTCTGCTAGTTAAAGTGAAAATAACATAGAAACGACCGACAGCACTGCGCCGTCACTCTCAAGAGCGACAGGTGTATACAAAGGTTGAATCTTAGACCTTCACAGAGTTAAATTTTAAAGGACTTTTTACACCTTTTTTTATGACTTCATGGAAATGAATTTAACAGCAGTGTCACAATCTGGACAAGCGTCTAAAAACGATGGAAATAAACACCTTAAATAAGTATATTTGAACTTGTACGTCAACTTTATCGTCAGCACTTTCTAGTTGTGACTTCTAAGAATACAGTCTTTTTTATTTATACTGTTTATGATTTTAGAATTATCAAATTAAACAGAAATGCACTTAACATAAATTTCTAATCAGTTTAAAGGTTCAGAACACAGATTTTTAAATGTCTAAACAAATGTGAAAGTAGTTTAAAACCAAGAAAATAAAAAGTAATTTCAAGAACATTTATTATCTTATTATGAAACTATTGCTTTAACCATGTTTACATGAAATGATTTTGGGACCAACATTACTCCATAAAGCAAAAAGGAAAATGTAACTTCTTTGAAAAGTCAAATTGAAGAGTTTGAATCAGGGGGCAGAAGCTCAGTCTGTGGGGACTTTGCTCATAGGTTAAATTTCCAACTCAGACTTCAACAGCAGTTAACTCTTGTAAAATGTTTTAGTCCTTGTTCTCAAAAAGGGACCTGAGCATTATAGTTCAAGAGACCTGCATGAAAACGAAAAACGAGGAGGCACCTAATGATAAGTACTGCTCTAACAGTACGGGGACTACTCTACATCGGCTTAACTTGTGCAGCCAGCTAAGCAGTTAAGTTTTGTATCCGCCGAAGAAAGAGTCGAGTCAGCAATGAGCGAGCACCCCGGGCACATCAAGAATGATCAAGGAGTTCGATAGCTGACTACATGTCTGCAGAAAAAATGCATCTAAGGGCTCGAACAAATCAAACTACCAGGGAGCGTCCACACGAGTAAAGGCATCACCGAATCAGTGAGTGAAATGATGTCAGGATGTTTGATTTAAACATTAATAATGCCGTAAAATTAATGAATGCATAATGATTGATATTTGTGAAAGTGGGATTATACTCTGACAGTAACTATACCACTAAAATCTCTTATCACTGAATCCCCACTGCTGAGGTGGTCTTAAAGTCAAGCACCAAACTCCCTTCATGAGCCGCCTCCTCACACTGGCATCTCTTCATTGGTGCATCTGTGTCTGTATGTGTGTATTTCTGGCTCGTCAATTTCTTCTCAGAGATGATGCCTTTTTTTTTTAAATACCTTTTGGAGATGCTGAATATTTGGATTTTAAAAAATCCACTCTGAAATAACCTTTTTTTAAAGATTTTATGCACTTTTTTTTGTTCCGAGTGTCTAAAACAGCGGTGAACCTCTCCACTTCTAACACAATCAACCTTTACAAATTCAATTCACTCAGACAATGCAGCTGCCGCGCCCGGTCAATGTCATGCCCTGTTATCATATTATGTGCTCATTTTTTACGGCTGAATCATTGATTTAATGCTGACTAACCTTTGAGGCCTCCAGCTCCTTCACTCTGTCCTCGGCTGTCGTCAGCTTTGCTTTCAGGGCGGCGATCTCCTGCTCCATGGGCATCACCACTGAACGCAGCTTCTCTGCATCCTCCTGGGCCTTGAAGGGTTTTTTAAAAACACTCATTATAAATGTGTCCATATGCAAAGTAGCACAGGGTTATTTATTTAGGAGGGATTTTGTCTTTCAGCTGCTGCAAAAACATGACACACATCGTATCAACAGAAGCTTTTTTTGTAATTCTGTGATTGTGAAGCTTCCAGACAGCCTACTTTTTTCATTTCATCCTCCAGGTTCTCCTCCTCTTGGCCTTCAGTGAGGCGGCGTCTCAGCTCCCCCAGTTCCCTCTCCACCGCCTCCCTGTACTGGTTCCATTGGCTTCGTTCCTGCTCCAGTCGCTGGTGGAACTGGACCTCATACTCACACACCGTTTCTGCAGGGACAATGGAAAATGAGGCACAGTACTCTCTGTGCTGATGGAGTTATCTCTGTTATTTCGAGCTATTTCATGAACTGGATAACAAGCACTGCTGCTTTCTCAGTTTCTGGTTCCTCCAGTGTCCTCCAACAGATGCCAATACCCTCCTACACTCAGGCACTTCTCTGCTCTGCTCTGCTCATACCACGTCTCATAAAATGTCTCCAAATATTTATGAGTTACCATTAATCTCTCTCTCTGTCCTTCTATCCCACCCACTAAAACACAGATCGTTTCTCCATATCCACTCAGATTTTGCAGTGCTTTGATAGAAACTCGCCACACAATGAATGAACTCTTTTCCAACAACACATAAAAACTGTCTTATCTTATACGTCTCTTTAAAAGACTTAAACTTCTCCGCTACAAAAAAATGCAGCTAGAGCACTGAGAGGTTTTATAGATGGTATGCAACATTCTGGTTTGGCTAAAATTGCAACAACAAAATCATAATCTTGGTGGAGTAAATAATTTGTTTATTGTAAGATAAGTTTGAAATTTAAAAAGTGTTTCCTCACTTTAAAAGAGTATGAAAACAGCCTCTTATTCAGGGATTGACTCTTTTTCTGATATTTCTCCCTTCTCTGACTCTTCCTTCTCTGATATTTCTTCAGACTCTTGACTCAAACATCATCGGGAGATGTTGAAGAGGATTCAATTTATGTTTTTATCCAGACTGTTGAACTGTTTTTGCTGTTTTTCTTGTGTGAAACCCTAGTAATTTAATCCAGCCAACATCAAGTGGTGCCGAAATATAAAACAAGAATGCAGAAGTGCTTCACACAGCAGTTTCTCTAGCGCCCACTTGAGGCAGGATACAAAAGTCCAGGAATTCCCATGCACATCCATGTTAAAGACCTGTGCTAAGAGCAAATTCAAACCAGTTTACAGCCTGCTGCAAAAATGTTTTTAATCAATTTCTTCTCATTTTGAAGACATAAGACAAAGATTTTGTATAAATCTGCATTATTTATTGCACAATCAAATGTCTTTTGTTCTGTTTTTTCGCCTCTTTCTAAAATAGGCTGTCGTAAACTCTATTTCAAGAAAGACTCGGTGGCCTTCACAACCAAAAAAATGTGCAAATATGTTGATTCTAATATTAGAATGGGTCAAAATGAGTTCGAGGATATCGGCAAGTCGGTTATCAGCAAAAATCCAATACTATGCATCCCTAAACTGTACATGTTCAGTAATCCCACCACAGCTGAGTCGTTGAGAGAGTCACTTTAATTAGGAGACACACGACACGCCGTATTTTAATATCAGTGATAATTTTCATCTCCAAACACTCCAACAGGATCGGTCAGGATTTTTTACAAACAGGTCAAATGTTTTCTACAAGTCTGACTCTTGTCTGATTCTTCTTTGGTGACCTAGACCAGACTCCTGAGACATGCCTGGACATTAAAGTTTAATGATTTCTCCACGACTTAATCAGAATAAAGACCGTATTCATCTGAACAATTACTGTGTCACTTTTTGTGTAAGAGCACCTCGGTTTACCTTTCATGATAGCCTGCAAGGAAGCCACTTCCTCCTGCCACTGGCTGCGGACCTGATCGATGGCTTCCTGCTTGGTGTTTTCCGACACAGTGGCCACAGCTTTGATGGTTTCTATATCTGCCCGGGCCTGGGACAGCTGATCCTGGATGGAGGTCAGTTCGGCCTGGGCGCCCTCCAGGGCTGCGGTCTGCCTCTTAAGCTCCTCTGGAGGGGCACAAGAGAGATCAATGACGGCGTGGGTGAAGGATGGTTGAGGTGATTATGCAAAAGTCGGAAAGGCGAGGAACGGGGGCGAGGCAAACATCGAAGCCAATTATATTCTATTGATTGTTTCATTTTGAAAGCAAACAGGAAGAATGAGGCTTGAAATAACAGAAAAACATATCATCTTACTCTTTAGGATTAAATTCAGACTGTGAGGGTCAAGACCTCATCTCCCCATCTGAACTCTCCTGTACATTATTCCTCTAGAGAAGACAGCTGCTCATGATGGGACCCTTACCTTCCTTGGACATGTAGAGCTCTTTAAATTTGGCTCTTTTCTGGTTGAACTCGCCCTCCAGCTGCTGCTTGAGTTTGATGAACTCGGCCCTCTCTTGCTCCAGAGCGGCTACTCGCTGCTGCAGCTCCTCTGCAAGACGGAGAAGACAAACAAAATGCAAGACGATTAATCACCTGAGTGAAAAATCTTTAGATTGAACTCCAGCATGCACAAATACAACCTTTACTCACTGTATCACTTCAGCTGTGTAACTTACTGTCTGATACTTTAGTTTGCAGGCCTCTCTATTCCTTCAATATTGTTCATTAACCTCAATGATATAAGGAATAACTCTTTCTCTTCAACAAACTATGTCAGGATGTTGTTTCACAATGTTTACTCTGAGTCATGAAAAAGGACATGATCTGAGATTTTTATGACTGTCATATTTTCAAACTGCCTGAATGTTGATTTCCCCTCTCTCCGAGTATCACATATCCTCTGCTCTTCCAGATTTATTTTCTATTGTCTCCTTAAACTGAACTATTTTTTCCTGCATGAATGCTGCCCAAAAGTCATTATTTTTCCTTTCAGGGTCGATTTGTCAGAATAATTTTTCAGACATGAGAATTAAAAGTTATTCAGTCGCTCACTGGACAAAAAAAAAAAAAAAGTGGGATGAAAGTCACTTCTGCAGAAAATGCACAGGTTTATAATTCAGTCTTTCTCTGCTCTCCTCTTTTTTGATTCACTTGACGTTGCGGGAGTCCTGACCGAAACCTTCCACCCGCTGTGATACCAACAAATCCACTTTTTCTGTCATAAAAAGTACGCAGTAACATCCTTCTACAGCACCCGCATGAACTGAAGTATTACTTTGACATGTTGTTGTCTCTTTGATTAGAATAAAAACTGACAGGCAACACAAAGCCACACAAAAATAAATGAAATCAACTGGTTTAAAGTAAGAATAGAGCAGCAAAGAAGTAAAACAGCATAAATAAAAGAGAGTTGAGTATATCAGATTTCTACTGGTGACAAACTGCTGATAATTGGGAAGTTACTGACAGAAATTTATAATCTGGGAAACCACAATCCTGTAAGCGGGTGACTATGTTAACATTTGACTGGATGAGTACATCCTTCTGTCTCTGCTTCGACTAGATACTAGAGCTTTACTCAGCTCAATGAATCATAAAAGGCTAAAAAACTAAAACCACAGTTTTTATTAAACATACAGGCTGATCTTATGTCTGTACTTAAGTTGTTTTGGAGCAAAGGCTTGACTTTACAGCACTTAAATATACTCAGTTATTTAGGTAACATGAGTTTATCAAAACAATTACCTACAATGAAAACTAAAAAATGCATCTAGAACTTAAAATTAGGAATTGCTAGTTTAAGTTAACCGTCTTCCTATCCACAGCCAGAACTCATAGTAAGAGTCACAGTATTTTCCTACATCCTGTCCTGCATGGATCGTATTTATTTCCCTTCTTATTTAAAGCCAGCAGAGCAAGCAGGGAGACAATGATATCTCCAAACTCAGACAGACGAACGGAAACATTTGCACAGCAGCAGCAGCAGAAGCAGCAGCACTGTTCCCTGCAGTCATGTGATAGCTGAACACACTAAAGCAGAAATTCCATCAGTACATAAGCTGAACATAAACTCACATGGATCTGATGGTGATTTTTGGCAAACAGTGTTGCTAATCCCTCAAGCGCTATTTTAGCTTTAAAACACGGCCAAGCTCGTCTCCTGTGGCTTTAAAATCAACTTCAATATGATACGATACAATACAACAAAACATGAAACAGGAGGCTTTAAGCAGTTGTCAGAAAAACCTACGAATAAAAACACCAACAAACAAGAGTGCAGATGAAAAATACCCCATCTACTCAGCAATGCAACTGTAGATTAATGTTTTTTTTTGATTTAGTACATTTAGTACACTGCAGTATGTTATTGTAGCACCGAATTTAATGCACCTTATATGAAGGGTGTATATATGTTAGATGTTGTTATAGCTCCCTTGCAGAAAATTGGTGTGACACTGTATTGGCATGATACCGTAGTAAGGAATGATGGTGGGATACGGTGCACTGCAAGTACAATATGGTACAATATGGCACAACACTATTCCACTTGGTACAGTATAGCACTTAACTAAAGCCTCTTATCTTAAAGTAATATGTCGGCTAATACTGCATACATGTAGCTTCCTCCACATTCAGACTGGAGGAAAATCAGCTGCACATACACAAGTTCTTATCTTGCTTTTGGAGAGTTTGCAGACACAGTATAAATGTGCATCTGCAGTGACTATCATTGGTCAACAGCACTGACATGGCCAGTGTCTAATGCTGTTTGAACTATTCCAATACGCTCTATTTTATTGAATTAAATCTGGCATTAGTCAACACATTTTAATCAAAGCTAAAGTGAAAGGTTGCCTTTAATGTTTCCAAGAAGGTCAATGCAATTATTTTACTTTGTACTAAATCAAATGACATTAAACAGAATTAAACAGGAGCGCCTGGTAGAGCAGGTGCCCCATGTACCAGCCCGCATGTCATCCTCTCTCTCCACACATCTTTTGTCTCTAAGATGCTCTATTAAATAAAGGCAAAACGCCCAGAAAACAATATTTAGAAATAGAAATAAAACTTCCAGCAATAATCAAATAAAGAAAATGGTGAAAGTGAAGAAAATGTCAAAGCTCCACTGTAACTAACAGAGTCGCCTGAGGGCTTCCTCTAATGCTTGCAGCAGTCATTAAAAAAAAGCCACCAGAAAATCACATTATTTTGTGTTTCCCTTATGTTTCTTCAGCAGTGAAATCAAAGATTTCTGATTCTGGAACAAGTGTTTAATGCTTTGTGTTCAGATCTTTGCTGCTGTAGCAATACTAGATAGTCATGTACAAGGACAAAGATATACTGTTGTATAGATATCTAATCTTATCTGTTCAACTCAAAAGAAAAATTGGTTATGGATTTTACATATGCTAACCCCACATGACTCAATTACTGTTATAACAAATAAGTTTCAGGGTGCAAAATTTCTCAGCAAATAAAGGAGAATAGATGCTTACTTTACAGGTGTGACCAGTCTGCAGGATAATATACAGGTACGCAAGTAAACCCTGAACAGAAATCCATACATGAATTGAATTTGCTCATTTTTTCTGTCACAATATGGTTAGTTTCCTCACAATCTTGATTTTCTTCTTGTAATGTTGAAATGTTGACTCCAGTTTTCACACAATTTAGGTGTGTAATTGAACTCTTTTCCCAACATTCGCTCTAATTTTTCTCATCATCTCATCAGTGGTGCAGGTGAATCAAAAACTGCAACTCCACAATGGAGCTGCACGGTTGATTAAATCCAATTACAACTTTAGATTACAGTGCCGAGAAACAAGTGTAGGAGACTTAGGGTTAGGGTGTGTTAGCGAAGCAGAGGGACTAAGTGAGCACAAGAAGAGAAGCTGCAGCATTAACAAACAAACATTTATTTATATGCCAACAATCATTTGAAGGTTTAAACAAGCCAATGATTGTACGATTAATGAATTACTGACTATAAGTTCTGTGTCATTTAGAAATTTAAATGCCATATGGTTAGGGCTGGGGGATATGGGAAAAAGTGTATCACAATATGTTATTTTCATATCAGTCGATATCGATATACATCACGATATAAAATGAAATTTAACAGTGCTTTTTGATAGCATGTCTTTTGCAATACAATCAGCTACTGCATCTGTGAGGTCTTTGTGTCTCTTCGACGTTTTGTCGTAAGGCATTGCGCTAGAGAAAGCGGACTGAACGGTGGGCTGTTTCGGCTGCACAGGTGCCGTGGGCTCTTTCACCGCTCGGGAATTGTAACCTTTTGCATTGTGCGTGCTCTGCCAAGTGGCACCGCTTCAGGTGGTGAAAAACATTTGAGGTATTCCCCGACTTTGCGAGGACATGTGCTCGACATAATTTGCAGTGCACAGTGCAGTTGCGTGTAGCTGCTGCCTGCTACAACGTGGTTATTTGCGACTTGGTTCTAATTCAGCACATGATTAGTTCAGCGCAAAGCGGACCCGGGAGACCTCCCCTTTTCATTGGCTAATCATATAATCTATTAAAACATGGCAGAATGCCGACTATCAAAAACGATATTGACCAAGTTTTATATTGATATTGAGGGAAATTAATTTTTGATATATATCGTTATCGTTTTATCGCCCAGCCCTCCATATGGTGTAATTGGTTACATCTGGGATAACACTCTGATCAAATGGAAGCAAGGTCAGTTAACTCACTGTAAAAATACTACACTACAGGTAAACCCCTTTTGTTTACTTGCGTTATCACCAAATTATGTCAAAGTTCTATTAAAGGTAAAGCTTAAAAGTGTACTGATGCTACATGTTCAGATGTGTGAGGTCAGTATGGTTCAAAAATACCAGGGAGGTTACTTTACTCCAAGCCAGCCCTGTTAATAGGTATACAAACAATAAATAAGGTATATGAACAGCATTAACTGTACATGGCTGCACAGGGATGACTAACCAGGCATTATTACCTCATGAGTCTGGCTCTTCTGCAATAACAAATCCACACAGATTAATGTTACACCCATGGAAAGCTACAATCACACATGTTCCCCTGCAGGACCCAAGGATGGTACCCGGACCTCTGTTTGAGAACCAGCCTTGAACAGGATCAACCTCCTGTATGATGGTCCAGCCCCCGAGTGTTGCAAGTCATACACAGCACATTGCACTGGGCTGCTGATGAGGTCCATATGATCCATGTTAAAGAATGACAATGCTGGGTCAGACTAACAGAGGCCAGAGTCGACCTTTAGATCAATTTAGTGACATCAGCTCAAGCTACAAGCTAACAAGCTATCTGTCATACGAGTGTTACACTATTATGCTTCTTTTCTGCTATTTAACATGAATCTGTAGCTTCACGTAAAGGGATTCAAGCAGATATTGATGAATGCACAAACTGCGTAGTGTGAAATGTTCAATATGATACAGTGACAGCAGTGACACGTCGCCCTGATGATGCTAACGAGCTAATGTTGTCAAGGATGCAGAGGCCGCTGGTTTCGATGCTCCCACTCCTAAACGCTCCCTCTACAAAAGCCCACAAACGGAAGAAATTTACCGTCAGGTTGGGACGACAGCGGGGGTCCCGGGGCCTGCTCGGCCATGGTTTCCTGAGCGAGGCTTGAGGCTGTAACCAGGGAAGAGGGATAAGCGCTAGGAGTGTCCAAGAAAACAGGCTAACATCACAACTAATATTAAGCTAAAGATAAGGAAGGAATACAACTTCCGGTAAATTTTCAAAGTAAAGCCATATCGTAACGGCTCTGTGATTTCAACCCAAGACCAGTGGTCATGTTTAACAATGCAGAAAGAAAAACCACTACAAAATGATATAATCTCAATAATATCTTATGGTAAAGTCTTTTATTTTATGTTATTCCACATCAATCTTTCTCATAAAGCCACTTTATGCTATTATTCTGAAGGCAATAGTAATTTCCTGTTAAAGCTTACTAAATTTAATGATTTTACAAATCCGGTGTCACCTTTCAAAATAAAAAAGATTGTGTTGCTGTATTTCTCTTACAGACATTAAAAGTCTTTAAAAGTTTGACTATCAAGTCAAGGCTTTCTTTAGTTAACTTGAACGATTAGAACTATTCATTTGAAGGCAGCTATGTATGGAAAATATAACTACAATTATTGTTATTATTATTATTATTGTTGTTGTTGTTGTTGTTGGTATTATTATTACAATAATGATAGTAAAATTATTATAAATATTTAATATGAGTTTTATAATTGTGATTACAGCACATTATAATTTTATTGTTATAATTATTGTAGGCCTTGAAGGTCAGCTCCACAAACATTTTACTCAACACCAAAAACAATCAAGGAAAAAAAATCAAGGAAAAAAATATTTGTTTAAAATTATAGCAATTGCATTATGCATAATGAGATTGTCCTACAAAACAGTAATATTTCACAAAAATAATTTTGAAAACACAAATGTTCTTAGAAAATGAAAAATATTTCAGAAAATCCCAGAATATTTATTAAGCTAAAAAACATTTCAGTTCTTGAAAAAAAAAGTATAAAACGCATTAAGACAAAACAAGTTTACCATAAAGGAAATGGCATTGTTTTTTTTTTTCCATATTGCATAATGTAAAAGTAACTTTTATATTTGGTTTTTATTGTGGGTGTACAGTAATGTTTTTGGTGCTTGGTGAAATGATTTTCAGGGTCATGAAATGTTTGTGCAGTTGACCCACAGAGCCACTGTAGTATATTCACTAAATCTCCACTGACAGTATGGTGATAAGATTCGCTCTGACTAATGATTCTGATTTAGAGGAACTGAAAACAGCAAGGGCGGAAAATGAGGGCTATGCTTCCCTAAAGTCTAAGAATTTACTGTCATAAAAAAACAAAACAAAAAAAAAAACAGTTCAAAAAAAGTGAATAATGTATTCACCAAGTATTGATCCTGAATCCACAGCATCATAAAAACTGGTCCTGGAGTACCATCCTCAAAATGAAAGAAGAGGAAAGAAATTTCACAGCCCAAAATAGGAGTACACACACACACACACACACACACACACACACACACACACACACACATTGAAGATGCTGGAGCTGCTGTAGCGTATCAGAGGGTGGTGAGGGGGGGAGTTCAGTATTTAAATTTCTTAAGTAAACTATAGAAATTAGTTTCTGTCATGCAAATATTGAACACCATGACTGCTGCTACATTTCATCCTCCATTTTTCAAACCATTCACTGAAATCAACACACTTCAACCCGGCTGTGGACCTTTCAGCTAAGGTAAGGCCTACTTTCAGTGAGTTAAATAAGGAACCATAAAAGTTCTTTAAAGGTAACTGAATAGCTAAAAATATGTGTAAAAAATCAAAGTTTGGGCATTACTCCATATATGAAAGCCACTGAACACTTACAAAAATAATCAGCCTCTTAAAGAAAGCCCAGTTCTTGTTCCTGAATTTGCAGGATTTGCCATAATTGCCACTTTGATGGCGATGTTTCTGGTTTTGTATGTTATTAGCAGGAAGCTGCTGAAAGGACAGGATGTGTGTCATGCAGATAAAGAGAAAGAAGAGCATTAATATCGCTCTGTTTGCAAAGATAGTAGAGCATAAACCATCACTGTTCCTTGACTTTTGCTTGACTATAAACTTTAAACCTTCCCTCCCCTTTCATATTTTTTCTTAAAGGTATCATATTAAGCTTTTGTATTTCTACAAGCGAAGGATTCAGACTTCCTCACAAGTTGAAAAGTCCCCTGGGTTTGTTGTTTCTCAGAATGCTAACATGGAAATAAAAATAGCCCATTCGTCAACACAACAAGAAAGGGGAAGTGGTGCATGGTCTTTTTTTCTGATTCACACTGCAACATACTGGAAAGTAGCAAGCAGGTCTTGTGTTTGTCTCTCTTAAGAGTTAATGGGAGCTTGAATGTCATCTTTTTCTTTTTCACCCTCTGTGCTATAGAGCAGGGTGTCCATGGATCTTTCACGTAAATACATGTGGATATGGGTGATCTGTGGGATGATTTTTGTGAGTATGGTGATCTGTCTCATCTTCGTCTTGATCAACAGGTGCATTTCAAAAAAAGGTAGGCAGAGGCTGCATTTATTTGCATGAAAATATCGTAATGTGTTCCTTTTTGTCTTGCTGTTTTTTCACACTCCATCTTTTCCTTCGGTGAAAATTAAATACCTGTTTTTCAAGCAGAGCAGTCTGTGATAAACGAATGCTTCACAGAGACAGAACCGAATAAAATAAGATGATCCACTGAGGGAAATTCTGATGTTTCAGCAGTCTAAGCATAGAAATGAGAACAATCAATGACTTAATCTTGGCATTTCAATCTTAATTAGTGGTACAAAACAAAAATAAAAGTAAATATTTACAAGCTTGCGGTAACAGTAGAGTGATTAATAGCAAAAGACGCAAGTAAAGCACATACAGTAAAGCCTAAACCAAGAGAGATCGTATTCAGACGGAGATATAAAAACATAAATATTGTATAGTTCATTGTGGTTTCAAATGTAATTAATTGTAAACAAATGGTGAATCTTAATACGACATGGTAGTATGTAGTTTTAGAGGGAATTAAAGAAGTGAAATTACTCTTATATAGTGCTTCAGTTTACTTTGGGTACTTTATTTGTGAAAACACTTCAGATTAATGCCATTAAAACAATCTCCCAAACATCATAGTGTTTTTTTTTTCAACTGAATAAAACATACTTAACCATTGGAAGTGTAACATAACATAACATAATGTAATATAATAAAAGATAACTAGTTTTAGGAAATCCTTTTTCAACTTCTTGGTCATGAGCTTCACAGTTTGTGGTTTAACTTTATTGACACTTTTTTCAAGACCATGGTTACCAAAAAATAATTTGAAAAATAATTTCAAATTTATTGAGTCATTTTAAGATTAAAATTTAGTGTTATCTTATATCCAGTTTTTAACAGTCACACAGGTAATGAACAGCATACGATGAGCTGGTGGTCATGTCGAGTAGGATCTCCTCAGGCTGGACTGTACACTGGTGTGGATTGGACTATTGGAGCAAATCTTAAAAATCTATTTTGATTACAAAAATTTAAAACTCTGAAAAAGATCTGAAAAGCGGGGCCTTAAACTCTTTGCAAGAGATTTTCTGGGCAAAATTTAACAACAGCTGCCTTAATTTCATGACTTATGCAACAAACTTGTTTCAAAGTTCAAAGCGGCAAAAAAAACAGAGAGTGGGAATGTGTCCATTGGTACGCCATGAATAAACATAAGACTGCACACTGCAAAGCAAAACACAAAGTCAGTAGGTAAACAGACGTTAAGAAAACTGAACAGACATGGAGACAGAGATCCTTTTTGTTATAGCTGTACTGTATTTCTACCAGCAATGGAAGGAAAAACCCTTATTTATCCTGTTGTTCCATCTTTCTGTCTATCAAAACAAGATATATTAAAATATGATGTGCTGCAAAGATGTTTAACATTTCTGATATTTTCTGTCTGTGCACTTGACCTGACAGCACATGGCATGACCTCAGTATTCGACAAACGACAGCTTAAAACCGGCAAAACAGGCAAGAGCAGTTTCAAGTAAAACCCACCGCACAGGGTGCGACATAGACAGAACTTAACAAAGTCATAGTGAAAGTGGAAGTTGCAGTTTTTATAGGAGATGCATCTGTCGTCCAGTTAGGGCCGACTGGATGACATATTTCTCAGGTTTGGTATCCAACACCAGTTTTCTCCAGAGTGGGTTCATCAAAATTGAAAGAGAGGAACAATAAAGAAGGCTAAACAATTTTTAAACCAAGAGTTAGGTGAAAAAATTCACCCCAAAAACTTAAATCTGCCAGTTTGATGTGAAACAAAGCTGCAAAACTGTAATAAACTGCAGACTAATGGAAACTGATAGACTCGGCTGTCCAATTGAAGAAGAAATACCATACGTTTTAAGCTTTTTTTTTTATTTTTGTACCAGAGAGGTGACTGAAGTTTGTGGAAATGAATAGCCAAGAAAAAAATTCAATATATCAAGTCATTTTTTATGTAGTGGAGGTAGATAAAGTTGCATTAAATGGAAATACTCCAGAGACAAGACTTCCAAGTCATACCAGAGCAGTGTGTCCATGCTCTTTGTTCCTCCATATCTGAACTGTTGCTCACATAAAATTAAAATGTACACTACATGAAGTGTGAAATAATCAACGGTTTCTTTTTCTGCACCCATTTTCTTTTAATTTAACAGGAAACCCATTAAACTGTAAACTGTCACCACAGAACAGGAAGAGAAACCAAACCAAAACAGACAATCATTCTGAGCCAGCGCTTGTTACTCTGATTCCTTCGCTGCAAAGCATAATTATAATTGTATGATTTTCTATTATTAGATGCCCCCCCTCTGGATTTGATTAGCTTAGATGAAACTTTAATGATCCCTGTGGGTAAACTGGGCTGCAGCAGTGAAGACAGAGGCTCAGTGATGATTTAGTCTAAGGATAAACACAGAGCAAACAGAGGGAACAGAGTCATTATGTGGAGCAAAAATATATCTAATGTACATACAAAAATGTGAAAACTGTACGTGAAAACACAAATATAGGTGGCTAATTTGCAAATGTGCCTTTTATTGGAGGGTTTCTGTCACAATTATGTCCTACTTAGAGCCTCTTTATTATGTGGTCTTAAATAAATCCTGCTGTATTTATTTTCATCCTCATTTGTTTCAACATAATCCGGCATCACACTGCTCACACTCCTGTTAATGAACTCAACCACACTGAGTTTTCACTTGAATTTAATTCCTTCTTAATTTTGTTCCCCTACAGGCAAACACAAAATCACAAGTTCAAGTCTTGACAAAAGAACAGCCTTCATTGTCAGGTAATTTTTAATGACTTTTATCACTGGATATGGTTTAGATTTGGTCATTCTTTATCCACAGAGGTGTGCGTCTTTGATTTCCTTAGTGTGAAGAGAAGATGGAAACAAAGCCTGGTCATGTCAGAAGAGTATCTCTAATGTAATTTCAACTAAGGAATAAAATATTGTCTTAGTTTTCTCATTTAAAACACTTTGGATACTTTACTTGAATTGGCTGAGAGAAGCTTAAAGATGAATTTAGCTTTTTAATGCCTGACACCGCAAATTATGACCAGAAAATTCAATTTTTTTATTTCACTTAAAATTAAAATGTCCTTAAAATTTAACAATTTCTATTTATTTATCTTGTTTGATACATTAAATGTTTTTGGAAACTAATAAACTACAAGAGGCTGTATTCAGGTGTTTTTTTAGTAATTTGTTGATCATATTGATTTGATAGAAGTATATAAACGTATGATACAAAAGGCATTAAAGGGTTAGGCATATCGTTTTTAAAAACACCCGGAAGCCTCAACACTGTTCCAAAATAACACATATTTTGAAAAGCAAATTAAAATGTGTCAGGTACACCAGAATATTTCATTTTCACCACAAAATAGGTGGTTGTACTTTTAAAATGTTGTTCATCTATATGCTTCAGTTCACAGAGAAGAAACTTTAAAGTTTTATACAGTACTGGGCTTAAAAGCTTTATTCTAAGTGTTTATTCTTGCAGTAAACACACATTTATAATTGAATGTTAGAGCCTGATATGTAACAATGATCTAAAATGTTATTAAAAAATATATAATAATAATGCAATAAAGCCCTAAATGGAATAATTGGTTAATAGTGAGACAAAAGTGTTGAGACAAATGTAATGTTGAGACATAATGTAACAAAACCCATTATGTAACAACTGACCCAAAATGTAACATGTTACATGTGTCACATGTGTAAAATGTAACATGTTACATTTTGGGTTTTATTACATTATTTTTATAATATTTTGAGTCATCGTTCTAACATGGCTTTTTTAAAGTCAGATTTAAATATTGTTCTGCTGTTAATGTAAGATAAGGAACATGCACTACAGATTAACGTATTTCAGCCATGCTAGCAGCTTAGTCCCTTTTCTTGGTAATTGCCAGGCAACAAGCGGTCACTCCACGGAGTTAACATTCCTCAATAAGAAACAACTGGACTTACGGGGCCTTTTAAACAGGATCGTGTTTCCTATGTTTATGACAAGACACCGTGCGAACACCACAGTATGCTGCACTTGTGGTTATCACGCTTTAGTGCGAGTGACATTACAATCATAGCTCAACAGTTCTGCACTCTAATTCGACCCCAGGATCTGTTACAAACTAGGTTTCTCGTGTTATTTCAAATCATTGTTGTTACACTCTAGCAAAGCCATAAATGTCCCTGTGGTCTAATGTCTAAGGTATTTTGAGGAGTTATTTTTTTTCTCACCTAGTGACAAATCTAGACTAGCCATTACCCCATCAGTTTCATTTCCGCTTACTAGAATGTTGTCATAGATTTAGATTTAACAGACCCACAAGCTTGTGTGAATGATATAGACCTGTTCTTCAGCCAAAAATATAGATTACAAATTATGAAACTGTATCTTTAAGTGTGTGTATCTTCACTGAGCCTGACCATTACACTGACATTTCTGTTTTTGACCTCACAGCAGCAACAAATACCAGGAGACCACCCTTAAAGCCAGCAATCCACCCTTACCTCCTCGGACACAGTTTGGCCCAGAAGGCAAGGCTTTATATTGGACTCTGAATAGATTACATAACACAGGTCTACCCATCAACCCCTTCCCCCCAAACCTCGTATCTTCCTCTCACGTTCACCACATTATCACCAAAACAGAATCTATCTGCCGTTTGACACTAAGCCAGAATCTCAGAGGAGAAAGAGGATTACATATTAAGGCTCACATGAGTTTGTCAAAAATAACACGTGACCGACTACTGGTGGTAGAAAAATTAGGCAACATGAAGAGCAGTGAAATGTAAGCCTTCATGAGTGTCACTGAACCACCACAGAAAACTGGACTCAGATCCAGTCCAGAACCACATATTCTGATCCAAACTGTGGTTTCTGAACCAGAAATGATCCGTGCATCACAAATGCAAACTGAGAGAGAAATGTAGATGATAGTTACAGTTTGGCCAAACAAATGAAGTGCCAGTGCTTTGACTAATCCGGCCAAAATGTTCTGATTTTTTTGGCAAAGTGGTGTTTCCATGTGACTAAAGCAACTTCAATTTACTACAGACAGTGAAGAAAAGAACAAGAGAAAACAAGAACGAAACCTGCTTTACTGAAATATTGTAGACTGTAGAATAAAAATAATATAGATGGCAAAAAAAACAAACACTTATTTTAAGATTTATATGTAGATGCTGATGAATCTTGACTATAAATATAACATTTTTGTTTTCAGTGGGTCAAAGCTATGAAAACCTGGCTGAGGTACCTGACTATGAACAAAGCATGCCGGACTACGAGCAGGACAAACCAGACTACGTTCAGGGTATACCCGATACGGCAGACTATGAGGAGGCCACGCCAGAGTACGAGCAGGACAAACCAGACTACGTTCAGGGTATACCCGATACGGCAGACTATGAGGAGGCCACGCCAGAGTATGAGCAGGACAAGGCAGACTATATGCAGGATATGCCAGACTATGAGGACGTCATTCCAGAGTATGAGCAAGACAAGCCAGACTACGTGCAGGGTATACCCGATATGCCCGACTATGAGGAGGCCACGCCAGAATACGAGCAGGACAAGCCAGACTATGTGCAGGATATGCCAGACTATGAGGACGCCATTCCAGAGTATGAGCAGGACAAGCCAGACTATGTGCAGAGTATACCGGATTACGAGCAGGATATGCCAGACTATGAGGAGATCATAGATGAGCCACCTGATTATCTGAAGCTGGAGGAGGAAGAATTGATTCTCCCCCCTCCACCATCATACCAGGATCCACAGCCAGAAGGAGACAACGACTCCTCAGAGGACTATGATGATATTGGAGGTGAAGATGAAACCCAGGACGAGGAGGACTACGATGATGTGGGATAAAACTCTGAGAAAAAGGGCAAGAGTTTGTTTTTAAAAAAAAACTTTGACTTTTCTATCTGGATCCTCCTGCATAAAGATCAGAGTGACTACTTGAGCACAGATTTCTTCTTGTCTGTTTGTGATTATTCGTGTTTTTACAAGAGAATACAGCAGGAAATGAGACTTGTAGTTTGTGTGCAGAAGCTTAATTAAGAGATAAAGTGGACTAACAGCGATAAGCCGTAAATAACAGTTTGTGTAAATCTACACTATGCAGAAATATGATATCTTGTGGTTCCATTAGATTAAATTGATCCTTTACTCACCCCTTTTGTCAATGAAGCTTCAGTGGCCTTCAAGACAAGACGCTCCTGTCATACATGGTAGATATGGTCCTCCTTCGTCCACCAAAAATGTCTGTTACTTTAATTTATTTTCCACATAACAGCAACCGCTCTGTTCATAATCGGCCTTTTGCATTTTTCATAGCTACTCACTAAATAACAAAAACATGCATGTTATTATGTCACAAGGTACAGTAGAATGAGATAACAGGAGAATAACAACAGCCATAAAACGGATCAAACTAAACCAACTGGTTGAGCTTGAATCAATATACCTAAAACAGGAAAGGCAAACAGTGTAAAAAGTGTGTGAAGTGTATAAAAGTGGTGCATCTATATATCCACTTTCATTTGTATCGCCTTTTATTTGAACGTAACCTGATGACCAGAGAAATGTAAACTGATTTTAAGTCACTGTTTGACAAATAACTCTGAAAAAAGTCATCTGGATTTTATTAATCAGTTAAATTTATACTCTTATGACAACTTTTTGCATAAAGAACTTTCATTTCAAGATTCATTCATTTAAAAAGTGTTGTATGGACCTATTATTTAAAGCTTTTCTAAGAAACTTTTGTTTTCTTTGGTTTTGGCGCCCCCTGTGGACAAAGCAGTCTTTGCTCAGCTTTTCTTTAAATACTGCAGTGGTGATTTTTGACCAAATAAATTCTCGGCATTTCTGACTTTTGATTGATTAAAAATAGTTTATGTATGAAGGGTTAAAAAAAGGCTTCTTCTCCAGCAGCTCCTTTGCACCAGTTTTAGGAATTAAGTATTACAGTAACAATATAAATTGGGTTTGTGTTATCTTTAAAAATGGCATAAAACAGAAAATATAAAGATACGTTTGATTTCTTAAGACAAATAAATAATTTAAAACATTACCTGGCAGAGTGACTTACCTGAAAATGAGCATTTTAGCCCTATTTAATGAGCCAGAAGGAAGAATGGGCTGAACTTAGACTTTTTTTAATTCTTCTGCACAAATATTGCTGTAAGAAAATATTTGATTAGTTTGCTACAATGGTAAAACTGTTCCTGCTCATGACTTCCTATAATCTAGAGATCCTTTGTAAGTTTATTGTCTGTTCTCATCCAGTTGTTGCAAAAAAAAAAGAAAACCTGAAGAAAAAACCCATCTGTTATAACCAGCACTCATATCAGATACAGATGTAATATTCATGATGGAATAGACCCAGTTACAGATACGATAATGTTGTCTCTGCACAGCCCTAATGCACTGTATAGTATCTGTGGCTGATGGTGTAAGTCTTGCATAATCTATATTTATACGTTTTTTTCAGTGAAGGATAAAAAACATATTTTGCATTATTAAACATCAGCTGACAGACTGAATTTCTTTGACTTTTGTTTGTACAAAGATCTGTTCTGTGTTAGCATATACATATATTGCATTAGCATAGAATTAGATGTGATTTTGCATAATGTATACTGCTGAGAGTTTCTTTAGTCGTCTCTTTCAGCAAGACCCACAGCCTGCTGTGAACCAGACTCACAGCTTCCTGTGATCTGCGCCATCTTTGCATCTGATAGTGCTTTGATATAGAGAAGTGTGCCATCTGTTTATGTGTCATTCTAATTCTGTGGAACTTTCCCAAAGTCAAAGAGAAGATATTGTGGCAGTCACTTCTGCCGCCATGAATCAGAGCAATCTCAGAACCAATCAGGCCCCTTTTGGCTGTGATATGTCTGTAGGAGTGACAGCCAATTTTTCAGGGCTTTCAGTGCAGACAGTGGTTAAATAAGACGGTCATAAAGGACTTCAGGCTGAGATTTTCTTTTTATGGCTTAACAACGTGATAGGCAAGCTGAGAAGCAAGACATAATATCCAAATGGAGGCTGTAAATTGCGGTTTCGTTCAAATGTCTGTTTGTAAAATTGATCAAAAAGCCAAATGTGATATGTAAACAAGGCAGCATTGTTCTCTAAACTGACTGTTTTTCTGCACACAGCCCATGTCTACTAAGTCATCTGTGGACAGACAACCACAGAGTGTATTATCAATAGGCATAGCCACCAAGTGGCTCACTCACAGAGTTTCTCTATAGACTGTTAAAACCATTTGAATGAACTCAAACACAGCTGAGAAAGGTGACCTTCATAAAAATCCATCCCCTCCTCAGTTATCAAGGGGAGTGAAATAAACCAGACAGAATAGAGTAGTTCTTGCTTATTTAAGGGCCTGTGTCCACTTCACTCTTGCAGCGCCTTAATTTTTTTATTGACAAAACCAATGCAGTTCAGTGTATTCAGCACTAGGCACACTAAGCACAAGAATAGCCACAATGTCAATGTGTCTAGTGGTTTTCTCAGAGAGCTGTCAAAAAAACCATCAACTTTTTGAGGAGAGCTTGTCAGGATTGTGTCTCGTCAGCAACCAATCAAATTTAAACAAGGGTGGGACTTCTGATATCAACAACGACAACAATGGCAGAAGTTTACATAGGACACACTAGAAACATTTGTTTTGTGAGGGTGTATCTCCAGGTCAAACGCTGTTGCTAATGCCATTTCAACAAGTTTATTTTATAACTTTTTCTGGAAAATGTAATTTAATCAAATCAAACAAGCACACAGAGAATTTGAAATCAGACCTAACACTCACTGAAAAGGCAGCCAAAAAATGTCACAAAGAAACTTTTGTTACCCAGCAGCTGTGAGCACCAGTGTAAAAAGTTGTGAAACTGAGGTGCTGCCAACTTAACAAATGCAGTCAGAGGACACAGGCCCTAGCTCTGCTGCTAAAATGGGCATTTTCAGGCTGTGTCTCATTTCAGAGACCGCATCGGGATAAACGCGCTTAACGGCGCTTAACTGAGTGCACTGCCGTTTTGTGCCGTTATGTGCCGTTTTGCGCCGTTATGTACCCTTCCTGTGTCCCATTTCAGAGACCGCAACCGTCGAACGGCGCATCTGAAGCGTGCGTGAGGTCATCACACGGCACGAACGGTGTCCCTTTTGGCACAAAATACTAAGCGCGCTTCAAATTCGGTCTCAAAACCACACTACCCCCGCCTCTTTTTCAAGCGTGCATATATGCACGCTTTCGTGCCGTCGGTATCCCAGAATTCTTTGCGTGCCGCTGCACAGCTTCGCATTTCGGGTGAGAGGCTGGACTTGCTTGGAGACGCAGCGCGTCTTCAAAGAAAATACAAGAAATCCAAAAACAGCAGACAGTCAGCTCAGGCTGTATGAGAGCATGATCTCTGAACTCACTAAAATCTGTAAACCAAACATTATAGATTTAGAGACATTTAGTATTTCTTAGATACTACTTCAGATACTAGACACGCCCACATTGTAGGTTGGTTGCGGTGCATCCTACGGGCATGCTACTGACCCAAAATGCACCGCGGGTTTCTTCTTCGTCCTCTTAAAAGTTGTAGAAGCGCATGTGATGCTAGCGCCACCAGCATAGATGCGTCGCGAACGCCGGCTGGCCACAGCAGCGCGCACCATGGCGGTTTCATGTAACTTCACACACTGTCCTAAAAAATGTGCGGTTGTATCTCTTTGTCATGTCATGGTGTCATATTTGCCCAAGTAATCATTTTATGAGCAAATATGTGGCGACATCATGAAAGTAAAGCTCACTTATTCCATCGTTAAACTGCACAGCTGCAGTACTACAGCCAGGCCCGCAGATGAGGGGCTTCAGTTACCACTGTCTGCATGGGCGCAGTACCTACTCTCTGCCTGCGGGGGTCGTCTTTCCCCACCACTCATCTAGTGTGTCCGAATTGGGCCAACGTGTTTAGTCTGTAGGAGTAGGATCTAGCAGTAGTATGTAGCAGTAGCATGTAGTATCCGAGCGGGCAATTCGGACGCAGCTACAGCCTCAGTGTTTGCCAAAGGGGATTTTTCTACTGTTGCTCAAGCCAGCCTCAAGTGGACACTCAAGGAACTGCACTTCTGTAAAGGCTCCCTGTTTTAGCATCAGAGGTCGCAGGTTTGAAAGAACACAAAGAGATGAAAATGTGGTTGATGGAAGAGTTTGGTGGAAAAAAGGGAGTTGTACTGTGTGTAATTACTTTGGATTCAGGTGAGGTTGTTGGCTTGCAGCTTGGATGCTCAGATGAACACATTTAAGTACTTTTGACCAGCTGATCTTCACCAGACTATTTTTAAAGCAGACCCTTTTGGTTTGTCATGATGTTTCAGACAATATTACCCCAGATGCAGGCTACTTACACAGTGTATACTACAGGGACTTCTTTAACAAATATTTTTCTTGCCTTTTTCTTTCTATTAAAAAGCATCTTTGAAAGCAGAAGCACAAACCAAATATATCAGTGCTAGAAATAACACTTTGAAAACTTCTTCTTTAAAAAATTAATAATAAATGCTCTCTTACTGGATGTAATTTCCCCCAAAGGACTGTCTTGTCTTCGGCCTCTTGTTCCCCTTATTTGGTTCAAAATTATTTTGAATTTCAAAGCAGCACTTGTAGTCCTTAAGGGCCCTTTGAGTTTACTTATCAGAATTGCTTGTGCTGTAAGATATTAAAACTATTGAATTATGCAAAAGGGTATTGGTATCTTGGGTTATTGCACAGATCATAAGAAAAAAAATCCTTATCAGACTCTGGCTTGCAATGAGAGAATATCAGAGCTGTGGCAAAAGAAAAAAACTATCCATGAGTTTGATCATCAGGATAACTTTCAAGCTTAACAAGGAGAATACAAACACCCAGAGACTACAATATCACCTCCTCCACAGCATGAATCTTTGAGAGATTTGACATTGACTGTTTAAAAAAGCATTCATTCATTTACTGTGAGAAAACGATAGAAAGGGAGCAACTTTTAGTGTGACTTTTTGTTGAACAGAGACTTGAAGCAAATTTCTGGGTGTAAAGGGCTTTCCCAACCATGTGGGGGTCTGGAATTATTTGTAGTTATTGATTACTTTATAAAAAATGTTCTCCAAAAAGAAGAAATGTACCACAGGCAATAAGAATTAGTTGTTCCACATGTTACATACATATTTTCACAAAAACTTGTCTCTTTATTGATCTTATGTGCATGAAGTGAAATTAACATTCAGAACAGGATGTTACAGCAGAGGTGAGATGTGCTCTGTCTTACAAAACAGCAGACTCTGAAGGCTGTAGAGAGGTGCGCAAGCTCACTCATCCCACCACATAGGGTGAGTTTAGAGAGACCACAATACTGTCTTACTGAATCGCTAATTCTGCAAGTGCCTGTGTGGTTACTTAGCTCAGTTTCATTTAGACTATTAAACATTATTTTTTAGGTTCAGCATTAATTTTCAGCCATATGAATACAAAGTTCACTTAGTTGTACACATCATCTTTACATGTGTGCTCTTAACCTGGCCATTCTGCAACAATGTGTTAAATAAAACAGCCAAAATGGGGTTTGAAGTAAATGATTAAACAGTTGCACGCTGTATAATAACTTACACATGATTGAAACCAATTAATTTTCACAAAAAGTTGCACGTGCCTTGGATGTCTGGGGTCACCAGTGTTATGTGTCATCAAACTGGAATCATTGAACAAACAAGGCTGGGAGACACACTGCTGAAGCTCTCTGATCCATCTTTTCTTACAGACATGAATCAGACTGAGATCACGCTGCAAAAATTCCAACCAGTGTCTGTTTTAGGGGCCAGTGATATACTGGGAAAGGAGGAAATCATCCCAAACAATACATACTGCTCCTTTGGTGTCCTGGCAGTGGATATAATATTAAAAAAATGGATCTCTGGATGCCCCTCCAATGGTTAAAACATAACTAGCGGGCCTTCTTTATGCCCTTTCAGTGGCTTATTAGTAAAAAAAAAAGTGTCTGTTGGATGCCTTCAAGGGCTACAATGTTAGACCGTAGTCGCTTTTTCAGAAGATAAATACACCCAAAGTCTAATCTGAATGCCCTTCCAGTGGATAAAATGTAAAATCATGACTGATCACATGCCCTACCATTGAATAAAATGTTAAGTTCCCTCTTAGTAGTTGTACCTGCAGGTACCCAAATTTTCTTGGCCCCTGCCCCTCTAACAGCCTGAGTACGCCATTGTTAAGGGCGAAGTAAAAAAGGAGACAAAATCGAGATGAAAACAATCTGGTCTAATTTGGTTTGAGCTGTTCACACACTTTCAAAGGAAAAATAAAACAATTTTGAGTTCGGTGTTAGCCCACAGTCTGAATGCAGCCTTTGTGTTCCAGTCCGCTGGGTCTACTATAACCAGCACATTTCCCCAATCCACAAAACAGAGCAAGCGCCTTGTCCTGAAACCAGAGTTTATGCATCTCGCCACACTTTGGCAACATCGGCAGCAACAGTCAGCAGAAGTGGTGAAGTGAGACTCCTGTACTGACTGCACTGAGAAACCAAACCTGAGCTCATTTCCTGACTGCTTAGAATCAACAGAGCTGTCAGAGGAAGGAACAGCACAGGAGAACTTGAACGTCCAGGAAAGTATCAGGTTTATGATGGGAAATACATGTTCTGCACAGAATATACTTTGTCAGAGTGTTTCAATTTTCCTTGTGTGACTGTGCTGTGGCCAAAACTTGACTTTAGGAACTTGAGATGAAGAACTTTTAACTAACTTTTGGTCCCTCTTCCTCAGGATCACTGCTCAGCCTGGATTTCCAGCTGCCTTGTCTTACTCTGTCCAGCTCCAAACTCATACCACTCCCCCTTAGCCTTAACTCAACATACCACCATCTTTTGCAACCTTCAATAAATCAATTTAAACTTAATTTTCATTTTAATCTGATTTAGCAGTGCAAAAATTGTTAACAACCAACCAATTTAAAATTAGCAAATTTGAAATACAGAATAATAGGATTTTAAATATTTGATCAAAACCACAATTACTAACGTTAATCAAATATAAACCGATCTGCCTGTGCCTGAGAAGCTGATTGGTGCCAAACTGATAAAAAGCTATCAACCAATCAGAGGAGAAATCACCTGCTAACTCTACTTTGAAGTTAACCACATCCCTGATAGTATCATCACACAACTGATTGTATTATAGCCAAAGCAAGAACTGTCAGTGCTTGCATTTGTTCTTTGTTCTGTTATAAATGTGAAGAAGCACTCACTAGAATTGGGATAAGGCAGCAGATTCGTTCGTTATGCAGCACACTCACACTGCCGTGGGAGGTTTTCTGGCTTTTTATGGTTTGGAGATTGAGTTTAATTAGGTCTTATTTCGATTTGTTTACCACTCTGTAGAAAGATAGTTCTTGAACTGGGTTGGACACCTCCTTCTGTTATATTTCTTTGTTTGATTTGAGCAGCACTCAGGACCTTTTCCATTGCCTCACATTTTTTCATCACGGTCATTTTTACCTCATTTTAATAAAGGACTTTGATTTAGCTTCAACTCTTATTTTTGTGCTGTTCTTCTTTTCCCAAATGAGCTGCGTTGTAACACCTTTGAGCAGAGAAATAAAAGTGTGAATCAACATCAATAAGGCAAACTTAAATAGAAGTAGACCAAATTATACTCAAATCTGCTTAAAAGGTTTCCCCCACTGAATACAATCAGTGTTTCTGTGGGTTTTTGGGACCCTGAGCAGAATTTAATCTCCCAAGATCACACTGTCAGAGTAACCTACATCTCCATCAACTATCCACCAAGATTACTCTCTTTATTGGCCGTCTTGGTGTCCCCCTGGTGGCAAAGGGGCCCCAAGCAGCTTTTCAGTCAGCTTCCACTCTGTTGTTTATGCCTGAGGCCCCTCCAGTCCAGATATTAGACTGCAGATGAAGCAGAAAGAAAGAAACTGAGAAAATCTTTTGGACTTTGTTTATGAAAAATGCCCTCAGCCCTCAAGTTTGCTGACCTACATACATCTAATAATCCCCCATACCCACCACATAATGATATCTTGTCAGTAACCAGTCACAGCCTCACTTGGTCCTTACCAGTCAAATCAATGTAAATGGAGCTGCCAAAAAACTGGTGAGTGGTTTAGTGAGCTTAAGGCACTGTTTACAAAAGGGGTATGAGGCCAAGAATTAAAAAAAGCACAAAAACCTAGTTTAAAGTCTCTTAGAGAAACCTGTGTAAGAAAAGAAACGTGAAGCAAAAGGTTTCTGTCCACCTGTCAGAGTTGTTTGTATACATTTCCTTCCATTACAGTTACTTGATAGTTTACGTGTCCTTATTTGAATGTTTGTAGAGTGAAATCATAACTGAATGATTTGGGCCAAAAAACACATTTTCGTCAAAAAATGACTTAGGCCAGTATTTTTATAGGGTGACGATATCGGGTCAAATTTAGGGTTACATAAATTAAACAGAAAACAAAATTAAACCATTTGAAAGATTTTAGTATAAGAAATCCATCTTCACTCACTTAAATGATCAAAATACTTCCTCAATCACTTTGATTTTGACAAATTTGATCCGGTTAGCTTATGCTAATAATAGTAGCTTGAAACAGTCCAATAGTGACTGTCACTTTTTTTAAAAATAAACTTTTATCAGTGTGGCCACTGACTGTATAAAATATTAATTAAACATAAAATAAAAAAGTTATCAGAAATATTGAGGAGAACCTTTGTTTATTTATTTTTCTTAAATCGTGGTTAGCTTTAGCATAAAGCTAATTTTCTATAGAGCATTTGGGGATAGTTTTTGTCCCGTCTGGGAAAATACTTTTTTGACGATTTACCAAAACCAAATTATAAAAGATAGTGGGTATAATATGTCGATCATTTTTAAAATAAATTTTCAGCAAAGTTTGATGTTTTTGTACAGCGGAATCTTGTTTTACTTTGAAGGTTCTGACAGGAAGTGTACCGGTTGACGGTTGCCGTGTGTCCATTGACGCTGCATGCGGAGCTGAACGCATCGCATTCCGATGTGAGCGAGATGTAACCGCTGTGCGGAGTTTTTCTGTGTCCAAACCGTCTTCAAGCTCAATTCAAAGGAATAAAATGTCCATCGTGATGGAACCGAACTCTTGTCCGGACGGTTACCGGGCTTTGAGCGACGGGGAGCTGAGCGAGCTTTTACAAAACGACGACAAAATGGACCAAATCATTCGGCTTAATGAGAAGGTAGGTACCCTCTGTTTCCCCAAGGAAACCAAAGTGCCGAAAGGGATTTACATTGTACTACCCCTTTGTTAAACCTCTTTTTCGTTTTCAACGATGTGCTTCCAGAGTGTTACTGTTGTTTCTTTCTTCTCCTCTGAAAAAATGTGCTTTTGTGTTTCATAGTCATTCACATTTAACGCAAATCCGCTTTGCATGGCTCATCGATTGTCTGCGTGGCGAGTGGCCGGATTCCCCATTCGTTTCATGGACGTTGTCTGCTAATATTTGCGGTGAATAATTAGTTGTTTTGACCAAAACAAAACACAAATTACTGTATTAGCGTGGTCACCATAAATGATTTATTCCTCTGGCAATGGTCTCATCGTGCAGTGAGATCCACACTGAGGTGTTTGAGACCCCATACGCGCCGTTGTGTGGTTTGAGTTCTTGCGCCAAACCCCCTTTTAAAAATCCGGCAGTGTGTTTTTTCTCTGTCCGTCAGATGGTCTGCACGGAATAAGATGGTGTTTGAGAAAAGAATTACAAATACCAAAGCGTTTTTCTCAATTTGGCTGGAAATCAATATGTTCATAAAGCTTACTTGATTTAAAATACAACTTTTACAGCTGGTCACATTCAGCCCTGTGTTCTCTACAGACTGTTAATTCTTCATAAAAATGGAGTTGTACCTTGATGTAGAGAATTTTGCAGAATTGGGCTGTCATACCTGACAAAATTGAGGCTATCAAAATTCCTATTTCTTTCAAACATACCAGGGACTTGAACAGTTTTTTAGTTGGGGGTGGCAGCTTGGGCACCTTGTACCAGGTGGCATGAGATATATTTGTGTTCTTATTCATAAATGAGCATTTTTTAACCTCTCTACCAGGAGTGTGCTTCCACTTTTTTTGTCTGGAGTGGTTTAACAGGGATACTGGCCCAGCGGCAGTGGGTATGGGAACTTTAAAGCACATTTTAGAGCACTAACTAATGAAAATTGCATTTAAGTACAAGGAAAATTAGCCAACCTGTTGCAACATCGTCCAAAATTTGATTTTCGTACTCCTCTGACATGGCATTTTGCTGATCATGGACAAGGATTTTGAGGTGGCTTAAAATTTTTTGAAATGAAGTGCCTTGCAAAATGATTAACCGCAAAATTATGAATTAAAAAGTAGTTATGCCCAAATAGATTTGTATTGATGGGTATTTTGATACAGTAAAAACAAAAAAAATGGAGGCGCACACATATGAGTCAATGGAGCTTTTTGTCCTCGAAGGCAACCATAGCTCCACCAGTAGGAGGGTTGAGCAAGGGAACTTCTCACTCTTGAATCTGGCTGATGGATATTGCTTAATATTCTCATTTTTATACACTGTACCTTTAAGAACTCAGAATTAACCAGTGTATCTGAAATCACAACAAAAAGTTCTGACAAATAAAAGTGTGTCTCACTGAAATGTAAAAGAAGCTACTTTTACTGTTACAGTGTTGCCCCTCTTTGACACAAGCCACACCTCTAAGGTAATCAGCCAATCTTGGGTTCAAAATTTGGAGTTGCACCAGTGGTGGCCGATCACGGTTAAAGTCGGGGCACATGCCACCCCTTGCCCCTCTTTCGGATATGCTCCTGCTGTGTGTCAGCATGGGCCTCATTTTTGAGGGGAAATTCCACGTGCCTCATTCAGAGTGTCAGTCAGTTTAAAGACACAGGATGACCTTTCTGACGTAAAAGAAAACTTCATCACTTCTTCTGTTTGTCATCTCCACCCCCACTCACACAAACCACAAATGCTCAGACACAAGGTGGTCCAGTGGTTCGCAAACTTTTTCATGGGCCCCATGTTGATGAAGTTTGCCTTTAGGGTTTTCAAACAGAAAAAGACTGTCAGGATTCAGCAGGCTATAGAATTGCATTACGCTCTCAGCCATGGGTGGAGTGATAACGACAGTGTGCAGTGAAACACAACCATGGTGGGATAGTTGTGTTCTTTTTGTGATTGGACTAACACCAAGGGAGATTTAAACTGAAAAAAATAAACAGTTTCGATGATTGGACCCCCACTTCCAGAACCTCAGGGCTGGATTATATTGCAGTCTTACGCCACACTCTACTTCCTTGATTTTATTAATAAACCAAAAGCTGAACGTTTTTTCAGCCTTTGCACAGTAACAAGGAAAGGCCCTGCTTATTTGTCCCGTTTTTGGTAAAGCGATATGACATTTGAAACCTGGCTCTGTGAATGAAATGGGATGATGGAGCTAAAGTGGTTGAGGCTCACTAAGAGGTCACGCAGTTCCCCCTCTGGGGCAGAGCAGATTACTCAAATCCACAATCCAGACAGCTTGGGGGTGTTTTTGGCATTTATCTGTCATTATCTAATAATAAGGATCTTTTGTTTGAAGGGATAGTAATCCCATGAAGTAGTTTATAGTTCTGTAGATGGAGTACGTATCTAACCATGTACTGTAATTATTATGGCTGGCTGGTTTTCTTACCCTCCCCTCATCTCCATGTGAGCTCTGGGCGCTCTCTGCTTCATTAATCTTATGTTAATGATGAATGTTATGAAAACAGCTGAGATCATTTTACATAGACTGATTCATACTTAATAGCATTCCGACTCTTTTCCTTATCTACTCATTTACCCTAAACAAAAAACCAAGAGTCAGTTCTTTCATCACTGCCACAGGAGCTTTTCTTCATCACGCAGACGGACTGATCCGTATTTCTTATACATCTTGAGGGTGAATCCAGTTCACAGGAGCAAATCTACAGTAAAAGACACATAGAAGTGTTGGGACCTTGGCAGTCTCCAATGTTTTGCAGCTGCGGCTTAGCTATGTCTGTGTCGGTGCCATAACATTTACAGTCCACTGGCACCAAATGAAGAGGAGGAAAGAGTAATATCACAATACAGAAACAGCAGGCTGGTTCACAAGAGGGCTGCCGCTGAGAGCCTCCCAGCTTGTAACACATGAAGTAACAGTATTCATGTTGGTGTAAAACTACATTTATGACTTTACTTGAATTAAGCTGTGCAGTAAGTCGTGTAATTATGATCCTGAACCCAGTTGGGTTGAATTGGGGTGTTTTTCTGAGTTCTGTCAGCCTGGATTATATGTCTGCCAGTCTCTGTTCAGCTATATTTCAAAATGGAAGTGGGTAAACCACCTGAAATCCCCATCAGTTCAGAGTTTTTTACTCTGAAATTAGCTACCTGCAGGGTCTGAAAATGTCTCTAATTTGCTGGCCCGGGCGGTCTAGGCTGATGGTTACTAATGAGTCTGGTTCTGCCTGTTTTTTTTACTGCTGCTCCCTTCCAGAATAATATCTATATTAATAATAATCAATATGTTGCATATAACAGTACATGGAGATATCTGATAACTGAACAAACCTGACCAGCACGTGTATGTAAACTTGTTAATGTTTTATATTTAAACTTTGAAACAGAAACTTTTTTCCTGTTCTTTTAAATGCTACTCAAATTTCTGCCATATTGAGCTGTGAACACCCCTTGTCTCTTACTTACTGGTTTTTAAAGCAGCTATAGCATGCATCAGCCTCTTGTTACCACTGTCTTCTCTGACACCCTGCCGTCTTTTCCCAGCAGTGTGCAGCTGTCTACTTCTTCCTTGACCTAGTGACTGACCTTTCCATGTACCCCATTATGTCTCTACATAACAGCATAGGGTCATAAAATCAATATGCAGTGTGTCCAAATATTTGGACAACATATTACCAGATTGTTATTTTGTCCCAGCCTTACCTAATTTCTTTGTTCCAAACTAGAGTAGAGTTCTTCATGTTTCATCTGCTTTGGTTGCATTAAGGTCAAGATGTGCATAACTCAAGGCACAGGTGATTGTTGTACTTTGACCCTATCGGTCTCATGCAAACAAGTCCAGGTGGCAATAAAGGGCCAGAGTGTTCATTAAATCATGCATGTAGTATATGATACAGAAGGTCCAGACATTTAAAGGGATATTCCGGCGTAAAATTAATTTAGGGTCAAACGCACTGTAACATCAAGGAGTTAGACACCCCATCGAGAGATGAATATTGCCGACTGCTTGCTTCTCTAATGCAATCAGACCGAGACGCTAAGGCAGAAGAACGAAGATATTATGATAATTACTCACAGGAAATGATAAAGAAATGGTCATAAATGTTCTTCCTTGAGCTGCGTCACCCCGCAGCAGTCCGTAATGGACTGGCCTGAGGTCTCGCTACAAACAAGCGGCTGCTGGAAGAGAGTAGGTGAGTTGTGTTTAGTCTCTTTGCTAAAGAAATTAGGCAAAGTTAAAAAGATGTTTGGTGGCTAGTGCTGTGGCTGGGACCCTATATGTACTGTTGATGAAGTAAGGTGCTGTTCTGAGAATCATTGGTGGCTATAGAGTGCGATTTTGGTCAAGGTTTGTGTGTGGCCCCTCAGACTGCTGTGTATTGCTATCGTACCGTTGTTACTAAAATTGGTATAACTAGAGAAGCAAGCGGTCGGTAACATTCATCTAAATTAATGTTACGCCAGAATATCCCTTTAATCGACTTTATCATATTAGCCCCCAACCTCAGTATCAGACTATATGTGTGAATGGAGCAGGTTAATATGTGGAGCATTTACAGTGAGTGAGTGAGTGTGCATGGAAAACTGTCATTATTATGAACCGGTTCAACTCCTGGCCTGGATCATGTCCTCAGGTGCTAACAACCATGTGAATCAATCAGAGTACTTCTAGTTGTGTAGACCTGTCTCATATGGAAAATCTCTAGCTATGTGCGGCATGTAATAGGTCGAGTCCAGACAATGTCCACACTTGATTATTTTCCAGACACTGTCCAGATATCATAGCTTTGAGAAAACAGCTCCAAGGGATTAAATAGAGTCTGTGAAGCTGCAGATCAAAGTACTAAAAATGCAGAGTGAAAGAAGCTAGAAAATGCTCAAACTGAGGGAAACTGAGGGTTTTAGGGTGACATCTTTCACGTTGCACATGGCTTAGATGTATTTGAATATTGTTTATGGCGTCTGAGGCTTGGTTTCAAGCTTGTTGAAAACAAGCGCGGGCTGCTGGAAGAATTTCAATGCATAGAAAATACTACACCCTGTCAGTATCATAAATCTTAAATTGGTGGCTTTGTATTTCTGGACCCAACTTAGACTTGAGCCACATCAGAGAGAAACTGACCCCTGCACTGTATGTTGTCAGACACCACAGGAAGCAAAAGTGCTGCATCTAGTCATCCGTCGCAGAATTTCCGGTTCTTTAAGTGCTCCCCAAGAGTTATTTGTCAGGGAGCGTAAACACCGTCAGGACAGTTTTATAGCTCATACATCAAATCAGAAAAAAACACTCCCTCCCTGAAGTTTGTAGCAATTGTTGTTTGATAAACGGGGCGGACTACTCTGAGCAGGAAATGGATTGTCCACTTTGATTCCTGTTTGAAGAAAACGGGGCGTATGATTGGCCTGTTTAGTCTGAATGGAGCTGTGTTATCTGCGTTCTCACAGGACATGTTTCAGAGTGAATAGCAGATCTATGATATCTTTTTCTGCACTCACACAGACCTTCTTTTTACTATGAGGGGCACATTCTGCAAATTTTTCTCAACTCGGGACTCTTGCATCCTTTTGATGACCCGTAAAATGTGAGACAGATGCAGCGTAGAACAGTGGACTGAATGAAACAGCCTTCGGGCTTGTAGAGACTGACTGTTGAAAGAAAGCAATAGAGCAAGAAAAGGATCCGGCCGGGCTGAAACACAGGAATGCGGGGACTGATAGAAGAGTCAGAAAGGGCTCAGATCTTGCGCAGATTAAGCTCACAAAGTGGCATTGTGTCTGTGATCGAGACTCCGGCTGTTACTGTACACCAGTGCTTTGTTGGCAGAACTTACAGGGAGTGGCATTCATTTTAATAATTCATGTTTTCTATGCTCTGGTGACAATGATTGGCCATCCCTCCCCCATGTACTTATACAGCAACCACTATCCTCCAGCCCCCAGCAGCATGTCAAACACATCATACAACACACTTAAGCCACAATCATGGAGAACTGTGACCTTTGACCCTGTAAAAGCTTTGATTGATCGTGGATGGCCATCTCATACGGATTCCAAAAACTGTAAAAATATACTTGCAATTATACTTGGGTGGCCCATCCAGGTTAGGGGTGTCCCGACTATCAAAAAGGATATTGACAATGTTTATATTGATATTGAGGGAAATTAATTTTTGGTAAATATGGTTATTTTTATTGCCCAGCCCTATCAGCCTGCATCTAAACTCTCCAATGTCAGCACTCCGACACAAGCAGTCCATTCCAGACTCCACTCCAGCACCTCTATTTAGCAGCACCTGGATCCAGCATGTAGAGCCCATGTGATCACAACAACAGTATGTATTAAGGTATTAACAAGGTACCAAGGAGTAGGAGTGATGTGAGCCCTGTGGCAGGTTTTTTCATTAAAGTCAGAAAAAGACGTTGCAGCTGAGTGCAAAACTTGTCGTGCACGAGTTTGTGCTAATATCGGATCAATATCGGTATAGGCCAATAATGAAGGCCACAATATTGGTATCGTATCTGAGTTAAAAAAAAAAGTTGTATCGGCACTCCCTCTGTGTGAGAAACACTGGAGGTTATTCTAGGGCGTGATGGAGCAAAGTCAACCCATATGCATTTTTGACTTTACCTGCTTGGTCAAATTGTCGTATGCTGTCTGAAACAGTTTTGTGCGTGTGTGTTTTTTTTAGCAGTTGTATTGTCAACTGATTTTGCTGTGATTTATTTGCAATAATAAATCACAGCAAAATCAGCATGTGATTGGTTGATTTATCTGTCGGTTTTACAGTGACTAGTTTTCACCATGAGAGGCGTTCTCTGAGTTTAACCCGCTTCAACAGGTTGTTGTTGTAGAAAAGGCAACCATGATGACACGTCTGGTTAAAGTGAGGCATTGTGGGGATTTTGGACGGTCTCGGTGAGGCAAAGATAGCCTGCTGACCAGCCAACGTCACGTCGTGATTCAGGCCTACAGCGCCCAATCATGGAGTTGAATAATGTAAACGCAGCATGGTTGTTTTAGACCAATACTTCTCCCCCCTAACGACCCAGGATTGTTTTTCTTCATGTTTGATTTTCTGGCTTTGAAAGCTCTTTTTTAATCCATACTCCAAAAAAAACCCATCATACTGAAGCTTAAAACCCAACTTCTTCAAGGTTTTTTTTCCTTTGAAACCTTTGATTTAGAAAAAAAAGATATTTGTCGGACATAAATAATTCTGTTTCAAAGAATAACCACTTTAAAGTTGGAAATAGCACGCAGCAGTTGAAGTGAGAGAGACTGTCAGTTTTTAATGATCGGCGTCTCATTTGGAAGTAAAAGAAAAACTGTTGTGTGTGGTAGTTACAGGCTGTTTTACGGTGGAATAAGACCAATTTTCATCTTTCAACCTTGAGCCTCTTAAGTGTTTGCCCTGCTGTTTAAAAGACAAACAGAAAACTTTCCATTTTCCACACACTTTAGCAGCTACCAAAGCAAGATGATTGAAACAGCAAAAATAATCCTCCAAATTTTTGTTTCGTAATAAGTCCAAAAAGAAAAAGCAAATTTAACGTAATTTAAGTGGATATTCCTCTGAGGTTATCTTGATTTCTATCACTCCCTGTCTTTGCCCCCATTTCCTCCTCTGTCATGTGAAAGCAAGCCTGGAAAAGACCAATCTGATATTTGATTGGTATTAGACACAACATGCAATCATTTTGCAGAATTTCCAGACTCTCCAGACTTGCATCATTGTCACACTTTCCACTGGGGCCTTTCTACGCTCTGTTGAAGTAAAAGCATAGTTTGATTCATGTTGTTGTACAAGTAGTCCTGCAACTGCAAGGCCATCCCCGGTGCTGGTATGCTGATGAAAAAAAGGTGACTGATGGAGCTTCTTTCCTTTATCAGCAGGTGCTTTTGAGGCGCCTGTACAGGACACTTCACCTTCAGTTGATTCAATGTCCTGTGCAACCTCCATTAGCTGGCAGAGAAAGATAAAGCCTTGATTCCTGTTCCCAGTGACTTTCAAATAAACAGAAGGCTTTTAGAGTTCAGCTCGGATACTCTCTTTCCTCTCTGGGGTCATTTAGGGCCAAACAAACTTGTGTAGCTGTCTTACTCAAGAGCTGCTCAGACTTTTCTTTCAGAAGTTTATTTTAAGGCACCAACGCGACAAAGCATTTACAGGGGCTCTTTGCTGAAACAGAGTGATTGAGAGTTGTTGTGGTCTCTACAGCACTGCAGTGTTGAAAGCTTAACAGCTGTGTTACTGCACGTTTTGACAGCTTTTCATATCAGTTATAGGGCTGAAATGTAAAAACTAGGGCGATGTGAAATTTCATAATTTCACGTCGTATATTTGCGTCATTCCCGGTGTGTAAGGACCTTTATTTTTAAATTTGAAAAAAAAAAAAAAGATTTTTTAACAAAAACATTGATTTAAAAACTGTAAAACACAAAATTGCGAGACTTTTGTGAATCGATTTTTTTCTCCCACCCCTAGTAAAAGCTACACAGATAAAGTTAAAGTCATACCGAATAAAGGAAAAGAGCTTCAAAGCTTCAGCGCAGAAATAATAGACTCCACTGTCAAAGGCTGACTTTTGATTTGTGTTCAGTTTCAGGAGCTTCAGGTGGAGAGGGAGACACTGCTGACCTCCAACCGGAGCCTGGCCGAGGAGAGCCTAGCCCGACAACCCCGCCTCTGTAACGGCAAACTCCAGCTGGCGGAGAAATACCGGGAACTGTCCAACCTGGCAACCACATGCTGGGAAAAACAGAGTCAGCTTGGTGAGTTTACCCCGACCATTGATGAGACAATAAGTGTGGAGGGGCAGGAAATGAGGGGTGGGGACTGTTGTCTCTGGTTCCATATTTGGATGCCAGTGCGATCACTGTCGAGTCATAAGTCAGGAGGAGTGTGGTCGTGATGACAAGGTGATTGGGTCAGATTCCAGGGCTGGATGGGTAAATATGGACTCGCTAAGTAGGAGGGAGGCCCTGTCAGGGCAAACATAGCTGCCATTTTTCAGATGATGGACATTTTTCACTATGACTTTGACTGATCAAGGTTTATCTTGGTCTTTTTATTACACATAGTTTGTTGTCACCAACTTATACAGACTTCAGTGAAAACAAACCAAAAGAAAACTTTGAGGACAAAAGGTTGAATCCCCAACACTTAAGGTTAAAGCAAATTATATGTGATATCCCACAGTGGCTCCTCTTTGTCTCACCTTTAATTGCAGCAACGTTCGCCGAGTTCACCGCACCGCTTTCAGACATAGAAAGCAGAATGAATCGTTCTTGACTCACTGTGACTCTCTCGCTGCTTTCAGAGTGAGGGAAGTCTCACATCGGGGTACAGAATGAGCGTCGAGGGCCGGCGAGATGAGGCTTCAACCGCTCAGCAAGCGCCTCGGCATGACTACAGTTCGGTCATGGGAACGAAATGGAGCATATCAAATGCCAGCAGGAAGCTTGCAGCAGTTGTCAGGGAATTTGCGGGGTGAAAGGGGGCCTTGTCTTTGTTTAGGCAAGTCATGCTTGTGACAGGGCAGCACCAGAGGATGTCTTTTTAAGCCTCAAGCCCCTAAATTTTAAGCCTCATGGGCAAGGCTTTAGAAATTCCTCTCTGTGCAGCAGCAATGCCAAGGGCAGGTGATAAAATAAATCCAGTGCATTAATTTCCAGAGGTAATGTCAACCGCTGCTTATTTATAACTCCTGTGTGGAGGCTTTTATAGAGCAAGCCCGGTGCTCGGTTGGCTCTAATGAAACAGCGGTTACCAGATTTGTGCTCCAGCCTCAGCTGCCGGCCAGTGATGGAAGTTGGGTGGAATGTTAAACTTCCCCTCAATGTGTGTGCATTGCACAGATGCGATCCCACCTCCCCAGCAAAGCAGGATGGGCGGGGGTCCGTCCTTCCTCTTGCAAAACATCTGACTCTCATTTTCTGCAACAAGGGAACGAGTGGAAAGAGATGAATGAGGAGGCTTTTCTGCAGCCCAGTGATCGCAGCAGAGACAAACTGTGGAGTGGATCAAGGCAGACGGCTGCATTGTTTAGTACATCCTGCTGTTTGTTCGACCAGGGAAAGCTGGCAGAGTGCTGTGGTTGTATTGTCATGGTCTCCAGGTGGACTTGAGACCTTGGTGTGTTTCATAACTGTCTCACAACTATTCTTAACGTCTGCTTCCCTCTGCGTCATTCTGCTGCTTGTCAGAAATCATTTACACTGACTCTAACAAGTTTGAGACTTCAGATCACTCGTTTTACACGTATCCTCACAAATAGGTGACCATTTTATTTCAAATCCAACTGGTCCCGGCAATCTGCGTATAGTTTCCTTGTTTTCCAGCATCAACATCCTGATCATTCTGTTCAGGATGTTGGCCACAGTCACACCAAGAGCCCCAGGTGTGGTTCAGGGCTGTCGGTTTTTTTCCTCTGCTGGATCACAGGGCAGGGCTTGACACTAACTTTTTTTCACAAGGAGCACATTAAGGACTTGAGGGCACAATAAAAATTGATCAAATAATGTGTGCCTTATTGATAGACATAAGTACTCTTGTTTGAAATCAATTTTAGGTCAATTGGTCACATGACATGGAAGCTATTGAGGGAAAACAGCCTTTTTTGAGAACATCAATTTATTGATGGTGCCTTATATAACACCCAACGTTGACAGTGAGGGTGCCGAGTAGATTTAAATGCGCTGGTGTTGCTATTACCGGTTATTGAGAGTGAGAAGACGCCAGTAGATTTGCCGCAAATGTCCGTTGAATATCCAACCTAAAACTAACTTCGCCTCGGTATTTACATGAAAAAACATTTATTGCCTCAGCTGATTTTTTTTTTATGCTCACATGTGCTCCTAAATACATTTTGCAATTCACACACATCTATTTTTAGTCACAAATGGGAGTGAAATGGTCGCACTGTAGAGCCCTGCAGGGAAAACTTGTGTCCATAAGAAGTGATGGTAAAGATGACAGCTATCTTTTCTTTACTGCACAAAACACTGAAATCAAAATCTGTGACATCTGTTCTGATGAGGAGAGGGACCACCGGGCTCATAATTAACTCACCATTCAAAACCAGCACCAGTGATGGTATGAGGATACACAAAAGCCTATGCTTTGAGTAACTCACACATCTGGGATCAGGTAATGCTGAACAATACAGGTTCTGGAGTAACGTATGCCGACATCCAGATCGAGAGATTTTCAGGAAAGACTTAAGCGAAACAATGCCAAACCACATCCTGCACATATTACAACAGCATGGCTCTGTAGTGAAAGAGTCTGAGTTATGAACTCATTGGGATGAAAGAACAGATGATGAATGGTCAACGAGGGTACATGCCCTGATACAACGTTTTTCGACACGTTTAAAAATGAGCATTTCGTCTTCATAGAACTGTTAAATTTCTCAGTTTCATCATTTGATGTTATTTTCCCCTCAAACTTTTTGGAATCAGGTTTGTACTTCAGACTGTGAAGTTTTGAAGTTCATGGGTCATCACCTGGTTCGATCAAATGATTAAAATTAAGAATGAAACATGGTCACTCAGGAGGGTTTGGTTAAAGTAATAAAACTTCTCTGTGGTTTTTTTGCTCTCCATATATCTTTCCATAATTTAACTCAATAGCTGAAATGCAACCATAAAATCTCTGATGATGCTCTTGTTGCTATGGGCGATGAGGTATTGTGTTACAAACACAGCATGGACATGGAGGGGGGGCCCGAGCAGGCCACTGTATTTTGAAACTATGAGAGTTATCTCCAGCTCCAGTTTGGCTCTCGCACTGCTCACATCGTGAGTTCGAAGCGTGTCTCACCTAGAATGCATGCATCTGTGTAATGTAAACACTCGCCTGTCAAAAACCAACTGCTGCAAAACTCCAGAGCAGAGTGTTGAGGTCATTTTAAAGGAAGTAGGGGAATTCATGCTGTTGTTTTCACTCTCATTAGATGTGAATGGTGAAGTTGAGCAATCACACTGAAGGGCAGGAAGCAGAGAGGGTGAAAAGTTCTGTGAACAAGAAGCAAAACTTTTCCCATCCTCACATCTCACGTTGGTCAGTCGTAAAAGAGGATATTATAACTTTGTGATGTTTTGGAGAAATAACCAAAAGAAAAGCCTCAAAATCTACTCTCAGTTAAGAGTCTCACCTTGTTGCAAGTCCTGTGTAAGAATAACCCGACACTTCTGGACGTCACTGTTGTTGGGTGTTGTTACATGTATAACAAAGCATATTTCTGAGCACACTTAACAGAGAGAGGCTGGGTGTGGTCGGATGAGCAACAGCGCTAAAACACACAACCAGAGAGCACAGATGATTGATCCTTTTGGAGTTACTCACTGAAAACATTGATCTTAAGGTGCTGTCTAGATTCAGCTCTCAAAGTGACAGGCCTGTTTTCATCCACACACAGACTCTTACTGAGGAGAGGCAGTGTTAAATATGTATTTAAGAAGTCTTGACCCCTTTTTGTCTTTATTGATGAGATCAAAAGTGTTGACAGCATTTCATCCTCTGAGATAATTTCAGCCCACATCCGGTTCTATTAAAAACATCCACCATACACAGATTGGCTGTCGCTATGCTTCACACACAGACAGAGACAGCTTCTCTCTAGTTATTGCTGTTTAGAAAATCCATATTTAAACAGTAAACGGTGACAGTAACTCTCTTGAGAGCAGCTTCTATAAACCAGAGTAATCTGCAGCTGCAACAGACAGGTAGAGATATCGAAAAGCATTAACCTAACAAGATTGTAGTTTGCTATCTAAGTATGTGGGCGCTGAAAAGCATCCTGGGACGCTTGGATGAAATCGCGGCCAAAGCAGAAGTGGTTGAGCTAAGGCGGGTAGAGTTAAATGTTATTGTACATTGAATTTCTTTTTATCTCTTCTTATTAAATTTAATATTTTTTATCATTTCAAAAGTGGACTTTGGTTTGTCCAATATTATTATGGTGTCCATATCAAATCAAACAAAAAATAAAACAAGTTTAAAACTGAGGGTCACGCTGATCTGAGGGCTTCCCGATACGTGAGCAGACTCCTCTAAGGTTTTCTGACACTGTGGATGTCTTAGCAGAGACATGAACAGGTTTGTTGCTGACAGAACCAGGACTCAGTTGCTCTCTTAAAAGTGGTTAAATGATCACTCAGGGTGTCCTTAAAATGGCAGAATAGAAGAAAAGGCAAGACAAGGGTGGTGTGACTCATTAAATGGAACTGATTGCTTGATACAGTCATCTGTTTTTGATGATGTTAAAAGCAATGCTTCAACTTTGCCCCACTCATTTTCAACAAACACTTTTTTCTTTAATCCAATAAGTTCCCTCGCTGGCATGGAAACATTTTTGGTTACCTTCTTTTCATGTTTCATCCTCTCTGACATGATTTGCTCTGCAGTGGTAGCCTCTCGCTATACAGGCTAGCTAGATAGCTGGTTACTGAGTCTGGTGGCAACAAGCATAAAGAACCAATACTGCCCCCTAAGAAAAAGTCACATAGTATTAGGGCTGGGTGAAATGGCCTTAAATCTACATCACGATATATTGAGCAGTTCACCTCGATAATGATAAATGGACGATAACTACTCCACAAGCTGCTCAACCCCTCCCAAATTAACATTGTCTACTTCAGCCGTCGCTCCAGCTGCTACAACTTCCGAACCGTCCTCCATCTCCTCACCTCTCTTCCCTCTTTGTTACGGGCTGGATGGGGTGGAGTCACGTTTCCAACGTAGGACAGCGTCTTAAAGGGACATGAGACCAAAGCTTACCTTCACACATCCAAAATCAACTTCTATTTATTTATATTTTTGACACTGAATATGTTGACATGGGCAAAATGATGTCGGTTGTTGTCATAAATTTTGGTATCTGTAAATTTTTAGTTTATCGCCCAGCCCTACATAGTATTACAATATGCTAATGCTGCGTTTGAGTAACCTTGGAAGTCAGATGTCCAAGCTGTGACTGATGTCACACCTGAGTCATCAGTGCCAAGTCAGAAAAAAGCGAAATCGGAGGCAGAAACAAGATGGCTACATCTACTAAAGTTATTTTAGCGCTTGCCTTGTCCTTGCTTATATTCGGAGAAGCGCTAAAATAACTTTCATAGATGTAGCCATCTTGTTTCCGCCTCCGATTTTGCTTTCTTCCGACTCGGTAACTTGGATGTGACGTCATTCCCAGCTTGAACTTCTGACTCCCGAGGTAACTAGAATGCAGCATTATTTCAACAACAGCAGCATATTGCAACAGCTCTAGTTCAGACGTTTGGTCTTTCCTATTGACCCGTTGTAAATACTGTAGATGTTGAATTTAAAACCAGCTTTTACTTTGAAGTGATATCAAATATTTGACCGTAGCTGAATCCAAATAGACTTCAGTGGCTCTGCACCAACACCATGGTAGACAGCCTCATGTCTGCTGGCATCAGTTTAGTCAAACTGTTGCAGGTAGACTGTGGCTGATCATTTAAAGCCATTGAAAGCTTGCAGCTGTGTTGCTGCCTCAGTCTACCGACAACAGCTAGATTGTACCTTTTGTCTCTGATAATTCCTCTTTTATGTGCTGTAATCCATGTACAAATCCACATTTAACATTAAAAGAGCAAGATTACATGTTTTTGGAGCAAACAAAATTAAAAAGAATATTGTGCCGAACCTTTTCCAGTGGACCACACATTAAATCCTCTGCACACCCACGAAATAGAGACAAGTACAGGTCAGCCTGCGGCAGGACTGTGCTTGTTCTGTCTTATTTTCATTCTTGTATTTGTGATGTTGGGTGTGGACATCAGGACGGGATTATGGGCTTGTTTGTTGTTACTGTAGCAGATCTAAGCAAATGTGAACTCTGAGAAAAAGCTTTTATATTCCCCTTCCTCTGGGAACACAGCTGACTGTAGGTGGAGAACAAAGTGCATATGGTGTCTTGTAATATTTCATGCTTTCTTTTGGGGGGTTTCCGTCGTCAGATTTAAATACAAGAATCACACTCTTTGACTCAAAGTCAACAAGTCTCCTGTGGATTTTAAGGATGTGAAGGATGTGAAGATTTCCTTGTTTTTCTCAGTACCAGGTACAAACTTTGTGGTATATTTTCAGACATTTATGAGATGTTTTTCTGTCAGGTCATATTCACGTTAGCTCAGTTTCTGATTCATATTTCAGAGATTCACAGAGTAAAGATGCTGAGCGTGTTCCTCACTGTTGGTAGCTCTTAGTTAAAGTTTCCAGACAAAACACAGGGTAGAGATCAGGTGCACGCTCTCTCTAAAACACAAGGGTTGAATTCCCAGTAGAGGCACTTTCAGCTTGGTTGTGCCTTTGAAAATAATTGGCTGTGTTTGTTTGTGTGAAGCCTGTAAGGGTTCTCTCTGTTGTTACTGCTGGAAGACCTGAGAAAAATCTCTAATTGGTATTTCTCTGACCAATGCAGCGCCTTTGTTTTTAATTCACTTCTCCTCCCTGGTTATTTAACTTGAGGTTAGTACAGGGAGATAGAAAATAGACTCAACCAGCATCTTTATCTGGTTTCTGTTCTGTCTGAATCAGATAACAATGTTGGTGGTACACAAAGATCCATGGAGATCAGATTGATCTAAATATTTCCTGAGACTAACAAGACCTCAGAGAATAAACAAACAGAAATGAAGCAGCGGCACAAATTAAGATCTGATCATCAATCTAAAGCTCATTAAGATTGTCACTTTGCTTTACAAAGTTTTTAGAAAACTCAAGAGCAACGAAAATAGTCATTTCTTTCAGCCGTGGCAAAACTCTACCAGAGGATCCAAATCTAAGTGGCTGTTTACACAGAAACTTGCCGTAAAAACGGTAAACTACTCTTTTGTTTTGGCTCTTCTTTGACACCAAAACAGAGTTCAGGGTGGCTGAAATGAGCAGCCTGTTGAAACTGGGTTCAGATAAATAAATTAGATTTCAGTTTCCGTTATGTTCAGGGCTGCCCAGTATCACAAAGATATGACAATCAAGACTGACTGATATTGTACCGCCTGCCCTGTGGCACCAACTTTCACTTCATCAGAAGCTGCTGGGATCAATGTGAAACAAAGTTTGGGAACAGGAGGAAGTTGTGGCTTCTTCTAAGACTAAATGTGGACCAGCCACAGGCCACAAAGGCTATGTTCACACTGCAGGTCAATTCCAATTTTTAACCATAGTGTGAACAGTGCAATTCTGATTTTTTCAAATCCAACCCAGGCCTCTCTTGTATGTGGAAATAAATCTGATATGTATCCGATGTGTCTGCAGTGTGGACGCTCAGGCGCGTTCATCCGACCTATATGTCATCAATATGCGACAAACATCACCATTGTACGACAACACAAACAGGCGCGGAAAGCAATTTGTGCTTTGTGCGCATGCGGGTCACTTCACGGACGCATTCCGTTCACATTAGATGCCGCATTCGTTGTTGTAATGTGAACGACCGCACAAAAAGATCGGATTTAACAAAAAATCTGAATTGTGCATCATAACCTGCAGTGTGAACGTAGCCAGAGAGAGGATAGCAGGGAGAGGAGGAGAAGAGAGGAAAACAAGGAGAGGAGCAGGAGGAGTCAGGTGTGCGTATTCATGTCTGTCTGAAAGATGTGGGACAGAATTAGCACAGAAAGTGATCCTGTGCCCGATTACTTCCTAACTAAAGACTGCTGGTCTCCAAAGTGAAGACCTTGTTTTGAATAAAACTAAAATAGACGCCTCAGCTTTGCCGTTGTGAAGGATGTTACACTGAATGATAAGTCTGATCTGCAGCCTCTGATCAAATGTAAATGGTAAAAGAGCTCAAAGGTTCAGTTTATTATGACACTGCGTTTTTGTGGGACTGCGTTCCCATGTGCATGGGAATTGTTTTCCCAACATTGTTATATGACCGTGGATTATTTTTGTGGTGAACAGACTTCTATGATTTGATAGGGCCTGATCTCATCCAAACAAAGTCTCAGACCTAGGGTAGAATAACATCGACAGCCACCAGTACATGACTTTAAAAACAGTGACATGAGAAGGTTCATATTAAACATGAGACATCAGCAGGAGAGATGAGCCAGTGGACCTCTCTCTGTCTTTGTGAACACCTGCTGAGCATATGTCAGGCGCTGCAGGTGATCAGACACAAAGGGCAGAGAGCTACAAGAGACTGTCAGGATCATTTATCGTTTATGAGAATATTATACGGGTATTAAAAACTTCAAAAAAGTCAAAATGGTCTGAGAGTATCATGGGGCAGCTGAAAACATACTTGGGAAACCCGTATCATAGTATCACTGTAGGATGAAACTTCTGCCTGAAATAGACAGTTACAAACTTGGACAGTCTCCTCCCTGTATAGCTTGATTCATCTCTTGGTTATCAACTACTTTCAAATAACAGCAATAGCTTTATTTGATATCAGAGCGAAACTGGAGATGGCTATCCGCTGTTGCTCAGGGTTAAAATTAGCTTCACATGCTCACAGGAAACACTGCTCCACAAACAATGACTCGATGTGCGTAGGAGATCAGGACACTCCGGCTGGTATTTACATGACAACCCAACATCCACCTACTACACCAAGTGTCTGAAATAGACTTTTCCGGCCTCTCTTCTTTGCTGGTCTAACACGGCCCAGCTCTTAATTAGTCAAAACTTCTTCTTTTTCCAGCTGGTGTCGCTCCTCGTTTTGCCAAGTGCAATTAATTAGTGATGAATCTGGCAGAAAGAGTATCAGAAGACAGAACTTTGGGTGTTTAGCCATCTCTCAAAATGATTATTGAGTTCAGTCAAATAACTTTTACAGTTGTTTTGTGAGACTTGAGGAGCCACTAAAGTACTGAAAAAAATTGACAGTGTGTTTTTGGAATGTAAAGAAAAGTAAATAAACTGATAAAAACACGACTTTATCTCCAGGTTTGGCCTCGTGCGCAACAGTACAATGAGCGAAACCCTCGCTTGTTGGCTGGAACTGCCACTGGCTACAGTTCGTGAAGACTCTATTAATCATGTGAAATGTAATTAAAATCCTGGCACTTACAGCTGACTGATTTCACTCTTTCAGATAGCAATTACACACAAGTGCCATTCTTGCTGGTTGTCAGGACACCTGCACAGCGAGGACGTGATTTGGAGAGTAGTGTGAAGCTCCCGTGTGCCCGACCTTTACATAACCGACCACAGTGTCAGGAGCAACAACATTGGAGGAAAAATAACTATTCAGGCTGCATGTAAAACAGGAAAAAGCCCTGGAATAGATTTAATGTAAAGCTGTCAGATGAGCTCTTCCAGTTGTGGAAACACAAGCTCTGGCATTACACAGCTGCCCTAGAGCCAACTGTAATCCCATGAGCTGCACTGACCGTGACTGAACAGGCTGAGACAAGATCGTATAAAGCAGCGAAAAGTCCAACAACACAAGGTGAGAAGACATCCAAGCGGTGAGGATGTTTTTCATCGCTAAGATACGATAGATTAAAACAGAACAGGAAGTTTGAGGGAAAAGGGATTGTGGGTATATTGTTGAACATTTTAATAAAGAAAAAAAATAATAATCTCCTGTCAGTAGAGTGTGTCATAACTCTGCAGGGGTCCCAGAAAGAAACCCAAAATAGCAAAGCGTTATCTCAGTACGACGGAGCTGTAAAGCTGCTATCACACTTGTGTTGGGTATAAAAGGAATCCTCTCAGGTTGCCTCGCTGCGTTGTGTTTAAGAGGACAAACATTGGACTGGAGAGCTGGGGGCTGTTATTCACTGCTGATTGGTTGGCTAATTTTCAAGCCTGGGATACATCCATGCCCTTCAAGGTCCCATCTGTAATACCATGACCTATTTGTGTATAATCAGCTGCAGATCGCTTGCCCGGCATGTAGAAGTGCATTTCTTCACTCCATTTCTCATGGCCAGTCCGTGCGGTAGACTTAGCAGCTTTCCGCGGTGAAAGAACTGTATTCATTTCATTACCGTCGACCCATCGAGTCTCTGTGTTTGTGTTGTTTCCAGCTGGCACCCCATCAGTCGAACACATTGATATCTTGCAGCCTTTGACCAGAGACGATGTTCGTGGCATGTCAGGCGTGAAACGTGAAAATCTGTCGGGCTTAAGAGTGAGAACCAGTGCTGGAGGAAGAGGCGAGCTGCACTCTGATTTCCTCTGACATTTCTGTTCAGTTGTCATGTGCACTAAATCACCACACTTCCTGATATGGTTTTATAGAACCATCATACATTTTTAACTCAAGCTTGCAAAGTCTCTGCCTCTCTCTCTCCCTCATTTTAAAACACTCTTTGATAGATGAGCTGCATTTCAAGCTTCACTTTCTTGTGATTGATTAGCACACTGCAGAAAGCACTAAGTGACTGAATATGCCGCAATAACGTAGTAAAGTATACAGATGGAATAAACTCCCAGCCCTGGACCGGCAGTGTGAAAACACCATAAAATATATTTTATGTGGATGAAGCAGAAACGCCGAGTGCACCGAGGTGTAAATAATCACGCTTCTTACAGTATCTGTTATCCGCTGCAGCTTTATGCATAATGAAAGTTTATCTTTTGCTTCATTAAACATCTGCCGCCATCTCCGAGCATCAGGAGGAATATGCTGAAAGAAATCTGCAGCCTCAGATTGTAAACTGTTGAACAAAAGTGCCTTTACACGCCCCGTCCCCCGATGTTTACCTTCGTTTAATTACATGCAGATAACACCAAGCTGCCGGGATACCTCTCCTCTCCTCATACTCAGCTCGACTGTTAATGCGTGAGAAGTTTACTCTACATGAGCTCATCAAGTGCTGAATTCATTCTTGAAAAGCATTGAGTGGCAAATTCTGTTGTATCACATCAGTTATGATATGATGTAACCATAGAGACAGAGCACAATTAAATTCCACCCACACCCGGAGGGGAAAACCTCCTTCACTCTCCATTGTTGACTTTGTAATGTGTGAAGGTGCTGCCTTGTCACTTCCATCTGCTGGCGCACAACAGAGAAATGCCTACGAGCTGCTGTGTGTGGTGGGATGCGCCACTAAAGGATGAAAAAGCAAGAACAAGGTTTTTTTTTTTTTTTTCCAGGCTGCTGAACCAAAAACCTCTGTCTTAAGGAAGACAAGCACGGTTACAGGAAACAACCTGAGCGACAGGAAAGGGAACAATGAGATCCAGAGGGTGCCGAACCTCAGATGTACAGCAAGCCAGAGACGATCTTTTGTAACATTTGTAATGTAACATTAATTAGCCTGCGCGCCTTGATAATGATTAAATAAGCTGCAGATGCTGATTTGGTCAGACAGATCATGGCTGTGCAGGGCCTGGTGTTGATCTAGGGCGACTAGTATGATGACATTAATAAGTTCCTCCGCGTACCCTTTTCTCTTCTTTGGATGAACAGTGTCAAGTTAGTGGCGTGCTGGTGAAGTACTCGGTACATCCATTTAGTACATTCCTTCTACTCCCTAGTTGTATTAAGCGGTGTACATTTTTATTTCAAATGGCTGTTGACTTGGTTGATTCAAAGTTTGGCAGGTTTTGATGGATTTTCAACGTAACTACAGGTGTGCTGAGATATCTTATGCTGCGTTCTAGTTACCTCGGAAGTTGGAGCTGGGAATGACGCTACACCCGGGTTGACGGCGTTCCAGTTAACAAATCGGAAAACCAAGATGGACACCTACAGTTCGCCGTTGTTAGCTGTTGTTTACAGTTGTCAGCTGTCATTGGTCGTTTTCAGTTGTTATTAGCAGTTGTCAGCCGTTGTTAGTTGTTGTTAGATATACCAGTTGTCAACAATGCATAACATAGTATTTTACTCTTACAAACACCATAGTACTGTGTTCACAGTTAGACGTTGGGCATTACAACATATACCACTTATTTAATTTCACAAAAACAAAACAGAAGTGCTAATAAATAATACATTACAAGAGCTTTCACTGTTACTCTTGAAGTTAAGTCGGGGTTGGTGAGCATCCGTCCGAGTCGGAAATCCGTCTTCAGGGGTGCGTTTCAGATGAATTTCCGACTCAGTGCTCAGAAATTCCGACATCCGAGTACAACTGGAACGCAGCGTATATTTGTTGTCAACCAGTGTCATGTAAAAACCATAACCACCTCTCAGTGTTGTGATTCGCTCAGTCGCTTCAGGGCAGTTCGTCAGTGGTGTGACAGTTAGATGATGAAGTGTGATGAAGTTATTTGTAATGATGGTAGGTATCGTCAGGGGCGGATTTAAAAGTAAAGTGGCTGTGAAACACAAATGGCCACCCCTCGTTAGAGTGACCATATTCTGACTTCCCAAAGAGAAGATACGACTACACGGGGGCAGAGTCACGGAGTCATGCAAAGTTAATTTTGAGAGTTTTTCGGGTCAGATCAAGTGTCTTTTACGAGCTTCTAACTCAGTAAGTCCACATGATACAAACTCGAAACTTCTGTAAATCCTTCCGTAAACATTTGAAGGATTTTATAAATTTCCCCAGACAAGGCCAGACAACCCAGACAGTCCCCAAAAAAGAGGACATGTCCGGGTAAAAGAGGATGTACCACCACCCTACCCCTTGTGCGTCCCTCAAATCCTCATCTACAAAACCTTGACAAATTTGGCACACTTCAGTCAAGCTAAAATTGTGGCTGTAAATGTTTTACACACATTAGTCCAGCTGAAACTGGACTTTTAAAATAAATACATCACAAATGTCCTGCTCAAATCGCACTAAATCAAATTTCTCTTTCGGCTCTGGCTCCATCTGATTAAAACTAGACTAAAAGTTCTGCACATACTTCAGACTTCACACTCTTGGCTTTTGGCTGGAAGTTGAACAGCATAAATGCATAAATTGCTACAAAATCTTGACAGATGAAAAAAGGAGTCAAATGAGACAAAGCTGTGGTATTGTTTGGACTGAAGGTACAGAGCTGTAAAAGTAAGTGAAGGTTTTTTTTATTGTTGAGGAACATTCTGTCGGCCACATGCTTTCACAGTTTATGGATTGTTTTGTTTTGGCCAAGCGGGAAAGGAGCTGAAAGGGAGAATGTCACCAACTACCATAGCAGCAAACATGCTTCTTTCAATGATACATGTAAACTGAGACAAGGACATAGTCCACATTAATCAGCTGATTGAACTATTAACTGTAGGTTGACGTAACTCTGCATGCAAACGTACTGACTGATGATTACGGGCTTGTAAAAGTGCTAATGGCACTAGGTTTTGTCCACTTGTCTCTTACAGCTGAGGCCCCACAATGTTTATAATGAGCATTATTGAATATCTTTACTTACTTCACTGTCAGATATTTAGGAAAAGTTGTCTTTGTTGCTGTTTGTCGCTTCTTTTTGTATTTTAGATTCTGGCAGGCCTCCTTAAAATCCCACCAAATCTAGGAGCTTGTTCTCCTGCAGGCCCCGTGTTTTAAAATAAAGGTGTCTATCCCTGACACCTTCCACTCTAGATTCCCTTTCACCTAGATGACCCGAAATAGCTTTTGCTCCTGGAATTGCCTGCACAGCAGCCCCAACACCTCCTCTTGCCATTGCTTTTGCGTGATTAAGCCATGGCCCCGTGTCCTGTCTCGTTGTCTGAATGTGATAAATCGTACAAAACGTGGATGAAAGTGCACATTTTCACAGTCTCACCTGGGAGGCATTCGTGGCCTTCAAGGAGTCACGCTCTGTTGGAGATAGAAAAGTGACTGAGGGAGTGGTAAAAGGCCGACTTTAAGAATTAAGTCTAAAACCTCCCTGCGTCACACCTTGGCACGCTTAGTGAATCCCTACTGTGTACGTGTGTGTGTGGATTCTTGATTTTAAGCATACAAAAGCTTAACCTTAGTAATGTTGCATAAAGCTAGTGAACCTTAAAAGTATTCTGCAGAAAACATGATTAAGGAAACACTTGTGGTTGAACAGTTTGACTAATTAGCAGCAGAAACAGAAGGATCATAAGAACCCTAAAGCCTCTTTTCTCGCACTCAGACTGGTGAATCTCTCTCCATTATCTCTGAGTTACTGTGGGTCTCCTGCACACTCAGCACGGTCTATTAACATGTTAGCATCAGCTGTTCTCGGTGAGGTCGCTCCCCAGCCCACACGGTGACAGCAACTGTCACATCCATCAGTGTTTCTCTTAAGAAGGATCCCGCACAAACGCGATGTAGCTATAGATTCAGATCACCGCAGAGGTCTGACGCTGACTCTTAAACCTGACCGAACCAGACATCTTGACAGTCGCAGACTGAAGGAGAAGCGAGCGCCGGAGGTTCAACTGATTATTTTGTTGTCGGGACAAGCGCTTCAATCTTTAATAGCCATGGAGCCGTTGTTGGCGAGAAACAGGATTTTGATTTGTTGAGGTTTGGTTTCTCCAGTCTGACCTGTGAGGTGGTGTGAGACTGAAATACAACAAACAGTGAAAAATCCTCATTTTAGGTTTTAAAAGTATTTATTTTATCAGGCCAGATATCCAAAATCCCAATGCACTTAATTAACAAAGTAAAAATATGCAGGCAGGCTGGAAACGGTAAGCTCCATGACATTATAAACAGACAATCCTCAAAACACTCGGACAGCAGATGTCATGTGGAGTTTTTCTTCAGGAGGCAGTTCTTTCATGCGCACAGTTTCCAAGGACAGATTTCAAAGCCCAATATGGCAAAGCCTGGAAACTAAAACCAACAGTTAAGAGTATCTGCCAGGGTAGGTGCCATCAGGGGAAAGTGGACTTTTTTTTTTGGATGGTTCGGACTTGATGAACTGACCCTTGGCCTGAGGGAGGCAGCCAGTCCATCTGTCTGTTCCTCGAGGATCTTCCAGAACAGTTTCTGAGTTATGCTGTGAAATTTAGATCTGTATTTAATACCCTTACAATCCAAATATACTACTCTGGACCTTGGTAACATTTCTCAGTTTTCGCATGAATTAGATGCAGATATCATGGTTCATGAATCTTCCAGAAAGTTGTTTCCCCAATCCAAAAAGTTTTCCCTGTTTTGTACCATATGATAACCATTTAGGCACTGAGGGACCAAAAGAGGGGCTTATTGCACAGATGTTTTGAATACCTGATTCTTATTGGTCAATTAAGGCCCTCTATGATTGGCTGTTTCTGCTGCTTAGAGGGAAAAAAAGCATTGCGAAGAGTCTAGGACTACATCTGATGGAAACCAGTTTGTGTAAAGTTAAACTGCTTGTATTGTCGTACTTAACACCCATTACACAGCAAACATCTCTATATCTGCGACCAAAAGCTTGTTCTAATTGGAGCGGTTTTTGTCTTTTGTAAAGGGCAGATGGAGACAGAAAGGTCAGCTGAAACAAAAGTGTTTGGGTATCAAGAACCAACTCCAATTTTGTGTCCAAATCTCTGCTATAAATCTCTCAGGATTAAACCTCAGGAAGAAATTTGAGGTCTGCAGAAAATGTTCTTATCTGCCAGGACCTGCTGTGTCCACTTCATCATTTATGACTCAGTACGTCAACCAAGTTGTGAGATGAAGATTATGGAAGACTGCCGCGAGTTATCCAAAAGAAAAGAAAAAAAAAGGTAATGACACAGCCAAGTGCAACAACTGTGACAAAGACGTTTCATGCAAGGAAGGCAGCACATCCAGTATGATCGAGGGGGATCGAGGGAATGCACTGTGCTCGATATGCTGCAGTCTCCTGTTCACAATGATCCCACGGCCACAGTTAACGGTAACAACTGGAGCATGTCTTTTTACACTGCGGTAGGAAACACATTTGAGCTTGTGTTCCCGTTTATATCAAGGTAGACAAATCATCCTTGATATCCTAACAATAAGTGGAGGCTATGGGTGTCCCGATCCTGTCATCGGACGAGAAAGAGAGAGTACACCCTGGTTTGATCGCCAGTCAGGCGATTGCAGGGCTACATAGAGAGAAAGACAACCAATCACACTCACACTCATACCTAAGGACAATTTACGCGGGATTTCCGCCACATCCAAAAAGTTGTATCGGGACACCACAAATAATAAACAAAACTCCATCCAAGAAGTTTTTAGATCAGAAGTTTTCAAAGTTTGGACACCATTGAGGTCAACATCTCAGACTTATATAAACTTGGTACTCTTTGCTACACAAATTGCCCATGATGCATTTTAAACGCCGGTGACTCTATGTTTTAAATGCCTCTTGATGAATCACATCACAAGTACTTACGACCACCCACACACACACATTGTAATATGATTTCTCAGACCACCTGCCAAAGCAGTCTGAGACACATTCGAGCACAGATCTTTTGCTTTTGTCCACAATAACACAACGGCAAGATACATCATTAATGCAGAGTGTGTGGGCTCACAAACACTCGAAACTGTGTTTACGCTCACGAGGAGTTCCGAAGTTTTTTACTGGCGACATGAACCAAAGGCTGTGTTACCTCTTAGAGGAAGAGACAAAGTCAATTTGATGTGGTTCTTCTGCTGATTCTGTCTGATAATTATACATTCCTTCAACTCCAACATACTGCTCACTGGGAAAAAATAAACAATGGCCCCTTGTGTTTATCTGCCTCGAGCAGCAGTGACAGGCATTGAGTATCTCCATAGGATAGAAAAAAATCCTGCAAACGATGGTCTTGTGCTTTTATCGTATTGAAGCATCAGCGTTAGTGAGACTTTCATACTAAAAACTTCTCACAGCACATTTAGACCTCCAGTAACTAAGGCATATTTATACATTTAGAAGTATCACAATAAATTGTTGGCAATGTGAATTCGGCTCAGGGCTGTTTTTATTTCTCTAATAACTCTGATCAACATGATAAGAAGTAATAGTTTAGACATGACGTCCATTAAGCCTGACGGCTTTACATCTTCCTCCTCTGCTTCAGCCGTATCTCACTCAGTGTTTTGACTGCGTTTCTCTGTACAGTAGCCAGAGTGCGATTATCCTCCTCATCATCTCATGTGCCGCTCCCAGACAAAGCGTGTTAGCTCGTCACAGACACCACTGACTTTCGCTGCGCTGCACCACAAGGCTTCGGCCCCCGCAGGTCCACTACCCCCTCTGGATCACCCTCTGCCTCTCCAAATGTAGGTCACACACAGCTGCCACGGGAGTGTTTGTTTGCCTGGCTGTCACCTCTCATTACACCCCCATCCCCTCAACATCTGCACCCAAGGGTCATAAACAAGACCGTCCCTAAATGCATGCACGCTTTGTACTACAGCGGCAAAACTGTGGTCAAAGTTTAACACATAACAGCCACGCACTTGTTCAGAAAACCAGCTCCAGTGACTATTCTGATGTTAGTTATAACGCTTAAGCTCATAATCAACTCCAGTGCTTTTATAACTTTGATTTTTTTCTTTCTTTTGTCAATTACTCCCTCTTCTGGATGAATTTTCATGATAAAAACAGAAGTGAACATTGTTCGGGACATTCAGGCTTTTGTGATCGTATCTTTGGGTGAGTCTAAATCCAGGTTTTCATCATAGGATTAAACTTGGAGCTCACAAGAAAACAGGTGAATGTTAAGTTGTCTGTTGATAGGCCTACATCTGGAATACTGGCCCCTGTGCAGAGGTTTGGTTGTTTTCTGTTCAGAAACATCCGAACAGACTATATCAGCTGTAAAGATCTGGGTGAGAGAATTTACTGCCGAGCATTTAAAGCGAGCGTCTTCTCTGGAAATGCAATTGTCTGCACACTTTGTCCTCTTCCTCTCAATCTGTCTCAGTGGGGGTTGGAGATCCACCCCCCAGGGGCTCAGAGTTATTACAGTCATTACTGTGACCTTTTTTTGGCCCCCAGTCTCTGCTGAACCCGCTCTGACCCACTGGGGGGTTGAGCGTGGCCGTCGCAGCGTCCCTCCGAGGGATAGGACACACTTTCCAGTCAGTTGGGTCAAGCCTGTACATAATGATGGCCGAGCATGGAGCCCAGGAGGTGAACACATGCTGGGTGTGCGTGTGTGACAGTCCTGCAGTGATACATATTTATGAGATAGGCAGTGAGTGTTTGTACCTCTCTGCTGGTCATCACTTAGACATCATGACATGAGTGTTACTCTCCGTGTGTCAGCCAGAGGCTACAACCAGATCGGTTTTATTTTGGTAGATCTGAGCCGCGGAAAGTTGGACGAATTTTGTATTTCATGCTTGCACTACAGCAGTTTCAGTGGGATAAATAAATACTAAACTTTTGGGCTGAGGTTATGAGGAGGTATGTATTTGTCTGGTTTCCAAAAGGTTTTATGGATATTAACTAACAACAGAAACCAGAGATGGTGTTAATATCTGTGAGTAAGAGTCACTGTAAATCTGAAAAAAATGATTTTTATTTCACTGAGTTCAGACTGGGCTGGGTTGTAAATGGTAGCTTCATTTGTGACATTTGTGACTCTAAATAATACATACAACTTCATGAATCTGTGTGCTAAATAAAACGAGATCTACAGACTAAACCTTTAAAAATTAAAGAATGTTTGTTTTTTACACTTTCATGCATCTGTCCCTCTCTCATCACTCCCTCCTGTTGTGAACCCCCTGCCCCCGTCCTCCATTAGTAGTTGAAAATCTCTGCTTTATTAGTTTGTATTTACAGAGAGAGGGCAGGAAATGAAGAGGATAGAAGATGGGAAACATCAAAATATTGTTCATGTTCAGCCACACAACCATCTGGTTACTAGAGCTCCCAATTCTTTGATCTTATCCCCTCTCTAATTTCACTAAAGCCACGTCCTGAAGAGATATTGACATTTTGAAGATGGAGCTGTGTGAACCTGGATCCAGCTAGGTTCATAAGAAAGTAAACATGTTTCAAACTTCCATCCATCTTTGGTATAAATGATAATTTTGTCCTTTTTTTATTAAATCAGAGTTTTTGTATCCCTGCGGGACAAACTCGAACTGAACTGCTTGAATTAAATAAATCAATTTTTTTTTTTTTGATAACCAATTTATATATTACAGAGACTTATTATGTATAATTACTATATATCACAGGGTAGAACAACAGCTGTCACCAGCCCACGGTTTCTCATGTGGTAACTGGCACAAAAAAAAGCTCTTAATTTGCGGTTATCAATCATCTCACTGTTTGTGTTTCTTGCTGAGTTGGACCTGGTTTTGCTGATATTCAAGAATCTCAGAAATGACTAAAAATTTGGCATATTAGACACACTTTTAATGCCTTTTTTGTTATCTAAAAAGTGAGCTGCATAGTTGTGCGACAAATGTAAAAGGCAGAGGGATCCTGGTGTGTTACAGTATTTTACCCAGAAGATGGAGCTATGGGAAAGTAGAAACTGTTTCAATATGGAAAGCATAGAGGAGGGACATCAGTCCAGGACTGTCAATACTGAATGCCTTTGTCTTTCTATAGGTCAAAATCATTTATCAAGAGACAACCGTGTTTCTCTTTGTGGAGTTCTGGTTTGATCAAAAAGTGATCAAGGGACAGGGGTGATACAAGTCATGTAAATGAAGGCCCCCACCATCAAAATAAAGAGAGAATATAGATTAAATGGAGCAAAGTAACAGACTTATCAGGTAAGTAAAAAAAATGTATATTGTATTATGTATAAAAAAAATGGGAGTTACTTGTGGCAAACCTGCAACAAGCAAAGAGGTGGATAGGTCATAGTTTATCTTCTACAGCTACTTCTGTTTGATTAGGAATGAGTCTGAATCATAATCTAATAAAAGTGGATGAGTTATAAAGACATGAGACAGAGAAAAAAGTTCTAAGTTGAGATAGATCAGCCGCTGGAGCAGGGCTGTAAATGGTGAAAGTTCTGCTGTAAAAATAAGTGTTTTGGGTGCTAATGGCGTCTCTTTGAAACTGCAGTTTATTGTGCATTTGTTTCCTGCTCATATAAACATCATTTATTTTAGAATCAATTTTTCCATAACTGGAAAAAGATCCATGTTGTCGTCAACCCTTTCAGAAGCCTTCAGTATTCATCAGTGTTTACTTACAGTTTGCTGAATGAATGTCACACAATGAAGAAACAACGTCTGGTCATTCATGTCTCTACTTGCTCGTCCTTGACGTGACGCTGACATGAGCTTGTTTGAATTTTTTTGCAGCTGCTGCTCCCGTATTTTTGCAACAGCTTTCTGCATTTTTTATACTATTGACACATTGGGATAAATAATTAAAATGTGTTACTTTTGTGCACACATAAACAATAGAAACTGAAGCATTTTTGATGATTCGAAATTCAAAGGGACCTTGAAAAACCGATGACGAAAAACCCAGTTTTTACTGATTTGTTGGTTGTGTGGAATCTAAATGGTGCATCTGAAAAACTAATATGATGGTTTTCAAAAAAATAGACTCTGAAATGGATCTCAGTTTGGTGGCTGAACCAATCTAAAGCCAGCTTCTCAAAATAGCTCAGAGCTAACTATTAACTGCTCCTGTTCCTCCGTCTTCCTGGCCAACAACTGTCCTCCTCATCACCACCATCTCCTCTCCAGTACATGCCCGACAGCCTCCTTGTTATTTGGAAAATAATTCTCTATTCTGTGGTTTCTTGGTTACTGAATTCTTTCTCCAACTCTCTGCTTCAGCGATGTTTCTTTGTCTTTGCAGAAGCTCACGGCCAGAAGCACAGCCTGCAGACGGCGCAGAACCTCCTGCAAGAGGAGGTGGCACGAGCCGAGGAGCATTCAGAGGTAAAAGAGGAAAAGAAAACAGGAGAAGCTTGCAGTTCTTGTCGTAAATCAAAGGTAGTCTTGCATCACTTTGGCAGCACAGTTGAAGGTGATTCTTAAAAAGCAGGCTGACAGCCCACCCACTTCAGTGCAATCTGATCCCTAAAGACATGAGGAAATATCCATACAGTGAGCAATCTGCCAACATCCGAGAGCAAAAACTAAACCGCTTCCAATTCCACCAGTATCTCTCAGCATAATGTTCATACGTTCTGCCAGTCCTACAGTCGAACTGAAATCTCAGAGTGTTGGCACGAACATGCCAGCCTGACATAGACTGACACTGAGAAAGACTTGCTGCAGGTTTACGAATAACAGCGCTTTTTATTTTTTATCAATATGCATCTCCGCATCTTTATTTTTACCTACATCTCGCTCTTGAAGACAAAGTTACATTTTATTTACAGGCACCTTTTAAGATCACCTCACAAATACAACACCAGTAAAAACAGGCTGGTATCAAGAGCCATGTAAAGGAGACACTATAAAGGCACAGTGATCTGCAGCAACAGGCACATGTGGTTAAAGTGGAGAGGCAACAGCTGTATGGAGTTGTGTGAGTTTAGATTCAGTTTTGTTTGAATCTAAGAAGTCATGAGCCAATTTTTCTGACTTGCATAAAAATCTGTGGCAAGACAGAAAGTGAAATCGTGGGCGCTTTTGAGAAGGAGATTAGCATATGTGGGTGACTGAGGACTCTTCATCACTGCTTTGTGTCGAGGTGAAACATAATTCTGCTGATTTAACTGTTGAATAAGTGAGTGATTTAAATCAATATCAAGATGATATTAGTATTTAACACGTAGAAACCATATGAGCAGTAATGATGTTCTATCTACGTGGCATTAACTTAAAGCGACAAAGTGCTTCGCATGATGGAGATAAAATCAGGGGATAGATAGATAGATAGATAGATAGATAGATAGAGAGATAGATACTTTATTAATCCTAGCGGTAAATTCAAGTATGATTGAATATTAAATAAAAATATATATGAATGATGAACAAGAAGGAAGTTTTCCCCTCCATACGGTACTGTACAGAATATCAAAAGTCCCGCCCCTCCTTGATTTTGATTGGTCAGTAAGGGAGAAGATCTGTGACTGCAAAGGAAAATGCAACAAGTGGACACAGGCCCTAACAGATAAAGAAACATACAAAAGAGACAGACAGGCCAACTTCTTTTATATAATATTTAATTTAATGAGTAATAACAATGATCCTATATATTTTGTATCCCATTAAAAATAAAATCTCTCATGAAGCTGTTAGTTAGTGTTACATGATTTACTGCAGCTCACGTTCAGAGGCAACATCGTTCAGAGTCAACCTGACACTGAGATCTACGAGTGAATAATTATTAAGTCTAAAAAGTAGCTGTGGACTAATTTCTGACTATTTAAATGAAGATTTAAGGTTAAACTCTATCAGGTATTATTTGATATCATCCATATTCGTCATTCCTTTTACTGCTTTCCTGCTTAAAAGTACTGGCAGGTTCAGATTACTCAGATTGAAGATTGTTTAGTGCAGGACAGACTTGTTGCTCTCTCAAACCCTTAAAGTGCTAATTATTTAAACCAAACATTAACAGGTTATCCAATGTTATCCAACTTCAAAGATGCTGTGTAACTTTATGTTTAATGTGCTGATAGGATAGTGTCTGAAGATGTCTGTAGACAGTGTTAGTCCTGTTTAAATGTAAATTAGCTGAGCAAGAAAACCACAGAAATGGATTTTATTCATTTGTTTCCTTTTTTTGCGAGCTGAATGCAAAGCAGATTTATGCAGCCTTGGAATCTGCTAAAAATGTCAAAATTTTAATTAACTCTAAACGGCGGAAACACCAGACCTCAATACATCACATAACATATTCCTGAGTTGACCTGTGCTGGTGTCTGTCTGTGCAGATAGTCTGAGTCTGGTGGTATTTGTAGAGGCTTGTTATGTCTGCCTCTACCACAATGCAGAGGATGTGAATAATGTTTTGTTTGTTGCTCACAAGCTTGAAATATGACCTTTGAAAAGCTAAAAACAATGTACTCTCTTAGTCCTTGTTACTCAGGACAATCCATAAACCTAGCTGTGCACGGGTTTCTGTTTTTTACTTGTGGTAAGAGCAGAATAAAAACAAGAGTAAATTAATTCTCCGTCGGCCTTGATGCATTCGGAGCTGTCAAACACACTGCCGTGGGAGAGGGCTGCAGCATTTCTTCAGCACAAAAGCAGTGTCTTCATATTCTCCTGTTTACCTGCATTTGCTCACTCTCTTCCCAAATTTACCCTGATTCTTAAACCTTCATGTACTGACATGAGAAGTGTTTGTGCACAGCGGAGGCAGCACACACAGCTGCCGCTATTATCCCAGTTTTTCTGATTCTTTTGAAATAATGATGAAGAACAACCAGGACGTCTTCTTCTGTGAGCACAGAGATTTTTGGACCAAGATAACACGACTGTCACACTCAAGTCTCTCTCCCTGCACAGCCAGCTCACGGTGGATTATCCTTAAATTTTTCACAGGCTGTTTGATAACAGGGTGATATCATTGTCCCAGGAAAATTTCACTGTATTTTAACCCTACTAGTTTGAGTCCAAAAATGTCTCATTTTGGCCTTTTAATATTGGTGCAGGTCGCTGTTGTTTCTCTGTCTACATGGACAGAAGCAAATCGATATAATTTACAGTTATTTCACAGCTCTCTGATTGAAAAGCCGACAATAGAGAGTGAAAATCCAGAGATAAATCAGGCTGTAATTTATGTTAAAAGCTACATTTGAATGAAAATGATTGAAAACAAAACATCTATTAAGATCCCTGATGTCAGCATGAAACTATGAGCTGTTCAGGGAACTCAAAAAAAAAAAACTGATTTGAACCGTCTTGAGCTGTTTTAACTCAAAATACTTCAGCCGTCTTTTCAATAAAACCTTTGCATTATGTTTTTACATTATAGTACACCACAGTTTTGCGTATGATTTTGTCATACCAATGGAAAAAAAGGTTTCGAAGCTGCGATCTCTGCAGATTTTAGGGCTTACCTGAGGGGGTCTAGGAGGGGCATGACCATTGGACAATGCAACAGCAAGTGTTCAGTCCTATGAGACTCCTCAATAGAGATTCATAAAAGGCCAATGCCGATAAGATTAGAAAATTCAAACGTACCCCAACATTTGCACAGCCAAGTTTGAACTCAGACTGACTACACGGATGAACAGATGACTTTTTTTTTTTTTTCACATTTTGTACTTCTCCTTTTTCCTCAAAATTCATAATGAATGTGTGTTTGAATTATTTTTCTGACACCTCTTTCCCTAACACCATACCTGCCAACACTCCTGTTTTTCCTGGGACTCGCCCATATTTCAGACCTATCTCCCACCCACCTCCCGTGTTGGCATTTGCATGGTCCCTGTTCATTCATGAATCGGAGACAACCAAAGACTGTCCTGTGTTTCTGCTGAGCCTCACAGATACTGGATTGATACTTTTACTTTACAATTTGGGATGATTCAGGTCATTTTAAGCTGTAAACTATGTTTAAGAAGTGTTTGTTGCAAAATGAAGACGTCAATAAAAGGGAAACAAACATGAGATCTAACATTTACATTGATAGTCTTACACTGTCTCCAAATGATGCATTCAGGGCAGCATGTAAAACATATAAGGACTTTAACACTAATATAAGTGGACGAAATGAGTTCAAGGCATATTTTTTTTTTATTACCATTTGTTATTGTTAAAACAAAACAAAAAGTGTGCAGCTTCACTTTTTAATTCACAATTTAATTATAAGTACTCTCATAATGAGCTCATATCCACCATACAAGGTAACCCGAAAACTGCCCGGTGCGCACCGCAAAAATCCCTCCGATTTTATAAACCAAATGTTGGCAGGTATGCCTAACACTCGTCTTTATATTTCACTAAAGTGTCTGTTTTAAAAATCTTTGTCTGTTAAATTACATCTCAATAGACCCAGTGTAAGAGCTGATATACATCCTCACTTCTTCCTGCCTTTTACATGTTTTTACTTATATGGATGTAAATCAGTTCCTCCTTCTTTGTCTCCAGCATGCCCAGGAGGGGTCTGCTTCTCTCCACTCTATCAGTGTCCACATGAGCCAGCTCTTGTTTTCCAAATTTCCTCCAGTACTTGCATACATCATTTCTTGTGCAGGAAGCATGGCTGAATCCATCACTGACAATGTAAACCAGCATATCGAGAGTCCCATGGCAGACAGACGTTCTTTGTGTTGCGTAATGTTATTCTCATGATTGTTGGAGCATGTAGTGTAAGATAAATCTACATGTGGGCGGACAGTATGTTGCATGAAGAAGTCTTATCACAGCACATCTAATCTAATCTCCTGAGATGAATGCCTATTAAAGAATTAAACACCACATTTTGACCAAACATCATGAGGTTTATGCTTATATAAGTGTTATTATTTGTCAGTTCAACGCTCATCCATACATATTAATTTGCATCCAGTCAGCTGAACCTGCTGACTGAGCTGTCATTTAAACATTCCCAACGTCCGTCCGTCCTCTTGGCAGTTAAAAATGATGTTTCCAGAGCGTTTCTGTCATTGGATAAATAATAAATAAATTTGGTATTTGATAAAATATTCTTAACACATTTTTAAAAAGTGCTTCAAATGCTGAGAAATGGACTGAGCGTTGGCTGCCAAAGGAATGATTAATGTGGCTTCAGTCGGACTGCAAACATCAGATAACATGAAAGCTTGTGAATCAGTGCTTTGGTATATTTCTGTTATCCACCGCTTAACACGAAAACCACCAGTGTTGGAGTCAAACTGAGTTTTTACCTTCAGAACACTTGAGTTAATACGAGTTATCATACAGTGTTTATCATATCAGTCACCTGTGTGAGTATTCACAGCTCCTGCCTGTTGTTTGGGCCTCAGTCAGGATGATGAGAGTGTCGTATTCACACCTGAAACCCACACTGCCGCCCGGGGGGCTCGTATTGATCCTCCACACACACTCCTCCCCCACCTGACACCACCTCCAATCAATACCCCCACGACTCAGTCATTAAAGTGTCTGTCCACTGATTGATTAAACAACCCCCAGCACATGCTGAACAGCCTCCCAGAGCTGAGTACACCTAAGGACATTTGTTAATGAGCCTATGTTAATATTTGGTACACGTCTTGTACACAGTTTTAAAAATAAACGCAGAAAAGTAAGAGTAGCCCACTTTGACTTATTACATACTGAAGATTGACATGTTGAGTAATTTGAGCTGTCACGTACTGATGAAATAATCCTTCAAATTGCAGCCGTTTGTGTGTAGGTTGATGTTGCTTAAACTAAATTTAACATTTTTCTCCATGTCCCAATCTGAAGACTCTTCCTTTGTCGCCTAAATTCAAACGCTAATCGGGAAAATTCCTCGTCAGGTACAAACAGGAAGACACATCTCTCACATCAGACTTTCTGTTGTTGTCTGCGCTCGTCTTTAATCACTCACTGGAGACTTTGCTCCAGTTTAACGACCCGTCAGCCTTTAAACCGAGCTTGTTTGGAGCTAAACTGTGGGCACACACTGCGGACTTGTTTGGGGTTTAAACTTAAGTTCACAGCTTCAGCTCGTCAAAGGATCTGCTGCTCATTATATGTTAAAGCTGTCGGACTGCAGCCAAGTGGTCTGACTGATGTTGTTAAGGGCTGTGCTGTTGCCAAAGTGATGTTCTCCCCGGTGGTGGTCTTTAACATGCACACACGTACGACGAGAAACCCTTTAAAATTTGCATGAATGGTTTTATAACGAAGGAGTCTTCTGCAAAAATATCCTTCTCTCACTAGATGGGTTTCTCTTGTTTGCTTTATCCGCTAAAAGGAAACAAGGTTTGTGTTTCTCTCCTGAGTCAGAGATCAAGTCATTACGGGTGACTGGTTTGCAGGATGATTGTGTTAAAAGGGAAGGCAACGAAGAAAAAAAACATAATAATGAGCTTCTATTTACAGATTCATCATAAGAGGGGTTTGGGTTCTTGTAGTCAGAGTGGTATTGACCAATTCTTTATTCATTCTTTATTCATACGGATCCCCATTAGCTGCCACCAAGGTAGCAGCTACTCTTCCTGGGGTCCACAAATAAAACAAACAATACAATACAAGACAATACAATACATAATTCAATAAAACATGTACAGTCTTGCAAAGGTCATTCAAGACAATAAAAGTCCAGTAAAAAGCAAAAAAAAAAAAAAAACCAAACAACAAGAAAAAAACAAGCAGCAAACAAATTAAACTAAAATTTAAAAGTCAGTTAAGATTACAATTAAGATTAGTGAAATTTGTCAGGTGTCTTTTAAGGAGTCTCTTAAAACTAGCCTTACTAGGTGCTTCCGTGATCATTGTCGGTAAAGTGTTTTCATGCAAGTGCAGCCCAAGAAATGATTGAGATCCATCCATCCGGGTTACAGGGTCAACAGTCGAAGCAGGTCAACCCAGAGTCAGACCCAGACCTCCCTCTTCCCAGTAACACTTTGAAGCTCTTCCTCTCGGATCCCAAACCAGGTGGGATATGTGATCCCAGCGAGCTCTGGGCCTACCCCGGGGTCTCAGTGTGTCGACCTTCAATCGTCACTTCATGGACTGGGAAAAGGTTAAGGTCATCTTAGGGCGGGGCGATATGGGAAAAATTTTATCACAATATTTTTTTTTTCATATCAGTCAATATTGATATATATTGCGATATATCGTGATCGATCGATTTACCCATCGATCTACGTGCCGACCCTCACCTATGGCCATGAACTTTGGGTAATGACCAAAAGAACGAGATTGCGGATACAAGCGGCCAAAATGGGTTTCCTTCGCAGGGAGGCCGGAGTAGAACTGCTGCTCCTCCACGTCGAGAGGAGTCAGCTGAGGTGGCTTGGGCATCTGGTTAGGATGCCTTCTGGACACCGCCCGTTAGAGGTGTTCCAGACATGTCCCACCAGGAGGAGACCTCGTGGCCGGCCCAGGACCAGGTGGAGGGATTATATCTCTCGCCTGGCCTGGGAGCGCCTGGGAATCCCCCCTGGAGGAGCTGGTGGAAGTGGCTGGGGTGAGGGCCCCCGCGACCCGGACCTGGATGAAGCGGAAGAAAACGACGACGCCGGCGTTCACAATATAAAAAAATGAACTTTAACAGTGCTAATTGGTAGCATGTCTTTTGCAACACAATAAGCTACTGCATCTGTGAGGTCTTTGTGTCTCTTTGACGTTTTGTCGTAAGGCGTTGCGCTAGAGAAAGCAAACTGAATGCTCGGTTCAGCGCAGCGCAGACCCGCAGCAACTCCCCTTTTTATTGGCTATTCGTATAGTCTACCAAAACATGGCAGAATGCCGGCTATCGAAGAGCATATTAAACATGCTTCATATTGATATCAAGGGAAATTTATTTTTGATATCATCGTTTCAAGTCATCAGATATTAGCGTTGGATAAAGCGGTAGAGATCAGGAGGTGGGTCCAAAGGGCAGCAAACTAGGATGAGGAGGCTTACATGTTGTTTGTCAGACAACAGTGGGCATGATGACCTCTATAAATCAGCTGACATGAGTCACACACACAGCTTCACATGACTCCTCAGAGGACGACTGCAGGGCGTTTGAAGGGAAATGAGTGAAAAGTCTAATTACAGGAAATGTAAGACTAATAGAATATTGTGGAAAAGAAGGCACACTGTATGTATTCAAAGTCTTTTCCCTAAAACCTGATTATTCTCAGTCAATTCTAATTATAGAGAAATAAAACCTGCTGAAAGTCTCCTATCCCAGTGACTCGGACCAGACAATATTTGACATTTCTGTTCAGACTGTGACTCAAATCATTTAACTGCTAACAAAATATTTGTCACTTTTCTGTCTGGTAATTGAGTGATCTTTCGCCTCGGGTTCAGTCTGTCATTTCGTGTCATCCCTGAAGGTAAATACAAAAAAACAAGCTGAGGATGACAAATAATGCGGAGAATAAAATCCTAATGAGGTTCTCCTCGCACCAAGGTCATTGGTATTTTTTCCTCCTATAGAAGGCCGAAGACTCGGGCTAATGAGATATGTTTTAGTGCTGTTCAGCTATGTTTGAACATCACACTCGAATGCAGATCACTGTTTGTACACTCCGGATAAAAACTAAATGAGCTTTGCATGTAACAGCTGTTACATATTGGCAGTAAGGCCAATTTAATTCGCTGCGACCTGGGGTTATCTAACGGCGTTCACGCCAGATGGAGAAGCTCTCGACTCACAGTAGGGGAAGACTCGGGGGAGGAGACGTAATAAACCAGAAACTCCACCAATAAGAAGAGTGGGACGGCCAGTGACAAGCAAATGTTAAAGGAAGAAGGAGGCAGTGTGAGAATTAACATTCAGAGTCTCATTTAGCAGTCTCTCTCTTATGCCACCACCAATTATCCCCTCTGTCTGAAGTCTTTCTTATATTTGCATTTTCTCCTCTTTTATTATCCCTCTTGACTTTTATAATCCTTTTTTCTTCTCTCTGCCGGCTTCTGACATCTATTGTCTTCTTTCTTTAACTTCATTTTAACTGAATTGACCTGAAAACCATCCTCCGTAGTCCGGTATTTTCGTCTGTATTTGTCTTTTCGTGTTTCTCATGAGAATCCTGATTTTTTTTAATTTCATTTCTCTTGTTTTTAAAGGTGCCTTGTAATCATTTCTGGTGCAGCTCGTCTTGATAGAAACATCTTTGTGCACCTACAAGACCGTGAAATCAGGTTCCACGAGCTTAAATGTCAAGTTTACCATTTTCTACTCTTATCCCTTATCCTAATAATGAACCTTTGTTTAAACTCCACCTCACATATCAGGACGGTACAAAGAGTCAACAGTCTTTAAGCGACTTAAATGCATTTACAATCATGCAAAGAACTATATTTTGGCTACAAACGTGGCTCTGTTGCTGGGATTGTGATCTAATCAACAAAAATATAAACAGACCCTCTCTTTTTACAGGCTTTGAGTGAAATAGTCGCGGTTTATGCAGCAATTACTCCATAAATGTAACTTCTGTCTAAAACCAGACCAGGCTCACGCTCAGCTTCTCACATCCTGGGAACACAAACAGACATAGATCACAGACGCCTTTCAAGCACTGCCAAATGTAACAGTTGCAGCACATGGACCATTGTTAGTTCTGTAAAGTGCATTTACAGTGAGATATTACAGCCCACAAACTATGCCAGAGTTCACGGGTAAACATCCCCGGGCTTATTAAATCCTCTTTATACTTAGCAGAGTTTGTTTGGAGGACTCCCTGTGGGAACGCCTCCCTCTGTGTGTCGTCCTGTCTGCTGATGCTGCTTTGTCTGTCTGCCCCGCTTCACAGGAGCTCCTGGAGAAGTTCATGGAGGGAAACGTCAGCCTGGATAAGTTCCTGGACTCCTTCCAGAACTCCAGGAAGACGTACCACATCCGCCGGGCCCAGGTGGAGAAGATGCAGGAGGTCATTCAGGCCAAGCGACAGACGGGGAAAAGCAAATGGCCCGAGGAGAGTAAAGTCCAAGAGGTGAAGAAGGACTCGGAGAAGCCTCAGGAGCCTCAGCGGCATAACGGCGTCGTAGCGCAAGGACCGCTTAGAGTGTTCCAGGTACGCTACGGCCTCACGCCAGCCATCCTACTTCCTCATTACCCGGTTTCTCCGCCCGCCTCGGCTCCAGGCTTTCAAAGTAGTACCACCCCATCTGAACCTCAACCGGGACAGACCCACATCCTCAGTCCCAGCACCCCACTCCCAGGACACGGTCAGCCGGTCGGCCTCAGGGTCATCGGACAGTTACCAGGGGGCTGGCCGGCTAACGGGCGGCCTGTGAGGGTGCAGCAGCTTTACAGGCCGAACCCTCAACAGCCCGAACCACCGTACCGATAAACTCCAAAAAGAGGAGAGGGAAGGAGGATCAAAAGCCAGTGTGAGAGGGCTACCATGACGGGGAATCAAACAGTGGCTGTCACAATCATGTAAGCAAAGACTGATCCACAGACAGGCAGCGCTGCAGACGTCCGTTTCTGTTCTCCATCCATGACTCACAAACGTAAGCAGAGCAGAGACACAGGAGAGCAGACATCAGGTAAAGACAGGCAGGGAGGAGCAGGGATGGGCTCCGATAGCTCCAGTCCACTTCTCTCATCAATCCTCAGTTTGTTTCAGACGTAAAGACCAAAGCACAGAGACAAAACCGGGGCACGTTTTTGTTTGCTGCCACTGCAATGACACATGACGCAGACATGTTCAGGTCAGTCAAGCATAGTCTTTGTTCATATACAGGTAACAAATCTAACTTTAACACACCTTATGACTTCTAAAGGGATTAGTGGAGTAAATAAAAAGTTCAGTTTTAAACTCGAAAACTCTTCAAGGAAACGTTTTATATTCAGTTTAAGTTTAGACACGGTTTGGATCATGGAAAAAAGTTAACAGAATAATTAGAGGGATGTAGCTGGATCAGTCATTTTCATATCGTAAAGTTGATGCAGCACTTTACAAACTGACTTAAAGGCATAGTTGACGATTCGGGAAGGAGTTGAAAAAAAGGCAGGTTTGGAAACCCCCACACACGAACCTCTCCCCTCTGTGCTCCACAATAACTCCCCCCGAGCCTGTATCGCCCTCCCCATGACACACCACCCTGGCAGAGCAAGAAGCCGGCCGGCAGAAGATCCTACGCTAGCTTCAAATAGGATTCACCATGTCGGATTGTTAGTGACTAGCGGCAGTAAACGCCAGCTCTGATAGCGAGCGCCGTCTGCAGCTGCCTGGACAGCTACCGTGTTGACATGTAAGAGACTATTCAGAGTTATTTATGTAACATGAGCCACGATAAAAGACAAAAATTATCTGTTCAACAAAAACTCTGGCGGAAATTTCTCCACCGCTCGAAGGATGACCCGATGTTTATTCGAGTTAGATTCCTCGCTTGGTCACATTTCCTATTCGACTCCGCCCTTTCTTCTGTCCGCTTGCGTTTTCTACCCACTTTTGGCGGTGGGGCGAGCAGAAGTGGGTTTTTTCCGTCCTTCTCCATCACAGCTCCTGTAATTAAGCTGCTACGCTACTTTTAGCCACTCAGAGCTCCGAGGAGGGCCGGGAGAGTGGGAGGGAACGAGTCGGAACTTCGGGAGAGGAGTGTGTCGAATACAGCGAGGTGATTGGATGGAGAGGCGGAGCAGGAGGTTGACCAATAGGAGCTGTCCGTGACGGATGGCTCCCATTGGTCAATGTTTTTGCAGCCCTGCACCTGCTAAGGTGAACAGTTTTTTCCGTTCTTTTTTCTCGTCACTTTGTGGAGATCGCACTATAGGACCATAATCGCCATAGAAACGAGGTTCATAATAATTACTAATCTCTTCAATCGTCAACCATGCCTTTAAGTGTCTTACAAAATATGATGATTTATACTCAAAACAGGAGGACGGGCAGAGTAGCGGGTGCTGCTGCAGTAATGGCAGCTTGACTACATCCTCACATGAAGTTACTGTAGCTGGACATCACTGAGAAACACGACCAGATCAGCTTCATCTCATCAATGTTCAGTCTGTGCCACTTTGTGCTGCTGTTAAAATCCCAGTACGTCTACATAACCAGCCCACTAAGACAAGCTTTGACTCATTTTAACTTAAACTGTTTCTCCTGGATCTTATCAGCGGATTTTATGCAGAGTTTGACGGTTTAAAAAAGCTATGGAAGCCCATCCCTCGCTGAGACTAGCAAGTTTTTAAGTTTATTATTATTTTTTTGTGTGTTTTACATGGAGTGATGTGAAGCACAGGGTTGTGAAGCACATCTTCAGCTGCAAGCAAAAAAAAAAGAAGAGATGTCATTGTTTATTCATACAACGGAGATACTGTGTGAGATGCCAAGAATCAGCGAAGTGAAAGAAGGCGTCGCTACAGTTTTAATTTGGACTCTCTTTTTGTTTCACATCCCGTCAAGTAAGACAGTGACATTCGTACTTGGAGCACATCCCAGGACCAGGAATGCTGTTATTAAAGGACTGCAGAGCAAAGTTTCAGACTCATTCAAACAGAGCTGGTGGTATTTATTAACAATTCCCACACTATAGCCGCTCGATATTATTTGCAGTGTCATGTGTGTCGGCTCCACAGACGATTACCCGGAGCCGTCTGCCTTCTTGTGCGATTTCATGAACAGTGTTGGAGCTCAAGCGATTTATTTATTCATGTAAATCCTATTTTAAATGGCTGACTTCAAAGCTTCTTGTTTACCGTGCTAAATGAAGAGCTGCTTCTTCTTTCAAAGCAGCCAGTGTTTTTATTTCCCACCACCCCCGAACTGAGATGCAGAGTGAGGGGAATTTAATCTCTATGAGAATGCCGGTGCTCTGCAAGCCCACAGTCAAATATAACGCTGTTGTGAAGGTTTCTTTTTTCATTTCACTCTCCTTTTCTCTCATTATTCATCCCTCTGCATTCAGAGGGAAGCGCGGTGGATTGTTGTTTTTCTTTGAGTCTGCTCTTCAACAAACAGTTTTCTCATTAATAAGTCATAAGTGCATGCTTACTACAGCTCAACAAAGTATACATGAAAATGCCTTTTGCAGGCCAGTGCCCAGCTGCATTAAAACAGGATGTACATTATAGGGAAAGGGTCGTCCTCCGCACATAACCTTCAAATGAGAGGCTCTGATATTTGGAAAGGGTAAGTCTTTGTCCTTAAACAATCTCGGTGAAAATCTCAGTGAAACCTGTTTTTAATACTGAGATTTGATGTTGTTGAGCAATAATTTGGATAATTTTGAAATGCAATTAAAGAAAAAACATACAGGTTTGTTTTTCAATCAGGACTTGGGTGAATACTAGATATTTTCGCTAAACTTACACTTCCATTTGAACCTTTCATGTGAATTCTTGCTAAGTGTAGCACCTTTGAGTGTGAACTAATTTGATTCCGGCAGTAAGTAGAGGTGATACTACTCACACCTTCATGTAACAATGAAGCTAGAACCACAAGGCTGTTAGCTTGACTCAGCACAAAGACTAGAAACAGAGGGAATCAATGTAACATACTTTTTGCATTATTTTCTAGAAGATTAAGGCCTGAAACTAACATGTTGTTTTTTCTAACGTGTGCCTTTTTTGTCCCTGCTGGTAACTGGAGTGAAGCTCCTGCTGCTGTGATGATGAAAAGAAATGACACCACAGCGCTTTTAAAAATCTCCTGAACGCCTCAGCTGACATGTCCAAAGTGATTCCCACTTTGTGTAAAAGGAATTGCAAACTAACTATATTGGTGCATCACATCACAAAAGCCAGCAGAGTACTGTTTTCAGGGGACATTTTCACGGTAAGGGTTAGTGACTGATCAAACCATAGACTGTATATAGAATGGACGGCGTCTGTCTCCTCGCTGGGTGAAGCCACTCCGAGAACAGCACCCCCTGGTGACGGGCTGCAGTATAGGTCATAAATCCCGCCTCCTCCAGAAATCCCTATGGGGCTGTGAACAGACTTTAGAAATTTATTACACAGAATATACATTTTTATCCCCCCTGCTTGCGATGTTGACATGTAGTTACTGTAAGACTGGTTTGTGCTCAAGTCCTCTTTTTTCTGTGCAGCTCAGTTTTTAAAGTTATTTGGGGGTTCATGTTTTCTATGATTGACACTTGATACAGCCTATGGGCGTACGAAGATTGCATAGCTCACCCGGGGGATACGCTGTTCGAGCCGAGCGTCATCACAGCGACTCCTGAGCGCACACAATGCTACTGCGCAATGCTGGTTTCAGAAAGTAGAGAAAAAAATGCGGAATAATACAGAACAAGCACTCTGAAGCTGCCTCCTTTCTCTAAATAGAGGTTTCAGACCATGCTGGTGTAACTGTGCAGCAATAAGCCATGATGTCTAAGACTTGGCTGACATTGTTTTAAACACGATCAGTCTCGCAGCAAATTTACCAGTAAAATTTCTGCTAGCAGTTTTCATGGGTCAGACAATAAAGAAGATCTCACATGTTCTGAGGTAAGATTTTATTAGCTCTGGATATTTTCACTGAAGGTCAATCAAACTCGCTGTTTCCCTCTATTTCCAGTCTGTATCTCTCAGCTAATCGAATCGCCGCCAGCTTCTGGCTTCACATTGAAGGTACAAACACGAGAGAGGTATTTGTTCCCTCATCTGACTCTCAGTAAGAAACCAGATTAGGCATTTAAGTTTGAATCTGATTATCACACAGGTACAGAGAGAAAGTAACTGGGCACTGGCTTTAACTAAACATACAGTTTTGTGTTCACTCAGGGTCTTAGAGAAACAGAATGCAGCGTCACTTCTTTAACCTAAAGCACAGAAGGACCCGGGGTCACAGTGAATCCAGACTCGTGGATCTAGTTTGACCGGCCCATTTCCAGGAGCATTGCAGAGAGACTGGATCCATAACTAAAGCGACACCTAATCACCTCCATACTCTTGCGCTGCAGTGATGTTTGACCGAGTGAAGGTTGTTTGAGTTCAGCTTCAGTCTGGGGAATGATTTTGAGTTCGTAACAGTGTCGTCTGAAGAATCCGCCCTCAAAAAGCTCACTGTGGTTTTATTCAGGCCTGATGATTCATGTAAGACTGGATGCTTATGTGTTTGAAATACTCTCCAAATGTAAAGTGCTTGTTTCTGCGACTGTGGTTTGGTTTGTCTCGTCTTTTATATTGTGTGTACGTTTCTATTTGAGGATTTATCCCAGCAGCCTTCTGTATGAGATTTGGAGGAAAAGAAAAAAAAAGGTGTCATGAAAAGATGAATGAATGATGCTTTGGAGCTTAAATCTAAATAAACTGCATCCACTCACTGAGCCAAATGGCTTCAAGCCTTTGAGATGATTTCCTTTTGCAGCATCAGAGATGTAAGAGCCGCAGGCATTCAAACCAGATGATTCTGAGCGATGTCAAAGCTGATCAGCGCTGCGGAGAGTGAAGATGAGCTAATAATATCCAAGTCAAGTCATCTTCATCCTCCTGTCTTGGAGCGGAGCTGATTCAGCTCAGCAGCTGCTGTACTGTATGTGTGACTGGACGCACGTGGCTGTCAAACCCCGTCCGATTGAAAACAGAGTTGAAGGAAGAAAATGTCAGCTCGTAGGAAATGATGACCTTTCACCTGGTTACACACAGAGAAGGGAAAGAACAAACGGACCACCACATCACAGCGGGCTTTAATGTGCCCTCGCCTTTGAACGCATCGCTGCCTTATTCCTCCTCTTGGTCACATAATGAGAGGCTGGTCCTCCCTCTTTGACTGTCTCTCTGAATTAAACCTGATCTGCAGGAATTTCATTTAAACTTTTTAAACACAGGCTGCTTTATTTCTCCATCACTGCAAAAAGTTTTACAGGGGGTGCCAGCCTGACCACAGCCCCCAGCCGCACGTCTTCCAATATTTTCTTCTCCTAACATTTCTCATTTCTACCCGGCTGTCCTATCAAATAAAAGCAGAATTAGCCAAAAACATACGCTGAAAAAGCCTGAAGCGTTTGGGAGGGTGGGGCTTGGATGGAGGTAAACACTCTGATCAGCAAATTTTTGTTTTCAACATTAGCTAGGATGACCATACATCCTCTTTTGCCCGAACATGTCCTCGTGAGATTTTTTCCTAGAATGAAATAGGGAAATTCCTCTCACTTCTACCTCAAATGCGCCCCCTCCTGGTTAAATTTCACTGCATCGCGGCCCACCCCCTAACCCTAAGCAATCAAATGGGTTGGCGGCATGGATTTCACTATTTCATCCTAGAGAAAAAAATCCAGCATCTGGGTTTGCCGAGATTTGTCCGGGGAAGTGTAAAAATCCTTCAAATGTCTGGGGTTTTGTACGAAAGTTTTGATTTTGTGTCACGTGACCTCACTGAGTTAGAAGTACATAGAAGACACTCGATCCGCCCCGAAAAACTCTCAAAATCAACTTCATGCGTGCGTAGTCGTGTCCTTGGATGCCTGTATATGATTTGCAATCTCACAAAGAAGGACGATAATAAAACTAGCCACCAAGCTGCAGCCTTCAATCTTGAGAAACTGCAGTTCCCTGACTGCCCACTGCAGAGGGACCAGAAACAACATCCACACTGATTTTGAAAAAGCGGTTTACAGCCTGGTCCAAGACTGACAGGCGAGAAGACTTGGCTACATCTACAAAAGTTATTTTAGCGCTTGCTTTGTCCCTGCTTATATTCAGACAAGGCAAGCGCTAAAATAACTTTTGTAGATGTAGCCATCGTGTTTCCGATCCACAGAAGACATCGGATATAAACGATTTCTGCTGACTTTGCAAAGTTACCTGCAGAATTAACGGCGTTCTGAATTAACGTGCTTTGAAAAGTCCCGCAGCATGTGTTAGACGTCACCATCTACACATGGACCAATCAGGGGCTGCCTTTCCCTGTTGTCCGGGTAACAGTGGAAACACAGTCACTGATTGGCCCGGTTATTTTCTGATCGGGAATACACGCTCCCAATGGGCCGAAGTCCACACTGTTGTGGGAAGGAACGGCGAGTGATTCACGCATCAGGATGGCCCGGCCAGGCTACCTCCATTTATAAAACAGATATGGTCGTAACATGTGGCTCCAAATGACTGCTTTTCTAAAACTGTGACAGCCCCACTTAAAAACCAGTATTCGACTATATGCACAACAACTACGCTCTGTTTGTTGTAATTTTTGCATAGAATATAAAATACTGTTTCAAGAAATGAGATTGAATCAATAACTTGTTAATTCTGGTTTTAAGTATCACATTATGCAGAACTAGTAGAACAAAAACCACCAGTAGAACAGGATCATCGTCTTAATATTGGTGCTGACATGATAACCTGTAACAGGTGTGATGTTGTGACATCAAAACCACCAAGCCAGTCCAAATGTCTTGTCAGGGGAAAAAGAAAATCATTTACTTGACAGCAGATGTTTCATCTAACTGAAAGAGTTCCTTTTTGCGGTGTAGAGAATAATTTGCATTAGAAAGAGCCTGCCAGCTCCCACAATAAGTCACAGTTTGTGATTTAAACGCTTTTTATGCACAGAGTTTCTATCATTTATTCATGCTAAAGCACAACACGGCAAAAGGGAACAAGAAAAGACTCCTTAGTCTTTTTGAAAGTTTTGTTTGTATCGAGTTGTCTAGGAAGGGAAAAATGTTGCAAATGTCTGGCACAGAAAACATCAGCGTTGTGATCTCAGAGACGTTTTGTCACTCGAGTCTGGTCTCCTATCATAAAATCTCCAGAGTCGGCTACACACTGGGTAACCATAATCTGCTGTGACGGAGACTTTCCGAGCCAAAATCACCGCGTTTAATGATCCAGAGACCCAGCTTTTATTTTTTCCAAACTTTCTAAACCAAAAGACCTCAATGAAGCTCGGAAACACGGTCAAACTGCTTCAGGACACAGTCACATTATGAACTTTTGTATAAACATCCAAACTTACAGTTAAAAAAAAAACTTAAAAACAACTACAGTAAGTTATAAAAACACAGGAGATCACTGATATACCTGAGAGCGGAACAGAATAAGATCTGAGTAAAACTGGGACTTTAAAGGTGTGGTTCAGAGATTGTAGAGCCTCAAAGATCATGAACATAAAAACAGTTTATTTATTTAAAAGTAAGGTCGTTTTTAGGGCATTTCCTTCATTTTTTTAGAGATGTTACATAATTGTTGCTCTCAGTTTTCCCCCAAACTGTTCAGATGTCACTAATGTGTTTTTTAAAAGTTCTGTAATGATCTCTGCTTCATACTAAGGATTTGATAATGTCAGTGAACAAAGCTATTTTATCTAGAGTACAGCAAAACTCGACATCCTCATATCCTCCATCAGACACGTTTGATTAAACCATTCTCCCCAGATGAATCGTTATATTAAAAAAAAAACTCAGCTCTAAGCTCACACTGCTGACGGGACACAACAGAGGGAGATAAACTGATCTGTTAAGTCAAGATAAGCAGCAGCCGAGGGTCAATCTAAAAGTGAGTTATGCCATATTTATTTTATGGATTTTTGTGATTAAAAATGCAGCTGATCCATCCTTTCATTATTGCGTTGATAATGCCAACAAAATACACAAAACTGCTGAGTCACAACACTAATTTCTTACATGGGCTGTCATGATATTAAAAAGTTTGACTGTTTGAGGAGCAACCAGAAGATTGGCTGAAACGTTGTTTTTTGATTCACAATAAATCTTAAAAAGTCAACTAGCCAGTGAGGTAAGGTTGTTTCAGCTTCAAGACAGTCTGATTTTCCCCATCAATTGGTATGTTTGCCATATTTGAAATGCTGGCCCAAACTAAGTTAGGATCAAGTTAGTCATATAACTTAATCAGCGGTTCGAGACTAACCCCCAATTTTCACTGCATCTGGAATGGCTCCGATCCAGAACGACGGCGATTTTGGCTGTGCACCAATTCCTGCCAGATCCATTTGTGAGGCAAATTTCGTGACAGATTACGGAAAGCAGGAATCGTGGGAACTCACAAAAACCTGCGGATTTACATGTAATCCACAGGTTAACAAGTTGTCTTTAGCCACAGAGGTTAACCATATAAGCAGTAGATTGTGTCCTTCCAGAGGAGAAAATCTACTTCTAGACTTCTAAAATCAGCATCCTCTCATCCATGGTGTCATTGGGGTGAAATGCTGTCTATAAACCTTTCACTTGTTGTTCCCCGCTCATTTGCATGGTTTGAAATACTATCCGCCTGAAACACAGAGTGTTTTATTTTGAAAAAGGAGCCGGATGTTTTATCTTGTGTCTGTCCCCGACTTCCTTTCCAGCACGGACTAATCTGTGCTGAATTTGTCCGGCACGCTCCAGCATCCGAAAAAATAGAACTCTTGCGATCAGCTGCAGGATCCGGTGATCTGCAGTGGAACGGAAAGAAGTCGTCGGAAATTGACACTTAAACTTGAATGGTTACAATCAGCTGCGATCAGCGGATACGGCCTTTTCGTATCTGTTCCAGATGCGGTGGAAACTGGGGGTAACTACGTCAAAATCGTGTATAACTCATAGTCTTGACAAAATCCAAACAGATGAGTTATGACGATGATGAGTTAAGTCTGGTACTGTGTGTAGGAATATATCCATACACCAAATACCAAAATCATTATTTTTGGACCAGGTCAGGAACATGTTTGATTTCGCTCTAAACATAGGCAGTTTTATATGGGGCCTAACAAGGATGCAAGAACTTTGAGAGCTTTCCTCTAGTGGACACTGGAGGAACTACATTTTTTTCCTTTGCACCTCTGTATTGGCTTTATCTTTCTACACTTGAGCTTGCTGCCTGGTTGACCCAAGACCAACGTTAACCTTTGGACCTGACATTGACTCTCCATACAGATTTACTGGAGCATTAAGTGTTAAATGAGCAGAATAATGTAGGCACTAACCTTAATGTCTTCTTGATGAATGAACGATCCTGACCACTCTCAGGTTCAGTCGTTTATAGTCAAAGAGACGACACTCATTGGAGCCTTTTCTGGCTTCCACGGTGGGTAACAACAAACAGAACAATTGGTACCAGATATGGTCTCAGTGGGTCGTTTAAGTTTGAGAGAAGAGTTTACTTGATTGATAATTTAAGACCTTATTTTGACAAATTAAGTTACATGCAGCCTTGGGTTGTTCCTCGGGGGCATGTGAAGCCGTTTTAATGCAGCAGCTGAGAAGAAGTCCTGATAAAATATTTATATAAAGTACATTAGACCACTCTCAGTTCTTCTCTGTGCGTTTTGAGAAGCTACTAAACCATAAAAGTGATGAATATTTTCTGTGGCAGCTGACCAGCTGCTCTGGTGAGACTGTCTGAACATCAGATTTACTGATGTTGTGTGTGGATAAATTGGTCAGTGGAGATTTAAACTCAAGAACAGTGTAAAAAGGTCGCAGAGTATTTTCTGTCAGAAGAATGCTTCTGCGAAATGAAACAACTTCATCATCGCTGGAGTTCCAGCCTGGCCTCGCACGGGTCCACTGGAGGATAGTAATCTGAAAAGAAAACATCTGCCTCCCTTTTTTAAATCTGGCATCTGTTTTTAACGTCACACGGGAAATCTTAGCCTTTAAAGATTCATTAATTTTCAACTGGATGAATTTCCAGAGTTTTTGACTAAAGTACCTCCTCAGCTAATCAAATTCAAATCAGGTTTTTGTCCTGTGTTCAAGTTTGTTAGCTGAAATAAACACTGCAAATCATAGCTTTTTCATTACGATGTTTTTAGCAGACTGATATTGGCATTAAATGTATCCTCACACTGAGACAGGCCCTAAATGGATTGAAGGCACACTTGGGTTCATTTACTGGGTCTTAATACAGGACAAGAACTTCACTGATCTCCAAAAGGAAATTCATTGATGACTATGAAACAGAGTATTTACCTTTTATTTTTGGGCTGTCCTTTTCTTTAACTGTGAAATTTCAACAGTAAATGGCATTTAATCACACTTTTAATCCCATGTCTAAAATTCCATCATTTTTCCTTTCAGACCAGTTTTTAAGCACACATCAACTAAATAAAAAAAAAATTACCAATGTAGATACTTTTGACTACTCATTGATGTCCAGTAATTCTTGGTAAATGCAGTATTACTTGTACTCTTCAGGAATTCCAGTTTTGTTGCTCTCTCTGTTTCATACTGGTCCCGTATGTGTGAAACCAAGAAGCTGAACAACAACAAGCAGAGGACTGGTCTCAGTACGCCCATCTGAATATGTCCCTTTGACATTAACATATTCACCAAGAACTAAACCTGATCTTTGGCTGTTTGTAGAGTTTAAGATAATGCTGTAAAATAAAGTTTGTGATGCGGTTGTATCTTCGATAATTTGGTGATATTTTAGTTCTTTTATGGACACGTTTGTCCAAAGCTACATACATTCCAGAGTAAATATCCCACAATCAAACATCTAGACAGAAGGAAACATCATCAGTAAGTGCCTCAAACTGGATGTTGCGTGCAATGCTGTTTAGATTTTCTAAAAGAAATGTGTGTGCCAATTAAAGTGACAGTGGTGTTATTGTTTACCATCGTAGTGGCAACGGGTACAGGAGGACACAGTGTGCTTGATGAGACAAAATAGCATTTACTCCAGTGTTTTGCATTGACTTAAACTCAAACTGAGAGGTTAAGTGTCAGTGAAGCCGGTGAAGAAAAAGCTGTTTTTAAATTTCAACCTGAAATATTTACTCAAAAGATAATGCTGCATTTGGGTCTATTTGACCAAATTGCATGTGGGGTGATAGCAGAGAGTGAGTCTAAAGATGAGAGCACTGCTGTAATTACACACCAGAATAGGGTCTTTAATTAGCTGTGGATCCGTAACCCACGCTAATTAATTATTTAATCATTAATTAAATAGCAGAGGTGCTCAGTGATTACTCATGTTTCACTCCCAGTCAAAGCTTCTTATCCTCATTTTGTTGATGTCTTATATAAGGTGGTTTTGACATTTAAGGGTGAATGTGTGTGAATTCTGCCATAACTCAGACACATTCAAGTGACCTTACACTTGTTTACATGTGAACTGATTTCCTTTTCCTTCATTTCTTTGAAGTGCATATACCACTCTGAAATCTGGTGTAGAATACAAGAAAGATTAAACTTCTTACTAGTGTTAATATTTCAACCTGACTAGGTGTCGTTTACACTTTATTAACATCGTATTAAACTGTTGACTTGACAAACCAATCATACATGACACCAAAGAAACTGTAAAAAACTCTCAGTGGACCACAGTTCAGTCATGCACTCCTCCTGTACAGAAGTTTACAGCTCCTGAACAGCCTGTTCCTGCTCTACCTACTTTCCAATCCTCCTAATAAAGACACAAACTCCCAAAAATAAGATTAAAAAAAATAAATACTAGTCCATCTTCTGTTGACCCCAATGGTTTTAAATAAATCTTTTGTAGCGTTTTGCTTTTTATAAATTTAGTTTGTTTTTTACAAGTGTTGTATTTAGCAGTATCTCACTCTGAAAATGCTGTTTGTAGACTGTCTCTAACATGTGAAAAACTTCTCACAGTAGCTTTAATACTGCTAAAGTTTAAGTTGCACCTCAGTGGTCTCCCTGAAAACCTAAAACAGGATTTGTTACTTTCTCTATCAAACTTTGGGGCCTGCAATGAAAGCTTCTTTGTCATGTCACGCCTCACCTAAAGGCGGCCCTATACGGCTAACAACTATCCTCACATTTTGACCCATTAAATCAACAAAATACCTTCAAAAGTTCATCAAGTGATTTATTGTGACAAAAGAACAAAACTACTAACTAAACACAAAGAACCCACAACTCAAATGAGAGGCAGCAGGGCAGCAGTTCCCCACCAGAGTCTGATTGTCACTTAGTGATTTCACCTGGACAGCGAGACAAAAGGGGAAAACACACACACAAACACACAGCTGTAACAGCCGTTCAATGTGTAACATGTACAGCTGTTGTTGGTAACTTTAGACAAATAGCCTCCCTAAAGAATGAAGTTGTCACACTGAAGTTTTAATGACTTTATGGACATAACCCTCCTAGTTTAGAGTAACCCCTACTTCATTTGGTCACCACTACAAAAGTCTGACCACCCCAGTTAAATGAGTCTAGCTTCACCACTGTGTGATACCACAGCAATATCACACTTGAGTCAGTGATGTTGAACTGACTATTAACAGGCTGTAAAAGGAGGTTGTGGAGGCTGACCCGTATGAATGATTTAATACATACAAATAAAAATCTGCTTTGGCTTACTACTACGATAGTCAGCAAGACAGCTCAACCTCTTGTGTCATACAGCATAAATACTTTTAATCCTGCTGCATACTTTGATTGTATTTTAACGATGAACACAAGTCGACTTCATTTATAAAAAAACAAATTTATCATTGTAATATTGCCACTTTATAACAGGATATGAATCCCTCTCCCTCTCTGCATGTTTGCCCTCTCTCTGTGACCATTATCAGTGAACCAGCCCTCAGCTCCATCAGATTAACTTGAATTTCTGTACTTTTCACTCAGCCCTCTCATCTCCACCTCCCCCCCTTTTTTTTTTACATTTTCCTTCCCTGCTGCCTCAGCCTCACTGTGCCAATCCCTCTCCAACAGCTTTCTTTCCATTGTTATGCAGATGAAGCCCAGTTAGCTCGCCTCTGTAAATCCAAATGGGATGAAGGAATCTGCCTCACTGACAGAAAATGTTGGATCCATTTCTTAAAGCCTGCCTCCCTTTTAGGGACACAGTCGTGCTTTAATAAAAGGTCCATCACTGCAACATGAAGCAGAAGGTGAGTGAAGCAGGTGGTGTTTTGTTTCACTGCTGGTCGTTTGGGGAAAAGCGTGACACGTCAAAAGTTTTGGAGCTTGTAGCTGAACATTTTCAAACATCTCTGAGCGTTTGAAAGAGAGTCTGCTGGCAGAACTGGGACACTTTGAAAAAAAGAAAAAGAAAACATTTTTATTGTAGCATTAATTGTTTATATTAATGAAAAACAAAAGCTCTCTAATGCCCTCTAGTGGTTAATCTAGATGTCACAGCTCCTCTAAGGACTTTGAAGCTCAGTCCTGTGGGGACATTCCTGCACTGCTGATACAGTAGATACAGTGTATAGTAGCAAACAATGTATGCACTGTTTCAATGTGAAATATCTTAATGCTATTTACCCTGACCACAATCCCAGATCCTTGAATTAAAGACAATAAAGCCTCTGTTACAGCTGGAAAACCAACTTTGCTCAGAGATGTAAACATGCTTGAATGTTGCACTAAAGACTTTAAGTCAGGATGATGCATGTGTAATACAGCAGCTGAAGGACTGAGCTACTTCATTATAGTGTTTGTTGCATAAATAACACACACGAATTTATAAAGTGAGTGGATTTGTATATTTTAGGACATTTCTGAAAAAGTTCAGTCTAATGATGTTAGTATTCTGCACATCAAAAGCTGCCTGTGGATGATGGTAAATTATGCATATGAGCCAAAATATAACATTAGATCTTAGATCAATCTGACTTTATGTATATGAATGAAGGAAATAAGCATTTAAATTATAAAAATTAAAAAAAAACCATCAGAATTCTTACAAAACAGATTTCCTGTGCTGGTTTGAAAAGGATACACATACTCCCTGTTAGTGTAGGTAACATTTTCACACCCCTCCTCCTCTGCTTTGATAATCCAGAAAATAATGCTTGAACGCAGCAGCCCGCATTCAAGTCAACCATCATCTAATCATTCAAGAAGATTCAAGATTTGACATATGCAGGTTAAACATAGTCAACAGTGCAATGTAATGCCCTGGATGAGAAACTTTTTAACATCAAATAACCTGCTGAAACCCAAATTTCCTGAGACAAAAATGATTCTTGCACATAAATCAGCATGATAACAACTTACTTTATTAAGAGAAACCAGGTTTGGAGAAAAAAAAAGTTTCCTTGTCTGACCCATGTTCCATCTGTTAACATGAAGAAGGCAGGCTTTAAGCTTTGGCTCCATCCCTGTCAATGTTCTCTCTGATATTTTAAACAGTCCATGTTTTTTTTTAATCCTGTGAATTTTAAGACATCCAGATGGCTCCAAGTAAAATTCTCACATCAATTCATAAACTGCTGCACAATGACAACTTAAAGATAAAAAATATATATATCACCATTACAAACAAGCAGAAAAATACAACTCAAACAAAGATGAGTCTGATTAAATGCATCTTCAACTGCTTTCGGTGTCCATCGTGTGAACTTAGGAAGTTCAGGTGTGACACAGTCTTCTTTAGTTTTGAGTCTGGTCTGAGGAGCTACTGGCAAACTCTGATCAGAGGAACTCAGAGTCCTGCTGGAGTTACACAACTCTGAACATAAGTGATGTGCGGTTACTGCCGGGGTGAAAGAACCTTCTTAGACTTGTCCTTACCTTTTCAACCAGACTCCACTTGAAGTCACAGCCACAGCGGAGTAAAGTTCACTTCACCTAGGTGGTGCAGACTCAAAAATCCCTCTACAGTTTGAGAAAATCCCCTTAACTCCTTTGGGAGCAGTTGTTTGAAACTATTCCTGTTTATTAATCTTATCAACAGCAATGAATCCTTGCTTGTCTGCAGGCTAACGGTCTTACCAGATCCATGTTCCTCTAAATCTCTAATAAGACCACCTTTCATGAGTTCAGCAAAGCAGCCCTGTTCCTGCTCTGTTGGAATAAATTCACCCACCTAATCCAAATAAGTTTTAAAAGACTTTAATGATCTCAGGAAGTGAGGATATTATTGAAGACTTGCTGTAATAACCCAGTTTTGAAGGAAGTAAAATCACAATCCTATTATTTGCTGACACAGTTTCCGCCTAAGAGGAGGTGCTGTAAATTTGGAGTAACTCTTAAAAACCTTCACTTTTTATGTATGAAATAGCTTTTAGTAAATATTTTATGGCAAATTTTCAATATATTTCAACAATTTCAACATCAGTTTAATAACAAAGATGAGCTCGAATTATATATGGCTATACTATTTAACATTTGTGTCTCCCATTCGTGTTGGCTAGAAAATACCTACATGGTTAATGTCATTATTAAAAATAGTTTAAAACCCCTAATCTGATTTCTGATTGGTTGGAGTGGCTCCTACAATTAAACACAAAGCATTGGCAAAATATCAACAGATAAGGAAGTTAAGCTTTGTACAAAATCCAGCAATTAACAGTCAACAGTATGTTGGGAAATGTGAAGCTGCTTTGGCTCTCTTCACTGGATTAGCCGCCAAAACCTGCAAGGCAGACAGAAGCAGTCTATTCACAGTAAAATTCTGAATACTTCGGGAAGTGTATGTAACTGTATCTGAGTTTTTTTTTGTAGGTAATTTTCTCTGTCACCACCAGGACATCTGCAGGTCTTACCTCCTCATGAACTGACCACTACTATAAACATTCATCTCCTTAGAGATTACCACCCGTTACAAAATGCTTGACCTCTTCATTCTAATCTGATTAATCATTTTCATTTTAGGTTTCATGTCATATTCCTACTCTGGTTATGTCTTTGGTTCATATACCTTGGAACTCTGGTTCAACCTGCGTCCAACTCCTTAATTGTCAAGGAAAGAAAACGGTCAAGTTTTTCTTTCACATAAGTAGTTAGTTTGTCCCCTCCCGAAAGAGGATTAGGGCCACAAGAAAAGAAAAAAAGTATAACAGGAGACAGATTTTTTAAATTTCCATCCGAGATTAAAGTCAAAATTTCAAGATTATTTCGAAATTCCGACATTATTCACGACATTTCAACATTTTGTAATCTCAAAATTTCGACTTTAATGTCAAATTTATAATCTTGAAACTTCGACATTATTCACAACTTTTTGACATTTTTAATCTCAAAATTTCAACTTTTTCATTTTGACTTTTTCAAATTTCGACTTTAATCTCGAAATTTTGGCTTTAATCCTGAAACAGTAATTTACAAAATCTCCCTTCTGTTATGATTTTTTTCTCTTCTTGTGGCCCGAATCCTTTTTCGTATCTTTAAGATTTTGAACCATAGACTGTATATAGAATGGACAGAGTCTGCCTCCTCGCTGGGTGAAGCCACTCTGAGAACAGCACCCTCTGGTGACGGGCTGCAGTATAGGTCATAAATCCCACCTCTGCCAGCAAAGCTTACGGGGCTGTGGACAAACTTTAGAAATTTATTACACAGAACATACATTTTTTTCCCCACTGCTTGCGATGTTGACATGTAGTTATTATAAGACTGGTTTGTGCTCAAGTCCTCTTTTTTCTGTGCAGCTCCGTTTTTTAAAAGTTATTAGGGGGTTCATGTTTTCTGTGATTGACACTTGATACAGCCAATGGGCGTACGAAGATTGCGTAGCTTACCCGAGAGATACACTGTTTGAGCCAAGCATTATCACAGCGACTCTTGGCGACTCTGCTGCCGAATGCGTACAATGCTACTGCGCAAGTGGTAAAGTGCGTAGAACGCTACTGCGCAATGTTGGTTTCAGAAGTGGAGAAAAAACACAGAATTACCGAGAGCTTTTTGGCTTCAAATCTGTATACTGGCAGAAGGTGGAACCAAGTTGTCCATAGTATATACAGTCTATGTTTTGAACCAAAGGCTATGGACAACTTTACATTTAGAATCTAGATAACAAGAAGCCTATTAAAGCCTCAAGTGGACACTCAAGGAACTGCAGCTTTAAGCATCTACACAAGGAGAAACCTGAGTTAAGGTGAAGGGTGCCAAAATAAACAATAAGTCATATATTGTTTTTTGAAAAGTTTTATTTCTCTAAAAGATGTTTTTTTTTTTTTTTCCCTGAGAACACGTGTCAGTCACACAGTAGGATTTACAAACTTTAAATCTGCCAATAAAAATCATAACACTTAGCAGCATGTTCACAGTTATCTACATACAAGAGCAAACATTCTTCAGTATCACAAAGAAAACAGCATCTAGTTAGTTTTTTTTTGTTCTTTTTTTCAGGAGTAATGACAAAACCCTTGTCCTACTTTTTTGTTCTTTCCCAAGTCTTTAAAGCATTCAGTTTTCATTATAAAAGACTCAGGCCTCTAATCTCCTCTTGAAGTACCCACTGTGCCATCCACTTTTTTTTTTTTTTTTTTACCTCCTTTCATTTTCCATGCGTCAAAACTTCATTCCCTCTTTCTCCCTCTTCCACACATTACCTACACAAAGTCACAAGTCCCCAAGGTGCTTTGATTGTAATGAGCTGCTGAGCTGGAGCTTAACTCATACTCATGTCTGAATTTTTGTCCACATACTTAAACTACCTTTAATGTTTCTGGTGTTTGAGCCGAAGGAGTCTGCGATTAATGTGAATGTTCAGAAGAAAAACACGAGAGTGAAAGATGTGTCTGCTGAGCCACCATTCCTTATTCTAACTTGTAGTCAAACTTATTGAAACTATGGTATGGAAAAATATACTTTTCACCCTTAAAAGGATATTCCAGTGTAAAATTAATTTAGGGTCAAACACACCCTAACACCAAGTTAGACACCCCCTTGAGAGATGAATGTTGCCGACTGCTTGCTTCTCTAGTTATAACAACTTTAGCGACAACCGCAGGATAGCAATACAGAGCGGTCTGAGGAGCCATAAACAAACCTCAACCAAAACGCCACTCTATAGCCACAAATAATGCTCAGTACAGCACCTAACTTCATCAACAGTACATAGTCCCAGCCACAGCACTAGCCACCAAACATCTTATTTGCCCAATTTCTTTAGCAAAGAGATTATGATCATTACTTTATCATTTTCTTGATGTAATAATCACCATATTAATCATTTTGTGCTGCAGATGCGGTAGTTCTTCTGCCTTATCGTCTCAGTCTGATTGCATTTCCATGAAGAAATGATCATAAATGTTCATGGTCTCGCTACAAACAAGCGGCTGCTGCAAGAGAGTAGGTGAGTTGTGTTTGGTCTCTTTGCTAAAGAAATTAGGCAAAGCTAAAAAGATGTTTGGTGGCTAGTGCTGTGGCTGGGACCCAAATGTCCTGTTGATGAAGTTAGGTGCTGTTCTGAGCATTATTTGTTCCTATAGAGTGGCGTTTTGGTTGAGGTTTGTTTATGTCTCCTCAGACTGCTGTGTATTGCTATTGTGCGGTTGTCGCTAAAGTTGGTATAACTAGAAAAGCAAGCGGTCGACAACATTCATCTCTTGAGGGGGTGTCTAACTCGGTGTTATGGTGTGTTTGACCCTAAATTAATTTTACGCCAGAATATCCCTTTAAAGCCCATTTCATGTGTTTCTTGAGCACATGTTATAAATGCATTTGCCTTGTGACCTCAGCCTGAGCCATCGTTGTGGAACTCATATGACACTACGATACACTTTCCACTCCTTCTATTAATCAAATCATTCATTTTTGTGTTTGTTGATCTCAAACAAGTGAACTGTGACTTTAGAGGTTAAATACTTCCTGTAAAAATCTAACTCCTAAATCTAAGTGGTTTTGGTGCCAAAACATAACCACAGATCTAGGACCAAATCAAACTTGTCATCCAACGCTTCTCCTTGCTAATTCAGAACCGTGCAGCAAGAGTGTTTCAGTCACCTTTAAACCACCGTCAAGGTAACATCTATGTTGGGACAGCAGATTGTGAATAATGGCTCTTGTAGACACTGGGTTGGGAACCTTGCCTTTATTTCTCACACCCACTGTTATTACTTTTCTCAGTCTTTCATAATCGTTCACATTTTGGTGATGTCCACAGAGTCATGCATATCGATCACTTGGAACCCCAGGTTATCGACCCCCCGCTTCTCCTGGTTATTATGATTTTCTCCAGTATGGCTGTTGTGGTTTTTCTGGTCAATGTCTGATTCAAAGCACTGGACACAGTGCGGGGTAGTGACTTGAATACTTTTTGAAAAGTTTGAAAAATCCACACGGTACTTTCCCGTGTTGGTTCGGGAAATGATTGGCAGGAAACTGTACCCCCACTGTATCTCCTGTGGGATGTAAGAGGTTCTAACTTGGCATGCAGAGCTGGTGGACTCAGCCATCCCGTCAAGAAAGACCACCAACTCAAAGTCTTGCAGGGGTAGAGAGTCAGCCGAGAGCCCGTAGAAAGGACTCGATCTGTTTATCACGTGGTAAAGAGTCAAAGGGCAGACAAAAAACAGGTTATCCTTGCCAGCATCCACCATGAAGTCAATGTCCACCTGATCTAGGATATTGGTCTCTCCATCTGGAGATGTTGTAGTCCTGAGCAGCTTCCCGTAGATCTGGCTGCCTATTAATAATGTTTTTCGGAGGTTGGCGACTCTTATAAGGAGACACAGACTTCCTTTTTTGAGGCAGATGACAGCTGTGTCGCTGAAAGTTACCGTCTTCCCCCTTCTTTTGGGTAAGGAGATTTTGGCTAGTATGACACCACACATGAAGCAGTTGATAAAGACGCCAATTATAGACTGGATCATTATCAGAGCCACAGTGCCAGCACAGTGTCCCGTCAGTGCCCTGCCACCGTACCCAATGGTTGTCTGAGTCTCCAAAGAGTAGAGGAATGCTGTTGTTAGGCCGTGAACATTTTCTATGCACTTTACATGTCCGTCAGTGTGATTCTGTCCCGTTAGATCCCCGTTGTTTTTTGCGATCCAGTACCACAACAGACTGAAAATAAACCAGCTGCCAGTGAATGCAGTTACAAACAGGAGGAGAACGAAACGCCAGCGTATCTCCACAAAGGTGGTCCAGAAGTCGACCAGGTACGCGTAGTGGTTGCTGTATTCAGTGCTGCCAAACTCGATGTTGCAGCGCCCGTCTTTGGTGACCAGGCGGTTTTTGCGGCTTCGGAGTCCTGCTGGCTGGATGTGACCCTGGAGCAGCTGGAACATCCTGGAGCTTAAGAAAAGACACACAAGGTTTGTACAGTATTATTTATGAGCCAGAAGTCAAGACAGTTTACCAGTACATTGACTTAAGGTTAAAGGTTCAACAGCACCTATTGTACTTTTCATATAGTTCTGGATTAGACAGGATTGTATCAAAGTCCTACTAGAGAGGACCAGAGCATACTGTGTTATATCCTGATGTACTTTTGTATATCGTCTCACACTGAATTGCACTGTCCTGTATTCTAAAGATTTATACCACTCTGTATTTGACTGTGTTGAACCATGGTATATCATATCATATCATATCTGTAAGGATGCCTAGCCCAGGTTCACACTTGGAAGAATGGAAAGTCCACACAAATGGTCAGTTTGACAAACTTTACTGATTGCAGATCTGAGTTAAATGCCACAAGTGTAACAAAGATTGGTCTGAGACCGTTCAAGTATATATAGCTGTCCACATTTCCAAACATTCTGCTGGTGTTCAGTCGACCCTAAGAAAAGTCTATGTACAGTAAGAACAAAGGACAACATATTTTAAGGAGCCTTAGGTGAACATATGGAGAGTCCATAGAGAGAAATACCATGGCAGAACATATTTTGGGGACCTGAGTGATGTCAAAAATGTGTACAAGGTTTTTTGGTTGAGGATGGTCGCCGGAGGCCCCCGGCTCCAGCAATCTAACACCAACGCATCCATGGTATTTGAGTTGCATGGCTCCACCACTCTAAAGGCTGATGGAATTGGCTAAAGGAAATTCTCCTAACAATATCATATCATATCATATCATATCATAATATTGTACCATATGATACCATACCGTGTCTTACAGTATTGTACATAGGCTATTGTATCATTTCATATCTTACCATATCTTACTGTTTCACATCATACCATATCATACTGCGTTTTGTCGTGTCATATCGTATCATATTGTTCCAAAGCAGAGAGCACTTAAGAATACCATATTATATCCTGTCACACAGTACCACAAAATCGTGTATTTTTCCATATCTTATACTGCTACATTGGATCATATCAAATTATATAGAATCATGCACTATCAAATCTGTTCTCATTGTATCTATTTGTATTGGAACATATCCAATCATCTCATGCTGTATCACATGATCTCATATAGTACACCATACCATATCCCACCATTTACCATCATGTGGTAGCAAATTGCTCAATATTGTACAATATCTTAAAGAACTGTATTGTGTTGTATAAAATTGTATTATATTGTATTAAATTGTATTATAGAATATCATAACAAATCATTTTGCATCTTCTTAAACCCAATCGTATCAAATCGTATCATATCATATTGTACTTTAACACGCTGTATCCTATTATGGCATATCATAATGTGCAGTATCAAATTGTATCCTATCATAGTGTAACATTTATAATATCATGCCAAATTGTTTTCATAAATTCACTGAGAAGACTGAACAGACTACAGGCTCACTGATGGAGGTACTCTGGTTTAACTCCTTAAAACAACAATGTAAATATAAAAACATGGTTTCCTCAGTCCAGTATACATTACAGCTTCATTTTGATTTCAGGAAAAGCCTGAACATGCCTATCTCACTGGTCCGGGTTAACTTTTGTGAACTTTTTTGCCACTATATCAGACTGTCCAGAGACACACCATGTAATCTGGTCCACAACACGAGTGAAAAGATTCAATTACTGTTATTTTTCTTTAAACATTGTGATATTTACACAAAATAAGACATTTGTAGTAGCAGAAATGACTTCCTGCCCCTTAGAAGGTTTTGTGTCGGTTGCTTAGCAAATTATCTCGCTAATATTGTGTAACTTGTAACGAGCTTAGGAAGCTTCTGGGAAAAAAAAGGTTCATTTCTGAGCATTTAATTCATAGTTTAAGCCTGTTTTCTTGTTCATTTCAAGAGTAAGACTGTGACACTCTTCAGAAATGCCAAGACGTTTACGAATAGACCAGCATTGTCTGTTTACTAAAAGCCTTAATGTATCTCACCCCGCTGTGCGGCGGAGCCCTTTTGTCGTCCACAAACTATTAAAAACTCTTCAATTAGCTGCACTGTGCACTGGGTGACACATTCCTTCACCATTGTTTGTCTCACGTACACCTGCTGCTGTAAATACTTGAAAGGCCAGATGAAGAAGCCCCCCAACAACTTTAGCTAAAAACTACAGCGCCCTTCTGTTTAAGAACTTTTCTTTGTGACACATTCAGACTTTTAAATACTTAAATCACGATAGGCAACACATCTAAAATACTGTCATTGTTATAATTGAACATTAAACTTATACAAGCTCTGTCCAGCTAAAATACACTTGATAATTTTTCATTACTTTAGACTTTGTTTTAGAGAGGAAAATCAAGATAAAAAGTCCAAAAGCTTGGGCACAATTTACACCATGTGGTCAGATCTTTTAGGACAAATTCATTGAATTTCTACACCCTAAAAATGCATCCATGGTCAGGGGATAGATGCAAAACAACAGAACAAATATGATACTTTGCAGCTAAGCTTTTTACAAGAAGCAATTTGAATATATTCTTTCTAGTCGTCACCAAGATTTTGGTTTTTGGTTCCATGTCGTGCACTTTGAATAAATGGATTATGTAAATTTCAAGAAAAGGTTGTGCATCCTGCAGCTCTACATTTTTTTCTGACACTCTTATTTTATGTCAGACAAACTTAGTCTGGAGACTGTCTGACTTCAATATCAGCCGTTATAGAAAATTAAAGAACTGTCAGACGATTATGGACATTAAGTTTTCCCAATGCATTAAAAATAAAAAAGTAATGTGAACAAACCTGTAGCTGAGAAGAGTAGATCCTGTACTGACACTAATAATATCTGTCTATTTGAGTGAAAGTTAATTTACGTTTTGTGCTGTTAGTAGCTACAGTTCAGTGAGGCCCACGTGGTCCACTTTGAGTTCTTACATAACAGCGGCTGATTAGATTCAGGATTCAAGAAACCTTTGTCTGCTGCTGTGAGACTTAAAAAACTTTCTTTTGGGGCAAAAATGATCCAAAATATGTATTAATACAACTGACAATGTATTTTATATCTTGTCAAAAGGTTTCTTTAAACTGTCTACTGTCACAGAGGTGCAATCATTCATATTAACTTGGTAATTTTCCTCTTTATCCATGTTGTACAGCAAATTATTTTTTGATAAATAAATGAATAATGCAAGAGAAATCTTTGGGGGTTGTGTTTAGCCTTTACAGAGATTTAAAGAAGTGTTCTTATTGGATTCTTTTACAAAGTTAGAGGACCAAACAAAACAGTTTATTAGGATACGAAGCCTGCTGAAGAAACTACCCTGTAAGGCAAGAAATGCAAAACTGTACATGACTGATCCTAGACTCATGTGCACCGTTACAAAGGTTAATTGCATCTCAGCTGTAAAAACATTTCAGCACCAAACAACAAATTCAAAGCACGTAAGATATTCATGCATAAATGAATAAATATCTCCTCCTCTGACAGTTCTGTAGAAATAAAGTTTGGACATACCTGCTTTTTGGGACCATGGGCCCTGACTGCTCACTGGATCTCCGCTGGAACTTCAGACTCCTTTCTTTCAGCAAGTGGCCATGGAGACGTTGGAAAGATTTTAATCCACAGTGAAATTTCCTAATCCCAGCCACATGCCACCATGTACACTTGCTGCATACACACAGAGCAGCCGTCTGCAGAGCTCCTGGTGGGCGTCAGTTTTCTGTGATTGGCATGGTGGTTCCCTTCATCACCACACCAACAAGAGTGAAAGGAAAACCAGTGACCTTATCAGCTCTGGATTCATCACTCGTGAGGATTTTGGCAGTGTAAATTCTGGTAAATGTGAGGAGGGGGACTGTCCCGGAAAAGTCCTCCTTTTGTTTAGCAGGAGGTGCATCTATTAAAGGGGCCAACGTGGCTTGTGCAGCACCCTTGCTGTTTTTGTTTTCGGCCTGAGAACATTTGGGATTTGCGTCAGGCCTCACAAAGAAATCCCTCAATTGTGTTTCCCCTGGTCCCCTTCCCCCCCTCACTTCAAACCTGTAGGGCTGCCTCACATTTGCATCAAAATGGGGAGCTGCAGGGACAAAATGTCTTTGCAATATTCTTCTGGCGGTTGGAAAGAACTTTTCCATATTTTTAGGAGCACACTTCCTCAGCCTGTTGAGATACGGGACAGGTCTTGAATTGATAAGATGCCTCCCAGCCTCTATCTGCATGGTAATGATGGGAGCAGGAGATGGGTGAAGATGTGTTAAGAGACCGTACCTGAATCCTGAAGGCCAGGCTTTAGTATGTACAGTACAGTAGGGTCTTTAATCAGGGATGGTTTTACACCGCTGCCTGTGCAGGGCTGCAGGAAAACCTTTTACTGCAAATCAGTTGATATAGCACTCATTACTGTTGGGCTTTATGTCTTTATTGGAAGGAAAGGATAGAAGATAGAGCAGCAAACTGTGAAAGGTCTGCAGGATGAAATCACAGGCTGCTCGCTTTGAAGACTATGACCTCTGGGGTTTGGGATTTAACCACCAGGCCAAACGGTCAACCCACTTCCTACCTACCTACACTCAGGGTGTAAATTTTACCCTAAACCACAATATAGCTGAACAAGGAAACAACTGTTAGAGCGACAAAAACAAATTTGTAATTAATCTCTAAAAAGTTGTGAAAATGAGCCTTTGTTGGTATCCGCTCACTTTTGGAGCTAGCCTCTGGTGGCTATTTGAGGAACTGCAATTTCTGACACCTTTTAAATGATTTTGTTTTTCAGTCATAAAATTAAAGAAAACTTACATTTGTAAATATGCAACTGTATAAGACTAAAGAGCAGAGACGTGATTGGGTCTTTGCAGTAATCACACCCAGGTGCTCTTTTTCAAATTGACTCCTAAGGTCATCTTTAGTCTTATGATGTTAAAAATAAAGTCAAAGGATCCTCAGATATTACTGAATGCTACGACCTTTTTTTAACGCCTGACACCACAAATTGTGGCCAGAAAATTCAAAATATTTTGGAGCTGAAATGTTTATTTCATTTACTACTAAAAACCAAAAACATTCAAATGTCCTTAAAATTTAACAAATATATTCATTAATCTCGTTTGATACATTAGATGTTTTTGGAAACTAATAAACTACAAGAGGACATTTTTATCATTTATAAGACCGTATTCAGGTGTTTTTAGTAATTTGTTGATCATATTGATTTGTAGAATATGAAAGTATTTATATGATACAAAAGGCATTAAAGGGTTAAGTCATTCAGCAGCTGCAGAGGGCTGCTTGTCCCTGATTTATAAGCACACAAAAAAAGCAATGAATGATGAATGTGCACATTTATCTGGAGTATCGCTCAGCCAGTGTCCCCTGGCTCTTAGTACTCAAATATGTCATTTATTGTGAATATTTGGCATGGAAATCGTAGAAACAGGACTGTTTCTGCAGCTGCTTGGCTGAAACCTGCCCTCTTACACTAGTTACAAGTATTTTTTACGATACATCTTTTTCCTGAGAAACTTGTTTTCTTTTGTTTGTCATAAAAAGGCATCATCATGAATTTAAGTCTATTTCATAAACATAAAAAATCCTCACAGGAGCCTGAGGCCTCGAATTGTAGCAAGAGAGGTGGAACACATCACTATCCGTTTTTATGTGAAGTGTTAGTTTCCATCTTTCAGAGATTAGCCCTTATCTGACTTTAGTTCAGGGTGCTTCTCTGCAGTTTTTCTTTCACAGACAAGAAACACCTCTTCCTCTCCACAAAGTTTTGTCGGTATGAGACAACTTTGTTCTGTGATACTTTCCACTCACACTCTTGTGTGTCTTTGATTTCTGCTCGGTGTGTTGCATTTTGTCAGAGGAAGTTATCGTGCGGTGGCTGGTTTCACTCGGCTGATCTTATGAGGAGGGGGGACGTTTAGAAACCCCTTTGCAGCTGCAGGGAGAAGCCACAACACAGTGATATACATCCTGAATTTACTGCTTTAACAGACAACATTAACATTTAACAGCTGAATATTCCCTTTATAGATCATCTTCAATATCTGAGGTTATTTGAGAGGAAATATACAAAAACAGACTCTTTAAATCGATCATTTTACATGTTTGCAGGTTCATTACAATACTGATCAAAGGTCAAGTTTAAGCAATACAGGCCTTATAAATAATCTCACAGTTAAAACTGAGGACAGAGAAATTAGAAATGTATGTAGTTCATTAATCCTTCACTTACAAGAGAATAAAATCACCAAAGCCTCCAAATAAGAGGCTTTTATTTCTCATGTAAGAATGTTGAGTTTAACATTCATTCATTCCAGCTGTTTTATCTTAAGTTTAAAACCTTAAAAGTAGAATTTTTAAACTATAAAGAATCAAAATATAAACTTTCTTTAACCCTGACCCTGCTCCATTATCCACTCTGGATGATGATTTCACTAGTTTTGGCTCAAACACCCTTTTTGCTCGGCTGACAGACCTGAAATAAGAAATGGCTCCCTCTGCTGGGCAAGTTTTGAACAATATCTTAACCAGCTGGTTCCTCCTGCTGTGTTGAAGTGCAAATTAGGTTCCCGACAGAAGGGATTCTGGTAAAATCAATCTTGTTCATCCAGATTACTTCCAACTGAAGAAGGAAATATGTCCTCTAACCCCACATTTACAAAGCGCTGCTAGCCAAATGCATTGTTCCACAGACTTTTTCTGCACGGCCTCCTTAATTAATTTTTTTAAGCCCTCTTTCCCCTCACTATACACACCATCACATAAACATACTGTACGTTAAAAAACACACTCAAAAACTAAACATAAACTGTAATACTCTTACACACACACAGATATATGTCACTCCTCATTCTCCACCCTAGTTTCTTTCTGTATCCACTCTCCTATCCTCCCGATAAAGCATAAAAAGCTGAAAATCATTTTTTTAAAAGTGTAAATGGTCAAGTATTGCTGTCTCAGATGCCGGTCAGTAGAATAACTTCAGTTCTTGTCTGTGATAAACCTGACACTTCTACAGACCTGGAAAGGTGCACAATTTAGAAGTTGTTGGATATTTTAATGCTATTTAGATTCAGCAGTTCAAATTCAAAATGAAGACATAGGTATATATTACAGTACGGTACATGAAGATATTACTTTAATACAAGTATAAAGATAATCTGAAATCTCAACTGTAAGAGCAGAGATACCTGGTGGAGACATGAAAAGAAGACCCTGCCATTTGAAATTTCCGTTTTAATATGGAAGTTATTCATAAAAGATTCATTCCTTAGAAGAGAAACCTCACACACCACAGCGTAAGTGTTGATATCCAGGATGTCAAACCATAAAAAAGTACCAGAATTCACAGGAGAGATTTTTAAATACAGTGTGCGTCAGCAAAGTGTATGGCTTTTGCTCATCATTTACAGAAACACACAGAGTTTACTATGTACAATAAATACATAAACCCCTCTTAAGTTCCTTGAAATGTTTGGTCTGATCCACTTCAGCTGAATTTTACATCAGCACCAGCAGATTCACCAGAAGTCTGAATCAGGATTTCGGCTCCACAGAAGTAGGAAAGGTGTTTTCTTTGATTTCCCCCTTGAGTGAACGATTTCCAGAGAAGAGCTGGCTCCTATTTCCAGTATTCATAAACAGTTTCCTCTGTTTGAAGGCTTCTCACTCACTGTAACACAGCTCAAAACCTTAGGGAGACTTCAAGATAATCACTATCTTATTGTTTTTACACCTGTCCAGGCTCTCTGTCTTTCTTTTTTCTACATCAACATCCTCTACAGTCTCTTATCCTCCGTTTGTTCATTGTAGAGATAATAACTCTCTCGGATCTTGATGATTAATTTCTGCTCGGTTGTCCAAAATTACGCACTGACAGAGGGTGTTACTCTGGCGTAGGGTTTTTACGCATGTACTCCATTTACAGTAAATGGTGTCCTCTATAGCAACAGTTGCTAACGTCCTTTCAGCTTAAAGGCAAAAACGCCCCCCCAAAAAATAAAAAAATAAAAAATCAGGTGATTTAATTTCTTATCTTGTATCATGATGACATCTCAAGTTCATGTTGACTTGAACTTGTTATGGCGTATCTACAAATTTTGCTGATTTTTGTAAAATCTTTCGACTTTTTTGTTCTCAAATGTGTTAATCGTTAAATTCTAGATAAGGTCATTATGAATATGGACTCAATCATTGTTAATATCAAAAACTAAATATTCAGTTAAAATAGGGTGACCATATTCTGACTTCCCTTCATCAAGGTTAATTTTGAGAGTTTTTCGAGTTGGATCGAGTGTCTTTTAAACACTTCTAACTCAGTAAGTCCATGTGACACAAAATCGGAAACTTGCGTACAAAACCGCAGACATGTGAAGAATTTTATAAACTTCCCCGGACAAAGCCGGACAGCCCCCAAAAAAGAGCACATGTCCGGGTAAAAGAGGATGTATGGTCACCTTAAGTTGAAAGCAACTGTCTGGCTCTATGGGTTCATTTAGACTTTGGCACCCCCTGTGGACAAAGACTGCAGTGCATCATCTTAGTTCGAGCACCACTGATCCAGATTTGGTTTAAATCTGTACCTAGATCAGGTTCATCTAATTCATGTTTTCAAGACTGGGACAACAGTGATTCAAATATTGATCCCAACACTTCATCTCACGTTTGTAACTAGAGAAGTCTTAGGGGGTTCAGGATCAGGATCTAAATGGCTGAGAACCTTTGTGGGACAAAAGTAAACTAAATGAGCTCAGTGTTGGTGGCAAAAAGGGGAATTATGATCTGTGGCGTACTCATCCAGATTAAACCTTTCAAAGAAAAGACCAGAAATAAAAATAGCTTTGACTCCAAAAATAAGACAGGAAAAAAGGTCCAGGCTTTTCTATACGATGTTCTTCTCCAACATCGGTTCCTGCGCTAGAATTCGTCGAAAGCCGAACATGCTCAAGTCCAAAGTTTGAAAGTTCCCATCCAGGATCAGTTCTGCAACAGCACGACCCACCCCAGGAGAGTGCTGCAGGCCGTGTCCGCTGAAACCAGTGGCGAAATACATGTTGGGGATGAGAGGGTGCAAGCCGATGATGCCGTTCTGGTCGAAGGTGTTGTAGTCATAGAAACCGGCCCAGGCACTGCTCACCTGAGAGAGGGAAGCAGAACAATGACTCAGGATGTGTCACAGCTGATCATCGGCTTGTTTATAAAAGATTATTGTAGATATTAAGATCAATCGCGCTCTATATATCCTCTTCACTATCCAGTAACTTAGTCCCATCTGGACAGAATCTGGATTAGCTCTAAATGGGACTTTGCTAAGATACATTAAAGTGCTGTTTAAGGCTCGTTCATGAATCCAACATCTTTCTTCATGATTTTATGAAAAAAAACAAAAACTTCAAGAAGTTGTCACTGGATTAGGTCTGATGTTTTCAAACATGTACCTTCAGTTTCTCAAATGCAGGAACACGGTTGGCCAAACTGGGCCAGATTTTCTCCTCAAAGAACTGATGATCCACCTCCAGGTTACTGGTGTCCGGCTCCTCTGACTGTGACACACAAAGTAAACACACGTACAGTTTCTCTCTGGTTGAGTGTGTTTCTCTGGAAAAATAAGAAAAAAAGGAAAATGCAAACAGCTTTGGAAGATCACAAACCTCCTCAGGCGAAGCTCCAGCGATAAAATTCCCTCCTAACCCCTCTCTCCTGAAGTAAACGCCCGAGTAATCGATCAGAAAAGGAGTGTCAAGACCTGGACCATTCGGACAGTGGACTACATAGACAAACCTGAAAGACAGTATTGTTAAGAGTTTGCTCTTTGGATGATATCTGCCTTATCAGTAAAGCACAGATGATCTAAAGACTGATAATGCTGACATTATTATTTTGGGATGACAACACGCCATAGAAACAACCTGTCTTTACATTTCCAACAGCGAGTGACACATTCGATCTTTGCCTTCAGAGCAAACCAAGAGTTCCTGACACTTCCAGCCACACTTTTTTTATTAGTAAAAGGAGGTGTGGCATGAAAGACATCAGAGTAAAAACTGTTCCCTCAGGGTTTCTTCTTTAGTCCAGGTTTAATGTACATAAAACAAGACGTAGGAGTCATTTCTTGACATTTTGAACCTGAGGGTATATCACAAAGATGGATTAGAGAGTCTGCCAGGCCTAAAGACAAATCTGGCTCCCCTCTAACTTCACTAGCTCACCATAATAACTTACTCTGAACTCACAACCAGGTTTTGTTCAAAGTTACAGCTTGAAATAGGCGGCATGGCACAATCTCTCCATAAATTTAAGTCATTTGAAGCTCTCTGCCTGCAATATCATCAGCTGAAATCATGTGTATTATTGTTAAAGTTCATAAAAATTAAAAAAAACATAAAGATAACCAGTTAAAAGGCCAGTCAAAACAAAAAACAAACTGCATCAAAACTGGGTCCAGGACCTGACACCAACAGGTCTTATATTTCAGTATGACTGGAAGTTAGCACCCTTAAACCAAAGCTGTCAGTCAGAGCAATAGTGACGGTCAGTTTTCTAATTAACTGGACTTCATAGTCCAAATGAAACTGTCAGACTGATGAACGGCGCCGTATGAGGCACTAACAGCCTCTTTCACTGAAAACTCCATGTTTGCCAGCAGCTGTTTTTTTTGAAGAGAAAATCTGCCGCTTGCCTTTTTCGAGGCTCGACGGGGAAAGGGACTCCAGCGATGGTGTTTTCGGGGCCGTAACCGATTCCCATCATCTCTGCCAGTTTACCAGAAAAGGCTCCTGCTGCATTCACAACAATGGCACAATCCACTGGCTGGTACTCCAGGCTGTTAGGCATCTGCACCTGCTCCACACAACACATAATCCCATCATCGACACAACACATCAACTCTGAGTACAGTCTGTTTTCCTAAAGACACTAAAACAAAACTCATCATCTACAGAGTCCAACAGCTAAAACGTGTGTTTAGTTAAATTTTCGGTGCTTCGTGGAAATGATGAGACCGACTATTTTCCAAAAACACCAAGAATATGAGAGAGGAAAAATTGTAGCTGGTTTGCAAAGTCCTAACACATAATAAAGAGATAGCAACCGACATTGATCACAGACAATTCATAAAAACAGACATGAAGTGATGAGTTTAGTCAAATTACAGAGTAAAAATGAAAAATAACGTCTCTAACTTTGAAGGTATGTTAAACTTTAAAGTGTTTTCATATACTCAAAGTAACTTTCCAGCATCGTAGATTCACGTACTTTGACAGATTTGATTCTCCTGAGCTCTACTTGGTCACCATCCATGTTCCTCAGCAACTGTGAAGTGTAGTTTATATCTGTGCAAGAAAAAGAAACAAGATCCAAGATGACTTCGACTCTATTCTGATGACTATACATCTGATTTTTTTTTCCCAATTCATACGGGAAAGATAAAGCTGCACAGTCACAATATTTGAAGTCCATCCGGGACAATTTTCAACATCTCTCTGTGTTAAACTTCGTACAAATCACTGCCGATGACTACAACTTCAGAGCTGCTGAAGCAAAAAGTTTGTTATACTATCAAAATGACTCCAACAGACAAACTCAGAAACAGACCTTATTAAAAGTGGTCAGGTTTTGAAAGACTTTAAAAGCCTTTAAATTCCACAGAATCCCACAATTTTGTAAATAACAGGTAGCTTTCACTTTGTTAGGAAAAGTGTTATTTATAATGATTTAGCTGAAATCATCCAGATTAATTACCCACATTTTGATGTACTAATCAAACTTTTCATGTTTTTATTTTTCTCACATCATGGGTGGAAACAGAGAGACTCAAAGCTCATGAATACTGTGCTTTGAATAACCTTCTCTCACAAGTTTCTTGTTGGTTTGGATGGATTCACAAAAGAGCACATGCTTGTAGTTTGTTCAACACAACAAACAATCATCAGCATTACATTGAACTCAGTGGTCTGGAAGTAATAAATGTAATCAGACACAAAAAACAGAATCAGAGAGAGAGAGTCAGAAAAGCAGAGGCAGGCAGGTAGGTCAACACTGCAGTGCTGAAATATGCAGCTGGTTAACATACTGTTCCTCTGTGTCTGTGATGTATCAGTGCAGAAAAGTGGTATTTTAACAAAGTCCGGCGGGGACCAGTTGTATGACAAACCTGTAACTTCTCCACGGCACTGAATAACTCCCATAGAGATGGCTTTTCTCCTGAAGGCGTTGAGAAGAGTCCAGGGGTCGAACGAGCCCTCGTTCTCCAACCCTACAGGTTCACGTGAGGAAAATCAAGAGCTGTAAGTGCTTGAGAAAGAGTATGTGACTTACCAGACACACACACACACAGATACCAAACCCTCTATCCAATAGTTGTAATCTGGTGTATAGGTTCTTAACACTGTTCAATGACTAGAACACACCGTCTTCTTTTGTTTCCTTACTTTGTTTTCATCACCATTCGCTCTTTAACTTTGTCTCTGTCACTTGACCGCTGCTTCCCTCTTTCCTTTTTGCCTGTGTCACTTTTAGGTTGAAGATATGACTGTAGATCCATTTCTTTTTTTTTTATTTTAGCACTTTCCAGAAACTTCCTTTTACTTCTGAATATTGTATGGTCTGAAGTCACTTGATATTGAAGAGTATTTTGAAAAAAAGACCAACCACTGTTACCACTGTTGAGTAATTGAACGGTTCCACATAATTTTGATGCCTTTAACAACAGGAAATTTATGTCTTGTTTTTGTGATTAATTACATCCAGTTAAACATGTTAATGTTAAGAGAACTTGGATATTGTGGGAAAAGGACTTAGGGGTTGAATTTAAAGCCGAGGTGTTGTTAAATGCTTTGTTTCACCTTGGAAATGACTTTCATAAAATTGAGTTAAAGAGAGCAAAATTTAAAATTTTCACAAAGAGCCGTGGACATCTCAACTTCTTAAAGCTCCAGTGAGGAACTTTCAGTTTGTGTCCACTTTGGCGCCCCCTGTGGACAGAGCACTCTTTGCATGCCTAAGTTGTGGTTAATCACGCCTACACTTTGTCTGTATAAACAAGTCATTGTTACATCTTCCCTTTGACACGCTATATTTGAACTGACTCATAAAAAGGTAAATGTTAGCATCTCATGTTTTTTTCAGCAATTTGGAAAAATCTGTGCTCTCTTGTTTTTGATGTAAAACTTATAAAATCTGTTCAAAAAACAAGCATTTCGACACCCTTGTCCATATCTTGCACTTTTTGCTGTTATAAGGCCAATTTGACAGGCAGGTCCTAGCATATCTACACAAATGGAGGAAATGCATCGACTTGTTTATCATTAGTTCTCACCATATGATGCGAGGGCCACACCATCTGTGTTAATCCATGGGAATTTATCCTTCAGTTGTGTCGGAGACAGAAGTTTGACTTTGGCTCCAGCATCCCTGGAATCACATATAAGATCATTAATTAGACACCTTCCACAGGAGGAACCATGAAATTGTGATCCCCTCGAGTAAAAAGAGATTAATACAGCTGGGTGTTGTAGTTCTCCTCCATGATGTGTGCCACGTCTTCATTGGCCAGGAAGAGGTATCCTGAATGGTTGAACTGCAGGTCTATTGGGTCTTCATTCAACACACCAAGGTATTCCTGGGAGGGCACAGAGAGTTTTTAAAGTGAAAAACAAACTCACAACAAATCAGACCTCTGTGAAGCCCCTTGTGTTCACTTTTTGACACTGTGACAGTAAATTATGTATTTCAAGTCGTGGTGATTTACATTTATGTTCCTCATGAAAAATGCAGAGACGAGGGAGAGGTAGATGTTCTCAGGTAAGGAGAACTGCTGTCTGATCCCTCCAGCAGACAGCACAGTGGACGCCTTCGAGTACTGAAAAGAAACATTCAGATGGAAGAAGTCAACATGACAACACTGAGAATGCAGACATAAATAATAATGATAATTCAAAGGTCGCTCGCTCACAGTTGTGTCCTTCTCAATCACCACAACTTTTACTCCTCCTCGAACCATCTCTTTCTTCTTCAGCCAATAGGCGACGGACCAGCCCACCACACCGCCTCCAACGATAACAATGTCGGCCCTCTCAGGTGGAAGGTTCGGGTTAATCTCGAAGGGGCTCCAGTTGCTCCCTGGTAGAGCGTCTGCAGCTTTCTTCCTCATGGCTGCCAGCTGGGCCTCCAGGTCTGAGCAGAAGAACAGAAACTCTTATTTCTCTGTCATTCCTCTTCACATTTACTCAAGCTCAGAATCCTCTCTGTGGCATCAGCTGACAATTCTATAACACCTCTACTATCAAAACTAGGCAGACATTTGCATTATTACATGCTGGTGTTTGTGGAAATCTACATGTAGTTGAATGTGCATGTTACTCTATATTATTTGTTGCCTGCACTTTGTCAGTAAATTTAAATTCATTGGACCTGATTTTTTGTCAGTCTGTTTTCCCCTCATGTCTGGGAACACTTTATGCCAAATTTAGTCCTAAACTTTAAAATGAAGTTTTTCATTGTAATTTCAAAACTGGAATTGAATTAACAAAATAATAGTAATAATAAACGGATTGTTTAAAAGTGGTTGTGATCAATAAATTGGACCTTATGTCAGGCATAAGCTAACTAAGCCCCTGCTTAGGGCCCCACGGCCAGTCGTGGCCACCAAAAGCAATCAAAAAATAATATTTTTTATTTTTTGCATGAATGAGTGATGCTTTCTGCATGATCAAATATATATTATTGTTAAAATAAGATAAAGTAAAAACATTTAAGTGCTGCTGCTGATGTAGGCCTATGATTCTTACTGTCAATGACACTTTTACAGTTAATGCAATGCTTTATCACTTGGAATGTTAAAATCCACTCCAGGCCGCTTTGATTAAAAACCATATGTGGCACCCTGAACATCATTCATCAGTCAGTCATTGGTATTCTTTGTATGGTTGCATTGGTATTATTTATGTTATTACCCTTACCCCCCCTTGAATGTGTAAAGACATGTCAGGCGCATTAAATCTATACTGTAGTAGGTGTGTGAATGATCAACAATCAATATTATTGGCAGAAATAGAGGGCCATATATTCAAATTTTGCTTAGGGCCCCATTGAGACTTGGGCCAGCTCTCCCTTATGGTAAAAAGGTACCAAAACCTCCAAGTGGTTTAAATTAGTTACCGGTGTTTCGGTATGAAGGGTGACCGTGCTAACTGGCGACTTTCTGCCCAATTCGTCATCGGTTGCCGTAGTTACGACTGCGCTCGGACAAATGAAACAAGTGTACTGGGATACTATTTGCTACGAAACATCAGGGCTAACCAAAATTAATACAGTTTGGTTGGTAACATGCAAGCCGAATTGTGGAGGAACCTGTCAAAATGTATTAGCAAGGTTGAGTTAGGGTGTTAAATCTGCTTATAGTTGTATTTAGAGGAATCATCGGTAAAATGTATCATCTTCAATGGGACGTTAGCTGAACTAGCTTGCTAATGCACCCATTAAACACTTTTCGGACTCTTCACAGAATGTTTCCTACCTTTGAAGAAGTCATTTCGCAGAGGTGTGCTTGTGCTTAAGCTTTGACATAGAGGTAAATGTCTGTGTAACCATGTGTGCCTCTCTGTCACCGGTCCGGAGGTGAGTAATCCGCGAGCCGTCCGCGCTTTGACGTGCAGCCTGCGCCACGTTGACATGGCTGTGAGCTAACTGTAGTACTCGCCCAGCAAACACAAACAAAATCTGAGAGAAAATACTGGCATGGCTTATCTCTGGAGGGGTGCAGTCAAATCTGCAACTTGATGGCGAGGTCAACTGACACCAAAGTCAAGGAAAATCAGAGTGAGGCAAACAATACCGGAAACATAGAGAACAAGAGATATCCCTTCAAATTAAAAGCGTGAAGTTAATCGTTCAATCAAAATGTTTACTAACACACTTAAGTATCTGCAAAACAATTTCTGCTGTTGATTTTATTTTTGATTAAAAATGCTAAAACTTTTTATTCTTGGGTTTTATTCAATTTGTGGACTATGCACAATTTTATTCTGAAAACCTACCGGGGAAGCATTATGAGAGCCTGTAAGATTTGACGTTTCCCAAGATGGGGGCAGCGTCCCCTCATGTGTCCGTAGAGAACCAATCAGAAGTTTTCTCACTCCATTTTAGCAGCTGTGAAGTTAACCAAAGGGGGAAGCGTACCATACAAAATGAATTTGAATAAACATTTTCAATAATTTTCTCTCAATAATCTGCCGTTAGTCAACAGAACGAACAAGAGCCTTTTGTGTAAAGTGAACGTGAGGGTTTGATATTTGAGGGGAATCGGAATGTGGGGTTGTTATAATTTTTGTCAGGTAGCCTATATAAAAGTTTTCCAACAGAAGCAGAAGAACATCAAATTTGATAACCTTTCCTGCAAACTGAGTTGATTATGAAAAAATCGGTGTCTCATAGCAACAGGCTGCTATCAAGAAGTAGCAGACTGTTGCTATGAAATGTTGCTATGCGATGACCAATCAGAACCAAGTACTCCACACCGCCTCACATACAAAAACATACTTAACACACAGTTCTGTTTTGTCTTCACCAGCATCATTTTTTTTGCACTAACAATGATGTAAAAGTTCTGCTCTCACAGCCAACATTGTTTTCATTCTTTCCAGGGATTTGCCTTTCTGATAAGTGAGGTTACATTCAAATATGACGTGATCCACCACAGCCATGTGGTAGAAACGGATCCAAGTTAAAGGCGGTAGGTCAGATACCTTGATGTTCAGTATTCAGAGTACATCTCAGATGATTTGAAGAATATACAAATTAAAAAATACTGGAATATCTGGTGATTATAAATAAGGAAGGAGTCAGCCTTTAGAGCCTTGTATATTCGTAAGAGTTTAACTCTTGATATTTTTTCTTTGCCCTTGAAGGACTACATAAGTGTTTAACTTCTACATGTACTTCACCTTTTTTTAATCTTTTATCAGTCTTTGGACCAGTCCAGGATACTAACACAATAACAGGCAGGCTGGGAGGAAGCCAGGCATAATCAGAGGAACACATACAATGAAATGTGGGTACACTTATCAGCTTGTACTTAAAAAAATTATGTGTTTTGTAAAGGGCAAAGAAAGGGAAATCAAGTCTTTTGTGTTTGTGTTGAAGCAGTTGTGAAGATCAAGTCTGTATGCCACCACTCCTTGTATTTGCAAAAAACTGTAGATTATGAAAATCAGACTCAAAATTCTGAATGCATAACTTGTTGCATATTCCCCATTCATGTAGAGAGAAGACAGTCACAAGTATGAAATGATTCGACTCAAGTTAAGACAGGAATAATCGATTTAATGTTTAAGTCATACGAACAAGAAGAACTCTATTTATCTCGTAAGGAAAATTCGATAAATAAATTCATACAGTGACAGTCTGTCAAACTTTTGCTCAAAGCTTGGTTCACTTTCTAAATAAGAATATCTCAGATGGAGGTCTGTGGTGAAGTTTTTAAGTTTATAGGTGCATTGGGGGATAGAAAAGGTAGTTTATTTATACAAATATACAAAATATTACAGTTTTTAAAAAACCGCAGATTAAATTCAAATTTCCTGTTTGTACAGTACGTACTTTCACACCATATACTCACTGCTGTGGTATTGTGTTCTATAGAAAACAGTTTCTTTCTTGTTTAGTACCACAAAAGTTAGGATCCCCTATTTGTACTAAAAGGCTGTGGCCACTAGAGGGCTCAATTTCAAACACAGGTAAAAAGATAGACACCAAATAAAAAAATACAGAATCTAGGTAAGACTAGCACACAAAAAAATTACATCAAAATATGCCTTTTTAAATAAACCTTCACATGTACCACCTTAAGATTATGATTATGATTAATGGTTTATATCTGACATTTTTACTATCACTTTTAGGAACATTTAAACTTTCCCCATCACCAAAACATCATTCACATTATCCTACTACTTCAAGTACAATAAGGTCAGAGTTCATCCCTGTTGTTTGAGGAGGAAGATGGGTTGTCAGTGTAAAAACGTGTAAAGCTGTTCATGAAGTTATTTCCATATAATCTCTATATGAACAAGTTTCTTCCTTCCTGAACTAGATCTTGGCGTTTTTGTTTTTGTTTTTTTTTACTGCAGAACTTTATTTGGGCGCTTGAATAGTAATTTCATTATTTAAAACCTTGGCAGATCCAGCATATATTAGATACAGTTGTTGAGGATTAGAAAATGTATGTAATGTAAAGAAGGTTGATGCTGAAATGCGAACAAGCCATGAAAATGTAGCAACTACTGATTTTACATGAATATGGACCACAGGCCTCTGTCTTCTGCCATTGTGAGATGGGAAGCTATAACAACGCTTAGTGTGCAAAAGTGATCTGCTGAACAGGACAACAAGACTGATATCACAACCCTCCAGCTAATCACAATCCACATTTAATTTACTGACATGCCATCCAAGATCCTTTAGGTCAATAAAGATTATTACAGAGCAAGTGTTGGTGTGAGGAAGACAGTAATTCAAACTTAAAAGGTTTAAAATCTAAACCACTTTTGCTTTGTGCCAGAGCCGGCCCAAGGCATACGCTAACTAAGCGCCTGCTTAGGGCCCCACAGCCATTAAAGGGCACCCAAAAGCAATAAAAAAAAAATATATATATATATATATATTTTTTGCATGTATGAGTGATGCTTTCTGTATGATCAAAAATATATTATTGTAAAAGTAAAACAAAATAAAGTAAAAACATTTTAGTGCTGCTGCTGATGTAGGCCCATGATTCTTACTGCCGATATGTCAAAGCTCCGCCACCGTTATGTGCCTCCTTCTCTGTGATGTGAGCATCCTGAATGATTTACATTTTGAGATTAAAAACCATTTGTGGCACCCTGAACATCATTCATCAGTCGGTCATTGGTATTATTTGTATGGTTGCATTGGTATTATTTATGTTATTACCTAGGCCACCCCCTTAGATGTGTAAAGACATGTCAGGCGCTACTATACTGTAGTGGGTGTGTGAATGATCAACATTCAATATTATTGGCAGAAATAGAGGGTCCCAAATTCAAATTCTTGCTTAGGGCCCCATTGAGGCTTGGGCCGGCTCTGCTTTGTGCAAATAATTTTATTTTTACTGCATGTTTCGCTTTTATTTTGATGAACTTCAGCGGAAGTTTTGCCTTACGTTCAATTGATCGGGGATCTTATTTTGAAAAGTTCTACAGGAAGTGACTTCATTGACGGTAACTTGACGCGTATATTTTCTGTTCCCTGGGGCCACAGTGTTTTCAACGGGACTCAACTTACAATTTACTGGACTCACTATGGCCGCTTGACCCAAGCTGAAATACCCTCTTTCTGTTTTTGTTTGTTCGAAACTTTTACACAGACTTCTTTCTAGATAAACTTTTGTCTTTTGTAGTTTTTATGTCAAGAAACAAGGATGCAACCCCCACCGAGAAAGGTGAGTTTTTGCCGTTGTAGCCGTTACTCGTCTGGAAACGTTCTCGAGCGAAGTGGTGCATATTTAATGGTTGGAAATGTACGCTTTGTTGCTGGTCGGTTGGTTCAAACGTTAAACCTACGACTTCTGTTTGGTAAAAAAAAACTACAAGTAGACCGTTAAAAAGTTTAAAGTCCCTTTGTGTTACTTTAAATATCAGCGGAGGAAGAAAAGTTTGGAAAAAAGGTTCCATGTGCTGCCTCTTTTAGGGGAGAATAGCCCGTTAACGTGCCCCGCTCCCTCTCGAACGGGGGACACCTTCAAACCAAAGGCATTTAAATTTTACGGTGTACTTTGTTTTACGAAATGGACCCTCAAAAATAGCTTTGTTTAATGAAATTGTGCGGCCTAAGCGTTGTTAGTTTGGCTTAGTTGTGATTTACACAGCCAATCTTAAGTTCAAGTAAATTTCAGTTCGATTTTCCTCTGGTCCCACTGCCATCCGCAGACAGTCCAGTTGAGTGAAGCAAGAAAGCTGTAAGTAAGAATACTCATAAATGAAGTGGAGTTTGCCTTCTTTTCCCATGCCGATTTTCAAAATGGAGCCACATTTCTTTGGTAAAGTTTCAAGTTGAGCCATGTCTTGGATTTAAGCACGCCTGGAGCTTTGAAACAGTAAAGTGACAGATTTTTGTTTGGTTTTTGGTGCAGTTTTGTTGGGCGAAGTCTCGGGGGTAAACAGTGTAAAACAATCCCTATCGTCTAAAGTTTATCAACTTTATTCATAACATCATTTTAAACTGTATATCAAAGTTTTAAGTGTTAGTTGTTAAAATTAGAGTAAAAAACTTCAATTCTTGCACAGTCTGGTTCGGTGTAAAAAATGTTCATGAGGATCATATTTCAAAAACATTGCTCAGCAGCAGCACAGAACATTGACCACTTCTCCCCCGGTACATTTTTACTGCTTTGTGTGTTCCGACACGTCGATGTTTTCGTGATTTTCTCAGCCGCAAATCTTTTAGTTTGATCAAAGAATTATTGATATTAGATACACAAACCTGCCATGACATTATGAACACCTGGGCGGTCTGACTCAAACCAGTAAAACGCATATTCTACTCTCAAGAAGCTTCTGCATTTGACATGATCAGACAGGTGGTTATAATTCTTCAAGTTTATTATTGAAGAAATAGTGAGTGAGTGGAAAGGTGTTCTTCCTTATATTTTGTCCACTTCACTAACATAGAGGAAGCAAAATATAGGAAGCACTTTTTAGTATAATACACTCTACCAACACCTGATACAACTTTAACAATTATCACCCTCAACAACAAGAATTGAAAATGCAGATGTTTTATGGAATACCGAATATTATGACTAGTCAGTGAATATGTCTTACATTTTGATTTTCCACCATTGAAGGCAAAGTAATGTAATGTGGCCTTATGCCCCAACCGGGACAAAGAGGATAAGTAATAAGTAATATGACCCAAATGTTAAAGTGAAAATGCTGTTGATAGAGTTGCTGAACCTCTACTTTATCTCAGATACTAATTTTGTCAGTTTTCCTGTTTACAATACATTCCAGTTATCAGGAATGGGATCAGGTCACTGCACTTCCTAATTCCCTTCATAGTCCATGGAGATCCCAAGGAAACTGACTTTTGCTCTGATTACCTCTACCTGTGATATACGGGAATTTTGTGTTTTGACAAAGCCCTGTATAGCCACTAAAGATGTGAAAATAAATTTAACACTTTCTGAGGCAAACATGAACATGTGTGAAGCTTTCTTACTTCTCTTTAAGCTTGTGTATGAGAAGTTTACTAGCTGTACTGTTAATAAGGACTAAAAATAAACAATAAATTTGTCCTACTGGGTATAATCTGTACAGCTCATCCTCATATTTTGCGCTCATCTCTGCCAAACACATCTATAAGCCATGCCTTAGATCAAACTTCAAAAGCGTAAATTCAGAGGTGTCTCACGATCTTCCTATTCTTTGGTAAATAATTAAAAAAGAAAAAATCATACTTTTGTGAAGTTAAAATGAAACAGTGTTCGATCCTAACACTTGGAAACTGAATCAAATGTCATTTATTATCAAGATAGTTCCAGATAAATGTTCACAGCCGCCTTGTTGATATCCTAGTTCTCCTTTTGACAACACTTCCAGTTATAGGTAATGACATCTGATCTGACCCCTGCACTTCTTGATTTATGTAACACCAAATTAGAGACCCAGCATGATGATGAGTGCAGATAGTTTTCACTCACACTGATTGCAACTTCAGCTGAAACAACATGCCTGCCTCCCATTAGTGTACACATGACATTTTCCCCCTTTTTTTCCTAATGCCATAAAGTGAACAAAGCATTTCTGTGTGGCTGTATGAGCTGAAGGAAAGAGTCATTTACCCTCCAGATTCTTCCTAATAATCCAGTCTTTCCTTCCTGACAGGTCCGGGTCACCCAGGAGCTGAAACACACTCATGCAGAGCAGATGAGCAGATTACACATCAAACACCAGACAGAGTGTGACCTGTTGGAAGACCTGAGGTGAGCTTTCGAGTCAAACTGTAGACATGCTGGATTACTGAGAAGTGTATTTACAGAAATAGAAGACAAAACAAAGGCCTTTAAAAGAGAATTGCCTTATTGGATCTCATTTTAGAAGAAGAGATGTGACTGTCAAAGTGAGTGAAGCTGATAAGGATCAAGGCAGCACTCCTGATTGTACTGGTTTGTAACCCAAGGCTCTGAGAATCATTTTTAAATGCAACGTAACACCAATTATTGACGCAGTGGTAAGATAATATTATGATATGGTACTGTCATAGGTTGACATGATAATTTTAGTATTATTCATTCACATTTCACAAGATTGCAATGTATCAAATCCCTTTTGAATCACTTCATTCAATCCCATTATATTGTGCTGGAAGTGTATACAAGTTGCTGGTGTTATTGTAATGTTTTACACCAGAGAGTTTACAATATAATATTCAGTATTTGCTTCAGACATGCTAAGCTGAATAGTAATTGAAGCCTTGAGAGGACTTTTCACTTTCATGGACTTGTTGCTGCTGTGCTGCACTTATTATTATTTTGTGCAAGGGCCACTATGCTGTTGAGTAAAATCGATGCATTTGCATTTTATTCCCTACTAACTTAATGTTTCACAAAGTAACTTGACAGTAACACATTATCACTTAGTTTATTTTTATTTGTTAAAAATAGTCCCCCTGAGGGTGAAATCTCATTTTTAAGGGAGAGCTTGACCAAGAGGGCAACAAATACACAAAGCTGCAGACACAGTCCTCAAGTATTTGTGAGTGTTTCCAACCTCTGTCTCCTTTCCGTCAGCAGTGACCACCACAGGTAGATTTTGTAACCTAAGCTTTGAGATGGTGAGCAACATGAGTGTGGATTTTTCTCATTTGGTAACAAAACAATGGAATGCAGCGTTTGATACATTTTGCTCCGGATTATTTACGCAAATAGTATTTATAAGGGGGCCTAAAACAGAGCCCTGTGGCACACCTTTATGGATAGTTATCAGCAATCAGCAAAAACACTTGGTGTAGTGGAACCTTTGTGAGTACAAGTACATAATGGACTGAATATGAAAACTTCTCAGTAAAAAGGAGAAAGTTTGGGAAATTATCATGCAGAATGTTTTCTGTCAATTTTCAAAATTACTCGTGTCAGTGGGTTGATATTTGCTCTCTGTCTGGATCAGGAGCCTTGTGTTTGTTTAGGGGTGGTTTGACCAGGTTTTCTGGAATTTGGGGGGAAAAAAATCTGAAATGTTTAAGCACCAAACTTGTAAATGTTGCAGTTTTAGGACAAAGAAAATACTTACATGTAAGACAGACAGGAAGGCAGACAGATTTAGCGTTGTGATCAGGTTTGATTTAAAAGCTAAAGGTTGTGGTTGTGTTTTCAGTCTTTGTGTTGGGTTGAGTTGACAGCCTACTGGCTCCCCACTTCCTGTCTGTGGTTGGTGGCAGAGCTCTGAACCTTTCAAACAGCTGGAAGTTAAGGTCATAGAGAGCTGCCAGATGTTCAGACTGCCTGAATCTGTCGCCGTGGGAGGCTCGGTAACATTCAGTTTGCCTGAAACAATGTGAAACCTGACATGAGTTGAATTTGCGAGGGTCGTGCTCCTCGATCCGGACGAGAAGTGATTCAGCAAACTGGAAACTGCATCTGCATGTCAGCAAACCCTTCTTTTGGGAAAATGACAGGAAGTGAGTGATGGGGGGTATTTGGAAGAGAGGGAGCCTCAGACATGGAGTGAAGAGGAAGGGAGCAGGCAAGAGGAAGAGAGGGAAGCTCCCAGGAAGTAAGCCAGATTGTTTCGAGCCGGGGTGGAGCATGGCAGTCAAGTCTTGACATGTTTAATGACTTAATGAGGATTTTGCTGCAGTCACATTTTTCCCAGGGCACTGACCTCTTTGCTTTTCTTAGACTTTTGTATAAAATCCTCTTGAGTAATAGTTAGCTGTATTCCTGTCATTGTAAATCAACCCTCTAACATTAAAATTAGAACAATATGTAATGACATGCCTTGCATTTTTTCACTCTTTCATGATTTACATCTATATTTGTGTAACCAACCAAACATTTTCAGCTTTGTGTGTTCCTCAGTATGAATCCAAAGTGTTCCTGTTTTAACCTCACCTTTTTCCTCTAACATATAGTCAAGGTTGGCCACATATACAGCGTGCTCACACATGGTTCTGATTGTTGATATGCCAAGGGAAACTTGTAATAGAAACAGCAACTGGAGCAAGTGCTTCAACAACAGTAGCCTTTTCTCTACACCCTGAACTCCAACCGTACTCTGTGAGAAAAAAAACAGCATCAAACAAACATTTGTCGTCTGGAGTTCATCTCTGAAGTTATATAATCCTTATAAACAATGTTTGAAAAAGTGCAGAATGGCCGCGAAAGTGAAAGTTTTGGATTTTGGCCCCTATAGAGACTGCCCTTCTGCACTGCTATGTTTCTACAGCAGCCCAATATGGACAAATTAGTGACATACATGTTTCATATTTATGAAGTTTGGCCATTAAAAATACACTACTGTGTTTCCCACAGGATGGGAGTTTATTTGTGTGTATGTGTGGGGGGGATTCATCTGCTGTGTGATTGCAGACGACAACTCGCTAATAGTCAGCATGTGCACGCCCCACTGTGCAGCGCCCATATGCGCTGCATAAACTCATACATACTGTGTCCAAGGTATAGACTGTAAAAAGAATGGACAGCATCTGCCTCCTTGCTGGGGGAAGCCACCGCGAGAACAGCATCCTCTGGTGACAGGCTGCAGTATAGGTCATAAATCCCGCCTCCTCCAGCAATCCCTATGGAGCTGTGGACAAACTTTAGAAATTAATTACACAGAATATAAATTTTTGTGATGTTGACATTTAGTTACTGTAGTAAGTAAGACTGGTTTGTGCTCAAGTCCTCTTTTCTGTGCAGCTCCGTTTTTAAAAGTTATTCGGGTGTTCATGTTTTCTTTGATTGACACCTGATACAGCCTATCAGCGGTCATGATTGCGTAGCTCACCTGGGGAATACGCTGTTTGAGCCGAGCGTCATCACAGTGACTCTCGGCGGCTCTCCTGCCGAATGCGCCCAACACTACCGCGCAGCGCTGGTTTCAGGAAATGAAGAAAAATCCCAGAAATACTGAGAGCTTTCTGGCTTTAAATCCGTATACAAGCGGGAGGCAGAACCAAGTTGTCCATCGTATATACAGTCTATGGTCCAAGGTAGCGCCTAAAGCAGAAAAATCTATTTGTGGTGGGGCGAAAGTGTGGGGAAATATTGCACTGGTGGAAAGATGACGATGAAGGGAGTGGATGTTGTTCATATAAGATTTTACATTGATTGACATTTTTGATGGCAAAACCTTGAATGTAGGATTAATTATTATATTAATCCTACATCCCAGGTGCTTTTTGTCATCAAAGATTAGCCTGACTCCGACTGCTAGGCATCTCAAAATATCCCCACTTCTACACACAAACATCACTTGACACACAATGACAAAAATTAATGAACATTTAAAAGCAAACCTTTTCTTCTAGCCCAGAATAATTTATAGTCATTTGTGGTTGAGTGTCTTAAAAAAAAGCTAGTAAGCAAACAGAAATGTGTGATAATGTTCCTTGCCTCATTCAAGAAAAAACGGACTTATGGTTTCATTAACATTCGCTGTTGTTTTTTCTCTTTTTTAGGAGTTTCAGTCAAAAGCGGGCCGCTGTAGAAAGAGACTACGCCCAGGTAAGTAAATCTAAACTTGTTGTTTTCTCTCACAGCAGCTCTGATACTTGTTAACACCATCTCTCCCCTGCCTTGTCATTTGCGCTGCTAAAAATACATGCGCAGTTTCACGATACTGTCCTCCAAAGACAGCATATAAAAGTGGAGTTGAGGATGTGGCCCCTAAGAAAGCTCTTTATTCACATGTGGCCAGAAAGCTCATGAATGGTAAGCAGCCGCAGAGACAAACACCACAACAGAGAGGAAAATCAGCATCCACTGATGATCCGGCGGTTCGTTTCCTCCTCGCCATGTTTTGCCCGGAGCTTCCTGGAGACGTCAGTTGTCTGTCTGAAAATCCCGTCTTTGCCTCTGCAGCTCTGTTCAGGTTTTGCAGCCCTGTGAGGAATGTCCACCACCACCGTGAAGAGAGGGGGCCCGTCAGTAGATCAAACTAGCAACCTCAGATGTCTGTTTGCTCATGTGCATCTGGTCCTTAAGGCTGGTTTTATGAAGCTGGTTTGGTAAAACAAAGCCTTTTAATGAGCAGAACAAACTGAACCAGGATTGAACTGTTTCATTAAGCTAACTGGGGGATAATATGACCATGCTGACTCAAGTGTGGTTTATTACATGAATTTGAAACCAGAAACTCAAGACGAGAAGTGGACGTAACTGCTGTGACATGACCCAAGAGAACTACTGTTATGTATTTTGGCGGTCGTCTAGGGCTGTCCGATAACCACAACATTGCAATACTGCACTATTGACAAACCGGCCACAAAGAATGTCAAGCCACTGCCACAACCACTTTGTTCAATCTTTTCCGTCTTTGTCAGGCTGCGCTCTTCTTGTTTCGCACTCAGAAATTGTGTAGATTGCACGATAAGCATGTAATTGGCGTGTTTGCATAATCTTGAAAAATGATGATTTATTGCATTAGTTTTATTATATTAGAGTCAAGAAGTTCTACGGTTAACATTAGTTTGTATAATAGTACTAAAGATGGGGGGACCGAGCCATGGTATGGGATTGATTTTCATGCATGTATATCCCATAGACTGTCTATAGAATTGACAGAGTCTGCCTCCTCGCTGGGTGAAGCCACTCCGAGAACAGCACCCTCTGGTGACAGGCTGAAGTATAGGTCATAAATCCTGCCTCCTCCAGCAATCCCTATGGAGTTGTGGACAAACTTTAGAAATTTATTACACAGAGTATAGATTTTTCTCCCCCCTGCTTGTGATGTTGACATGTAGTTATTGTAAGACTGGTTTGTGCTCAAGTCCTCTTTTTTTCTGTACAGCTCAGTTTTTAAAAGTTATTAGGGGGTTCATGTTTTCTATGATTGATACCTGATACAGCCTATTAGCATTCAGGTATTGCGTAGCTCATCCGGGGGATACGCTGTTTGAGCCGAGCGTCATCACAGCGACTCAGCGACTTTCCCACCAAATGCGCACAACGCTACTGCGCAATGTTGATTTCAGGAAATAAAGAAAAATCGCGGAAATACAGAGAGCTTTCTGGCTTCAAATCTGTATGCTGACGAGAGGCGGAACCAAGTTGTCCATAGTATATACAGTCTATGGTATATCCACATGCTCCAGCGGTGCTCGTATATATAATGTGTGGTTGACAAAAAGATTCTGTTCTGCAGAAGGGATCCATTTTAGGATGAATGAAGAGAATCATAAAGAAACCCCAAATCTTCGGTCTTTTTCGGACTACTACTACCCCTGAAGAACAGAAAAGGAAATTTCTTCTCTATCACAGCCTTACCCACACCACAGAGGTCATACTGTGGTATCTGGGCCTGAAAATATAACTTAGGTGGAGAAGTTTCATTGACTGAGGGCATGCTTTATTTAAAAAAAAAAAAAACCCTCTTCGCTTTTCCTTCCAAGATGTAGTACAGTTTGTATTTTCCATCAAACATAAACTTTATATTGATTGGACCAAGTCATACCTCAAAATTTAGACAAATTAATAATTCTTAAAATGGAAAAAAGCTAAAAAAAGAAAGAAACATGGAGGCAACCGCAGCTGAGGACTCCGACACCTGTTTGTACATTATTTATCCTGCTTGACTGGGTCCATGTAGTCACGACACCTCACATTAAAGATTTACACCTCCTCAGAAGAAGGAAAGAGTAGTCGAAAGACTTCACTGAACTCAGCGCAGAAGGGAACCTCAGAGAGTCGTGAAAAAACAGACCTGCAGCTCTGACTATCCTGTGAACCTGTCAGGCAACAGGGACTCAAGTTTCTCACACCACACACCCCCCCTCAACTAATTTCTGATTGGCTGTATAGTCCAGACATTTAAATTATGAGCATGTGTCTGGCAGCTGAAACATCGCTGTATTTTTCAGCTTGTGTGTATGCCAACTTGGAGGAAGTGAAAACTAGAACAGTATGCAAGTATTTGCTATGATTGCACATATTTTGAAAACAGGAAGATGTGAATCTTCACAGTCATTTTATTGGCATGCATTTTAATGTGATGTGAAAGTCGTGAAAATGTACAAAAAAGAACAGTCAAACAAAAGGTGTGTGGTTTTTTTTCAGTAGAGAGCCTGCAGGCTAGCTTTTGTAACCCAGTGCATGTGCGTTTTGTTGGATATGCATGCCCAAGTTATACCAGTGTTTTTTAAAGTCTGATTTTGTCCAAGCAGAGCACTGCAGCAAGGGTTAGTCTTTTTATGACTCATCAAAATCTCAGGAGTTGTTATTAAAAACAATTAAAAACAATAATTGGCTGAATAATACGATCACATACTTGCTTTTGTAAGACCATAAACCTTTGTGGTACCAGAACTCTAAATATGTACTATTTGTACGGGCGATGACAAATGAGTCAGGAATTCTTGATTATGAAAATCATGATAATTTTGGTCCCGCAGTGAAAAGCAGTTCTTCATTTTAGGCTGCGGTGAAAGGTGTCCTGTGTGTCTGGGTTATTCTGGCTGCTGGTTATGTGATCAATTAGATATCCGCTGCCAATGGTTGAATCAAAGTGGGTCAGAGTGTCTCTGGAACACTTAGTTCCCTTTGGTCACACCCGCTGCTTTTTGTTTTTTTCCAAAATTCTCCTCTCTTTACGCGCCTTTTTCTGGGTCTCTTACACCTGCGAGCTGCTTTAGCCATCAGTCAATTACTATTCAAATCACACTGTGTGATAAAATGTCCTCCTCTGTGCAGCTCTTCCTCTGCTGTCCTCGCATCCCTCCTCCTCCCACCCTTCCCTAGTTCCCATCACAGTATTCAGGCGTGTCTGCTCAACTAGCTCAGTTGGCGATCCTCTCTCTCTCTCTCTCTCTCTCCCTCCCTCTCTCTTTCTCTCTCTCTCCCTCTCTCGCTCTGAGTCCCACAATGGCGGGGTTTGTAGCAGCTTTGAAGCTTTGGCACCAAGATCAGTACTGATCAAACCAGAAAGTTCAGGGCCCGTCTATACTCGGTAGACAGAGAGAGGATAGATGGGTTGATTTCATTGATCACCTCTTTGCAGGCCTTGAGCATAAAGCAAAGTCACTAACTTGATCCAGACGATCCTGTCTTTCTAAGATGGAGTTTTCTTTCTTTTATTAATATTCTGTTTACCATTTCTCGTTTTTTTTCGCAGGTAGCATCACTTCTCTTTTGTACAACAATCACAAAGCGTAGACAGGTGTATAATACTCATCCTGCCGAAAATGAAAATCAGATTTTGAACAGACTTATTGAATAGACTTTACCTTATGGTTGTTTAACTCTGCAATGCCCATCTTTGATTCGGACTCGTACCGTGAAATCTAAGCGATATTTCTGATCAGTATCTTAACATAACCTCAAGGTAACAATAAAACTAACGCGCTGACTGTCTTTTAGAATCAGATTGTCACATTGAAATGGAATGAAATCTGTGCTCTTGTGATTAAAATGAAGCGCTTTTGGTGTCAGTACTTCATGACATACAAATAAAAGTAACCTGTCATTCACAAGTGCATTTTAGGATGATCTTCTCAGGATCATCATCTTCGTCCAATTTTTGGCTAACTTGACCTGCTTAAGGGTAACTTAGTTCACCCCCCTACCATTATGAGTGGTGGGTGATGGCAAAGACTCTGTCTGGCTATCATGAGGGACACACTTGTCTAGCAGATAAGTGTTGTCATCTGTTATGACCAATATGGATATTGATTTACTAAAGCTGGAATATTAGAATGTCTTTATTTTTTTTAGATGTGTTTGAAGAACCTGTCATGTATTCAGTGAAATGTCCATTGAAATACCTCTAACTTGTGTTTCATCGTAGCTAAAATAAGCCCCTTCAATTAGAGCCAAATTCCCTGTCTTTACCTTTTACATTGTTTTCTTACTGAGCTAATGTCACAAAGTGGAAAATTACAGCTATATCAAATACTCAACAGGTAAACATGCATGCTGGATTAAGTTTGGAAACCACAGAATGACTGAACATGTACTTCCTGCTTATTGTATAACTTGCACTGCCCCACCTCCTGCTACATTACCCCACAAAGTCAAAAAACAAACTGACTTCATGCAGTGCCTTCATATTTTAGATGAGTTTCACTGGGTGTTTTATAAAACAATGGTTGACAGTGTTGAAAAAAAGGGTTGTAATGAACGCAGAAGAAGTTGAGATGTTCTCATTTCGAGGCCCTCAGTCAAGAAGATCATTTTTTGATCAATCAAAAATACAAAATTATCGGTCATTACCACTTTAAGCGTCTGAGGAACTCTGAAAATCCACCAGTCTAGTCTCTTCTTGTGTCTTTTTATGCAGAAGTTCATTTTCCTGATGTACCAAACATATATCCTAGAGCAACCATGAATTCTTCCTAATACTTTTTTTTTTTTTGTTAATGTTTACTCCGTTCTGATATTTTGGTTCTGTAAAGGTTAACCTCACTGTTGGTCAAGGTGGAGGAATGTAATTTTCCTCCAGGGATGACTGTGGTCTAAGTAAGTCATATTTTCAACTAAAAATGGTCTCACCTCGAAATAAAAAGGTGAACCAGTCTGTGCGGTGATAATTGATAACTCGTCACAACCAGACATGACCTTCAAATCAGTTTGGATTTTACATGAGTTCTTTTTTCTGTTATTGGTGATGGAAATCTTTGCAGCTAATGAAGAAAAGATGAAGTTTTCACTGACTTTGCTTTTTGTGCCCTTCTGTCGTCATGCTCTGGCTGCCCTGGTGGTTTATGGGACAAGGTCAGGAGAGGGCAGAATCCTCCATGCATGTCCTGTGTGAAGATGAGATGCAGAAAATGTGTGTTTGTGTCAAAGGTGAAAGGTCATCCCTGTTTTTTGTGTCTCTCTTTTTTCTTTCCAAGGCCCTTCAGAAGCTGGCAAACCAGTATCTAAAGAGAGAATGGCCTGACAGTCCAGCTGAAGATCAGGCAGATCACAGGTAACACCTCTGTCTAAACTCCTGTCCCACATAGTCTTCATTTGGCTTTTAATAACACATGGCTAATATGATGCCACATGTTACCTGCGCCCTGAAACATAGAGACCGTGTACAGTGATCTCAGAAGGATCAGTTTAAAGCATTTTATCCTTTTTTGGTGAGACTTGTCTCCAACCCTCAGACCCAGCAGGATAGAGCCCAGTCATATTACAGTTCTGTCCTTATTTTAATGCAAAAATGCATATTCATTTGCATGCACTAATTAAATCTTTTGTTTTCCTTTTGCGTTCAGGAACATGTATTGTGTATGGAGGGCTTATTTGGAGGGTACAATCCAGGTCACACAGTCCAGAATCAGTGCCTGTGATAACTACAAAGTCCAGGTCGCTGATCCAGCCAAGACAGTCAGACTGCAGAAGGAACAGCAGCTGAGGAAGGTAAATAAAAAGGGTCGATTTTGCATCTCTCAAAGACCCGTGCTCCCTTTTTCTTTTTCTTTTTTTTCTGCAGAAACCTATGCAAAACCTCTCCTGTGTTATTGTTGATGTCATTCATTTTCCCACCCTTCCTTTTTGGTTCCTTTTTGGGGTTGTAGCCAGTTGAAACATGTTCAACCTTTGGGAAAATACTGTGCCTGTCGCTGTAACTTTCACCTCGCAGTGGGGGAGAACCTGGATCAATAAAGAACAACCATCATCCTATACTAATGGCAGTTTAGTAGTTCAGTAGTTCAAGAACAGGTTCCTGACTCTCTCTCTCAGACTTCTCTCAGAACCTTTGTGAAAAACAAATCTTCTGAAGATGTTGGTTTATACTCCTGCTGTGACACCATTCATCGAGCACAGCAACAGAGTCTCCTTAACTTGCTAACACATGCTAAATTGGCACAATGCTCCAAAAGAAAAGTGACTCCAAACCATGTCACTATCGCCGAAAGATTTGCTTTTGATTTGGACCTGCAGCTAGACAATAAAAACCTCAATGGAGTCAATGCAGCAAGATCTTGATGATTTTGAAAGTTGAATTTCAACACTGTCTGTAAAAGCGAAACATCCCACATGTCCTTCTGGTCACATCAGAGCAAGTAAGAAGTGAGTTGAAGCAACATGTGCAATAATCAGATATGGTGCAATAAACTATATGCCAAATGAGGACAGACATTACAGCAGCGGCTCTTATCATTAACGACTTCTCTAAGTTACTGATTGTGAGTACGGTGCTTGCTCAGAGGTTGAACATAAGGAAGTCTGAGAGTAACCAGGGCTGCTCTCTGGTTTCTTTTGGTCACACTCCTGCGTAACGCATAATGGTGCTCTTGTTTGAGCTCACCTTTGCAGGAAAAGTTACACAATCTCTTGTATGCAACATGACATGTCACTACACCTATGCTTCTGTGTGAATGAGCAGAATGTCCACGTTTTAAGGAGCACTAAGCAGTAGTTTTTATGCAAATGTCTCTTGTTTATTATGTGTGTCCTCAGTGTATTGATCAGCTGATGGTGGTTCAGGCTGAGCTGCAGGATTCTGTGAAGGAGTTATCCAAGAGCAGAAAGAAGTACCAGGAGGCTGAGACGATGGCGCAGGCTGTGCGAGAGAAGGCAGAGCTGGATGCCAAGTATGAATCTGATACTTTCCAGTGATTTGTTTTATAGGATTATAACAAAATTAAGTTCAGTAGTACCTCTTTAAATTGACTGTCTGGTTTTCAGAAAAAAAAAATGAATTCACAATAAAAGAAAGTTACAAAAAAGGAAAAACAAAACTGCAAAACTCTAGCATAAATGTTGCTGGTTATCCAAAATGATGAATTCAACCACTTTCTCTCCTTTTGGGGAATGCATGTGGCTCTATTGATAGATACCACTTTGCAAAATGATCATATTGCATGTTTTGCAATTGGTTATTGGATTGTTTTCCTTTTCCAGTTAACAAATTTCTGCCGATATTTTTCTTTCCAAGTTCTGCTGCAAATTGTGCTTTAGCTTAAAACAATTGAGCACAATTTATCAGGGCAAGATGAGCGGCTTAAATTGTTGTTTGATCTGTTCAGATTCAATAGTTGAGATCTGGATTGGAATTTCTTATTTAGTGCAGCTGGTTGGATAAAACGGTTGGTTCTTAAACATCAGGTTTATGTGAGATACAAATTTGGCCAGGATTGGTTTCCAAACTAGCTATGATGTCACATCCTGCTCATATGGACTAAACTCGGCTTAAAGGTGAGCGCTCAGAAACTTTCCCTCCAGCTGTAGATGAAAGAGAAAACAGTCTTCTCCTGTTCAAGTCTGCACATTCATCATTTTGCACAGTGAAGCTCACACATCCAAGTGAAACAACAACAAGCAGAACACTTTTTTTTTTTTTTTAGCAAAGGGAGGTTTTCTGAAAGAAAAAAAAAACAGCAGAGAGGCTGACTGTGAATAAAGTCAGTTCAGGGCAACAAGAAGTTTATATTTGGACTTGAGAAAGGTGTTTTTTCACTTTTCTCTCATTGGCAACTCTTGTCCTGGCACAAAAAGAAAAGCTGACTCTTTAAGTCACATTTCAGACATCTTTTCTGTATAGTTGGGTTTGTTGTAGGGCTCAGATTCTGCTGTGTGAAGTTTTGCTATCGGAAAAGCTTTACAGCTGGATTGGCAATCTAGCTGATGCTACAAATACGACGTTCTTCTGGCTCATTGTTGCAAACAGACAGAGAAGGATAAATCCAGATAACTTTTTCCACCAACCTTTAAGAAAAAATGATGCTCCCTTACATGATGGTCAAATTCAAAACTAAGAGTAAAAGATGAATACTCCAAATAAACAATATAGCTTTCTTGCAGTGAAATGTCAACCACTGTCATCGCTTCTTCAACAGGTCAAAGCTGAGTCTCTTCCAGTCCAGATCCAGTCTCCAGAGGGCGAGCGTGAAGGTATGACATCCTCAAATACAAACAAACTGCTCCATGTTTCGTTTTATATTTGGCCGCAGTGAGACGTTCGACTTTCTTATTCTAGCTCAAAGCCAAAAGGAGCGAGTGTAACTCCAAAGCCACACACACCAGAAACGACTACCTTCTCATGCTAGCAGCTGCTAATGCTCATCAACAGCGCTACTATGACACTGACCTCATGGACTGCATCAAGGTGAGGAAATACACACCGAATGTCTGTACACGAACAGCTCAAGATAGACATGGACTCTAATGATGTACGATTTGCAGGTGTTAGATGGCCGAATCTATGAGCAGGTGAAAGATTACCTGGTGTCGCTGTGTCAAACTGAGCTGGAAACATACCAGGCTGTTCACAACACTTTCAACCAGCTTCTGAACAGCTCGAATGGGGTAAGTCTGAAATGCTGATTACGAGTCTGATCTGATACTTCTACTGACCCAAAGGTTTTCACTCAAAGGTGTGAGCAATCCTAGAGTGATACAGCTACTCAAGCCACAACTTAAGAATAAGATAGGACAGGATTTAATCTTTGTTGAAGGAAGTATTTGTTCAGGCTGATGTTCAGGCTGCATAATCCAAAACATGTGTGAATAGCAGCACAAGATCTACCATGTGAATGCAATCTGCGTTTATTCTAGTCTACTAACTATGCATATCTTTATTTATTTGACCCCAATTTTGGATATCCAAACAGGCAGAGCATAAACCATCTACAGCTGAGACTTTTACCGAAAAGTTGTGTTTACGCTCTGCTTTTTGCTGATCGGATAGAAAGGAGGGAAGTTGATTGAAGGTTTAAAACAGGTTTACAGAGCTGGATGCTTTCCATAAGCCTGGCTGTTATTAGGGCCCGTGTCCATTAACTGTGGTTTTAGCACCAGAAGCACCTATTTTGAAGCAAAACCAGTTGTTTTCAACTGTACACGTCAGTTAATTTTCTGTCACCAGCCAATCAAAAAGGGCAACCTCATGGTGCACAATACTTCAAATTTGAGATTGTAGGTAGGCAACTTTTTCCTTGGAAATAATCTGGCAGTAATGGATGATAACACCACTTTAGTGTACTCATTTTGTGCAAAACTCTGTATTCAGGAAAGTAGAGGACATAAACATTACCAGCATTCCTTTAATTTATCATTTAGATGTCCTATGAGAAAGACACTATGAACTCTTTATCAAGAACCTGTAATAAAGCATATGTTACTGCATGTTTACACATAATAGATAAAAGAAGGCTTTTGCTTTTGGCTAACGGGGTGTTTACATGTGATCGTGTGGAACAAAATGCATACAGAAATTGCACAATTCTATAAAAAAATAGTGTACAGCTATAAGAACATATACATTTATACGGTGGCCGATAAAGGCAGAGAATCTGCAACAGCCCCGAAAAGTCTAAATCAGGACACACAAGCTGCAGATGCTCAAAAAATGCCAAAAATTCAACAACACTTACGAAAGTCCAAAACAAACACAACAACAACAACTACACTTAAAATAGAAACAAAAATCTGCAAAATCCAAAACAGCTGCATCAACAGAGGAAATGCTGCCAATCCTCATCTGATGCAAAAACAAAAGAGTTGCAAAAATAAGAAGCTGGACTTTTATTATTGGAATTGTATCACTCCAGCATTTGCAGCATTTTTCTTCTGTATGAATATCACTGAAGTCGTCTGCTCTTGTTGGCCACCAGACTTTTTGAGGAATAAAGTTAGAAGAAGAACAGATATCAGTATCTATAAATTCGTACTCATCTCTGGAAAAATTAAAAATGTCTTCCCTCACTCTTTCATGTAGGTTGCTCAGGAGTTTCACCAGCAGCTGTTTGTACAGAGGAACCTCATGTTTCAGCAAGCCCCAGACTTTTTGTACCAGCCCATCGACTCAGACACGGTATGTCCTGAAATTACGTTTGTGCATCATTAAATGTCGAATATAAAAATGTAGTAGAGCGTAGTTTTAATCTGTTGCATTTTGACTTTTACAATGTGTTTATAGTGAATGCTCATATTGGGATAAGGATAAAACGGTTTAGTTTTAATCCCAGACCTGTAACCACTGCTGAAGAACTCTGTGGTGAAAACCAAAAAGAGTTGAATGTTTGGTGTCAGGGACTCAAAAAACCGAGGAGACGGAGGTTTAATTTGTTTGGACTGGCTTACATTCCCGAGTCTGTCCAAGTGGAACAAGTAGTTCATCATGGGCATCCTGATGGCTGATTGGGTCGGTGCCCTTGTCTCGAATAATCTCAGAAATCTGCCACATGCCAGTGGATCCTCCATTTGCACTTGACTCATAAATGTTAAAGAATATTAAACGACAAAGTTAATCTTAGTATTGATGTTCTCTTTTGTCTTAGTGCGCAGCAAAGATTAAAAGCCAAAACATCTATCTGTGCAAGCATTATGTTTTAAATGAAACCTGTGGAGGTATTTCATGTTTCAAAGATCCTTTCCTTTATCATAAGAAATAAATCAAATGCTAGTTGGGGTATAAGAGAAATGCCTGACAGTACCTGATGCAGTAAAGGCCCCACTAGTGCAGACTGATGGTGTTTTTCATCATTATCACTAAAGCTGAGCTCAGACCTTTTACCTGTTATGATGGTCACTGTGTCACAGGACTAAAGGTTGACTGGTGACATATTTTTAACCAATGACAAGACAGCAGGTTGGCCAATATTTACCAGTACCATTTAAAAATTTGCATTAATAACATCAATTTCATAACACTAACAAAGGAGCTGAACTTCAGTGTATCTTGATAACTGTACATGGACAAATAGATTTTCTATCAAGAGGTCGAGAAGCAGTTCAGATGTGTCCTTGATTACTGCTAACTATAAGACTCAACATGAGAGCGAACGATTGACCTCTAAACATGTAGACTGACCTTATCGTAAGGAGTGTTCTATCTTTGTAACAGCGCCGTTATAGGAACTGTAACTTGAACGCACTCTACGTGAGTACATGAGTGCATGTCCTTCTCTTACTTACATTACTCTCTGTCATAACAGTTTGCATTATGCTGAAATAGTGAAAGTAGTTAACACCAACACCCATCACAGTTACCTCCCTTTTTAAGTAAAATTCTGCCCTACACACACTCACACACACATTCACACACACACACAAACACACGCCTGTTTATGAAGTCAGCTCTGTCTCGTGGCCTGGAATCTATTTCTGACTGTTTTCCACCCATATTGGTTATTTCATAGCATTTTTCACCCTCTGTAAAACTTACATAAATGTCACCTTAAGTCCAAAAATATTTTACCGTCAGCTTTTGAAGACAACCCTTCTGTGTAAATCAGGCAGTGGTTCGGTGTTGGCCGCCGCGCATGAATGTAGTGCATTGCTGTCAGTGTCACACATACTTCTCTCTTAGCCTTGATAGTCTGTTGCCCAACGCTGCCGGTCCTCCTTTGCTCCGGTCCTCTGCTCCACCGGACAACACTGGACAATTTGTTCAAACTGCAAACGCCGACGTTGTTTTCATTGGAAGTCAAACAAGCAGCAGCCTGTTCCTAAAGAAAACATTAGCGCTAGAGAGCCTTCCCTCCTCTCCCCTCTCCCACCCCCCCCACCCCCCTCGCCCTCCTGCCCCATACCACTTGCACCAGACGGAGGGATCCGGTGAGGAATAGAGCTGAACTGTGAGGGAGGGGCAGGAGGTAGGCTGGGCCCTGTGAACGGCCCAGCTGTGAAAAGGAGGCATTGTGAGTGGGCCTCATCAGAGTGCACTGACCCTCCCCGCCCTCCATACATACTCACTCTCAACACACACATACACACACTCAGACACGCTGCTGTTGTCATGTGCAAGCCTCTTAACTCACATTTATTCAGTAAAGACAGAAAAGTCAAATCGGAGAGATTGAAATCAAATTAACTGAGACGCGATCCTAATCCTTTTAAGATACTTCAGAGCAGCTGGGGTTAAACTCCTGTCTCCAGCTACCAGGTGTTTTTCTTTCTTTTTGTACATTTTGAATGAAAGAAATAAAAGCAACCAGCAGAACCAGCCCTAATAACCAAATTTATTGCTGGGACACATGCTCCTTCCAGCCAGCTCCTGTCTCCTGTTTGTATTTGTTCATCAGGACCCTGTTATATGTGAAGAGGAAGTTGCCACATCAGTGTAACAGAAATGGTAAACATAACTCACAGTGATGGTTCTCTTCACTTGCCGTTTAGGAAACCACAACATCCTCTTAAAAGTTAGGCAAGATTTTGTTTTGGAAACTTGACAAAGACGGGTTGTATTTTTTCAGAGGGGATTCAAGGACATCAGAAACATTATTTCAGACAAACAATCTCAGAATAGTTGAAGTGCAGAGAGACGTCAGACAAGACTCTGGGACCTCATATCACATGTCCTCCAGGAAAGATGGAAAGGTCCGTCCACAGAAACTTACTTGACAGACTGATACAAGTTTAAGTTCCGATGATAAGTAAGTGATCGTCTGATGGGGTGTAAAACATCTAGACCACTTACATGGTCTGGGACAGGTCTGTTTTCTTTCCTCAGAGCCAGAACCAAACATGGAGAGGCAGCACTCAGTTTTCATGCTTCATGTATCTGAAACAAACTCACAGAAAACTGCAGGTCTGCTTAAACTCCCAGTTCTCTGAAACGAGGCAGAAGACTCCCCCTATTGCCCCTTTGTAAATACAAAACAATATTTTGAAACTTTCTTACTTTGTTTTAAGCTTCTGTTTTGTTATTTTGAGTTCTTTTTGATCTTAGTGTCTTTTTTATGATATTTAAATAATTGTTTGAATCTGTTTATCTTTAAATGTCTTAAATACAACACCTTGAATTGACTTGCTGCTGACAGGAGCCATAATAACAATCTTACCTAATGGATTAATAATATACCGTACCATTCAATTGATATCTTTCATTGCATCTGCATATTGTTTAATATCTTGCATAGCATCTCTATATTTTCTTTGCCTGTTTGCAGCCAGTATGTGCCCTCTCTCACTCTTATCTCCCTGTCTCTCTTTGTGGTGTTTTTGTAGGTGATGCAGCTGCAGAAAGAAAGTGGAACAGCTGAGGAGCACAGTCTGGATAAAGAGGCGAGGAAATGGGCGAGCCGTGTGGCCCGGGAATACAAGAGCATCATTCACACCCAGAGGGTGAGTACTGATACAAGCTGATGGAGAGGTCATGTCTTTATTTATTTTTGGAAATTAGATATTTGCTTTTGTCGCATCCTTTTCAAATGTAGACAAAAACAAAACAACAAAAAAGGCAGGAAACTTTTCATACATTGGCATAAAGATTACAAGAAAGAAGAGACCAATTCTTTATGAATGACAACCACAGATATGTTTGATATGGACTGAGAAGGTCCATCAACATCCTGACCAGGCCAGGTTACTTTCTTCTGTCATACAATCGACTCAAACCGCCACATTGTTCCTCAGCCGGGACATTTTTCTAGCGTAGCTTTCCAAACATACCTACACACTAAATGCACACACATCACAAAAATGAGTTTTTGGATACCTCTCACAACCACAAGTCCTCAGCACAGAGAAAAATATAAGAACAGATGGAGGAGAGTGGCAGCAGATCTTTGTGGGCTTACTGTTTTTAAACAGGTCACCTCCTTTTTATTCTTTGCCTTTTATTTGTAGTGTAAGAAACATGCAGTAAGTTTATGAACTTCAGTACAATAACATAGGAGCTTCTGTTAAAATGTTCAGAAATTGTGACATTACCATTGATGTGTAATTCAGGGGACTTTGGAGCTTTTACTTTAATTTTATTTGTGCATATTTCTGTTTTTTCTTTTGGAAAAACCCTGGTTTGTTTTTACTGTCAAATATTAAAAAAATGCTCCCAGTTTAGAAGTTTTGAACCATCTTTGAGAAAGATGTGTGTAGTTTTGGAGACATTTTTCTGTGAAATCTGAAGATGAAGAATATCAAACAACATAATGGACACCAAAACTCTCTGAGAAGTAATACAATAAAAAAAAGGAAAAACATCTATACAGAGTTTCAAACTTGTTTATTCATGTTTATCTGAAATATCAATAAGCAGACATGATCATAGTCACACTGAATCTAAACCTGGGTGCTGATATGACCAAAATATGACACTAAGGTGCAGTATGAATGTTCAGAAAACTTCTACCAGCCAATCAGATTGTACAAATTGGATCCTGATTGTTAACAGTAAACTGTGTGTCACAGTTAAACTGAAACACCTGCTAACGGCCAACATACTGCATATCTCTGTCCTCTGAATGGGGCTTTCCTTTAAAGCAGTAATCTAGGTCAACGGATGATATCTACAAGCCTGGAGATCATAAAATCATCCAGTGTTTGTAAAGGAAAATATGATGAGCAGGAGGTTAGAGTTCATCCCAATAACCCTCTTCTCTGATTCGTTGTGTAAGTCGACCAGTTAGATAAGGGATTCCCAAACTCCATCAGTGACGTTTTTTCCAGGATTAAACAATCTGTTTCCATAAAGCAGGAAGTGAGTCATCCCGCTTCAAGTGAAGCTCGATCAGATGTCTTCAATCAATGGCTCAGCTGTTCCCGAGTTCCTGTGATGTGTTATTTTTATACAGTGAGGGTGATGGTTTCACTTATTCTTTTGTTTTTAGGCTCTGGAGGAATATGGGACGCAGGACTCATCAGAGCAAAACAACAGTGAGCTGGAGACCAAGATGGAGGTGGCCCGACAGAGTCTTCGGAGGGCAGAGGTAACCAAGTGTGTGTGCGTATGTGTGTGTGTTTGTGTTGAGCGTTCATGTGTGTGTTATGGAGTAAGAAATGGGTTTCTCTGTTTTCTCAATCAGTGTCATGTTACTAAAAGTGGCTCCAGTGCTCCACCTGCTGGTCAAGAGTGGCAGAAGACGTGCTGCAATTCAAAATCTAAAGCAGTGGTTCTCAAGTCCAGTCCTCCAGACCCACTGTTCTGCATGTTTTGGATGTTTCCCTGCTCCAACAGACCTGATTCAAATGATGAGCTCGTTATTAAGCCGTTACAGAGCTTGATAACGAACCCAGGACAGTGGGCCTCGAGGACTGGACTTGAGAACCACTGATCTAAAGCACCTATACTGCACAGTCAAATGACTCCACTATGAGTAGAAGCGTTCTGTGTGAAACTTACTTTGGTAAATTAAACTAAAATGGCCACCTCTGTGTTCTTATTGTGGTTATTTTGGGGCAAATGGTCTTGATTAAGAATTTCACAGTTACACATGATGCTTTTGGAGTCGAGGTGCACTCAGCTGCTTAAGGAGAGTCTGTGGTCCATGGTGTCCCACTAAAGGGGTCCCCGACACAAGATAAAAAGGATGTTCGTTTTATGAAACTCTAATGTTTTTATTTTATTCATAGACGGTGAAAGTGAAAGCTGAAGCCCGTCTGGACTTGCTGCGGCAGGCAGGTGTGGCTGTCGAAACGTGGCTGAAGAGCGCCATGAACCAGGTGATGGAGGAGCTGGAAAACGAACGCTGGAACAACCTCAATACCCATGATCCTTCACTCTCCGTAAGACCCTCAAAGCATTTAAGCTCAGATTCTAATTATTGCAGATGTCTTGATGCCCTCAGAGTGACCCACAAGTCAACCAGTCCAGTTTTTTTATTGTTAAAGGATTGTTATTGCCTTATGCAGCTCAAACTGTGTCACACAAAGTGATCCCTGTCGTGTTTCTGCAGGGGACAGCAGATTTGGAGCGAGAGGATGAGGAGGAGATGGAGGACAGTGGAGAAGTTTTGGATGACAGCAGCTCCAGCCCATCCAGCACCTTAAAGAACTATCCCCTCACCTGCAAAGTGCTCTACTCCTATAAGGTACCAGCAGAGAAGAAATGAAAGCTTCTCGTGTCCGCTGCATGCTGGTGGATAACCTGTGCAGGTTGTTTTTAATGACTGTCCGTTCATTATTGAGTTTGGTCAGAAAGTTCATGTATCCTGACTGTTAAAGACTAAATCACTTCAATACTTAATTCTTGTGACATTTAGCTATTTCTTTGTGACACTTACAACGGTAGCCATAAATGATGGTGTTCAACAATCACTCACTTGATGGGTCGAGAAATACAAATGTAATAACAATAATAATAATAATAACTTTATTTTTACAGCACTTTTAAAAACAGGAGTTTACAAAGTGCTTTGACAAACAGTGGCAAAGCACAGAAGATCAGCACATGAAAATAAAAACAAATAAAAACAAAACCTCAGTTAAAAACAAGACCTCTGAATTGAAGGCCAATTTCATTTGTCATAAGAAACCCAGACGATACAAGAACCCAACAACATAAAATGAGACCACGAGGACCAAAATAAAAACATAAAACAGGTACGAAAAAGAAATGTAATAAAAAAAGGGGGGTAGAAAGAAGAAAACAGGATAGTAGATATAAAAGAGGATATTAATAATGATAATAAAATAAGAATGATGGAGATATTAATGATAAAATGGAATAACAAAAATGAGCAGGAAAAAACAATAAAATCAATAAAAGGCCTAAAAGGTAAAACAAGAAAAGATTACAAGTAAAACAAAGGCTAAAAGGACAGGAAATAGAAATAAGATAGAGGTAAAAGAGATAAAAGGGAAAAGACGGCATCACATAAAAGCAAGTCTGTAAAAGTGAGTTTTTAAAATGGACTTAAAAGAAGCGACTGTCTCTGCTGTACGCCTTATCTCCTCTGGCAGATCGTTCCAAAGTCGAGGATGGAGAAACCAGTTAGATGTCAAAGACACAACATTAAGCAATCAAGATTCAGCGACCCTTGTTTTCAGCCTCAGTGAGCCCTCTTTTTACCTCACTTTAAATTAATATGTTTCCTTGTTTCCAGGCGTCTCAGCCTGACGAACTGACCATCGAGGAGCAGGAAATCCTGGAGGTCATTGATGATGGAGATATGGAGGACTGGGTCAAGGTACACTTGAGCTTTTTTGAATTTGTCCCCACAAACTGTGTTTTTTTTTCTGATTTACGTTTTCATTGATTTTAAATTGTTTTTGCTGATTTATCAGAGTTTCTTTACTGTGGGTTTGTATTTTAATTTGTAGGCCAGAAACCGCAGCGGACAGGTCGGCTACGTCCCAGAGAAGTACTTGCAGCTGCCTTCGTCTAACAGCTTACTCAGCATGCTGCAGGCTCTGGCTGCACTGGATGCTCGATCCCACTCCTCCAGTAACTCCACTGAACCTGAAACTGAAATACCAACAGGCTCTGTCAACGGAGACTCCAGCAGTGAGTAACGTCTCCCCTACAGAAATGCCTGTAGAGCTGATAAATTTCCATCCATATCCAGTTAATTTTAAAGATTGATCAGCCTGTCGTTCTCTGTTTCAGTGTCGTTTGCAAAGGCGCTGTATGACTACGCTGGACAGACGGACGACGAGCTGTCGTTTCCAGAAGGGGCCATTATCCGCATCTTGAGCAGAGAGACTCACGAGGACGATGGATTCTGGGAGGGAGAGTTTAACGGCGTTGTTGGGGTTTTTCCTGCTGTGCTGGTTGAGGATCTGGCTGGTGGCAGCGAGAACGGAGACGGGCAGAGAGATAGCAGTGCACAGGTGTGTTGATGCTCGTACACCGAGAAATTAGAAAAAACGGAAGAATGGAGCTCATTTGTTTGGTTTTATCTCTGGATACTCATCTGTTTTTCTTTCCTTCTGTGACATATCCCCCTGTTCTGTTCGCCTCGTCTTAAAACAAACACCATTTTCTCGTGTGCAAGTTTGATTCCGACAACATTCCTGCACCGTGTTCCCCCTGCCACACTTTTGTATCTGCTGCTTCGACATGACGCACCTTCTGTTTTCCAGGCGTCTCCCTCTCCTCTGGCCCAGTGTGACCGTTCCCCTCGTAGCCCCTTCCTGCCGGGGCCTCTCCACAGCAGCCCCCTTCAGACGCCCACCATGTCCTCTCCTCAGTCCAGTCCCTGCAGTGCCACAGCCTCTCCTATTGGTCGACCACCTTCCTATCACAATGGACACCACAGGCCGCCACCAGCGCCACACAAAAGCCCCTATCAGAGTAAGATTTAGCGGTTTGACTTTGTGTGGGAAGTGTTAGTAATTGGGATGTCTGAACAATGACATGTATCCTCTCCTTAGGTCCGGCGCAGGGCTCCCCGCAACCTCCAAAATACCCGGAGAGCAGCGCCGGCACCATCAGACCTGTGAGTATACAGATTTATATCAAGTTTTAGTCTCTTTCATGTAGTCTTATGTCGTATTAGTTTTCCACAAACATTCTCCTGTGATTTACGTCTTTGTCTTGCTGGGTTTCTGCAGGTCCGTGCTGCTCCTCCTCCCCCTAAGCAGCACCCTCGCGGGCAGGTGAAGCGCAGAGAGGAGGTGGAGATCACACTCGTTTAAAGGCAGCACCCTGGTGGTGATGGCGATGAAGAGGGAGACTCCGCTCAAACCAGCCGGGACCCGGTGGCTTCGTGCCTCTAAAAAGACTCCCCAAAGGAAACCCGAGGAACCTTAAACCCTTTGAAAACACCTGGAAGCCTAGAAAGACCCAAGGATCTGTTCTCTTGTCTCTCACACGAACCCCTCACAGGGTCAGTGAACAATGGAGGGATAACGTGCCTTTCTCTTTACTAAACTTCCTCACATGGTCAGTTTTTTTTTCACACTACCTTACTTGAGTTTTGATCTCCCTTTAGACGGATGAAAAAGATTGTTTTTGTAACTTTTATGCAAAGTTATACACTCATACAGTCCAGCTCTTCTACCTGGACATGAATCATTTCACAGATCTGACTGAATATATAAATAATCTACAGACTGCCTCATACTCATAACTCCAAATATCAGTCCTCACGCTTGTTTTCTAAACTCACAGTTTCCACATTTTGCTTGTGCTCACAGTGATTGATACAGTGAGAAGTGACAATTAAACCAACCTGCCATAGTGTGACAAACATCTCTGCAGGATTACTAATAAGAGGAACTTAACTGCTGAGGCAACAAAGTTACGGTTTTAGAGAGTAACGCAATCAAACATTGAAAGTTTGAACATCTTTGGAGCATTTTCACTTGATTTACGAGTGAAAAAGAGTAAAAGAATGAGTCGCACAGAAACAGAAAAAAAAGAAATGCGGAACCATGTGTCACAGCACTTTGTTTTCAGGAAAACATCACTCATCTTCAATTAGAGAAAAGCTTACTGGTTGCCCCTTTTTCTAAGTTGAATAAATGGGGCTGCAAAAAAAACAGTATTAATGTCAAGTAATATTCAAGTATGTAAAACAATCCTCCAAAAGGTGAAAATGTCCATCCCAAATTCCTAAAGTCATAGGCGGCTAAACTTAAAGGTACACTCTGTAGTTTTGAACAGAACAGACTTGATGAGAATTGAAATTGAGATTTGGTGTGCAAAAAAAAAGTGCTTTTATAGAGTTTTTTGATGGTAAAAGCTTGGCGCTTGAAAAATGGAGGATCATACAAGTCATGTCCTTGTAGGCCGCTGTGGCGTCTACAATCTGACTGCTGGATATCACTGAATATTTCCGATTCTTAACACTGTGCCTGTAAATGGCTTGTGTCTTTGGTTCAAAACTTCAAGATGTTCAGTTTAAGAAGATGTTTTAACACAAATATAAGAAAATATCAGGAAATGACTGTATGTAGATGCAGAAAACAGCATTTACAGCAACTAACAGGGTTATCAAATCAAAATGGACATCCTTTCCTTTAAATAGCTCTAAACAACCTTCAGCCTTGACTTGAGATTAAAAGCAAAACCTCCTAACTATGAGTTACAAATCCATTATAACGTTTTGTCTATTTTGTCTATCATCATAGCAATAATGTTTCTCCCAAATGTACATTTATACCAGATGTTATTATCGTATGTAAATATTCAGTCCAACCATATCACCCCGTTATCCACCTGTCATATCTCACTTTATCACTCACTGTGCAGCTTCGTCTCTCTTCTCTCCACTGTGGAATTTCTTCTATGCAACAACTTCAACACCTGGCCCATCCTCACACATCATGTAGTGAATTTTTAGCTTCAACAAGAACCAAAAGTCGATCAAAAAAACGCCGGCACGGACGAGGCTGGTCCTCTCCTGAACACACGTAACTGCACGCAGTTACACTAACAAGGGAAAAGTGGCAATTTTAGTCGTTATGTCAGTAGGAAGAATCTTCTAGATGAGTCTTGTGGTTAAAAAAAAAAGAGATCCTTTACCTTTGTATTGATATTTTTTCAGTCCCTTCTTTTTGTGTTAACCTTTAAATGCAGAGACATTTCTTAAAGGGAGAAACGTAGTGCGTACATACTTAGTCTAACTTTTGATTTTCCTTCTCGTGTGTTCAAAGATAAAGATCTGAAATATTTACCAGTGAAGTTTACTGGTGAGAGCAGTGTTTTGTTAAGGGTTAAGTTGCAGTTGATGACAGTTTACATTAAGGAAATGTGCAGTTTTAAAAAAGGAGGAAACCATCCTGTACTACTAGCTGTGTAATTTTAAGGATAAAAAATCTTAACTGTCATAGTGAAGCACTTTTTGATGTCTTCTTATTCCTTTTCAGTATTGTGGATGATGCTATGTTGTTTGTTAAATTGTTCCTGTTGGATGTTTTCTGTACTGGTATGAAATATTTTCTTTAATCTGCTCTTTCATTATTTAGCCTTTGATAGTCTTTGTAGTGTCTATGTTTGAGATTGAGACTTTAATCGTATTGATTTACCATTAATAGTTTACAGAAAGCTTGGAGATGGATATCTGTACAAATATTAGCACAGTGTTGTTGTATTTTCCTTTTTATTTTTTAGAATTAGGATTAAAAAAATGTACAAAAACCTTAGTTCAATTCGACCAGAGGAAAAGAGATATCTGTCAGCCATGTTGCTGTGTTCTCGTTGATCTCCCTGAGATCTGAATGACATCAAACTTATTTTTAAAGTTTGCTTTTACCCTGTTGTATTGATTAAAAGAAGAAGTCTGTTTTTTCCCGATAGAGAAGTTGTTATTAATCTGCTGCTGGTCCTGTTTCCATGTTAAGTCTGGATCTGAAATTCAGTGACAAACTGCCCTCATTTTAAGCTCTGCAGAAGCTGCGGAGTGTCATATTTACACACCAGTGGATGTTTAACTGTATTTATTGTGTACAAATAAATGTGAAATAAAGATAGCTTAAATTATACACAAGAAGCCTGAATCTGTTTTATCATAATCCAGTTTGCATCTGTAAAGTCTCATCTCTTTTCCTTAAATAAAGAGTTCACATCTGTTCATAGCAGGACAGGGATGCTTTTGTCTTACATACTTTGTTTAGAAAATAACACTGAACCTCACTACAGATGTTCGTCATCACGCTGATTAGATGTGGACTTTCAGAACATGACAGAATCTTCTCCTTTAAAAAATCTCACAGACTTTTCTTTACTATTGCTTTCCCACCCTTTTTTAAAGAGTCTTCTGACCAGCAGGAAATTAGCTGTTCCTTTCTTCTGTATCTTTGCTATGGAACAAGAATAACTTGTGGCAGGATTTTCAAGGTTTGTGTTCGCTTTTGTACTGTACCACAATGATAAAATTGTTATTTGCTTTGGACTCTCCTCAAAAATGTTCGGCTCCAAACCTCACAATGTTCAGAATAAGTCCAAAACAAATGAGTAATTACCATTAAAGGCTGAATAATGTGTTTACCGTTACACTTCTAATAGGGCCCTACCCTGATTAAAGGCGGGGTCTTTTTTGGTAGGAGAATGCAGTTGCAAAAAATAACAGCAGTTTTCGTTGGAAGCCTGGTTACATTGTTTTTCATATGTGGAGGTATCTTCACTTTAGGTGGAAATATTTACTACATCCTCTTTCCAAACTATCTGGGTTGTACTGTCATGGAAAAGCCATGTAGGTCTTCAAGTTGACTTTATACCCCCCAAAGTTGCCACATTCATTTTGACTTTTGCCATTTTGGTGTCCATTTCACTTTGTTTGATGAAGTTAACAATTTGTCACCTGCCAGAAAATTTATTTTAAAGTCAAACCTTTTATTTTGAAGTAGTTTTAATAACACAGGTCAGGGGTTCAAGAGCCGAAACGGAAGTAATTTCTGATACAAACCATCCCTGACAATGCACTGTGTGTCAGACCCAATACCGACCTCTGCTGGCAATTCAAGGGATTTTTTTTCTAGTAGCAAAGGGGACTCAGATCATACAGTATTTATCTCTAGAAAAAGGGAACAAAATTCCTCACAGACAACATTAACCCTTTGACTGGAGGTTAATTATTGTTTTCTTTCACAATCAGACTCTTAAAACTCTTTGGGGCAGGTGTGGGCACACATTATGGGGATATTGAATGTTGAAAAAAGTGACAAAGAATTTTAAAATAAATAAGCTTAAACACGATCAGTTCTGGACTATATATATTTATTTCATAAGTTTAAAATAAATGAGCTTAAACACGATCAGTTCTGGACTATAGTTCGGTAGTCTGGTCCAATACATCACAAGAAAATATAAATAAGTTACAAACTGTACAAAACAGAGCAGCAAGAACAGCTCTGGATTACAATTATATAACAAATACCACAGTCATGTATATCTGTCTGGGCTGGATTATGGATTGGATTGTTGTATTGTGTATTTGTATGTATTCTGTTTGTCTATTTGTTTGTGTTAATTTTATGTATCATTATTATCATTATTATTATTGTTGTTATTATTAGAAGTATTAGTAATATTTTTTACATGGGGCGTATTATATATTAGATATTTGCATTGATATATTCTAAGTCAAAACAAGTTGTGAAATTGTTTACTGATGGCAAATTGAAAATATTTTGGTAAACTAGTTTTCACAGATTTGAAACGGAAAATAACCCTGTTTATTGGTGATTGTTAATAGTTAATGTTCCAATGAAAAGAATCTATCTGCGGTTAAAATTTTACAGAAACACTGCTGTGCTTTGCTACTTTATTTTGTTGACAACGGAAGTGCTTCTATCTCTTCCGGCTGCATTGACACTGGTGTGGAAAAGATGGCTGCTGCTTCGGCGGCAACGGCGAGTTCTTCCCCCGGTTTGTGTCCAAATTACGCCGTGATTTGCTCTTTCTTGGAGCGTTACGGAGCATTGTTGGACTTACCGGAGCTCACCTTTCCTCAGCTGGAGAGATACCTGCGGGACTCATCCTCAGGTGAGGCAGAAAAGCACCTGGCTGCTCGCGGGAGGAGGAGATACTTCATTAATGATGATTGTACCGAGCTAACAGGCTAACAGCTAGTCGTGTGTTATTGTGTGCTTTTCCAACCTCGCAGTGTGTTTAAATGGGAGATAACTGCAGCCCAGAGCTTCTGTTCGAGGGGGGAAACGCAACTATTTATAATTTTATGATACTTTACGTGTAAAGACACCAGATTTGTCGATCTTTTCTCTATTGTTTCAGCATTTCAATTGGGCTTAATTTTTCCAGCAGCCTTTATCCGCAGCTGTAACGTTACTCTCAACACAACAGACAGAAAAATGTGCTAAAATTAGTGTGTGTGAGGATCTAACTCTGGTAACTATTCATGCTACGCGTCGTGGATTTTGATAACCCACTGGGTAAGATGTCACGGCCAGCAGCTGAGGCGTAATTGTGCACTTTATTTACACTTAATTTTTGTCATGGAGTGGTTCGCACAGCTTCTGTCAAGCTATCGTCACTGCGCTCATATCCGGTGGAACCTTTCAAAATAAAAGCCACGATTAAATCCCTTATAAATACGCTACTTTCTTTATAACTAAGCAATGCAAAGCTGGCGAATTTTAATAATTATGCCGATAATTACACACATTTAAATCATTGTTGGCGTAATTGTTACATTAAGTAAAGGTACTCGACTTCCCTTCGTGGAGCTAATTTCCGCTGCCTTGACTTTCTTTTTAATTGAGCTGGGCTCGTTAGCGCACGTGCTGCCCCGTCTGAACTCTTCCCGACGGAAACTTGGATCATGTTTACACGTTAATTTTTCCCGTCGTTTCAGTTTTAAGCCCATTTATTGTTAAAATTCACAGTCTTATTTCGAAAGTGGACATGTTATATTTAACTTTTTAATGTAAAAGCAATACACGGATGGTAAACTGATTAAACTATGTACCACCATTCAGACTGTGAGATTTAAAGTAAAACAAAGTAAAATTTGCATTGTCGTGTAAAAGAAATAGCTGTTGCAACAATAATGACATTTTCAAGTGGTTGAGTATTTTGATATCCATGTCTCTTTTAGGCCTTTTATTGTTTTATCTCTGGCTCATTTCTGTTGCTCTGTTTAATCATTACAATGATTATCAGTATGACCTCTTATTATTTTATTATCATTGTCGATATTACCTTTTTGTATTTACTATCCTATTTCCGCTTTCGACCCCCCTTTTAATGGCATTTTCTTTTTTCTTCATTATTTTATGTTTTTATTTTGGTCCTCATGGTCTCATTTTTATGTTGCATGGTTCTTGAATTGTCTGAAAATGGCCTTCAATTCCGTTTTAACTTAACTTTTTGTTTGTATCCGTCTTTTTCCCTGTGCTCTATGACTACATGTCAAAGCACTTTGTAAACCTCTGTTTTTAAAAGGGCCATACAAATAAAGTTATTACTTGTCTTAGAGGCATGCCTGTATTTCTTTTCCTTGTTGAAGTCAAGTTTTTGGGTGAAGCCTTCTTGGTTTCCAGTTTTATCATTTGCGCTGTCCATTATTGTCACTGGTGTGAGCTTTCATCTTAATGAGCACTTATCTTGTTATGGATTAAAAGCCCTCTGCTGTCAGTGGATGCAGTTTTAACTGTGAAATATCTTAAGGATACATTAAAACAAACAGATGTTTTATATGACTCTTGTCTCTGTTCTTCACTGCATGTTAAACTGAGATATGTTTGACCGACTGAGTGACCCTATGGTATTTTCTTATCTTTCCTCAGTTCCAAAGCTGCTGGTTGAGCTTCACGTCAAGTTACTGAGGAAGATCGGCAAGTCTGTCTCAGCAGACAGATGGGAAAAGTATCTAGTAAAGGTAATTATTACATTTGGGGTTTGATTTTTATTTGATCTTGTGGCGCTGTCAGAAAGAGTATTGTTAAGTTGACAAAAGATATAGGCATCAAGATAGGTGATATTTGATATTATGTTGACATGAAAACAGTTAGAGCTGCATTTCTTTGACATTGAAGAGACTGCGGACACATCCAATAGAAACCCGACAATACTGGGGCAAATTGTAAAAGCCTCTCAGACGGATATGCACAGAATTCATCGCCCACTTTTTACTGTTTTTCTGACTGATTTAAGCCGTAGTCAAGCTTTCTTTTGGATCTTTTTTTGTTTTTGTCTTGCAAGTTTTGTTGGTGGACTTTGGTTTAGGTCTGTAAAACTCAATACTGAGCTGAAGGGGATCCACAGATTTGAGGAACATCTTGCACATTAGTCATCGGATTCCCATTGATATGAAAAATATTGATTTGTGCTGCTGCAACATCAGCAGAAAAGCATCTGAATCATATTTACACTGTCGACAGGATGTGAATTCTCCATTAGAGTCAGATTTAAATTTGATGAAACTCTCAATAAAGCATTCATGGCATGTATCCCATATTCTCTCCGGTACATAGACAATAACAGGAGAATTTAAAGGTTCACTGTTCTGATTGTTGTCAGTGATTGTCTCAGTAGAGGTTCATATTCTTTATAACTTGGTACTTAAAAGCTGCAGAGGTGAGAGATGCTTTGACTATAGAAATGATGCAGTAAATCACAGTTAATATGTTAGTCAATACAAACTCATTTTCTATTAATTAAAAAAATAAACAGTGAAGAAATGTTGATTTTGATGCCTGGATTAACTGATTGACTTTCCTTGTAATCCTGCAGATATGTCAAGAGTTCAACACAACATGGGCATGGGAACTGGAACAAAAAGGATACAAAGAGATGACGGTGGAGTGCAAGACGGGGATACTTAAAGTAAACACAGATTTTAGTTGTAGTTTCTCTTTCGTATGTCTTCAAACCTCTGTTGTGTTTCCCTTCTTATTTATTTTCATTTTCTTATTTTTCAAACATCATAAACGCTGATTAATTCATCATGAAAAAATGGCACATTCATTTAAAATTGAATTTTATTTCCCCATGATTTATCGTTCACTCGTTCTGCTCCTTCTTTTCTCCCGCAGTATTTGTGTGAGTGTCAGTTTGACGACAATGTCAAGTTCAAAGCCGCCATCAATGAGGAGGACCCGGACAAGATGCGGCTGCAGCCGATCGGCCGGGACAAAGACGGTCAGATGTACTGGTTTCAGCTGGACCAAGACGACAACGTCCGAGTTTATGTGGAGGAGCAGGACGACTTGGACGGGTCGTCCTGGAAGTGCATCGTCAGGTGAGCCAAAAAAAGGGAGTTTAATTCAAAGTGTGAAATGAAATTGAAGTGAAATGCTCTCCTTTGTCGCTGCTCGATATGTTACCTCATATTTTTTTTCTCTCTGTAGAGATCGAAACGACCTGGCCGAAGTTGTTGCTCTGCTGAAGACACAAATCGACCCCGAGCTGTTAAAGAGAGATCTGGAAAAAAAAGCTGAAGAAGAGGCAAAAGCCAAAACAGAAGGGGGAGGTAAGACCTTGAAATAGCCAGTGCGTTACTAAAGTGTGTTGTTGACGTCTTAAACATACTGCAGGTTTATATTTCTAGTTATTTTCTGTATGAATCACAGAGGGGAGCTATAATTATGTTATTATGGAGGTCTAAAGAGGGAAACACACCTCACATGGCCGTGGCGGCTCGAGAGAGAGCGAGAACATCAACAACACTGAGCAGCGATTTTCTCCTGAGCATTCAACGTGTTTGTCTATAAGAACCCAAAATCTGTTTACTGCTCGATACATCCCTTCAGTAACACAGGGCCTGGTTTGATTTGCACATTTTAAACTTTGATGGAAAATATAATAATCTAATTCAGTCCTTAAATCTAATAACATCATTGTTTTCTTGTTGTTTTCCCCTCATGATTCATGTCCATTTATACTCTTTATCTGCATGACATGATCTGCAGATTTTCTTTACTGTCAGTTCATTCTGTTTGTTGATGTTTGTACTCTTATTTGCGTTGCAGGTGAAGCTAAAAAGACCGACAGCTCCTCAGACGAAGACGGTAAGGACTCTAAAAAGCCTCTCTCTCCAAAAAAGGAGGATAACGAAAAAGACAACTCAATATCTGAGGCGTCAGAGGAAAAATCATCTCTGAATGGCGTCGTCGAAGTCAAACCAGAGGCAGAGCTGCATTCAGAGAAACCCCCGGCGGATTACAGCATCAGTGCAACAGCGCAGAGCATCAAAGAAGAGCCGATGGAGGTGTCGGAAAATAAAACAAGCAGCACAACAAGCGAACCCTCCTCTGAGACGCCAGGAGAGAAGGAGAAGTCGGTAAAAGGCGAAAAGGGAGAGGAGCCAAAGAAGAACAGCACAGAGGAGATTCACCAGGTCATGAAGAACGACCAACAGGCCAAAATCCCTCTGAAGAAACGAGGGATGAAGTTCAGTGAAGACTTTGAAAAGAACAGCAGCATCATCGTACAAAACCCGTCCGTGACACAAGTCAAAGAAGCTCCGAAAGCTGATGTGACTCCTGACCAGACGAAGAAAGCTCCGAGTGTCAACGATCATGTTAACGGAGAAGTTCAGCCCGTTCTGCAGAAAGAGCTCAAGAGTAAATCAAAAGACGCCGCCGCTATAGAGCAGACGCCCGAACCCGCTGCAGGTAAATCTGTGGAAAAAAGAGAAAAAGACTCACCATCCACGGATCAGGACAGAATGAAAGATAAGAATAATGAGGCTGGTCCAGAGAAGATCACACAAGAAGCTGCAGCAGCACAGAAAGCCGGTGTAGACCAGAAGAGTCAAGATGTGCATGTAGAGAACCAAAACTCTGCATCAAAAGAACAGAAAGAAGGAGCACACGAGTCTCCCCCGATGCCGACCGAACCACCACCTTTGCAAAAAGACGTGAATAATGCACTCGAGAAGTCATCGAATCATGAAAAAGTAAAAGAGAAGACGGCGGAAGTAAAAGAGTCTCGTACAGGAGACGAGACGACATCAATAGAAACTGATAAAACATTAAAAACAGCCGAGTCAAAGGAAGACGAATCAAAGGATCAAGAGGAAAAGCTGCCGTGTGAAGACATGGACACGTCAGAGACGAGTCAGACGGAAGAAACAAAGGCGGCTGAAAACGTAACGGAGAAGAAAACAACAGAAACAAGTGCTGCTGAAGAAACGACAAAGCCCCATTCAGAGAAATCCGATCTAAAAGAGAGTCAGCCAGGAGTCATCAAAAAACACGAGACTGAAAGTGACGACAAAGATCACATGAAGCAATCCTGCGACTCTGAAAAGACAGGATCCACGCTTGTTGATGAAAAGACGGATAAGCGAACACATGGCGCCGATCAAGAGGCACAAAAAGTTCCACAAAGTCCCGTAGACGTAAAGAAGGATGAAACGCCAACCGTCATCGAGAAAGCAGAAGAGAGAAACGATAAAGAGAGCGTAAAGTCTTCTGTTGTTCGAGAGCAAGACGAATCAGAATCATGTAAACCTGCGGAGAAGAGCGACGGCATCAAAGACGTGGAAATGACTTCAGAGAAAGACGGCTCTGATACCAACGCTGGGAAAACCAAGGAGGAGAAGGAGGAGAAGCCTGAAGATGTAAAGAAACCTGCCAACTGTGACGACGGTACGATACATGACACCAGCAAGACAAGCGACTCCACGCCTACAGAGGCAACAGCCAGAAAACCCGATGTGACGAAAAGACAAGAGGGCGACAAAGCTGAGATGAGATCGGTATCAGAAAAGGCGACAGAAGAAGCATCTGGTGGGAAAGCTGAACCGCCGAGTCCTGCTGAGAAGTCAAAAGCAGCAGGAAAAGACCGTAAAAAGTCTGATAAGCCGGATGCAGAAGAGGAAAAAGTGTCTGAGGAACAGCCCAAAGAAGTCGATTCTTCACTAGAGAGTAAAAAGGAGGAAAAGAAAGAGAAAGAAAATGACACTGAGAAAGAAAATGAGGCCGACAAACCTACATGTCAAGAAAAAGGAAGCAAAGAGGATTCCACGATAGATAAACCCTCCAAAAAAACTGAAACAGAGGAGGAGAAAGACGCTCAAAAAGAGAGCGAACCCTCGGCCAAAACAGAGGAATCCAAACACCAAAATGCAAGTAAAGAACCAGTGGAGAAATCCTCGAGTAGAACCAGGAAAGCCAGAAAAGAACCCGACCCGGAAAAACCCACTGACGAGGAAAGTAAGAGCAAAAGTGAAGAAGAGTCCGCAGCGAAGAAAGAGGTAGCAAACGGCGAGGAAGCTCCATCAGACGCTCAAAAGAAAAATCCCCGGCGGAGGAAAAAGCCCCCGGTGCACCGAAGGAAAGCTGAACTTCAGAGAGAAGAGAGGCAGGGGGACTCGGAGTCCGACACAAACACGGGGATGTCCCTGAGACGGTCGCCGAGGATATCCAGACCCACGCCGAAAGCTGTGGAGATCAACGACAGGAAGCTGGAGAGGTCGCAGGCCGAGAAGGGGGAGGACAAAGTGAAAGAAAAAGAAGGGAAGAAGGACAAGGAAGGGGAGGAAGAGGAGGAGGAAGAAGAAGAGGAGGAGAAAGTTGTTCAGAAGAAACCGAGAGAGAAAAAGACGAATCAGGAGGGTCAGCCCAAACCCAAGGTAAGAATCCTCATCAGACTCACCTGTCTCTTTGTTTTTGTTCTCTTCATGCGCTGGCTGGAAGTTTTTTGCCGCTGCTGTCATTCTGTGTTGTCTTTGCCAAAATGGCAAAACTGCATATCGAGAGAGAGAAAGATTTGCGAACGCTAGCTGTGTGTGTGGACATGCTGCTGATGGTTTTTCAAAAGATAAGACGCGTTCAAAAAGGCAGAGAAATGGTTCGAGTAAATGGAAAACAAATCAGTAATTTAAGGAAAATATAGCGTTGAAGGTGATTTAAGTGTGTCTGCAACAGGGATGGGCAAAAGATTATCGTTCACGATTTATCATCCGAGAATTTCTCCAGGATCAATATTTGACATCTCGCGATAAACACGATAAAATGCAAAGTGATGACGTAAGCGCAAGTGAAGGACTAGCAGCCGTAGCCCACACAGATCAGAATAACAAACAAACGTGGCCGAAGGCGGCGAAGAAGACGTTTCTGAGCAGCTTGAAGGATTTCCTTCCAGATTGAGGTTTAGACGAGTTCGATCAAGGATGCCTGACATCAGTAGATCTGCTCACTCTGTGCAAGAAGAATTTTAACATTTCACTAGTTTTCTCTCTAAACTACCACTTAAACTTGTGGTTAAGTACCTTATTTGACCGTGCCAGCTGGAAAGTGCCATCCAAGAACAATAATTGTGAGATTCTCAAGACAAAATGAAGACAAAAACATATTAATTGATATGAATTTTAATATTTTTTATTGGGACTCTTATCGTTATCGGCACAATGGGAAAACTTGTCGTGATAAATATTTTTGTCTGCAACAAACATGAAGTGTATGTCTGAAGGAGATGCTAATAGAGCTAAACAAACTGGGTCCTACAGATCAGAGATACAGACCGAGCAGAACCAGGACTTGAGCTGCATGAAATCCTGCATGTTTCTGCAGGGATGTGGACGCATTTTAAAGCTCCTGACAGCTCCAGAAGTTAAAATTCATTTTGTAAAGTTTTGCTGCTTTTGTTTCAGCAACCAGCACCCCCTTTTTTGGCCTAACCTCTGATTGAACCGTCCAACTAAGCCATAATTATTCGGTTAAAAAAAATAATCAAAGTTGGAGAAAAGTTTTTCTTCCTTAAGTTTTTTAAAATTCACAAACAGAGAATAAGCTACCAACCAAATTGTTTTCTCTAAACGTTTGTGAATGTTTATTAGCTCGTCTGTGCAGTGTGTCCTCTCTAAAATCATTTATTATTTGGTCTTTGTAGAGACAAAAAAATGAGATAAAGACCGAGATGTGTCCCCTGCTGTCTTGTGTTCGACCTTCTTGGATGCACATTGAGTCAACGTGTTTTGTTTCCTCCAAGGGGAGAAAGAGAAGGAGGGTCCGGTGGTCCAACACGCGAACGCGCCGTAAAAAGAAAGGGTCAGAGGAGGACGACGACAACAGCGAGGAGTCGTCCAGCGAAGAGGAGGAGAGCGAGGAAGAGGACGACAGCGACGAGGATTACAAGGTGGAGCGAAGCAGAAAGAGACGGAACCGCAACCGAGAAAGACGAAGCTCGGACTCGTCGACATCCTCAGACGACGACCTACCTCCAAACGACGACCCCTGCAAACATTGTGGTCTTCCGAATCACCCAGAGCTGGTAGGAACTCACAAGGTGTCATCTTGTACAGACTGTTAGAAACATGATCGTCTTTCTTACTGCGCTCAGGTTTGTGGACATTCAAGACAGAAAACAGTCACCAGTTGTTTGGGATGGGGAGTTGATTAGGTGGTGGTGAGAAGATGAAATATGATCCAGGGAGACGAGTTCAAAGAGCTGAAAGACTTATCGCTCATGGAAACACCAAACAGCTGTTTATAATAACATGAGACCAGGTCTTAAAACTCCTGAAAGTCACCAGGGCACCCAGCACCCAGGTTTAACTCACTGATTACAAAATGAAAGTATCATATCAAGAGCGCAGGGTGGCGTCTGACTTGGTAATCATGTCCAAACAGTAGGGTTGGGCGGTTTCCAAATGTTGGTCCCGTTGAAACCGCTGCACAGAACGAACTCGGGGTCAAATGCATCTTCACAGCAGTGAGTGAGTGGTTGATTCGGAGGTGTTTCCATTTCTTCCATCACCTTTTTATTAAACTATATATTACTTTATTTCTAAAAAAACAAAAGAAAAACACTATTTTGCTTCCTCCGTCTTACTCCACTCTCTTTTTCTCCCTCGCCCCTGTCAAAGTTGCGGTTTTGGTGGTACCGTTCGAGATTACCCTAATATATACCATACAGCATATATTGACAGAAAGCACAGATTCTCAGCTTTCTCAAACTTTCAAGGAGTTACAGTCTTGAGAAGCTGTGTTGCGCTCTGCCGATACTTCCTGTGTTTTGCAATGACTGCCTACCTCATATGGTTACGTCTACCGTCGTAATTCCCACAACTCTCAGCTTTCCAACTAAGGCTGCACGATATTGGAAAAAACTAACATTGCGATTTTTTTCAACCCTGTGATATATATTGCGATATTAAAAAAATAGGAATTTTCACCAGATGACCTGAAAAGCATTTAATGTTATACTGCACTGCTGAAATCTTGAGGACAGTTAATCTGCACTGATCTTACCTCTTTTTGTGAATGTTAGAATGGCTTCTGTCTGTCTCAGAGATATTTTTAGCTTTTATTGTGCTGGGACGTTATTGTGGAAATAATTCCAGATAACTGACGTTCCTTTTCTTTTTGGCAACAAATCTTCATTTTCGGTGGTTTTCTCTTGTTCGTTGTTCGTTGCTCAAACAGGAGCACAATTCTTGAATGGTGAAGTTCTTGTGTTTGATTGATAAAAGAAAAGCAACTAATCCACACGACCTTCCAAGTTTGGCACCTTTGCTTGAGTCAACTCTGAATAATCTCTTTTTTCCAGATCCTACTGTGTGATTCGTGTGACAGCGGGTACCACACAGCCTGTCTGAGACCTCCTCTCATGATCATCCCCGATGGAGAGTGGTTCTGTCCGCCCTGTCAGCATGTACGTACAACCAGAGAGCCACAAATACCAAAGAAAGGAAAAATGAGGCTTCAACAATATAATAATAATAATAACCCCTTTTGTTTTTCCTCTGTGCAGAAGCAGCTGTGCGACAAATTAGAGGAGCAGCTCACGAACCTCGACGCTGCTTTGAAGAAGAAAGAGCGAGCGGAGAGACGGTGAGACTTTGAGTCTGAACAGACTGTAAAAGCAGCGTGTTTGAGGCTGGAGAGCGCAGGATCTTTTTCAGTGAAAATATAGAAATATTAATGACACAATGCCGCAAAAAGAAAAGCTGTTTGGCTTCCACTTGACAAACCATGATTTATCTTCTTGGCTCGCAAGCAGATAATCGCCGTGGCTAAAGCACAGCTCCGAGCCATATTTAACAAAAACCCCTCTGCTTTCCAACCAAATAGGTTCATTTGCCAAACTAGAGAAAGGAAACAGGCTGGTGCCTTTTTTTCTTTCAAAGGTTTGCTTATTTGCTTTACTTCAGGCCGATTAACCGTGAAATTGGACTGAAAACAACAGTCACTGGCAAAGAAATTTCCTTTTGGCTGTTTTTAATTCGATCAGACTAAGTTCTTGTACCAGATTTCCTCTCCAATAAAACATGGAGCTACACAGTTCCAGGTTAGAAACACATCAGTAATGTACAGTTTTTAGTTAAAACACAGCTGAGAAAACTGCTCCTCTGTTGATTTTTGGATGTCGTTGTTCTTCTCTCAATGTCTTGATATCGTCCACAGGAAAGAGCGTCTGATATACGTCGGAATCAGCCTCGAAAACATCATCACGCCCTCGGTACGTTCAACCCAGTGACTGTATTTCTGCCAATGAAATGCCTAAGCTCGAGTATTCAGACTGTGAACTCTCTCTTTCCTCTCAGGCGGAGGTTGAGGAGGAGAAGCCTGACATCCTGGTCAAAGAGAAGAAAGAAGCGAAGAAGGTCAAAAGTTGGGGCCGAAGGTCGACAAGAGCGAAGAAATCCATCAGCTACAGGTCCCACATCCACTTTGTTTGGTTACGGTTGCTGAGGCTGCAGATCGAAGCTGGTGTATTAAGATTGTTGATTTTCTCCGTGTTAGATTTGATGAATTCGACGAGGCGATCGAGGAGGCAATTGAGGAAGACATCAAGGAAGCAGAAGGTGGAGGTAAGATGCCAAAGACCTGCGTTTGACTGTCAAATATATAACACCTAAAACAAAGTGTAACCGAAGAACAAAACAGTCCAGCACAGACCCGTCACTCAACCAAGCTTTAATGATAGAGCACCTTTCATAGAGGAAAGTAGACCACACTTAAACAAAGCTGACAACAACATCATGAAGGTTGGTGGTAGATTTAGGCTCCAGTCAGCTTCAGTGTCTATCCAAGGTTCTGGGTTCCTCAAACTGGTCTGGTCCACCTACAAGAAGAAACAAGTTGGTCTTTATTCTCAAAGACGGCTCAGGTCTTTCTCTGTGTGCAGACTTCTTTTGTGCACCTCAAAGAGTTAGCCAGCATGGTGATGTTGTGTTTTACCAGGTTAACCTTTTTCTGTATGTTTACTTGTTTCCTTTAAAGTATTTCTGTTTGATTTTTGTGAAGTATTCTCTTAAAGCTGATGAGTCAAACTTGAGTTATCTCCTGTCCTGTACACGTGAAAGCAGTCATTTCAGACGAAAACTTCGTTCTGTTATTGCTGTTTTTTGTGTTCAGGCCAGTTTCATATTAAGAACCTAAATGGACAATATTAAGCCGAGTACAGAGGGGAAAATGCTGCACTGGTGACAAGTGGAAATACACCGTTAAAACCTGTCAAACTGATTCAAGCGTTTGTTGGGGATGCACCGATCTGATATTTGATATCGGTATCGACCCCAATACTGAAGAAAATTCTAGATCCGGTTTCGTGACAATGGGCCCGATGCATAGGGGCCAATCTATTCAGTCTAACTCTATGTTAAGTGCTGTGAGTGGCACCCACAAGTGAACACGCTGAGCAGATGCCCACATTGTTTTCAAAATGGAGCCTACAAGCTCGACGGCCACTTGCGATACCTGCGCAGTAAATGTTCCGAGGGGCAGTGGTAAAACTTCAGGTTACAACAAAAAGTAATTCAGCGCGGCTTTTCTGTATCAGCATTGGATCGGTATCGGCCGATACTAAACTGTAGATATCTGTATCGGTATCAGAGGTGCAGAAATATCTTTTTTAAAAATGTGAATTTTATTTTTATTTTAATTTTTTTATCAGAGGTGCAGAAATATCTTTTTTAAAAATGTGAATTTTATTTTTATTTTAATTTTTTTTGCAGGAGCTGGTCGGGGTAAAGACATGGCCAACATCACAGGTCACCGAGGGAAAGATATATCTACCATCCTACAAGCTGAGGAGGGGAAGGAGAACGGCCGTCCGCCTCGATTGTCCGCCGGGCAGCGCAGGAAAAAACGCAGGCGACTTAATGACCTGGACAGCGACAGCACTGTGGACGAGGAGGAGAGCGAGGAAGAGTTCAGACTCAGCGAAAGGTAAAGAGTTCAGAGTGGTACGCATCTCTCTATTTGAGTCTGACTGTATGTGTTTTTACATCACTGGAACTTTTCCTGGTCTGGCTGCAGTTCAGAGGAAGAGTTCGTGGTGTCTGACAACGACTCGGAGGCCGAAACAGAAGCAGAGTCGAACAACAGCGACATGGCTAGCAACAGCAGCGGGCGGCATCGCTCTTCTTCGCGGAGATGGACTCTACCGACACGGCAACGGAGCTCCAGGAAGCGGCGAAGACCGAGGGGGTACTCGGACGATGAAGAGGACGAGTCAGATGAAGACGAGGAGGAGGAAATCGGTAAGTTAACTCGGTGTGATATTCTTTAACCCGTTATTAAAAATATTGCGTTCACTCGTTCATTCATTTTGCGTGTGTTTCCCTAGCGACCGAAGGCTCCAGCGAGTTCAGCGACAGCGATCTGGACATGAGCCGACGGCGGTCACGGCGGAGTCAGAAGAAGCAAGTCAACTACTGCGAGACGTCCGAGTCGGAAGGCTCTCAGGCAGAAACCAACAAACCCAAACTGAAACCCAGACGTCTGAAAGACAGCTCCGACAGTGAAGGTCAGAAACGCTCTGAGAGTGTGAGCAGCTGGCAGAAGCTCAGGACTTTGACCTTTTGCTTTGATCCTGCAAGGCTTGTCATACTAATGATGTCCCGTCCGCCTTAATCCTGCAGGGAAAACCTCGCTGAGATGATATTTGTCTTTCTCTTGAGCAAAGTGAAGCAGATATTTCTTTCAGATTATATCCCCAGAAAAAAAAATCACAATCATTTCAGCACCACGGACAGAGACGGAATTTATTCATTATAAATTTATTCGATTGGACCTGAAGCAGTTTGTTGTTTCACCGCACCTTGCTCATTGCTTGTTTGGTACTCACACTCAGACGTATGCTCACAGAAGAAAAGCTGAAATCTGGACGTTGTGACAGGAATGAAGATTATTCAGTGAGACATTTCAAAACTGGTGTTCCCTGAAAATCCTGTTTTACAAAAGTTAAATTGAAAAAAAGCTTTGAATCAGATTTTACCAGCTTTATTTCCTCTGCCAGGCTCTTCCCCACTACAGTCACTTTATAGAGTCACTTTATGTGTCGAGTCTGGACTGTGAGTGAAGAAGCATTTCTTGAAGGGCCAAAGCTCAGCTCAGTTTGTAAAGATTGCTTCATTCAAGTGTTGTTTTCGTTGACGAAAATATTTCATCAACATCATTGTCAATGAAAACAACACTGCAGGATATAGGTTTAGCGTTTGACTGACGAAATGCTCATGAATTTTGCGACTCTGTTCGTCGTCCATCACTAACGTTTTCATTAGGGGTGAGCCAAAAAATCGATTCACACAAGAATCGTGATTCTAATTTACTACGATTCAGAATCTATTTAAAATGTCCCTAAATAGTTTTTAAAAGATTAAACATCCGCTGCCTGTCCGCCTCCATTTTGGAACTACGCTGGACGTCCTGACGTAATCACGCAGCCGGTTCTGGAACGCACTCACGCGCAGAAGGCACCAAAACAAAGGGAAATACAAATCATGGAGGAAAAGGAGATCCAACCGGCCCAGTCTTCACTGAAAGCTAAAGTTTGGCGTCATTTCGGATTTTACCGAATGCCCAGACACACTAAGCTAGACATGACGCAGGCAGTGCGCCGACATTGTAAAACGAGAATCAAGCATTTGGGCGACACGACGAATGCGCGGGAAAATCGAAAATCTATTTTTTAATCGACTCGTGGCTCCAAAAATCGATTGAATCGAATCGTTAGACAGTAAAAGATTCCCACCTCTAGTTTTTGTGTAGTCTCATCAACTTAAACGCACATTCGTCTCGTCACATTTGAGTCATCTAAGACTTCTGTTAAGCTCGTCAACTTCACGTCTTCATCGTGGAAAAAAAGGGGCGTTGACGAAATATTTTTGTCAACGAAAACAACACTGCTTTATTTCTTGGAAATGTTTAAAGGAGAGTAACAGTAAAGGAGGAGATAATTTATCTGAGGTGTCTTTTTTTTGTCTTTTTCAGCGAGTTTCCTCTCTAAGGACTCAGAGGAGGAGTCGAGGGATCGGAGGGTGAAGAGGAGAGCCGACTCCTCAGAGGAAGATTCCCGGCAGCGGCGCAGACGCCTCGCACTGAAACGCCGGAGAGCTTCTGAAAACGACGACTCGGACGACGACTCGGACGACGACTCAGACGAATCTTCAGAGGAGGACCGTCCCGTCAGAAAACGAGTGAACCGCATCGACTCAGACGACGACGACGACGACGAGGAAGAGGAGGAGAAACCCAAGGAGAAGAAGGCAGCTGACAAAGCAGACGAGGAGTCAAAGGGAACAAACCCAGCGGACTGCAATCCCACGAACGGACAGACGCCCATAAAGAGCCTCGAGGGCCTCATCAGCCGGCCTGCTGCTGCTGCTCCAGGCCTCGGTCCACATCTGGAAACATCCAAAAACGTGAGTGCCACACCAGCAGCTGCCATCGCACCAAACGGACTGGTCAGCCAGGAGATGGCAGCACAGGACGATGACGAAGACGACCTTTTAGGAGTCACAGACCTGGTGGACTACGTCTGCAATAACGAAGATTTGTAAAAACAAAAACGGTGTAATGTTTCATTTTTTTGTGGTAATGTATTTTTATATTGCTTAACTTTATTATTCCCTCCCCACACCAACACCTGTGTCATCCTCTTCATCATTGTGTCATCAGATACCGGTTTAGCTCTCTCCCAATCATCCAGCTCCACTGCCAAACACTTCCTTCCTCTGGTAACGTGTCGTTCATTTCTCCGCTTCCATCGATTCTTTTCTTCTTTCTTTCACAGCCGACAAGTTTTACTTTTGCTCTCTGATGAGAAATCGGCACTGAAACGGTTCGTTGTGTGGGTACCAGATAAACTGCCTATTTGAATAATGAAAGACTGAGATCTTGAACATTGTTAGGAGCAAAATCAATCATTCCATATTTAATTAGAAGTTTTTGGCATGTGTCAAAAGAACATTGTGGTTTTTACATTTTTAGATTAAAGCGATAGTTTGAGATTTGGAGGAAAGGCTTATGTAATGATATCAAGCTTGAGAGTTGGGTGAGAAGATTGATACGCGTTTACATGAGTGAAATGAACACAAAGCTGCAGCCAATAGCAGACCTTTATCCACAGTCACTCTTGAACCGAGCTGCAGGACCAGGACAGATAGGCGACTCTTTTAAAGTGCAGCTTCTGTATATTTTCGGCCTTGTTATCATCATAATCTGCTTTTTTTCTGATTCATCTTAAAATGTAAAAACCCTTGTAATCCAAAATAATTCAAGTGTGAAGCATTTAAAGTTGTCATTTCTTTCCGGGCTGTAGTTTATCTGCAAAGACCGTAATTCTTGTAATATTTGTGGCCTGAAAAATTTAAAATTTGACAAAGTTCACCCGCCATCAACTTTGAAATGCATTGATTTGCATTGTAGTTATCATTAGTAATATATGCACAACCATGAACTTTAATCATGAACTTTTTTTAAACTAAATTATTGATTTTACATTCCTGATTTGTGTTGGGCTTTTTAGCATTTTTAGCCAGAGCGAGGCGACCCGTCGGCTCCTGTTTTAGGTTTTTAAGATAAGCTAAGTCGGCTTTTACTTTATATCGCGCTGAAAGGCTTGTGTTTTGACAATTTTAGCTTTTCTCTGATTGAATATTGGCACTGAAAAGGTTCACTGCGTGGGTCAAAAAGCTGCATTTTCACATGAACGGCGTCAATCTTCTTACCAAACCCTGCTGCAGAGAGTGAACAAGCATTCTTCCCAAAAATATCACACGTTTCTTTTATTCTGGCTTTTGTTTTAATACTCATAAATATGGTTTCATGAGACTATTCATCCATGTCGATTAACCTTCTAGACTCAAAACTAGTCGACCAACGTTCATCCGTCAGCCCTCCTCTTGTGCTTTGTTTTTGTTTTCGTTCAATAATAGAATAGCTTTTGTATATTGTAAACATATATAATTATTTTAACTGTGCGCTGCCATCGGTATCAGTGGTGAACTCCCAGTTGTTTAAGTACAAAGTCCGTTTTGGGAAGCGAAATCAGAAGTGAACCTAATCTTGACATGTAGTCTAGTTTCCTTTTATTGCATTTACGTTTTGTGTTTTTTTTTTTTTTTTTTTTTTTTTTGTAATAATGTATTTTTTGTATATCTAAACTTTTATTTGTCGTCCGTCACGGCGAAATGTAAAGTGTCTTATTTCCTTTGTACATTGTCCTTCATAGAAGGTTCAAAAACCTGCAGACTCTTAGCCTTTATAACCACAATAACACTAAGCTTCAAAACAGCCTCCTTTTGTTTCTTCCCCTGCTTTCAAATGTTCATGTTTTTATCTACATCCTCTTTATTTTCATGATGTTGAGTTTGAGTCCAAGTTGCATCAAACAGCCTGAAGGATCTTGAATCTTAATATCATGAAAAGTCAATAATTTAGCGGACAGTAAATAGTTTTGAAGCAATAGTCAGGATGCAGTTTTTGGGTTGGGGGGGAAATGGACGGAAAACAAACAAACCAATGACTTCACTGACCTCTGCTGGAACCAGTCTGTGTGTATATCTGTAGTTTTTGCTGTAATATATTTAGAGGCATTTTTTTAATCATGGAAAAATATATTGGGCAATTCTTTGGGATTGCATGAGTTTCTAATAGTTTCTTTTTTAGGGGAGTACTATTGGCACAAGAGTTTTTGTAACAAAACCAGAAAACTTTGGCATGTTTAAAGGATCTGCTGACTTGTTGCATCAGTGCTGAAGGACTCGTGAAGTAGCAGAATATCTTGTCATTTGCAGTGAAACTGCATAGGTAAGCATGCGCTGACCTACTAAAGGCATGTTACAGAGGCTTTGGGAGGGGCGGGGATTATGGTAGAAAAAAATCTAGGACAGCTGAATCTGATTTAAGAGAGTAATCGAGGCCTGTTTGTAAAATATTTTGTAAATTAAACTCAGCATGGTCTTCACAGAGGATAAACCACTCTATTTATCATACTGTTTTGATACTGGCCACGGCCTCAACGTGACTTCCAAGACAAAACCTATATGTGCTGCTTGCAGTGCACACAGCTTGGGCTTCTATACACAAACATGTAACTGTTAGAGTAGATGGACAGACTAGAGCAAACCTAATTCTACAGATTTAATAGAAGTGTGTGTCCTGGTGGGTGAAGTCAGAGTAAAGGACTGTGGATGTCTATGTGCTGTATGTAACCCCGTTTTTGAATCCTCCACAGAGATAAGGAGAGTGTGTTGACGCGAATCTCTCGGTTATGAAATAACTTGTAGCAAGACCCGCATAGAGGAGAGGAGTGATTATAAAGGCTGCGCTGGGATTAAGGGAGGAAGTCGGTGCCAATGACTGAAGTGTTAACAGAGTTTCCTATTTACCTCATGATGAATCTGGGAGGAAAGATGCATCCTGTCCGCTGTGTATACATGCTAGTAGACTGGTTGTTGGTGTTTTGTCTGCTCCTTACTTTTTTGTTAACTTTACTGTTATTTCTTATGAATCTGATCTTGTACATTTGTCATAATAAAAAGGGTTTTAAGCCTTACACAATGTCATCCTGTCTTGATTGTACTTTTAATACGGATTCAATGAATTGGTATTTAAAATGTTGGTAACACTTTACTTGACGCCCATCGCTATAACGCATTATAAATATATGTATAATGCATTATAATCGTGTTATAGCACTGTATAACTATAGTTATAAACACTCATAAATGATCATAATGCTTTATAGCAATAATTATAACACATAAAACATTTTATCATGACTTACAAGGTCAGGTATTATAATGTGTTATAACTGTAAACAACAGTTGCATTGCATTATCTATGTGGGCATTGTCAATGAGTTGTTAACAGTAACAGTAACAACAGTATAAAGCATAATTATCATTAACGAGTGTTTATAACTATTGTTATACTGTGCTAAAATGTGATTATAACGCATTATACATATATTTATAATGTGTTATAGAGATAAGCGTCAAGTAAAGTGTTACCAAAATGTTTAATGTAAAAGTATCCCAAAACTCTCAAAAATTAGTAAATATGGGTCATTGAAGTAAAGTTACTTCTCAGATTTAATGTCAGGAACAGTGAGCTTTCAATCCCAGTTACAGATCCTATGAGGAGTTTTTTGTTGTCATAAAAAAGGCTGAAACTCATATCGATCCTTGCTCGTAACATCCAAAAGCAAAGGAGACCATTGCTGACACTTCCAGCTCATACCCCAAGAAACAGAAGGCCCTACATCAGATAAACCATGTTATGTGATGCCTTAAAGCTCCTATGAGGAACTTTCAGTTGGTGTTGACTTTGGTGCCCCCTTGTGGACATAGCAGACTTTGCTTCACTTGTCCCTTACATACTGAAATTGCATCTTCTGACAAATCTCATCAATGTACTTTGTGAAAATGTCAGGGCTGTTTCTTTGACTTCAAATAGAACTTCACATGGGAGCTTTAATATAATGATTTTTTAAAAATGTTTGTTGTAACCCCCTCCAGAGTGTTAAATCAGATGGGATTCACACCTTTGTTATGTGTTGAATGCATCATTACCGAGCTCACAACCAGAGTCAAGCAAAGCTGCTTTAACACGACACATTACAAACTCCGCTTCGGTGACTCAAAGCTCATTACAGGCTTTAACTGTGACTTTAGATCATGCAGAACAGTGAGTGAGCAGCTGAGGGTCTGAGGTTCAAGGTGTAATCTGAGAAGAGCAATTTTTGGACAGGGGCAGCGACCTGAAACACAAATCTATGGCCGTGAACTTTTTTTTTTTTTTTTTTATGGTGTCATTGGAGAAGTCTGTCCAGAAATGTCAAATTGAAGTTAACTGCAACTATTTTAAGGAGGGTTGAGCAAATTAATTAATCCAAGTTTTGAGACGCCCCCTTAGTCGGATAGTGAAAGCAGCAGTAATCCTACGAGCAGTCGGATGAGCTTGGATTGACCCACAGAGAAGCAGACAGCTAAAACCTTCAAAACAGCACCAGCTTTGCAGCAGGAAAGCAAAGAAACTGAAGGTTTCTGCTCTGACTGTTTCACTAATATTCAGCCAAACCAGTTTCTGAGAGTCCAACTGTGTGCATCCTAGTGGAGCATTAATGCAGCACTTTGCAGCCCCCCCTGTAGAATCCACATGCTGCTGATTTACTGTGAAGTCCGTCTCAGTTTGTCATCTCTGTAAAACATTCTAACTGTGCTCTATGCTGTGGTGTGAACAGGACAGCTCTTGTCAGGCCGACTCAGACACCGTGAGAAGGTGGGGGAGGAGAGGGCAAAGGGTCAAGTTGTGTAACAAATACCATACAGGCCAAAGTACCCACAGCTCTGGACTTGGACATGGTCTGGATTTCATGGACTCACTTATTCCTGGCCTCATCCAAACCGTCTTTAAGTAACACTGAAGAATCATCTGTATATATTTTTTGAACTGATTCCTTGTAAATGATGCCTGTTGCCCTATTTTAAAGGATAATTCATCAATGTTATGCACTTTTCTAATTCATGCTTGTTTCATGGAGTTCCACAAGGTTCAGCGCTGGGACCACAAACACTGGCCATGTTTAGGGTGGCCATATTCTAACTTCCCAAAAAGAGGACACAACTGCATGGGGGCGGAGTCACGGAGTCGCACAAAGTTAATTTTAAGAGTTTTTCGGGTCGGATCGAGTGTTTTTTTATGCGCTTCTAACTCAGTAAGTCCACGTGACACAAAATCGAAACTTTCGTACAAAACCACAGACATTTGAAGGATTTGTAAAAGAGGACGTATGGTCACCCTAACCATGTCGGTGCTTTAAATAAAAAAAATTGGAAATAAAAGTCTTATTCAAGTATTAATTTTTATTAAAAACATTTCATGTAGCACATTAAATATGAATTCACACACTATAATATCATCTGAAAACATATTGTATATTTTTCAAGAGATCATACATGTAGTACTATCAGACAAAACGCATATTTAGAGGTATTTAAGTTGTAAAATGCGGTTCTTGGTTCACAGAGAAATTGATGTTGTGAAGATTCAACAGAGAGGAAAAATGAGTAAATAATCAGCTTCATCAACACATAAGAAAACATGATTCATACAGGAAATGTAAAGATCCAGCTTTGGTCAAAACTTTGGAGAAAAAGGCAAAAACTGAAGAGCATCACCGTGTCCGACATGAAAATCCACTTTCTCCACAGTAGTCTTGTGTTTTTGTGCGATTATAGACATGTGAACATACAGGGCTTTGCAAATGCCCGAATCAAATCAGCTGAAACAGAACAAACCACCAAACCTTGTGCAGTTTTCTTTCACTATGTCAAGAACATACCCTCTCATAAGTTTTGCACATAACCCCTTTAAAAATCTTTGGATTATTCAACATTTAGAAGCTAGAATTTGACTTGTTTTTCTGCTCACACTTCTTCACATCTTGGAAAATTGTCACAGTTGAAATAACGCTGAGTTCATTATGAGTAGTTCCTTTTAGCAATGTTTCCATGGTTGATTACTGACCATGAATGAGTTTGACACGAGAAACTTCAAAATCTGATTATTCTTAATACATTTACGAAAGAGCATCTTTTATTCTGTCCATTCAAAACCTCCTGAGTTATTAGTATGAGACGGCTTTAGGCGAAATGTCTGCAGACATGTTTAGAGAAACTACAGCTCTACTCTTTATTTCATCTGTTCAGTGTAGATAACTAGGTATGTGATAGAAGATTAGAGCCCCATTAAGGAAGGGTCATATGAATTCAAGAATTCAGTCACGTTATTACAAGAAGTTGTAAATTTATGAGAATTTAGTCACAAACTTACAAGAATATAGCCAAAGTTGAAGATAATCTAGTCTTAAAGTAGTTTCTCATATAGATTACTTGTTGTTGCCTGTTTAAACAACTCTTCTCTCATTACATTAAAGCTTAACAATGATAAAACTGCTGTATTCTTATAAATTTACAACTTTAATTTATATTTTATCCTCATAAAATTACATCTACATTCTCACAATCTCATCCTTTACGTGGCTCTAATGCTGCATTTAATTCCTGCTGCGCAATAACAGCCTACGGTCAGCCATAACTGGGAGGTTGAATCTTAACTCATGTACTGAGTAAGTCAGAGATACGAATTATCTCTATTTCTTTACAACGCTGAAACCTTAATTTCGCACCATACCTTTATTATAAAGGCTTTAGTCCCTCTCCTGTCATAATCACTAGGAAAAAATAACATTACTCTGTGGAAGATTCTTTAGTATTCACCAAAAAAATAAAAAGCTTGGGTTGAGTTTTCTGTGTTTCAAGGATCAGTCAAAGTGCTGATCTCGCTCTTTACACCCGATCAGTTTTTCATGATGGTTCACATCAGCTCTGCACCATTTTGGGAACACATGACGCTGCAATATCTATCTGTATATATACACAGTGTTATAAAAAACAAAGAGTATGTTCTTTTCTGCATATATGAGGCCTTCATTGGAGAAAATGTGCTTTTATCACAGTTTAATTTTACACTTACAATATAAAGTGCAATGACTTATCAGATCCTAAAGAGTACATCCTCCAACCTCAGTTGCTGTAAACCACATCACACTGATTGAAAGTCTCTGCATTAGCTTCCTGTATCCTGGTTCTTTTCTGGGTTATTAGAGCTCTTCACGGTCTTGTACTGACCTAATTATCAGATTTGCTATTATCACTTAATACTATCAAGACCTGCCCTTTTAGTTTCACTCTTACCTGAGTTTATCATGTACTTATTTATCTAAGTTTCAGTCTGTCATGCCGATTGTTTTATTAGTGTTTATCTTGAAGTGTTTTTTTATATCTTTGGTTTCTTTTTTCATTTACTTATTCAGTTTTTAGAGTTTTATTATTCTATTCATTGCATTCTCAATCTGCTATCTTGACCTCTGGAGTTTCGTTTTTATGGACTCATGATAGCATGTCCTCAGTCCCTCATGTGCTTTATCATGTTTGATTGTTTTATTGGTTGTTTGTTTGCTTTGCTTGTGTAGTTTTGGTTGATTTTTATGATCTTCATTTCATGTAAAGCACTTGGTGCGACATTCAGTGATGAAAATTTTAGTACAAATACAGTCTGACTGATTTATCGATCCTAACTATATCAGTTTCTATGTCTCTGTGCTGCCCCTGATGATTCACAAAATATAAGTTACAAAAAGCTGTTTTTTCACCATGAACTTAATAGCTGTCTTGAGTTTGAGCAGAAGGCTTCTGAAGAGCTATGTGTCCAGTTATTGACTGTTTTCCTCACACCAATCATTCCTCAACCTCACTTTGCATCAATAACAAGAAAACATCCCAAAAATGTCCCGTATCTAAACTTTGCCCTACTTTGTGCTGTTAGTTTACAAGTGAACAAACAATTTGCATTCTTACATTCATGATTGTGTTAGCTTAGCTTGTTTGTCTTCTGTGTTTACTGAACACTTGGACTTATTGATTGAAGGTAAAGCAGCACTGAACACGCAGCATGTGCATCACTCAGAGTCAAAATTCACTCTTTGGGCTTTGGCACACTTACGAACACTTGAAAGGACACACGCGAGAAAAAAAGACTTTGAAACACCCACACACTGATGGAAGAGTGATTTGGCGCGTCCTTGTGTTACCCCTACTGGGTCTTCTGTTTCGGGGCAGCAGGGACATCCAGTCCGATGGTGCTCTTCCCTGAGAGGAAAGGTACGATCTTCTCAAACAGCAGGATGCAGCTCGCCATACCTGAGACATGTTTAAAGAGAGGACAAATGCTTAAAAACCCGACATTAACAGAGGACATACAGTATATTTGAAGACAGGGCTACAACCACAAACTGGTTGATTAAGTTTGGTATTACGACTGAAAGTAAGGGAAATAGCCAGTCTCCCTCCTTACCCAAGAACGGTCCAAGCCAGTACACAAAACAATACTCCGGATAAGTATGACCACTGCAGGGGAACTGGACCGAGAAGGCCAGGACCGGGTTAAAAATGGCTCCTGAGATACTTCCTCCTGCACAAAGAGAAACAGAGAGTTAAGGACCATCTAACTCATTTTAAAACAAAAATATTCTTACCCCATAAAACTGAGTCCAAACTTAGAAGAAGCGTTTTGTAGATCTTAACACTCAACACCTTCAAGCTGTCTCAGCCAGCCTGTCTTTATAGCAGACTTGGTTTCTTGCACAATTGCTTCAGAGAACTGGGACTTAGACTAGTGTGGTGCTGATAAAAGATGCTGCACTTTTCTCTAGAGGTTATGTGAAAGTATAAATTTGAAGAATGCTCCCCATCCCTCATTTTAGTTCAGGCAGCTGCAGGCTGCTCCTCTGAATTATCTCATAAATAAAACAATCAATCAATCAATCACCTTATTTATAAAGCACTTTTCATACATGGCTTGTATCACAAAGTGCTGTACACATACACAGGGGATAAAAAAAAATATAGAATACAAACTCCACCCACACACACACACACACACACACACACACACACACACACACACACACACACACACACACACACACACACACACACACACACACAACCATCGGGACACCAAGTCAAGTCAGGGCTCAACAGGAAGCCACAGAGGGCCTAGGAAATGCTATCTAAAATGGGGGAACACTGGAGCTGAAGCTAAACTGATAAAACCATGACAAGATATAAAAAATAAAAGGAAATAAAACAATGATGAAGTGTTAAAGTATACTAAAAAATGAAAATAAAATATACTAAAAAGAGTAACAAAAAAGAGCACAAAACAAACAACATGAAGGCTAGCAAGTAGGGGTGGGAGAAAAAATCGATTCACATAAGTATCGCCATTTTCTGTTTTACAATTTTTAAATCGTTTTTTATGTTCAAAAACCTTTTTTTATATTTTTTATTTAAGAATAAATCTTAAAAACTGACTTAGACGGACAGGTCTCTCATTGAAAATAACAGCTGCAGTGCTTACATTATTTTAAAATTACTAAAATTACTGTCATTTCTTTCCATCTCCAGGATGGCAAAGGGTGAGAGTGGGGTACGATGAGCCATTTTTTCACATTTCAGATCACTACATCAAGGCAATCATAGTTTTGTCTCTAACTAGTGTATCTGCATATGATGTTGTGCATCCCTGCAAACCAACAGAATGAGTGTAAACATAACTGTCTTGATAATATAGCATGCCAAAAAAAGTGGTCTCCTATGGTCATAGGAGCGGGGTAAATTGAGCCTATCCCTACTACTCAGTTTACCCCTGAACTACTATAATGACTTTATTAGTCCTCTAAGCTAACATGGTGGACTTTTACACTCGGTTTTTGACTTCATGTTGTAGCTCACAGATACCACAATTGATGTATAAAACAGATTTAAAAAGATTTTTTTGGTCTGAACACAATTCTATTAAAACTTGTGACAGACTAAATTCACTTTCAAGAGTGAAAAATGTTTTTTTTTTTTTTTTGGAAATAAATGTCTAACCCCTTCACCCATGTGCTTCTGACCTTCACAGACTCCATGAATTGATGTCCATCTCCTAAATATTTGGTCACATGATCAATTTCTTTTACCATTTTCAAGCAACAGGAGGTGGCTCAACTTACCCTTTGGCTCAACTTACCCCACTCTCCCCTACTTTGAGTGCGTGTGGATGTCCAATCCAATCTAATGACCTTTACTTCAACCCTTACCACCTTAAAACGTCTTTAATTCACTCACCTGCATAAACCAGGCCGGTGATGACTGCAGCGATGAAGTGAACTCGAAGTTTTTCGTCCACTTTGTGAACATGCATGGCTGCAGCCTGGATCGTGAAGGCGCAGGCCATCTCCACGGCTGCGGCCTCCAGTAAGGTCCCACTGATGGGGTCAAAGCATCTGAACCCGAATCTCTGATGTCTGATGTGGACGTCGGACAGACCCAGAGTCCACACGGAGGCTGCGAAATACTGCGCCGCGACCGCAGCTCCGAACTGGCAGGCTATGATGACAAGAGCAGCCCGGATGGTGCTGGTTCCCCGGCAAACACTCTCCAAAGCCCCGCTGGGATTACACGACGCTCCGTTGAAAGTCATCAAGTGGACCACGGTCATGAAGTAGGTGAGAGTCAGGCCGACAGGCAGCTCCAGCCCGGCCGTCTCTCCCAGCAGCTTCAGTTCATGAGTGCAGCAGCAGAGCTGGAAGGTGGATGCCGCCTCTAACAGGTAAGTCCAGTACTCTCCGGGGGAAAACCTCGCTGCTGTCCGGCGGAGCACCTCACTGAGGAGCACCGCAGCCCCCAGCACCGCCACGGAGACGACCAGGTCAGTCATTCTGTGCGGCCGACCCGACTCACACACTGTCCGGCTCGATGGAGAGACAACTTTAAAGTACTGTAGTCAATCAACTTCCCTCCTTTTCGACGTCGAAGTCCAGTTTATCCACGTAGACTCAGACGGGCTGTAACCTGCTGGCTGTCACACAGGTATGACCGCAGGGCCGCCTTCAAAATAAAAGCACATTTCCACTCTAACGCAAGTCCTGCCCCTAATGAGGCAAATAGCCAATCACAGTCCGGGATTTTTGGGGTGACCAACGTCATTTCAAAGGGCCCATCCACCCTGGCACCCGGCCTTGTCTACAACACAAGTGTATACTCTCTAGTGTATACCTTAACTCAGTGGTTCTCAACTAGTATCACTCTGGGACCCACATTTTCCCACGGTCTTGAGGTCGCAACCCACTGTTATAGAATTCAAACCAAGCAAATGTATTTTTTATATATAAAAAACCTTAAAGACTCAAATCTTTAACACAAAAACACCAGTTTTTACTGAGTAAAGTGCATTTCAGAGCACATGAACTGAGGAAGACAACTACTGAGGTTGCATAGAAAATATCAAATATTAAATAAATATCACATTGCACAAAATCAACTACTTTTCAAAATGAAAGATCTTTCAAACATCAGATGCGCATTAAATATTTGCTTTTTTGACCAGCTGTTTGCGACCCATCCAGAACGTGTCCGTGACCCACTTTTGGGCCTGGACCCATCAGTTGAGAACCACTGCCTTAACTGGATAACTAAGACTGACAAAGTAGTGCTACATTTAACTTGGGAACACAATCCCAAATTGTGCAAAATTTTTTAATTTTCCATTATTATTATTATCATTATTTATTTATTTTTCAGAAAAGCCAACTGTCTAGGTCAAACTTATGTCAAGACAAAGAAAAGAAAAAGAAAAGAAAAAAAAACATATTTCCATAGTTGATTTCCTGAACAGCAAACTATTGCTGGTTTTAAAATATTTTTATTTTGAAGGTTTAAACAGGAAGTTTACTTAGTCATTATAAGACACTTGACAGTAATAGGTGGTCTCGACATCCTGGGAGTGACTACAGCTGGGAGGCTGGCCTCAGGGTAACAACAGTCCTCCAGCTGCATTTTTTAAAGGGAGTTAAGTAAGAGCAAAGGAGGAGAGAAACTCTAAACCAGCTTCTGCTGTGTTCACTGCTGTAACTGCTGCACTCAACATTAGAAGTTTAATGTCTGGGAGCAAGGGCATGTCCCTAAACAAAAGAATGCATAGTAAAGGTTTAATGGCTGTAAACAACATAGACTCACCAGTGAAAATGAACCTTCAGCCTCTTCCTCTGACAACTTTAATCTTGTTAAAATACATCTAATAGATGCTCAGTCTGGGCCAAAGCAAAGCAAAGCAACAACTTTGGATTTGTTTGTAAGTTGTGCTGGTTTCTTTTAGCATGGACATGCTCTGACCTTAACTGCTGCTTTCATGAACATATCACATAAATGTTGAATTTTCCTGTGCTGTGGGGAATTCCTGGTATTCGAGTCATGTTTATAAAGGGAGGCTCGGTCTTATATAAGCAGAAACCCATCTCTGAGAGTCAGTGTGATGAACTCGGTCTGGAGGCCCCTCTTTTTGATGTGTAAAATATATTTCCTTAAGTATGGTATTACATTTCAATTTGGTTAAAGAGCCCATGATTTGACTCTGCTGTTTAGCTTTAGTATACAAGATTTATTTTCAAGTTTCTGGGCCTCTTTTACATTACACTGAAATCCCATAGATGTACTGCAGGAGCATTTACTAATATTTACCTGCTCCAACTTCACACAACTGAGAGCATGTGTCTTTTTGCTGTAGGGGAGAGTAGGGTAAGATGAGCCAATTTTCATATTTCAGATCACTACATCAAGGCGATCATAGTTTTGTCTCTAACTAGTGTATCTGCATATATTTCAAGATGTTGTGCATCCCTGCAAACCAACAGAATGAGTTTAAACATAACTGTCTTCATAATATAGCATGCAAAAAAAAAGTGGTCACCTATGGTCAACTTACCCCGTGTATGGGGTAAGTTGACCATAGGAGCGGGGTAAGTTAAGCCATCTCCTAAATATTTGGTCACATGATCAATCTCTTTTACTTTTTCCAAGAAACAGGGAGTGGCTCAACTTACCCCACTCTCCCCTATCATGCAAGATCCTCTGTGTAAAAGGCTGGATGTCAGCATTGGTTGCTTCATATCCCATTTCCTGCTGTGGTAACGCCTGAACCTGTATTTGTGGCCAAACTGTGGTCACAGACACCTGTGTTAGGATGTGATTTTGACCCCATGCGGTGACTTCCACTACACGACTATTTTAAATTACATCTTTAGTGTGTTTACATCACTGTGGCAACAGGTGGCAGTCTGTCATGTAAAGGTGAAGGGCATCCACAGTAGCTTCTGTAAAGATCATTAGAATTCACAGCATTTTCATTTCCGTCAAATCTTCCAAAATAAAAGAGCCTTTGTTGTTCGTTTTAGGGTAGTTCTGATCCTGTCAAATAATGTCTGTAATTGTAATTTCTGATTAATCAGTTTTTATGGCACATTCGTAATAAATAAATGTCGTTGTGAAAACATTTAGAGTTGTTTCTGTTAAGTCAAAGTTGCCTTTTAATCGTTGCTTATTGTGTCAGTGCCGTTTGCTAGCTTGACCAAACTCATCCTCCGACGCCACCTGCTACACAGACGGGTGACCGAGGAAGAGCACTCAACTGCGGCGTCTCGTCGACCGTTATCCGGGACCTGGAGGCTCACCTGGAGGTAGGTTATCTATCTGTACACATCGCAATGGTGATGAAAAAAGACTGTAAGAGATCAGACACTAAACCGGGTTTGTTATCCTCGACGGATAACTGATGATCGGCGCCTGAGCAGATCCATTTCTTTCTCCCCTCAGAGTCTGTCACCGGATTTCATAACAAAAATTGGGGATTTTGGCAGTATCCTGGGTAATGGCGGAGACAGATGTGTGACAGCACACGAAAAACAGATTTTCCGAATGATGTGAACACTGATTTAGATTCGGCAAACAGAAATCATGTTATTGAAGGTGCAAACACCATTTGCAAATTGTTGCATACCAGAACAAACAACGTTTGACCGCAAAAATGGTGCATAATCTACCGCAAAAATGGCAGGCTATTATTAATTTTGCTCCGTGTGTGACGATAACAGGCAAATCCAGGAAAAGAAGGTGCTGTAGGACTGAAAAGCAAAGAAATGCCAGATGATAAATATCACTTTCACCTGTAATTGTAGTCCTGTCATCCAAAAATAATGTATGATTTAATGTCTCTTAACTACAGGATGTGAAGTAAACTTTCTATTTTTCATGTAAACATGAGTTTATGATGTTTTACAGCAGGTGGAACTGTGTGATAGACAAACCCCAGGTATAAGTAATAAAGCCACTCAACAATAACAGCAGTACAAAGTACAGTTTTTCAGAGATACCAGAAACCAGGAGTTCTGTTAGGTTGGCTGTTATTCAGGAGTATTCTCTAATCTTTACATTTTAAATATTTTCAGAGTGTGACTTTTTGCATGCACACCTTGCAATGAAATTCTTCATTAACCAACTCCCATCACAGGAAGAGACCTACAATTGCCTAAGCTGTATTTTCCTTACTCTGCAGAGATACTGACCTGATATACCCGAGCTGCCTCTTGTGTAAAGAAACCTGATATGGCACGGACTTGAACAAAATTGTGAGGTTTGGAAAACCGCATGAGAAAGTTAAAAGGAAATTTCCTGAGATTTTCTGCACAACAGAACAGAACAAAACAAAACAAAAAAACCCTTCATCGTAACAATAGCCTAAAATAACTGAGTTTTGCTTTGAGAAGCCAAGTTCACACAGATTTCCTGGCAAACTTGAGGGTTGTGAGCGTGAGAAACAAGAGAAGTAAAGAAAATATCAGATTTTTTGATGGTATATCTGTGTTTTTAGGACTGTTTCTGTTAGCCTCGTACAAAAGCACGGTCATAAAGCAAGCTAATTCTTCCTCAGGACCTTAATTTACAATAAATCTGCCATTTATTGTATCCATATTAAAACTTCTTGCTTGACATCAGCAGTTGTTTTCCACTGCTACACATTTTTTGCACTGTTATATTATGTCCTAATGTATTTATATAAACCTGCTATCATTAATCCATGCATCACCTCTGAATTTGCATATTTGGAGATTACATCATCATCTTTGCAGAGTAGCAGTGTTGCTTTAATGTTTTTGCAGGAGTTTGTTATTAGTATTCAATTGAAGGTGGCTTCATGTATCTCTGTCTTAGGTGTGTGTGAGCAGTATGAGAGCTGCCTCAGACTCTCTGTGAACCATGGCATCCACGTTGTCCCAGCTGCAGGTCGGCTGGCTGCGTGGTCTACGAGCCAAACTTCTGCAGCGCCACAAGCATCAGCCTCTAGTATCATGTTTGGTGGGTCTGTACGGCTGCAGGTGGAGACGATGTGAGAGGAGCTTCACTCAACAGGGGGAATGCTGCTGCAACAAGGTCAGACACATAGAGGTGCACTGGAAACATGTAAGGTAACATTTTAGTCATTCATGCAGCTCCAAATACAGATAAGAGGTTTAAACAAAACACACATGCATGAAGGAGAAGGAGGAAAATTGGAAAACTATACACTTAAGAATTATATACTTATTTATGAGGAATAGTGCAGACTAAAACTGAATGAGTGAACAGAAACACAAAGCTAGTCATGACATGGTATACAGTGTTTCTAAACCTCTAGGTCAGGGTCCCTAATGAGTCACAAGACCAGGTAAGAGGCTATAAGATGATTAAAGGGAAAATACACTCTTTATATTCTTGCCAAAGGTGTTTCAGGCTTACTGGAATTTCACCAACACAAGTAGAAACAGTTTTAGAGAGAAGCAAAGACACATAACAGGCTGCTTCACTTTATTTACAACTTCTGCTGTTATTAAACTTCTCAGATTAATGAGAGCCTATTTTTTTAGTCACATTGTCACACCACTAAAGAACAATTTCCTGTGTAAGGCCCCCTCTCTCCTTAGAGGTCAAAGATCAGCCCACTATCTCTATGGAAACAGAGCAATAAAATGGTCAAAAGCACATGTTTCTCATTAAAAATGTCTTTTTTTTTATGTGTGTGTTGGCAGTTGGAGGGTGTCAGCTTCGCTCTGCTCGTGGTGGCTTTCTGCTTAACGCTGGTCTTTCTCTATTTCTGGGGTCAAGCAAAGAACGACTACAATGACTTTGACTGGTGGGTGGAGTCACACTTAATCGTGTTTAATTACTGAACACACAAACATTGGTGACGGTCGTGGCCGCAAATCCTGCTGAAGGCTCACGGGGGCAAAAGAAGCTCCTGGTACCCTGTTAAACCTGAAGTTAATCCAGTTTTTCTTACTTTTTTATCCTGGTGCTACATTTAGAAAATAAAACATACACGTTTAAATGAAGACTTGACCATTTCATCTATTGTAGTACGTAATATAATCAAAAGATTCAGATAAATCTCTGCAAAAATAGGGACAAACTGATACTGGATGTTGGGCTCAAAATCACATCTATAATCCACTGTCTCTGAACACTAGTGTTGTGTTGTTCACAAATGATTCGTTCAAAAGAACCAAATCTTTTAAATGAACATACTGAACCGAATCACTTTGTCAAGTGATTTGTTCATTTCTCAGTTGAGTTGTCAGCAATGCAGCTGCGTTGCCAGGTGAGCAGGCGGCGAGCGAGGGACTGCACGCGCTGAGGCCTGAATCACTTGGTGAATGAATCATGCAGTGAACTACACTCTCTAGAATCATTTTTGTTTGAGGGGTTTCACTTATATCGCCATTGTTCCCCGTTGTTTTAACAGATTTAGTAGGACATAGTATGTTACAAGTAGTGTATAAGACCCGCAGTTTGAGAAATGCGTGACTGATCCTGTCATTGCGGCGATTTGTGAGGAAACTGTGCTTGTTCAGCGTGAATTCTTCACTGGAATCCTGGAACTCGCAGGCTCCTCTCGCCAAGCGCTGAATGATTCAGTGATTCAGTGAACGAATCTTTTGAACGAATCTTTTTAATGAACTGATTCTAGCGATTCAGTACATCTAAAAGAACTGCTGTGCCCATCACTACTGAACATATTCTGTTGCTGTATTCAGTCCATTTTAAGATCAGCTGAAGCAAAGGGGAAATCTGTTCTGTGGTCTGATGAATTTAAATTTGACATTCTCGTTGGAAATCTGGGCTGCAGCATCCTTCACACTTCAGTTTAAGAGGGGCCACCCAGCTTGTTGACACAGTATACTTCAAAAGCTAGCATCTCTAAAGGTCTGAGGATGCAGAAGGGCCCATAGCCTGAGTAGCTCACACATCTGGGGAGGCAACATATGCTGCCACCCAGATATTTTCTTTTTTTAGGTGAGGTTTAGCTCTGAGAGAATGTTAGGAGAAGTGGTGAAACAATATAAAAAAGTGGTCATTTTCTTCTCACTAGGAAAGAGACCACAAGGCTCTGAGAAAAGTATGCAGCAAAGCTAGACTAAAAAACAGACTGCTTCTGATCCCAACATCCCAACAAAAGAGAGAAATACATTGAATTGTTTTATTTAAGCCAGAAAAGCCATTATCCTGAAATCACAGCCCTCTGGAAAATCTCACATATGGAATAAAAAGAAAGCTGGTAGTGATGATGGGGTCGGGGAATACATTACGTAAAACAGGAGACTTCATTTCCCTTCTTGCGCGAGACTTGGGAGCCTGTTTTGGAAATGTAAACCAGCCCCTCTGATTCAGACAATGGAGTTCTGTGTGTGTGTGTGTGTGTGTGTGTGTGTGTGTGTGTGTGTGTGTTTGTGTGTGTGTGTGTGTGTTTATAGGCAGTAAGGCTTCAATTAACTTCGTCATTTTAATCCACCTTGAAAGAACTGGATTTAGTTTTTCTGGATATCTGATTGAAAGGAGCTTTGGGTCTGTGTATATTATCTTAATTTTGCAGTTGAATGCTTTTTAATTCAAAGCCAGACTAGCTGTGTTTACAGTGACATTTGTAACCACCTTTTTCTGCTCTTACCCGTCTTTAACTCTCTGTGCATGCTATATTCCAGACTCTACCCTTGCTTTCTTCTTTTCTGAGGTGGCATTTCACTCGCTAACACACTTTCTGACTCTACCTGTGGTTATGCAGGTTTAACTTTGGGATCATGGGCTTCTGGTTTCCCTGGTCTGTGGTGCTGCTGGTCATCGCCGCAGGCTTCTTCACCTACATCACTGTACTCGTGGTGAGGCTGATCAAAGAAATCTTACATTTACAGACATTTAAGTGACAGCTGCTTTGTTCTGAAGGAATATCGTAGTCTGACATTTTGGGACATTTTCTTTTGCTTGTGTGTGACATAGAAAATGAGGAAGAGATAAGTTGAACTTGTCTATAAGCAGCCGAAATTGTCCAAAGTTCACACGGGTGTTACAGTGTTGGGAACAATATAGCACAATAGTATAATAATTTACCTGAACCACAGCTCCCATATCACCAACATCTGAGGCCTACAATAATAAAAATGTTGATAATTTGTCAAACCAACTCATAAATCAGCTGCTGATACTGTTTATTTGGACATATTTGATTAATACTCTTTGTGAATAGATTAAAGAATGAAATAATAAATGAATAGAATAACAACACAGTTGGGTGTGTGTGTGTATTTTAATGTGTGTTATTCTTCTCTGCAGCTGCTGGCTGTGTGTTTGTTGTCAGAAGGGCAGAAGCTTTATTTACACTGGAGTCACAAGGTAAAAGTAACTGCTCATGTTTTGATATCTGAGTAAATAAAAAAAAGAGCTTTGTGCGTGTAGAAGTGAAAGACACTCTGTAAAGGATTTGAGTCGTGCAGACCGAGGCGCAACAAGCATAAGTTTGAATAGAGTCACATTTCAGCTGTAATCCTTGCATCAGATTTGCAAATGTCAGACTGATTTCATGTTTATTTTACTACCAAGACTTTATGAAACTTAAAATGTCAAATAAAGATTTGGGTCAGTACTTAAAGCAACAACCACAATCACAATCACACAACGAAACGAAAAAGTAACATTAGTATACAATTGTACTGTTGAAAATACAAGTATTAAGGGTACTAATTATTATTATTTCAGAGTAGATGTCTAAAAGAAAACTGAAATGATTCTTGATAACTGACGTGATACTTTGAATTATACGTAGACACAAATTGTTCACATCACATCTGCATTTCTTATTTGCCTCCCAAAGATCATGCTCCTGGTGAGTCTGACTTTCTCCATCGTCGCCACCGCCGTCCTGTCAGACCTCTGGAGTAAAGAGTGGAAAACATTGCTGCTTTCCTTTCAGGTGAGTCTCCTTGTCCTTTCTCCTTCCCATGAGCCTTTGCTCCCTCTTGTATTGTTTCCACTCTTGATACCTGGCTCTGCTTTCCGCGCTTACTCAGATAACCGCACCTTATCTACATGTGGGCGGAGTCTTACTGATGACAGCGCTGGCCTGGCCGATCGCTTTGCATTTCTTTCAGATGAGCAGCAGAGGTGAGCTGCACGGTTTGTGTCGTGATTTTTGACTTGTTTAAAAGCTGTGAGGATGTTTGATAATGATCATGCTCTGAAAGAATAGATGAGCAACATTTGAAAAACCCTCATCAGCCTATTTACCAGATAGATAGATAGATAGCTAGATAGATAGATAGATAGATAGATAGATAGATTAGTGGTGTGTCGGTCTTGAACGAACGGATCAAAAGAACTAGTTCTTTTTGATGAACGAAATGAACTAGTTCTCCCCCTCTAAATGACCTGTTCAATCCGTTCAGTTCTTTTGATTGGCTGAAGAGGGACTGCTTGCCTGTCTTATCCTATCGTCGCGCCTCGTTCTGTGTGTGGGTGGGGCTTAGAGAAGCAGCAGCAGTACTACTGAGCTGACTGAAAGACCGGGATGACCGAGTTGACTGAAAGAACGGGTCAAATGAACGAAAGACCTAGTTAACTGAAAGAACGGGTCAAATGAACGAAAGACCGAGTTGAACGAAAGATCCAGACCGATGAACGAGTTGAACGAAAGACCGAGTGAACGAAAGACCCAGACGGATGAACGAGTTGACTGAAAGACCGAGTTGAGTGGCCGCCGCGACGACGACGACGAGCGGACTGACAAATGACAGATTGACCGAAATGACCGAAAAGAACGAAATGAACGGGTCTTTTTACTGAACGACCCGGAATGATCCGGTTCACTGAAATGACCGGTTTTGCCCACCACTAAGATAGATACTTTATTAATCCCCACATAGGTAAATTCAGTTGTCATTCAGTAGCAAGTATGGATGTAAGAAAGACAATAAGTATATATAAAAATACTCTAAAAGCCCATGACTTAAACCCCCCACATATTTAATTCAACAATGGAAATACTGACTCTGCCTATTTATAACTTATTTGTGACCTGGAAAATCTATCAGGCCATCTCTACTTTTAAATCTCCTGGAAAACAATATCCAGACCTGTGAGTCAACCCAGCTGTCCCCAGAAGTGTGCAAATGTATGCAAATCTTCCTACCTGCACTGTATCTCAATGGATGCTTTATTAAAAGATTTCAACCCTTGTGCAGCAGGCATGAAATAGATCTGTTCCTAAGAGCTTGAAGTATTGTCAGTGTCAAAATACAGGGGAAAAAAAACAAGAAAGTTCCGCTATTTTTAGGTTTGTTTTCGAGTAAAAAGTAAGATATCGTTTCCTTGTGTGCCAGATTCCTCACCGCTCCAAAATAAAACAGTTTATAAACTTCTTTTCTCCGCAGAAACCGGTGTTTACTTACAGCTCTCACGTGTCCTGGCATCATCACCACCATTCACTCACATTTCTGCTGGGTGACGTTACGCCACTCTCAGCACCAAAATTCAGGAGGCTCTGCTTTGCTCATTGGCGGTCACTGAATCAGCACCTCATCTTGAGAAAAAGAGAAAGAGGAGTCTGTGCTCAACAGAAGGACTCCTACGCATGTAGAGATGCTGATCTATGCAAAAATACAGAGCAGTCTCTTAATTTTCATGTTATGACTTAAAATCCAAAGCTCAAAAATCAACGTGAGTAAAATAAAAGTATTTGCATCACGAAGAGCCAAAAGTAAAAAGCAGTCGCTATGAAAGGGGCAGATCAGACTTGGTAGAAACAGGGCATAAGATTTATAAATGTATGTTTTGTTTTTGTTTGTTTTTAAACATATAATGAGACTTTTTATACCCACTAAAGGAGAAAGTCCCCCCTAAAGTGAAGACCACCATCTTGCACTCTCATTATTTAAACCTACAAATGTATGTGTCCTGTGTGTGTTTCAGTGAGGCGGGCTCTGATCCTGGGTTTATTCCTGAGCCTCCTGTCTGCCCTCTACTTGGTGCCCCTCGGTATGTATTCTCCTTGTATCAAAGAGGACAAGACCCTGGGCCCCAAACCGGCCCTCATCGGCCACAGAGGAGCGCCAATGGTGAGAAAGAGGCAAAAAAATAACCAACAGGGTCTTAAATTCTCGTGTTTTTGAATTTTCTTTGTGATGTTGTTGAAGTTAAAAAAACAGAAACCCACGCAGATTATCTGTTCAGACCATGAGGGCCTCCTCCTTCACAACAGGAACTCAGCTCACATCCTTCCTGTCCTAGATGTTTACAATCCTCAGACATTGTTTCTACTTTATATAAATAATACAGTAAATGAAGTATGTCTCATATTTATATCGACTACAGCTATATCGAGCAGTGTGCACGATCAGAATAAGGATATTTGTACCTAAAAGCTGCTCTATAACAACTATAACTTGACCTTATTCCCCTCAGGATCTTTAAAGTCAGTCTAACGTTGTCGTTTGGTGTCACTTTATGTGCAGCTCGCTCCAGAAAACACTCTGATGTCTTTTGAGAAGGCGGTAGATGCAGGAAGTGAAGGTCTGGAAACGGATGTCACGATCAGGTCAGTCAGCAGCTGAGTAGAAAAATGGATTTCTGGGATGTTAACTTTTTACGTCGGGTTTTGACTGGTGCTTACTGGCTGATATTCATCTAATAGTGATTAGTGATAATCTAATTAAGTATACGTGTCCAATTTTACATGAGACTGCACAGTATGTCGCAGTAATAAACGGAAAACTGCAAATACAAAGCGTCTTCTCCTTTTTTTTTTTTTACAACATAGTCATGCTGTGTTTTTCCTTTCCTTTAGCTCTGACGGAGTCCCCTTCCTCATGCATGACCAGACTCTGAGACGAACTACCAACATACACGAGGTTTACCCCAACAAGACCGACCATCCAGCCGCCATGTTCACCTGGACTGAACTGGAGAGCCTGAACGCCGGGGCGTGGTTCCTCTCTGTGAGTCACACACAGTGAAAATCCTGCTGTAAACCATAACATCTGTGGAGAATCTGAGACCATCTTTCACTTTTGACACTTGAAAAAGTGAATAATTTCTTTGCGCATTTAAAAAAATCTGATTATTGTCAATTTAAATGAATGTTTTACATCGAAAATAAATCAAGTTATCACTGTTCTAACATAACTGATTAATAATCTGAGACTTTTTTCTTGATAACCTGATTTTTCTGGGATGCACAAGTACACGGGTGGCCTGTGTTTAAAAAGTTATAAAGCGACAGAAACAGAAGTAGGTAGTGAGTTAAATTACAAAACATGATCAATATGCAAAAACTCCATCACATCAGCTGTTCCACAGAATCAGCTGTCAGATGAGGAACACTTTGTCCTGCCTGTTGCATCACAGTATTGATAAGATATTGATCTCTATCCATTTCAGCATGATCCGTTTGGCACAGCCGGCTCTCTGAGTGCAGACGACAGACTGCAGGCAGAGAAACAGTCGGTCTGCAGCCTTCAGGACTTCCTCCAGCTGGCTGCTCAGAAAGAGAAACTGGTGATCTTTGACCTGTACCGTCCCCCCAGAGGTCACCCCTACAGAGACACGTGGATCCAACGAACGCTGGAGGTCATAAAGAACGAGTCGTCCATCCTTTCCTCTCAGGTGAGGACGACAGCAGCGTGAGGGGGCGGAGCTTAAATCATCGTTAGAAAAATTATGTTTACATTTTCAACAGAAGTTTATTAGTCAAAGAGGTCAACGAAACACTATCAGTTTTTCCACATCAACTAACAGCAACATGTCAATAATCCCTGTTTACTGCATGCCTCTGCTGCCCCCAAGTGGCCAAAATATTAAGTTGCAGCTTTAAATCATAACTGATTATTTTTATTACTCACTAAACTTGAGAAGTATGATGAACATTTTTTTTAAAACGACTTCTAAAAGCCAAAAGACTATGAAAATACTCAAAAATATACATATAAATAAAGTTTTATGTCTTTTTGTCTGCTGTTAAATTGTATTTTGTTTTGCAGATCAGTACACGTCCCTTTTTTATCATCTTAGATTACTGCAATGACTTTATTCCTTTTTTTCACAACTTTTGAAAAAGATTTTTGACACTTAACAAAACTTGAAGTGCTGACTAATACTTGACTGTACTTGACAGTTTTATTGCAGCTGAAAGAACTAGAGATGAACTAGAGATAGCGAATAAAACCTCATAAAGTTTTTACTCCTTCTTTCGATTTAAGCCGGAAAAGTTTCAAAGCTTCGAAGCTTGAAACTTGGCGAACATGTTGACATCTGGTGGCTTTTAAATGATGGTCTTGGCGCCAATACACCTCCTGATCTGTCTGAGCATGCACCTTTTTAAATGAAACTATTTGTATATCTGCTTTTTCCCAGACAGCGTTCATACTTCAAGTTTGTGCCTTGCCTTTTGCTCCTAACTTTGGTATCCATGCAGCCATCCAAGTAGGCAGGGACGCCGTGATAATGAGCTGCTGCTCTGATTAGCTGCCTGGAAGTTATGTAAGAGGGGGAGAGTGGAAACCATTGGTTGAAAAGTTTGTGAAGAGCTCTTGAAGAAGCTGGACTTGGGCTGAGATTGTGTTCTTTTGATTTGAGCTTTGAAGTACTGTTGACCTCTGACTCTCCTCTGCACTTTGACTTTATCATTTAATGGTTAATAATACTCATCACTTGTTATGTTTATGTTTTGTGGCACTGTTCCTGTCCCTCGCACTGTCCATTTGTGTAACATGTGCAGGGGAAATCGCTAAAACAAGTTCCTATTATGTCTTTTCTTGCACAAATGGCGATAAATATTTTCTGATTCTGATTCTCTCTCTGTTTCTTTCCAGGTGCTGTGGCTGCCCTCAGACCTGCGCGCTCTGGTCCAGGAGATGGATCCTGACCTCCAGCAGACATCAGGCAGTCGGCTCCCTCTAGAGGAGCTGCAGAGCAACAACATCGTCAAACTCAACCTACACTACAGCCATATGTCCTCTCAGCTCGTCAGGTACCACTAAATGTGCGTGTGTGTGTGTGTTTGAGTGTGTTTTTACACTCTGTAGCTCACTATGTCTCTTTTATAACGTGTATGCAGAGAGTATGCTGCGGTGAACATTAGCACTAACCTGTATGTGATAAGTCAGCCGTGGCTCTTCTCTCTGGCCTGGTGCTGTGGAGTTCAGTCCATCACCACCAACAACCCACAACTCCTCAGCACCATGAAGTCACCTCTACTCCTCATGGTAACTCTCCAGATACAGTACAAGCTCTCACTTCAGTCCATCTGATAATTTGCCTGTCTGGTAGAAGACTGAACTAAACTAAACTGAACTAAACCCTGTTTTTATCCCGCAGAGTCCTGATGAGTACAGCTTGATGTGGATTCTTACTGATGTGGTTTCCCTCATGTTGATCCTCAGCATCTTCTTCTTTCACTGGTATTTCACACAAGTATTAAGTGATCATTTATGTAAGATAGAAAGCAGCAGCGATCATCTCGATGTTATGTTCACGCTGTGTTTGCTCGTCAGGTGGAGAGAGCGAAGACTGGCTGACTACTCAGGGGTCAAAATCACCGCGGAGAACGGGACTTACAGCAAGTTCAGAACAGGTGAGCCAACATGAGGCAGAGACAGAGATACTGTGATTCCTTTCAGCACCTACTCCACTGTTCTTATTTATAGAAATTTAAGTCCTTTTGTGATTGAAATCCAACATCATTTCTGTATCTCTCATATGTCGTAGAGCTGAGTGATATCTGGTCGGTCTCCAGCGCCAACTCTCAGGCAGAGAAGATGCACAACTTGGCAGCTGTGACCGAGCACTGATGTCCGTGTTTTAGAGTAGCCAACACCTGAGCCACATACTGCCAAAATTCTACAATCTCTGAAAAAACAATTACTTTGAAGTGCTCTTTGTTTGAATTAAAAGGATGCAAACTATTTGTTTCTTTCTGAGTTTTTCATTTCCATCATGACAAACAGAGTTGGATTGTCGCTTCATTTAGATGGAAGAGACCCACTGAGGTGAACTTGGTAAACTCTGAACCAGAATTCAATATTTTTTTTAAACTGAAGAAAAAAATAAACCTTTTCTCCCACAAATCTGACCTTTACTTAGAATTCTCGGCTTCCTCTGAATTCTTACTTTTTATTCAGACTTTTCTCGAGGATTCCTTTCAGACTTTTTCCCCTAAATGCGGACTCATCCTAGAAATCTGACTTTTCACCAAGATACAAGAACTTAAATGATCCCCTTCTGGACTTTTCTGAAGACTTTTTTGAGAATTTAGAATTGATTCTTTTTCATTTTAGACTCTCTTCTTTAACCCTTTATTGGCCTTTGTATCGTATTTGATACATACTTTTATGATACCGCTATCAAATCAATACGATGGAAAAAATAACAAAAAAAATCATCAGAGTACAGTCTGATAAATGTTAAAAATCTCTTTTGGTTTATCAGTTTTCAAAAACATCTAATGCATCAAATGAGACACATAAATATATTTGTTAAATTTTAAGGACATTTAGATTTTTTTGTTTTTCGGTAGTAAGTGAAATAAACATTTTAGCTCCAAAAAATTTTTAACTTTCTAGGCATAATTTGTGGTTTCAGGCATTAAAGGGTTAAATTCTGATTCCTGACCTTTTTTTCCTGAAATCTCAACAGAGTTCAGTTTTCTTTCAAAATTTGGACTTTTTTAGAAATCTGAATTTTTTAAAAATTTATACTTTCCTTTGAATTTGGATTTTTTTCCCCCTAAAAATTTCTGATGTGTCTATTCAGAGTTGGATTTTTTTTTCTTTGAAATGTGACTTTTTCTCTGATTTTTTACACTGTTCCTTTTGTTTCTGTCATTAGTTTAATGACATTTCTTCAAAGGTAAAACTGTTTTTTAAAATTCTGACTCTTTCTAGAGTTCTGACTTTCATAAAAACTATGGAATATTTTTATAAATTTGACTTTTTTTTTTTTAAACCTTGACTCATGGACTTCTGACTTTTCTCCTGAACTCAACTTGTCTTCAGATTTCTGACTCCTGCATTGATTTGACTTCTTCTTAGAAAAAAGGTCAGATCTCATAACTTCTCTGTTTCTTTTTGTAAAATGTTGTTTATTTTTGTCTACATTTGTAAATATGGTCACATGGGTGGAATATTTCCTCCTTCATATAAACAGAAAACTGATTATGACTTTTGCTTAAAAATCAACACTAATGGTTTATACATTTAGAAAAAAAAAATACACAAATGAGCCCAATATCAGTCTACACCTACAGACTGTTAACATCGGCCTGTTGTTAAATCTACTGTGGATCCAAACTTAAAGAGAAACTAACTGTCTTTGAACTTTGTGGCACACGTTCAGTCCATGTCCTCGCTCATGCATGACTAATAAAGCAATAAAAAAAATTACCAGATTGTGTTTTTAAATAGGTTCAAATCTGCACCACTTCACAGCACTGGAGTTTGTTCTTGGAGAGATGTGATCTTCAGGAGGATGTATTCTAAAGGAAGTCATTACTTAAGGATGTCTTTTTGACTTAAAATAACTCTAAGAATAAATAAATCTAAGATGGAGCTATGTAAAAGAAAAACAAGAATTAAGACGTCTGTTTGAGGGGATTTGGTGGACTGCTTATCTTTTCTCACAATAGTTTAAGCAAGAAAGACTTTTTTAATAAACAGACAGAGGCGACGTTAAACCATCTCAATCACTCATTAAAGTGGAGGAAAAATAACCCTGTTTACTCTTAGTTTTAAAACACAGCAATGCTGATCAGAACCATTAGGAATCATTTCCCGGCTTTCATCCAATTATGTTATCTACTTGATTCTGATTGGTCTAAACACCTTGGCAACGGTTATTAACCTATCACCATAGATATTTTATAAGCCTATCCCACCAAATAAAGAGACGTGCAGATCGAGTCAGTATTGGGTCGGTCCATCAGAGACCATATCGAGACGTCAGTGCGACGTGCAAAATAGGTTAGAAATTTAGACGTCATTATTGGACCTCTTTTAGACGTTGAAATGAAGTCCAGATTTGTACCTCATCGTTGAAAAAATACGTTAAATAGATGTCATTTCGACATCGCAATGCGCAGTGGGATGTATGCCTATCAATGCATAACAAGTGCAACGCCACAGAAGTTAAGTCAAATCAATCCGCTTAAAGTAGTTCTGGCATATTTGACTTCCGCTTGTGGGTGAAATTCGACTAGTTTTTCATAAGAAATCCTCTCCTGATTTTTGCATCAGCATGCCAATGATTCGGTCTAGTTTTCAGACTCTCACATGACATTACTCTTAGATAATATTTGCCAGTTTAGTGGTACCAATTTAGTTCACAAATGACTTCTTTCAGCTAGTTATTTCCCACTGCGTCCATCTGATAAAATAATAATCTCATTCATTAGAGATCAGAGATTAGCTTTAGATTAGCTTTGCTTCACACCTATCTTCTTGTGTTTAGCTCACTCATTTAAAACCAAGCGTAAACAGGGTCACAGTGGTGTTAAAGTCTGTCTGAAAAGTCTAAAGATTGTCAAGTTTCGCAGCACTTCCCAATACCTGGTTGATAAACAAGTAAAACTAACTCGCAGCTAACAGCGACTGAAATTCAAATTGCCAAAGGTGGAAAAAAGATAATTCAAAGGCAAAGTAGGTGAGTTTTAAGACAGGGCCAATAAATATCAACATGAATGAAAACACAACATCAGCATCACAGTGAAATGCCTCGAAGATCACAAGAGGGGCGATTGTGAATGAATGCACGTTTGTTTCCATGTATGAATGAGTGAATTGATCGACTGTGGTGGAGTTTATTTGCTGTTTCCTCGGGAGCTTCTTTGTTTGGTCATGGTTGTCAGCATCTGGCTGATGTACGAGGTCAGGAGGTCGTCCATTTTGTAGCCCTGGTGGGTTAAATGACACCGTCAGACATACTGTAGTGAATGCAGTATGTAATATGAAAGGTGATAAATGATTGTCACCTTACTACCTTTTTCAAAATCACATTAATGTCAGTGTCTCACCAGTGAGGTCTCGCACAGCAGTTTACTGCCTCGGACCAGGTTTCCAATGGTGATGTGGAAGTACGTGTTTCCACTGCTCCAGTTGGAGATCTTTGTGAAGGGGTGAGTGGTGAGGATGTCCTGTGAGAAAAACAACCAGAAGGGTGAACACAGAAGACCTTCAGTATTAAATATTCCCTGGACTGACAGCTGAGTCCTGAGTTTCAGAGCTTTCCAGAGGTTTTTTGAAAAACTGCAAAAACATTTTCCGTCTGTGACTCGTCGTTGGTGCTATCATGAAAAAGCAAAACTCAAAAACTGTTACCAAATATCAAAGAAACTTTATTTTATGGCAGTTCTTTAAGTAAATATATGTCCCAAACATATAAAACTGCTGTTGCATAAATTTTATTATTTCTTTTTAAATTTTTACTTCATTCACTGATTAAAATCAAAACAATTCAATATATAGTGTACAAAGAACTTAAAAAACAACAACACAAAAAACAGCAATAAAGATAAAAATAATCATGATAATACAATAGATATCAAACACAGGCTGCACAAATATCTTCAGAAACACACCGACAAAGAACAAACATCTGTAAGTTTGCCACCTAAACAGCACAAATGCACCTCTATTTGTATTTTCAAAGGAAATCTTGTCAAAACAATCTGATATCACGTCTTCACATATTCGTGTGTGTGATAAATCCGGACTCACCTTCGATTTGGGATCAATTAAACTGACTCCATGTTTGTTAATAGCTATCAGGAGGGTTTCTGGGTAATTTGGATCAGTGGATTGCTGCAGAAAGAGCAAAAGAGGACAGACGTTATCACAGAGATACTTTCATAGATTTACTCAAGCACTACTGAAGTACAGTTTGATGAACATTTCAACTTTTTGACTTTTGTTTAAGGCAAATCCAATTCTGAAATGCATAAGAAATAGTTTTCCTGTTGGAGTGAAGCTACGTTATGATGTTTGTACTCAGTGAAAAGTTTGAGAGATTTTAATATCTACTGCTAAACACACAAAAAAGCGAAATCATCAGAGTGTTTCGAACTGAGGTGTGAAATCTTCACCTTGATTTCAAAGAAGGCAGAACCAAACGTGGGCCATTTGTAAATGATTTTGAGGAAGGCGAGTTTGGCGTCTTCTCGGGTTTTTCCTGAGTGCTTGTTGAACAGCAGCATGATGGACTGAGAGAGAGAGACACAAGGAATTATAGAAACTTAACAGAGATTATAAAGGTCTGAATTTGAAAAAAACAGTGTGATGTGAATCGGATGGTAAAGAGAGGCAGTGAGGAAGTAGGGTTTCCAGAAAACTCAGTGCTGTGCTGATGTTTCCCCCATAATAACTTTAATGTTCCCCTATTTTTTCCTCTGGCTTCACTATCTAGTCAGATTTTTAACGTGTCCGGTAGTTTAAGTAATTAAACATTTACTCAGTGGCCTCAGATGTGCAGTTTTTTTTATGAGGTAAGATCAGAGCTGATATGTGTCTGGAGGAAATGGATGTGCAAATAAAAATCATCAACACAGTGAAGTTGCAAAAACACGTCTAAAACAAAGTGCTATGATTTATTTGTATTTTCTATCACTGCTGCAGTCTGTTTGTGTCCTGTCTTTGTCTGGTTAGTTAACTGCTGGATGCCTGAATTTTTCCAGCACTCACTGAGACAAGTTGAAGTCCTCAATTAATCCCAAATAAAAGTTTGACTAAAAGGCCCCCTTTTTTTCACCGTGTGACTGCTTTCACGTTTGGGTCAATTTCTTAATGAACTGCTCAGTCTGAAGCCATAAATTTCAATGTCTCGGCTCACCCTCTTCCAGTCTTCAGGGGACAGATGTCTGATCTGATCCTGAGGGACGAGCTCCTTAAGGATCTTGGCGATATTGTGAAAGTGGGATTTATCCTCCTCAAACTTCACCCTGTAGATTAGCGCCCCCAGCTGGTACACCTCCTCCCTTGTACACTTGTGGTAGCCCCGCAGATACTTAGGCAGCTCCTGTGGACCAAAGACATACTTGGAGTTTCAGATCGTATGTTAGCATCTGTTCTTAATTAGCAGCTGCCTTTAATTAGAGGCAGCTGGCTTTAATTAGAGGCAGCTGCTCTAATTAGAGTTTGGACTTTCACATGATTACCTAATTACTTTGAACTTCTGCAGATGAGACTTACTTGATAATAATGGAAGATTGAGTCAGCCATGGAGTCTTTCCCAGGAACAGTGTTAGTCCACAGCTTCTTCATGAAAAACACCTGATAGGTCAGTGAAGGCACCACACCTGAACAGCCAACACACACACAGAGGTGATGAAGAGTAACAGGAGGATACACCAATCAGAAGATACACAACACATGAAATACACAGCTCTTTGTAAAGGTAATAATTTGTTTTTTGCTAGTTTAATTCATCAAAGTTTTTTAGTTTATACTTTTATTTTGATAACTGTTTTAATATTTGTTTTTAATTTTATTTTTAAAGGATAGTTTACGATTCGAAGGAGGTTTAACTTTCCATTTGCCCCAGATCAACTTTAGTGATTGGGCTGTTAAATTTGTCAGCTTGATTTATCTTCAGCTTTTCCAATTTTATTATTTTTAATTTTATTCATTTTTAATTGGGAATTTTGAGTAGTAGAATATTACATAAGATATGCTAAATAACAAACACGCATTCTTTAGATCGCTCAAAAGCGGTAATAATAATTTTTGAGGGCAAGTTTCAATGTTACTTTGTATTTTTGGTCCAGTGAGCTCTCTGTACTGGTCCCTTACAGTTTTAAAAGTTTACAACTCGTGCTAGAGTCAATAACTGACACCCATTGCACTGTATAGCTTAAAGAATATTAATAACTTAATTATTTATTTTTATTTAGCCCCTATGGGAAATTCAAATTTTTTTAATTATTATTTTTTCATACTATATTATTAAATTTTTTAATATTTAATAATTTGGATATCTGACAAGAATAAAGCCCCTAAAGAAGAATAATTCTTCGTTTACCGTCTTTCACATGTCTGGCCTTCTTGATCCAGTCAGTCAGGTGTCTCACAAAGTCAAAGAAGAAGTCGCCATCGGGCACACTGATGACCTGCAAAACCATTAAATCATACACTTTCATTCTGTTTGAAGAAATGCATGCAACATATTTTCTCTGCAACTGGTGACTAAGAAGAAACTAGAACAATTCAAAACTCATCAACAAAGATCGAGCCGTGTGTTTGCTTTATTTGTTTTATCTGCACTTTCTAAAGATGAAAAAACTCCTGCAATCTCTGCAAAGATGTTTATTGCGTAGGGTGACCATATGTCCTCTTTTTTGGGGGCTGTCCGGCCTTGTCCAGCTTTGTCCAGGGAAGTTTATAAAATCCTTTTAATGTCCGCGGTTCAGTATGTAAGTTTCGATTTTGTGTCAGTTGGACTTACTGAGTTAGAAGCGTGTAAATGACACTTGATCCGACTCGAAAAACTCTCAAAATTAACTTCTTGTGACTCTCGGACTCTGCCCCCCACGTAGTTGTGTCCCCTTTTTGGGAAGTCAGAATATGGTCACCCTAAAATAATTTAGTTTTTCATTCACCTTGTCTGTGATCTTCACAAAAAGACTGAAGCCGTCAGCAGACTTGAGCATCAGGCGTCCAGAGATGTTGTGGCAGAAGTCTTTGGCCTTGGTGCTCGACTCCACTTCAAACACCTGCGAGCAAAAATAAACAAGAACCGACACCAAGGCTCACATATGAAACACAATAAAAAAAGACAGAAAATAAGAAATAAAACAAGATAAATTGTGTTCATAAGAAAATGTATTCACAGAAACAGGTGAAGGGAGGTGCAGAGCGTTGATGAAGTTGAGTCAAAACCAGAAGCTGCAGGTTAGTTATGCGTATTAACTCTTTCAGGTGTTTACCTTAAATAATCAATATAAAACCAAACAGAAAAAAACAAGCACAGGCCTCTTAAACATATCAGTGTAGCCCATGCAGTTAACAGTAAAAAAATGACGGTAATGTGACCTCGTCAGAGTCGTCAGGAAAGTAAACTTTGTGGAAGATCTGAGTGGTTTTGTGCTGGATGGCCTCCACCTCCACCAGGTGAGGGGGGTATTTTCTCGATCCATTCCTGTTATAAAGAACAGAGAGGAGACATGACATGAATGTGAGCTGGAGAAAACTCAATCTGAAAGTGTGTGTGTGAGTCTGTGTAAGTGTGTGTTTGTGTTACCGTAACGCTTTCTGTAGCCGCTGCATGCAGTCTGGAGCGAGCGGGTAGTGTTTCTTAGCCTGCAGGTATCTCTGGACGTGAGGCAGCAGGGTGTTACTGGGAGGAAACAAACCAGTGCAGAGCCACAGCAGCTCCCAACCTTTCTCCTCACTGTACCTGCAGAAACACAAAAATGACAAATAACTGGTCCAAATGATAAAATGTGGTAAGTAAACAAGTGTTTTTGTGTGTTTATTTCACTCGTACTTGATGTGATTATCCGTGAGCTGCTTCAGAATCTGACAGAAGATCTCATCTTTAAGCGGCTCGGCCTTCAGCGCTCCCTCAAAGATCTGATCGGTGAGCTCGTTGACTGAACGCACTCGTTTAGACGGATAGTCGCCCATGTACTTCATGATGGGTGGAGCGGAGGTCAAGGACGTAAAACCATGAGACAGAAAGAAAGACTGGACCCTGTCAGCTGGTACAGCAAAAATGATATGATATATGACACTATGAGAAATGAAACAAAGAAAAAAAAAGTTAAATTCTCATAATTTTCTGGTGTTCTGGTAAAAAGGAAGAAAAAAAAACACAAACTGAAAGTCTTTAAATGAAAATTTCTCATGTGCTGTTTCTAAAGGATATCCATGAAGGCCAAACAGGCCTCCTGGGAGAGCTCGTCGTGAGCCAACACTTTCTTCAGCAGAGGCTGTTTGATTGGTTCCCTCGCGCAGCTCCACAGGCGCTCTTTTCCTCTGGACTTAGAGATCATCACCCGGCTCAGAGTGCTCTTAGGAGGAGGTCTGCAAGACGGGTCAGAATTGGTTCAACACAGAAACTATACTAAAGAGTATTGATCTCTCTATCAACCGATATCTGTAAGTATACTTAACATATTTCAACTTCTTCCTCAGAGAATAAGGAAAAAACGGGAAGAATAGACACACCTGAAGTAGTCGTAGGAGAATTCCTCCAGCGTGTAGGCTTTTGTTTTGTCCTCTTTGTCAGAAAGGTTCATCTGGGACACACCGATAGATTCACGTCTCTGATCAGGAGTCATCGTCACCAGAGCCTGAGAGAGAAAGACGAACGTTAGCATCATGAAACCACATTATTCATTCTTATGATTACACGTTTAGTAAAATGCATCCAACGGTGATTTCAGCTTATTAGAACGGCTGCTTTAAATCTGAACCGAAATCCTGCTGACTTCTGAAGAGGTCACATGTCACCTTATATCTATGTTCTCCTTTGACTTGTAACGTAACAACCATAAAAGCTTTAACTTGCACGGATATGCATGTAACAAAAGGCTGCATGACTGTTGATTAGGAAATTATAAATAAATGTGGTTTTACTATCTTGCAGCTGTTAACAAAGGATTTCAAAACTCCATAAATGAGACCAAAACATTCGAAAACCGATGAGGCTCCACCCACCACTATGTCATACTGCGGTCTGGTGATGCTGGGTAACACATAGACACACTCAGCGGGGAAGTCTCCTCTCTGTTTGGTCCTGTCATTGATGCCGTGAGCCCAGCCGGAGTTCATCACATGCTCCCCGCTGTGGTCATCCAGGATGATCAGGTCTCCTTTAGTGAAACTCAAGAATGTGGAATCTGCCCCCGCTGCAACACGACAACGACACTTTCAGACACTTCATAATCACCTCAATACAGCAGCAGCAGTTTGAAAAATCAATGATGGTAAATCTCACCAGGGTTGGGACAGTCCAGCAGTCCCACCACATACTTGGACCTCTTCCTCAGACCGTCCAGGAAGGTGACCACCAGGTCCTTGATGTCCTCTGCGTTGTTGGAGGTGAAGGTGTACTCGTCTCCTTTGATGGTGGACAAGGTGAAACTCTGGCCCTGAAGTTTGCCTCCTCTGGAAAGTGAAATTTTACTTTTCACCATTGATGGAGAAACGAACATGAGTCGTCATTTAGTACTCGTACCTCTTGAAGGTTTAAAGACAAAAACATGAAACTGGAGAGAGGTTTGCAGGGATGCACTCTTTGAGCTCTCTGAAAACTGTATCTCCTCTGCGGACGATAGAAACCACCCCTTTTATGTTACAAGTGATCACGTTGTCAGTTGTTAAACACTTCCTTCTTTGTGCGCTACATTACTTACAGCCCAATCAGTAATTTTTTACTGAGAAGTACAGAGGCTTCATTCTGGTTACTTCAGCGGTAAGAGCCCCTCCAAAATTATTTTTAGAAATTGTCTGGATGCAGATTTGTAGGAGGTTAATAGTCCAGTTTTGTCAGGTCTGTCCTAAAGAGGGAAAGAAATCATTTCTGTTTCTGGTGTTCATCCTTCAGTGAATTTCGTCATCAACTCCTTTATTTTTAAGGCTACAGAGGCCTTCATCACAGGGAAGCATACTTTCATTTTGATTCTGTAGCCCTGCACATGATTGCTTTTACCTCATACCTTAATACCTTATGAGCCGACTCGCAGCCTCAGATCCTCTGGCGAAGGCCTCCTGGTCGCTCCAAAGTCAAAGCTCTAAACTAAAGGTGATCGATCTTTCTCCATCAGAGCTCCTCCTGATCATTTTTGTTATTCCATTTTATCATTACTATTACCGTCATTATTATTTTATTATCATTATTAATATCCTCTTTTATATCTACTATCCCGTTTCCTTCTTTCCACCCCCTTTTTTATTACATTTCTTTTTCGTACCTATTTTATGTTTTTATTTCGGTCTTCATGGTCTCATTTTATGTTGTTGTGTTCTTGTATTGTCTGGGTTTCTTATGACGAATGAAATTGGCCTTCAATTCAGAGGTCTTGTTTTTAACTGAGCTTTTGTTTTTATTGTGATGATGTTCTGTGCTTTACGACCGTTTGTCAAAGCACTTTGTAAACTTCTGTTTTTAAAAGTGCTTTAAAAATAAAGTTATCATTATTATTATTATTATTATTATTATTATTATTATTATTATAAAAAAGTAAAATTTGACTTGAATGATCCTCTGAGTGCCTCAGACCTTCAGAGAAGTTTGTACCTGGATCTGGACCTGGAAAGACTCTTATTTTTAACCTTTTCCACACTTCCTGCTCCCATTTTATTTTCAAATATCTCAGATGATCTCACCTGCTGCTTGACACCGCAGTGATCTCTGGGAACGAGAGCTCCAGGAGAACCTGCTCCTGTTCGTCCACAAAGTAAACTCCGGTCCAGTTCACCGCCACGATCACGTCATTCTTCGGCAGACTGGGACCTGAGGACAAAAGAGGAGTTGCATCCATAAGAATACCGTCAGAGCTGAGTCCATATCAGACTGTTCGAGGTGTTTTGTCACCTACCTGAGAATTTAAAGGCCTCGTAGAAGCGCGAGAAGAGTAAAGGCCACTTTAAACGAGCGAAATCCACCACGTCCTCCTTCACCCTCTGCATGTTCTGCCTCCGTTTGTTGTGTAATCCCTGCACATGTCAGCTGCGGTTAGTGATTGCAGTAATTGCTGGGTCAGTTTATTTCATGTAACAGCAGTGCAGGTAATTTAAAGATGCCCCTGACAGTAATCCTATGCAGAATCAAGCCATGAGGAGCTATCTTGGGGTGCATAAATACTCTGTTAAGTGGGCTTAGATAGAGGTTGGTGCATAGAAGTCTTCTCTGAAGTATACATGTGGATTAGTTTGACTGTGGAGCTGGCGTGCTTTGTTTTCTCCACTTTATTTCAGGAGTCACGTCATATCCAACAAAAGCAATAGGAGGAGGTGATCCGGGACGAGCTAAGCTTATTAAGACCGAGCAGGGAATACCAGCTGCTCAGTTAAGATCGACCTCTTCAGCTATAAGAGCGAACAAGTGTCCGTGTTTGTCGTCTGCTGCAGCTGGTACCTTTTTGTGGGCACTGATGATGAGCTGAGCCCACTTCTCGGCAGTCTTAGTCGAGGTGATCTCTCTGTCAGGGATGTAGGAGGGGATGAGGCTGAGCAGGCGATCCTGGAGGATCTCAGAGCCGTAATCCACATAATACTGCTGGGAGGCCAGCTCTGCCAAGTCCTCCTCCTTTTGATACAGCAAAGAGAGAGAGAGAGAGAGAGAGAGAGAGAGGGCATCACAAGAAAAATTATCATTATGGGAAAAATCATGACCAGTGCATTAAAGAGGAAACTTATGTAAAAGGTGATTCCTATTACAACATGAGGACAAGGAAGCCAATGAGGACCAAACTCACTGCACCTGGTCTGTTTGTGCAAATATAGAAAATATCTATAAAAAAATAAAATAAAAAAGTCAGCGTTTTTACCACTGGAAAAATTAACCATGGAAAAATACAATTGTGGTTATATCTTTCAAGATTTGTGGTTTCCGTTATTTTCAAAATTGGAGAATTTCTTTAAGAGAGACCAATGATTATTTGTAATTCAGTATGTATGCATTTGTATGTATGTATTTGTATGAATATGTTCATATATATTATCTACATGTAAACACATTTGGATGAAGTTTATTGATATCATTGTTGTTGCCTTTTTTCTGTTTTTACTATTTTTTATTTATTTATTTTTAATTATTTTTCTTGTTTTGTTCCTCTTTAATGTACTTGTCTGATTCTGTACTCTTTATTTAGTCATTTATTTATGTATATTTAATTTTTTTGCTTTCTCTTCTATATCCCTAGGGAATAATGGGGAGGGTAGGAAATTATGTGGTTAAAACAAAAAACAAAAAAAACAGTCATTTTCCTTGGTTGTTATATTATTGTGAAATAAAAAAAGATGTTTAGAAATAAAAAGAAAACATCTATATTTAGAAATAAACTCAAGTAGTTAAGAGAAAAAGCATTAAAATATCTTTCCTCCAACAGTGAGAGCACTTCAACAAAAATCAAACTCAGTGAATTTATGTTTGGTTTTTCTCCTAATCTTGTTTTTTGTTGTTGTTTTTTAGTGTTTTTTTTCTTTTCATGATGCTTATATGTTTTTATGTCTGTTTTTTGTTGTTTGTTTGTCCTGTCATGCGTATTTTCATTATATCTTTGTTTATTCGTTGTTCTACTTGAATGAAATGGAAAAATTCAATAAAAAAAATTGATCACGACAAAAAATGAATAAATAGATTAAAAAAACTCACATTATTGGTAAATTTTCAGCACAATAATAATAATAATAACAATAACAGAGCCTTCTCAGTCACTGCCCCCACCCTATGGAACTCACTCCCACTGGACCTCAGAAATTGCTCCAACCTTACCAAATTCAAAACCCAGCTCAAAACTCACCTTTTCCGCACTGCTTTTAATCTTCCTTAGCCCCCCCCCCCCCCCCCCCCCTGATTGTTGATTTTACCTGATTTTACTTGATTTTAATTGATATTGATGTATTTTATTGTATATTGATGTATTTTTATTGAATACTGATATTTGATTTTAGCTATGTACAGCGTCTTTGAGTCTCTGAAAAGCGCTCAACAAATAAAATGTATTATTATTATTATAAACAACCTTAATAACCCAAAACGCAGAGGGCAACATCTGTATTTGTGTCCCTGAAGATGCTTTTTGAGGTTTTTTTTGTCATCAGGGATACAGCGAGTAACTGTGTCCACTTATTAATTGTTAGGACCTCACTATACCAATTATTTGTTTGGTGCAACCTGCACAGAAAGAAAAAAGGAGCACCTGCAGTGCACCAGCTGTGCTTGTCAAGAGACATACGCGACATTACGGCAGAGGGACCATGCAGCAAAGTTGTATATCAGCAAAAGTTGTCAGTGTTAGAGAAGTCTGCAGAATCCCTACCATGCCCTACTAGCCTTGGTCAAAGTAATACATACTAACAGAGTGCTGTTATGTTAGAGAACATTTAAACAAATGCAACACAGCATATAATGTCAATGTAAACCATGTAAATTGTAAATGAACACCACTTCCTGCAGGAAATCTCTCTAACCTACGACTGACTCTAAATTTGTGTCATCAAACATCCATGTACATGTACTCACCCTCTCACAGCGATACTCTCCAAACTTCACCCCTCGGACGATCTGCTGATAGATGAGGTTTGTGGCGACATAGTCCTCAGCAGGGTTGTGCCAGGGGTTGAAGATCTCCTTCCTGAAGAACAGCCTCCAGGGGGCGTTCCTTTCCTGGGCGCCCTGCTCTTTCGCGTACTGTTCACACTGTGAGACGGCGTCCATGACGTGGTCGCTACCGCTGCCCAGTGACGACACCTGGACGAGTCAGATTTACAAATTGAATTCCTGTTATAAGAGGTCAACACTTGTCTAAAGTCAGAATAGTTTTTTTCCCCACCTTGTCAAACAGAGCGATGTACAGAGAGAAGCCGAAGCGATCCCTCAGGTTGATCTTGTCTGCCAGAGCGTTGCAGAGCTCACTTGCGGTTGTGGCCGAGTCAGCCAGGAGAGTCTTTGTGGTGCCGTCCATAAATGTGACCGGGAGCATGATGGGCTTCTTTGATTTAGTGGCCTAAGGGGCAAAAACACCAGAGTTACCTTTTATCAAAATACTGTGAACTTTTGAGAAACACAACTGACACTGCCTATTCCACAAAATTCTCGGATTTGATTGATTGTCTTCTTCTGTTTTTTGGCTCTAACAATGATCGGATTATTTCTATAGAGGATTGTGAAAATAGTTTAGACAGAACTGTAAAGAGTGTTTCACATACTGTCAAATAAAGCTTTTTTGTGTATTGTTGCATAGATGTTGATAATTTCCATATTAAGAAGTAAAATTAGGGAAATGAGTAGGACACAGGCTCAAGTTTGAATCAGCTAACTTCAAAATTAATAGTAAAAGTTTTTGGGTTTGTAGTGACTCGTAAAAGTGCTATCGAAGACTCTTCTAGACTTTCACCATAGACTGTAGACATATAGTTACTGTACACACACATATATATATATATAGTACCTACATGTCAACATCGCAAGCAGGGGGGAGAAAAATGTGTATTCTGTGTAATAAAGTTTGTCCACAGGTCCATAGGGATTGCTGGAGGAGGCGGGATTTACGACCTATACTGCAGCCTGCCACCAGAGGGTGCTGTTCTCTGGGTTGCTTCACCCAGCGAGGAGGCAGACAGCGTCCATTCTATATACAGTCTACTACTTTCACATACTCAGACAGGTTTAGCATTAAATTACTTCCTGTACCTGTAATTCTAACCAAGATGGCGGCTGGGTCCTTGTGCGGTTGACGAACGTCCTCCTCAACCTCTCCTCGCAATATGGAGCATAACCAGGGGGACCGTTTATCAGAAATGTCCGTAAATACTGAAGGCAGAGGGAAGAGAAAGAAGGGAACGAAAAGATATCAGACAAATTCTCATGTATTCGGAAATGTAAATGTGAGTTTTCTTACTTTAACAAACTTCTCTGAGGGGGCGAAACAGCCGACACAGAGAGACAGCAGGATCCAGCCGCGGGCGTGGCTGCTCTTGGACGGGTTCTGAGTGAGCTGTTTGCAGATCTGACAGTAGATTTCGTCCCTGAAATAAAAACAAAAAAGCTTCACGATCACGTGATATAAGATGAACAACCTCAACAGAGAATCATTCCTGATTTAAATCCTCAGTGAAATTTTGAAGTTGAACTTTGTTTACCAAGTCAGCTGCAATGAACCCTAACCCTAACCCTGACCCTAACTTGTCATCTACATGCTGATGAAATCTAACTTGAGAAGAATAACAAATAAGAAATAATCCGGCTGATTGCTGATGATCTTTTTCTGCTTTTAGATACAATAAAATGGCATCAATGTGGATTTCAATCGACTTCATTGGTGTTTAAAAAACTCCTCACATGAGTTTTGATCAATTTATGTATTCAGCTGATAAAGCCTTGTGATTTTAAAACCCTCTGTCAGGTTTTAGGGGCTTCATTCTCACAAAAAAGGAACATTTATGGAGGAAAACTATCCTCCAAATGTTAGTGGGTTTTAAATCTGAAGTGAAGTCACCTGAGGGCTGGTCGTAGGATGCCGTTGCCAATGATAAAGTGAAGTTTCTCCAGGTTGGAGGTCGGCCGGTCCTCCAGCATGCTGTTCCCCTGGACTCCATAGTCCCCGTCTGTGAACCGCCTGGTCACCTGCCAAAGACCCGAAAGAAGAAAATGTAATAAACTTATGACTGATATCAACCCGTGTCATCCACATGTGGTATCAGTATGTGTATGTATAGAAATGTTTACGTATCAAGAGCCGGACTGATTCTCACCTCTTCTGTGATCTTTGTTTTCCTCTTCAGGGTGAGAGACACGAGTTTATGTCTGATGCTGTTCCTCTTCTGGCCGTCTATGGAGCTGTTCTGTTGGCACAGACATTAAGCATAATTACACTTCAGGTTATCATAAACAAGTGCATAAAAGTTAACATATCAGCCCCCTTGGCTTCATCTCACCTCTCCTTCCACCTGCAGCTCCTGCAGCTCCCTCTTGTACGTCCTCTTTCCCAGGGTTTCATAGATCTTAGTCATGACAGGGATCTTCTCACTCCCATCATTAATGACCATCTGACATTTTGGCTCTGGGAGGTCTCCCATGAACCTTAACACAGTGATCCACACAGCCAACGCAGCCTGGAGGACAGAAATGATGCTTAAAACCAGCGATTAGGATAAGAGTTAGCGGGCAACACTTCAATCCCGTCAGTGAAAACATGTCACAGAGCGTTCAAAATGCTCAATGCAAAAGGAGCATCATTCACATAAAAATAAGAATTTGTTGTCAAGTGTTTTAGCTTCACAAATGCTGAAACCAACATGGATATAAAAAACCTGCAGTTCCTCAAGCTGCCACTTGAGGCTGTTCCCAAAAGTGAGTCAACCTCCATTAAGGCCCATTTTAAAAATGCCAAAGTTCACAGCAGAATTTTTTGTGTACAGCTAATCTCTCTAATAGTTGACAAGAGGATTAATTCAAATGTTACCTTCTCAGTTTATTTTTAGGAATGTAATCAGGGTAAGGGGTTTCTGTGGGTCTCACCAGCTGGTCTCCCTCATCTTCATGATACAGCAGAGGTTGTTTCAGAGGTCGTCTGATGTAGGTGTGAGTGGAAACGCCTTGGAAGTAGGTGGCGGCAAACTTTGAGAACTTATACTCGGACAAATCTTCATCTTCCTCGTCAGGTAATGGAAGAGCTTCATTCAGCTCCTCTTCTTCGGTTTCCTCATTGTGAGGCGTGTTCTCTAAGTCCTGAAGAGCACAGAAATACAAACATTAAAAACTATATGTGCAACATAGATGAGACTGTATGTTGGAGAATGTTCAGCTGATAAGGCATAGGGTGAGAAATTGCAGTTATTAATGACATGAAACAGTATGATTTGACAAATACGATACGATACTATTAAAACATGAAAAGTAGCTGTTTATTGCATGTCACTAGTAACACTTTAATCTCGGGGTGGGAATCACCAGTGGCCCCACGATACGATATTATCACGATACTTGAGCCATGATACGATATTATTGCGGTTTTTAACATTTTTTTCAGTATTTCTTTCAGTATTTTTTGAGTATTACGATACAATATATTGCAATTTATACATTTTTTTAACTGTTTAGCTAATTTAGTATTTAGTTTGTCTTATTTACGCTGTATTTTATTTTCATGTAGGACATCTTGCAAACCCTGTATTGTTGCACAAACCTTCTCGTGCTCTATGTCGTCACCTCTGCCAACCTCACTGGACAAACAGTTGATTTTATTTTCCCATTATCATAGATTTGACTTCACATTAAAAATCAATTTTAAAAAATCAATACTTGGTAAATGAGACGATACGATATATCACCAGACAAAATATCCCGATACGATCCTGTATCGACTTTTTATCCCATCTCTACTTTAATCCTGTGAATATATGATATAAATGTGAGTCTGGAAGCTTGTCTGGAGCTCTGCTGCCCGGCCCTGCATCAACAGTGTCTGTATATGAATAACAGATTTGGTATAAACGACTAAAGCATGTATGACGGAGCAGCTGGAAGTTCATCAGCAGGTTTTAGTAATGTATCAAAATGGATTAAAATTTGTACCATGACTGGAGAAAAGATTGACAGGACAATAAAAGGGAACAGGGTTCAACTTATTAACATCTCTAAAGATGAAATTCAGATGACATCAGTGTGAACATTGGCCATTGTTGGATGTGTAAAGTGGACAACAAAAACCTGTAACCGCTCACCTCAAAACCAGCTGGTGCTTGTCCGTCCTGATTGGGCAAAGGCCCCGAGTTCCCCAGGAACCCGAACATGCGGTCGACCATGTCAGAGTGATCCACGGGCTGCTCCTTCTCCCTCTCCATCTGCTCCAGCAGCTCCTTCTTCCTCCTAGCCTCCTCCCTCTCCTCCCTCTCCCTCTCCTCCTGCTGCTGAGCCAGTTGGACGAGCCTCTCCTGGTGCTTCCTCTCGGCCTCTGCTTTGGCCCGCCGAGCCGTCATCAGGTTTCGCAGCTGCTCCTCCTCGGCTAGGCGCTGGCGCTCGGCTTCCTGCCGATGCCGCAGCTGTGAAGGGGGTGAGAGAGGAGGGAGAGGGGTCACAGAGGCGGGCAGAGGGTACAGCTGGTTAGTGTTTCTGTAAGCTCTAAACTAACCTTCTGATTAGAGCTAGAGCAGCCAAACTGAGGGGAACATTTTATTATCTGTCTCAACAGATAATCGACTTTTTGTCGTCATCTCTCTACAACAATGACCAAAAAGATTAACTATACTGTAAGTCTAAACTTCTACATGCTCTACATGGCGGAAGCTGCCTCTGGTTTGCACTCAAGCTGCTTCCCAAAGCTCACCCACTCAACTTCTTCTTCTTGGACGGGTCAGTCTGGAACTGCAGACCTGCTACGAAACACTACTCGGTGTTTCCTTAGAAAGTTCACTCTATCTCATTAAGCTGATAACAAACTGGCATCAAAACAAACATTTACAATACGGAGAATTTATTCAAAACAGGGAAAGAGGAAAAAAAGGGTCAAGAAACATCCTTACAAACTCACAATTCACAAACAGAAACCAAGAAAGGTTATGACATTCATCTTGGCAAGCAGCACAACAAGGGCGTTATCTTAAAGATCAAGTTGTCCTTTTGTTTTCTTCAAAAGCCTCAGTCACAAAAGTACTAAAAAACGGTTTATTTCCTATTTTCTCTTTTCCTTGTCCTCTCTGTAGAGTGAAAATTAGGGGTAAGGGGAGGTAGAGCATAAAGCCTTAAGCTCTGTCCTTTTTCTGACATCTTTCCTCTCTCACTCCTGCAAAAGGGAGGAGTAGGAGGAGGTTAAGTGTGCAGCTTCATCGAGCCAAAATCTTTCTTTGCCTCAGCTTTGTCTCTTCACAATCATTTTTGCTTGTTCTCTCTTCTCCCCTCTCTTGCCCGATGCAAATGAGGGAGTATATGTCTGACTTTACACGCACAGAAATGTAAACAGGGTTTCTCTTTCAATCTTTTCTTCTACCCCCACAAGACTAAATGGAAAAATGAGTGCAAACTTGTGCATGTCTCATTGGAGAGACTGTGTTTAATCCTATTTGTGAAACTTAACATCATATGCCGAAACAAAGGCAGGAAAGGTTTAAGGATTAACCCAACAGTGTGGCTTTTCAGGACAAGGACAGACTAGTGTCTGAATCACATGTGCTGTGCTGGGCTGTCTACTTTGTCCTCACATCCTTTTGTTTTAAAAACTGTCTTTATTCACTTTTTCCTTCTCTGTTCAAGAAGAAAAGTCACGAATAACATGAAGCAACAGCTCACAGCTACTCACAGCTCGGCTTATTTTAGTAAAGAGACCAAAAACCAACAAACAAGCAAGACAGGCTCTCCAGGTATCAGACTTTCAAAATCAAATCAAGACTTTTTTGTTCCATTTGGACCCATGTCTATCGTCTATCGACCCCTGAACAAATCTTCACATGAACAGCACAGACGTGAGAGGTATCCATCCTCCCATCGACTTTTCAGAGAAACAATAAACAAGCAGATGTACCCAAGTATTAAAAACCCCCTAAATGTTCTGCTAACAAACAATACTTCAGTTAAATGAACACCACAATCACTCTTCTTTAACACCAGTAACCCTCTCCCACTGACAGGTTGACAAAACGGTCCAAGAAGACGTAGTACATCGAACTTTTTACCTCTGCCCTCAGCCTCTGGCAGAGGCGCCTGGCTATCATGCCTCTGGTGTAGGCCTGGAGAGTCAACACGGCTCGGAGTCGCCGCCAGAAAGCCTGCCTGACAAGGAAGCCGCGGCAGCGAGCCTGGATGTAGGTGACATTTAGGCGGGTCATCTGGTAGTTCTTGTAGAACCTCCTCGCCCTGTAGACCGCCTGGAGCCGCAGGAAGCCACACTTCATCTGAGAGAAAGACGATTTAAGTAAAGTCATATTCGGATGGTGATGAACAAATGTGAATAAACAAATGTAAAAAGAGAGAGAGAAGATAGAACGAATCAGAAACTACAAATCGATGCTTTGATGATGTGAAAGACTTACAATTTTGTAATTCCTCCTACATCGATAACCTCTCCAGATCTTCTGGATAAAAGTGGTAGCGCTCCTCAGTTTTAGAAAGTAAGTTCTGCAAAACAAAAGATATTACATTTTGAAAAGAGTTTCTGATCGAGAGGTTCACCGTTAAATACAGAGACACAAAACAACCCTCTTGTCTGGACAACAACAAATCTTCACTCTTGGGGGTTTTGCAGGCTCTGCTAGTAGAAACGAGGCTCTCTCCTGAAGTCCTTACCTCTCTCTGAGTCCACGCACAGCCTTCTGGATGAGGATGACCTTGTCGGTGATGGCTGTGTCCCTCTCGATCTCCAGCCGCATGTCGTGGTGGTCCTGAAAAGAAAGGAACGGGGAAACAGCAGCAAATAAGAAACATGCAATCCAGAGGTTTGCTTTGAAAGAACGGATTACCAACTAGAAGAAGTCGACTAAAGCGCCTTAATGTCAGTGTGGTGAAGTAAACAAACTATGCTTAAGTGACATGTATCTACTGATGTCCTAAAGTTCTCTGACAGGGATTCCGTTCTTGTATTCCATCAAATTCTCTGTGATTCAGTAGATTAAAAAACAAAACAAAAATCAACCTTGAGGAAAATCTTGGTCTTTCCAATCTGCCAGTCCTCGTATTTCCCTAGCCGGGCCTGGACTATCATCCGGCAGGTCCCTCGTAGGTCTTCCTAGAAGGAGAACGATGAATGTGAAAGTAAGGACAAAAAGTAGCTCATCTTTTGCTGTAAGATTGAAAAAAAGCTGGTGATGATGGTTTCTTCATTAAAGCACAATTATCTGGCAAAACACAAAAGATTTCTTTATTAAAAGGCTGTTTAATAAGCTTACAGGAAGCTTTTTTGAACTATTTCAGGATTAACATCAACTTTGTAACAGCTGGCAGTCAAAGTGTTTTTGACCTGTATGTGTGCAGGTTTGACTCCAGGCATCAGGACTCGGTATCGGTCCACAAACTCTACAAAAGTGTATCTGATGGGGTAACCAGCCCGCCTGATCCTGATGGTCTCCATCATGCCGGAGTATCTCAGCTGACGAATACACAGCTCCCTGTCGAAGATCTGAAAAATAAAAAAGAATAAAACAAGATCCTAAAACTTGATTGAATGTTTTTAATGTTGTAGGGCTCTTTGCTTTGACCAATCCATCACACTCTTATTGGCAGGGCTTAAATGTTGACGGTAATACTTTCCAACTAGCTCCTAAACACAAAGGACATCTGAACTATTTATTTGAAGAAAATCTCTTAGTTTGCTAAACTTTAGAGCTTCTTTTGACCGTTGAAATATTGAATATTGACTTTTTAATGAAGGAGAAAAGTTCAGAAGACAGTTTGACTCAGTTTGACCTGAGGGTGCAGTCAGGTAAAAAAGAAAGCAAATTTATACTCATCAATACAGAAAGATAACATTGATAAAAATTTGAAGCATAAAGACATAAAGTTATTTCTCTGCTTCACTCTTTTGAGTCTCTTTTGGTTGCCTAGCAACGTCCCAGTCACCTCAAGGTTCCAGGAAGCAACTGGGCTGAGCCAAAAAGTGGTTTAGCGGATAATCTCTAGAAGAAAACAACTATTTATTTTTCAACTTTGTTTCCTGTATAATGTGAAACTTTTTGACATTTTTATGGATGTGCCTTTGCAGATATACAGAAGGTGAAGAAGAATTCAAACACACATAGACTTTTCTCACCATTGGTTTTTTTAACTCATTGGGTTTTATACAGCGAACGAAGAACGGCTGACACACACTGAGCGTTCTCATCAGCATCTCCAGGGAGCGTTTGAACTGACTGCTCAGAGTGGGAGAGCGCTTCCTCGTCTCCACTCCCTGAAAACATACAGTTACACAAAACACATGCAAAAAAAGAAGAAACACGTAAGGGAGCAGTAAAATAAATGAAAATGAGTTCTTAAAGGCGCAGATGTCACTGATTACTGTGTATGAATGTCTGTTCAGGAGTAGCAGGTTGTATATCAGCAGTGTGGCCTGCTAACAACACGTCTTGCAGCATTAATACGGTAGTTTGGCAAGGAAAGTCTTCTGTCTGGCAGGCAGATTTCTTTAAAATCCTCTCAAACTTTCCTTTAGAATTAAGCTGGAAGGCTTTAGTTTTCAACTATATGTGTTAATTTCCTAGTCTTGTATTCTGCTAACCTAAAAAATGAGAAATAAAGTAAATAATAATAATAATAATAATAATTTCCTAGTCTTGTATTCTGCTATCCTAAAAAATGAAAAATAAAGTAAATTAAAAAAAACCCAATTTTCCTAGCCTTATATTCTGCCAACCTAAAAAATGAAAAATAAAGTAAATAATAATGATAATAATAATAATAAAATTATTATTATTATTTATAATAATAATAATAATAATAATAATAATAATAATAATAAAATTATTAATAATAATAATAATATTTATTATTATTATTATTTCCTAGTCTTGTATTCTGCTATCCTAAAAAAATAAAAATAAAGTTAATAAAAAAAAAACTTAGCCTCATATTCTTCCAACCTAAAAAATGAGAAATAAAGTTTTAAAAAAATTAATTAATAAAATTCTTTTGTCTCGTGCTGAAGAGGGGGGAGGCAAGGAGGAGGAGGAGCTTCTGCTGATAGCTGGTGAAATTCCAAAATCAGACCCACTCCCATCCCATTTTCAACCACATGAACAAAATACTTTTGCAGCATTTAGCAGGTTATAGTGGAGAGGAAGAAGTTTCTTTAACTTGGAGCAGAACCAGACTCATGTTAGACAGTCATCTGCTGAGACTGAGCTGGGTTTAGAGAGGGGAGAGAGGAAGATGGACATAGATAAGACTGATAGAGAGAGATTTAGATGATGTTTTATGGGTATCTGATCACAAAAACTGCATGGTCAGAATTCATATGACTTCCTTTTTTCCTAATAACGTACGTTTGAATCTGTTTCTTTATATTAATTCAAAACTAAAAAAACATTTCAAGACACAAGCCACGCCCAAGTTTAGTTTTCTATTTAAATACAGATACAGATAATGACGTTCCTGCAGACTTACAGAACGAAATATACTGATAGTAACGCAGCACGTTCTCACAGGAAATGATGAGGGGAAATGATGCAGCTAAGGGTGCACACCAGTATCACGACAACACCACAATAAACAGATGGGAGACAACAGCAAATGTCTAAAAGGCGTCTTCTCTGGGATCTTTCCAGAGAGGACGAAGAGAAAACATGACTGGACCTCACTAGAGATGAGTTAAACGAGGTTTGTGAGTTCAAATGTTAATTTTGAGGTGAAGAGAAGAGCTCGAGGAAGGGGGGATGGGGAGCTTGGACACTTGGATTTTCAGCTTTGATTTCGGTTTAAAGCCAAATCGCAAACAGGGTTTGTGTCACCCCGTGTTGCTAGAGACTGTTGATTACCTTGGGAGTGGGAGTGCTGGGCTGCTGATAGCCACACAGATACTGATGCGATTGGAAAAGATCGAGGAAACAGAGAAGAGAAAGTGGAGTGAGAGGAGGGGGGAGCAAAGTTTGTGAAAGCTAAAGCTTTAGCTTTCTAACTTCAAATTAGAATAAAGGCAAAAAAGCAGGTGAGAAATATCAGTGCAACATAACAAGTATGTACACACTGTATTTATCTGTCTCACCATGGCAACGTCGGCCTGGAAGATCTGCTTGATGAACTTGTTTTTGGATGAGTGGACGAGCTGGATGATGTCCGTGTGGAGGCTGTCTCTGTTTTTCTCCAAGAACCCTGGAGGGACAGCAAAGACAGACAAACTACTGTCAATTTGAGTTTCGGTTCATCACGATTGTTTCATTAATGGCAAACAAAGAGCCGCAGACATAAAGTCCACTGAGACATCATCACACTGCTATCTTCTCTGAATGACGGCCCAAAAGTGAGAAATATTATATTTATTTTGGAGGGAAAATGAGCAAATATCAAATATAGAAATTATGTTTTTAGTATTATTTTCTTTACTGATCATATGTGAGGAAAATTATTGATACTTAAAGGGATATTCTGGGGTAAAATTAGTTTAGAGTCAAACACACCATAACACCAAGTTAGACACCCCCTCGAGAGATGAATGTTGCCGACCGCTTGCTTCTCTAGTTATACCAACTTTAGTAACAACCGCACGATAGCAATACACAGCGGTCTGAGGAGCCATAAACAAACCTCAACCGAAAAGCCACTCTATAGCCACAAATAATGCTCAGAACAGCACCTAACTTCATCAACAGGACATATAGGGTCCTAGCCATAGCACTCGCCACCACACATCATAAATGTTCTTCCTTGAGCTGCATCACCCTGCTGCACTCGGTAATAGACTTGCCTGAGGTCTCGCTACAAACAAGTGGCTGCTAGAGGAGAGTAGGTGAGTTGTGTTTAGTCTCTTTGCTAAAGAAATTAGGCAAAGTTAATAAGATGTTTGGTGGCTAGTGCTGTGGCTGTGACCCTATATGTCCTGTTGATGAAGTTAGGTGCTGTTCTGAGCATTATTTGTGGCTATAGAGTGGCGTTTTGGTTTAGGTTTGTGTATGGCTCCTCAGACCACTGTGTATTGCTATTGTGCGGTCGTTACTAAAGTTGGTATAACTAGAGAAGCAAGCGATCATCTCTCAAGGGGGTGTCTAACGCGGTGTTATGGTGTGTTTGACCTTAAATTGATTTGATCCCTTTAATATCCCTTTAAATCTGTGATAGCATGACTTAACGTAAAGCTCCAATGAGGAACTTGTGGTTTGTGTCAATTATGGCGCCCCCTGTGGGCAAGGAAGTCTTTGATATCTACATGCTTAAATTCCACTTCCGCTTCTCTGAGTAGTCACAGTTTCTAAATCTCCTGCATGCTTAATATTTCCTTGACAAGAAATTTTGCATCACCCAGTTATTGTCCCTAAAATAAAAAAAACATGTTTAGTTTACCCCTGACAAAGACCGCTACTACTTCCTGATTTAAAGTGATGATAATCATGACATTATTATCAAGATAAAATATGCTGTAGGGATTGTGTGTCTCTATTACGGTTTGTTTAGATGTCCTTTCTTTTGGATGCCACCCTCATCTAATGTGACCTTTAGTTTCCCAGAATTCTCCCCTGAGACCCAAATTAAAAACTGCAGCATCACTCATCACAAACAAGAGAGGAGCTGAGGTGAAAACACTGCCACGAAGAATTCAAACTGAACAAAATCGAGCAGAATAAATGAAAGAGGGGCGGATGAAGCAGACTCACCTCTGGTCTCATAGTGCACCACACCAGCAAAGTGTTGGATACCAAACTGGGTTTCGTAGCTGTTTTTAGGAGGGATGTAGTTACTGTTGAGCTTGTGCTGTGAGTTGAGCTTGTATAACATTGTGGCATCAGTTCCCTAAAAAAAAACAAACAAGAATTGACTTATAAAGATGAGTAAATGTATGTAACTTTTCATAAAATAACCTATAAAACACACGAAAGTAGCAGTTTGACTTCATCCTCTCATCTTGTGTACCTTTGGGAACTTGCTCTCCTCATCGATGAGGGAGATGATGTTCATTGGTTTGTTAGCGATCATATCCAGAGCGTCCTGATTGTCTGTGAACTCGATGTGCTGCCAGCTGATGTCCTCCAGGTTGTACTCCTCCTGCTCCAGTTTGAAGACGTGGCGGACGAAGAACTGCTGCAGGTTCTCGTTGGCGAAGTTGATGCACAGCTGCTCGAAACTACAAAAGAGGAAGAACAGAGTTGTGTCGCATAATAAAGCGGAGCTCAAACAAGGTTTTCATGTTGAATAAAGAGAGAGATGATGAAGCTTTTTGAATCACCTGTTGAGGATAAAGTTTTCGAATCCAAAGATGTCCAGCAGCCCTATGGACCTGCGTACAATGCTACTCTCACAAGATGGCGGTCTATAAATGGCAGCGTTGATTTTATCCACGATCCACACAAACAGTCGCCCGTAGATCCCCTGAAATATATGAGTTGTTAAAAAACTGAAAACAATGCGTACGATTACCTCAGAACTTTGACCGCCATTGGATAATTGCATAGCTGTTAATATTTGTACCTTCACAAAGGCATCCCTGACATCCAGGCCTTGTTCCACACTGAGAGGCGTGGTGACACTTTCCCCTCGGGTGATCAGGGTTCGTGTGGTCAAACACACCATCACGTCTTTAGGCTCCACCTGCAGAGCACATGAAAACATAAACTCCATGTTTTTTGTCACAGAAGGGTGACTCCAAAAAATATGGAAGTGGTTTGCGTCTCTATTTCTGAATCTAAACTGTAGAAACATTTAGTAGAAACATACAGAATGAATCTTTTTTAGTTCACCAGACTCACCTCCATGAGTGAAGCAGCAGTAACAAGGTCAGGAGATCTCACAACTACACAGGCGTCCAAGTTTTCGAACGTACGAGCTGAGGCGGGAAATCAAGATCACAGTTTTTCCCACTACATTCTCAGTATCTTTACACCACTTATACACGATTAGGAAACATCCTTAAGCACCTGCAATAACCCTGTGAACGTGCTCTTTAAAATGCTTTTCATTAGTGTACATCATACCCTCAAAGCGCAGGTTCCCCATGTGCAGGATGGCAGCCAGCAGCTTCGAGATCTCCCAGTTTTCGGTCTCAGTGAACATGAGGACCTTCATGGCCGAGATGATGCTGGAGTAATCGTTTAGGTCATCACGACCGTCACACTCTGTGCAGTGACCCTGGTCAGAGGAAGAAAACAGGGAACATTTGCTTCTATTTGGATAAATAAGAGACTTAAATTGTGGGACCCTAATGACGAGTCGACTCATTTGAGGGGGTTTTCATCAAAAACATCAGTTTTCTCCAAAGATTAACAGGAAAATGCTGTTATAAGAACAAATAAATGACTGTAATTGATAATAAGATTAATAAAGGTGAACATACAAAGCATTCAGGGCTGTGTGTGAGTTTTTATAGCAGTTCATACCACATCATAGGCCATGTAAAAACAACCAAGTCTGAGTTTTAGTTCAGACTTAGAATGACCTAAAAACGCAGCCCAAAAGCTGCCCCACACGGTCACACCGACTCACCATAGTAAGGTAAGCGTAGTCTGTAGCGAGACCCAGGCCCAGCTTTGACTTCATCTCAGGAGCCATGCCCTTCAGCATGCAGTAAAAGATGTGGTAGTTCCTCTCATCTGGAGCCTGAAAGAGATTGTAATAATAAACTTCGTCTCAACAACATTCATTTTGCACCAAGAGCATACAGAAACTGGTCTGATTAAATGATGAATCAACATTCGAGTAACTTCTGTTGACATGGATTCATCCTCTGAGCTGAGCTGTGTAAACCAGGATCCAGAGTCTCACCTGTCGGCACACTCGCGACTTCTCCAGCAGGTACTGCTCTATCTTTGCTCCTTCGATGGCTCCCCGCCTGTTGAAGTGGATGTCGATATATTTCCCGAAGCGACTGGAGTTGTCGTTACGAATCGTCTTGGCGTTGCCGAAGGCTGGAGGAATGAAACAACAGCAGTTTGAGGTGATGGAGGGGCAGAAACAAAAACACAGAGCTTGTTTTACATCGAGTCTAAACCAAAAAGGAACATTTTGGGGAGTTTTATAAATCCAAACCAGCGAACTTGATCTATGAAATCAATTAACTGGTTTTTAAAAGCTCAATATTTACACGAGATGGGAGTCCTTTAAAGAAATTCAAACTATTTTGAGATTAAAATGCAAAAAAATGAACAAATAGTTTTTCAGACCTGGATGTGTGGTGATAAACTCCTATGAAGTACCCTGGTTTATAAAAGTATGTTAGTTGGATATAGATGCATTGTACGCTGAGATGAATAATGTTGAAGTCTTAAACAATAAAAAACTCAATGTTTAAATATAACATCAGAGATATCTGCATCATAGTGAAGAGAGGCAGCTGCTCGGTTTATGTAAATGTGCTTTAATCATGATCAGTGGGAACGAATCCAAAAAGAAAGACTTAATTGCAGCAACTGTAGTTTAATGTTTGCGATTGGTCAGTATTAGCCAGTTTAGAATCGGCTGGGCCGTCGTCTGCTGCTAGTTTAATCCTGAACAGTGTTGGATAACAGGCTGCAGGTAAACTGACCTAAAGAGCGACAAAGCGAGTGTTAACAGGTCGGTGAAAAAGGGTTTTTACCTGGAAACAGTTTCATAAGGAGGCATGATGACAAAACTGAGACTCTCTCTCAAATATCTGACCCTTGGAGTTTTTATCCCAGTACATTTAAGATCAAACTTTGTACAGAGTCCAAACAGAGAAGTGGTCTGACCTTCCAGGATGGGTGTGGCCTCCAGGACCTGCTGCTCAATCCAGGAGTGTTGCCCGCTGATGGCTGCCAGAAACTGCAGGATCAGCTTTGTGCTCTCTGTCTTCCCGGCTCCAGACTCTCCGCTGTTTAACACACACAAACACACAGAGGCCCTGAATATTAACAAAGGCCTTCCTTTAATCCCTTCCCTCCATCCGAACCTCAAGTTGACGCACACCTGATGATACAGCACTGGTCCTTTTGGTTTCGCTGCATGTTGAAGTAACAGTTGTCGGCGATGGCGAATATGTGAGGCGGCATCTCTCCGATCTTCTTGTTGGTGTAGAGGCGGATGTGGTCTGCTGTGTAAATGGGGAGCAGCTGGTACGGATTGACTGCCACCAGGATTGAACCTGTATACGTCTGCAGGTTTGAAACAACAGAAAAGCTTTCATTAATATCAAGAAAACCCTATTTAGAAGAGATCCCCGTTTAAACCTAAAGACCATCTGGGTCTATGGGTAAACAACCTGTTGACGGCTTTATTTATAGTCAACTCAACATCAACGTGTTGGAGGTTTGTGTAAACAGATTATCCCGATTAAGAAGTTAACGCATCTGCAGCCTGTTGTCCGTCTCCTTCCTTTGCGGAAACACGAACGAAGAAGCAGATACTCACATAGATGACACGCTCAGAGTAACGGATGAGCAGGTTACGGAGGATGCCGGCTTCGTTGAGATCTCCCAGTCGGATCATGTCTTCCACCCCCTGGATGGAGGTGGGGTGCATGGGCTTAATGTTGGTGGCATACTGAGGGGAAATGGAGTGGTCCTGTGTGAGGAGAAAGGGGAGGGAAAGAGTAGAAGATTTGGTTTATTACTTGGATTTGCAATGTCCAAAATGAGACGGCTGAACAAGTTAAGAATCGAACCCCTCTAGTTTGGAGTCAAATGCAGATGAAAATTTTCCACATAGTAGCTTTATATGTTCTCCTCTTTTAAGAAATCCAGCCTGCGTTAAGGATCTGCCGCCTCTCCGATTCTAACCCGTTATCCATGCGGTGACCTGAGTGGAGAGGGATGCTACAATAACGAGGCACTGCCCTGATTGGCTGCCTCAATGTTGTCTAAGGGTGCAAAAAACACAAGAACAAATATGGCGAGAGCTCCAGGAGAACCAGCACAGAGAAGTTTGTGAGTCTGGCTTTAATCATCGATATCTTGACTGTGCAACGCCAAAGCAAAATCGGGGGACACTAACTGTAAATGCTTGAAATCTAACATAGGCTGACAAAATTTAGACCATCCAGCATCTTTTCTTCCACCATTGCACTACTTGCACCATTTCCAGTTTGTCTACTTATTCTACTGACTGAAATGCTTTTAATACCGATTAAAGATTTTTGGTCAAACCTACAAAATTCAGTGCCAAGTATAACAAAACTTGAATTCGCCGTGTAAATGTTTTGTTTTTTCCCAGTCCAATCACTCTACATCACTGTCTGCCCCTTTAAAGGACCAGTTTCATGTATTTGCAGGTATCAGTTTTTCTACTTCATGGCACACCAAAAACATTCGGTAAATTTTACCAAACAACGGGCACAATAAAATGTACTAGTATGTTTTTACTATAGGGCATCTACAGAGTCAGTATGAGCTATTGACTCACCGTTCCTTCATCATCCAGAACCTGGATCTGTCCAGAGTCACAGAGTTTGACCACGGCTCCCACAGGGACGTCAAACTCTCGGCCCGTTTTAAGGTCCAACCACACATAGTCCCCCTGGATTAAAAAACAAAACAGCTCTGGTTAAATCTAATCATCAAACTCAGCAGAGAGAGAAAATAATCGAATGCGTGCAGAAATGAAACATAAATGAGAAAGAATAATCGTTTTCAAACTCAGGGCTCCAATCCTAATGAAACAAACTCATCATTTTTTGCATTTCGGTATCTTACATCGTTGTGCAGACTTGTATATGCACAAACATTTTTTCACCAACACTGTTATGTTATCTTTCAGCATGAAATTACCCCAGATTTACTTCACTTTCATAAAAATATAGAACTTATCATACTGTGCAGATCAAAATAACTTACCATGGATCATTTCTGCTGCTGATTGTTTTTGTCGAGCACAGGTTTTATCGTCTCAAACCGATAAAAGACATACTTAAGCTTATAACTGATCACCAATAAAAGCTTTCACTACTTTTCATACAGCTGTTTAGTAAGTTTCATATTTTTAAAATGTAGTCATGAGGTGTTATGAATGCATCACTACCTCTTTAAATGCCTCATAACTCTCTGAAACCCTGGACTTAATGGAAAGCAAACTTCTGCTTTCATTGCAGCACGTTTTTATGCTAAAAAAATAAAACACCAATCTGACCCAGAGGCTCTGTTACGATGTCAATAAAATCATCAAAATCTAACTTAGTCTATTAGCAAGTGCTTATTTTATAATATCATACATTCTGCTTTACTTGTTTTATTTTTGAGTTATTTATGCAGAATAAATACAGTAGTTAGTATTAAAACTGTATCGCACATCCACTGTTCCCCTCGCTGCCGGCTCTCTGAATGTGAGGATTAAGTCTGAAAAAGAATTAAAGCGGTCCACCTTAAGCCCAGTATCAGGTATGATATAACCCCGACCTCACAGCTCTGGGTTGTTTGGGTATTTAACACAGAAGTGAGCCCTGAATTCACTGGGTTATAATGTCTACTTTCAATGGCTCCAAAGAAGTCACCTAATGGGTGGGAGGTTTTATTCTTCAGCTATCACAGTTTCTTGGTTTGGCAGCTGTAAGGGCCTGTGTCCACTGACTGCATTTTCAGTGTTTTCAATGCAAAGTGCAGTAACTCCCTCTGTGTCAGGTGTTTAATGCAGCTTTGCTCAATCTGCTCCCAGACAGAATAATTCAAGGATTGAAAAACAGCCGTTAGCTAATGCCATGTCTTTATCACTGACCAATCAAAGTCAAGGTGGGGGTGGGACTTCTGATGGTGGAAGTCTGTACAATAGAAAAAATAACCAGACCTTATTTTTAAAATAAAACCTCCAAGTCTACAGCTACTGCTAATGCCTCAACATGATTTTTATCAACTGCTTTTACATTTTCACTGAATAGACGTAAAGTTGAAGCACAATGAGCATTTTAAAACAGAGTTCAGGATGTGTTGAAAGGGAAGTACCACAGGACAACTGTCTTGACTGAGAAACAGGGAGTGTCAGAGACTGAGGTCATGGACACTGTGGTTAGCAGGACACAAGCCCTTAAAAGGGATATTCCGGTGTAAAATTAAGTTAGGGTCAAACACACCGTAACAACAAGTTAGACACCCCGTCGAGAGATGAATGTTGCCGACCGCTTGCTTCTCTAGTTATACCAACTTTAGTAATGACCGCACGATAGCAATACACAGTGGTCTGAGGTGGTCTGGTACGGAGACCTCCAGGCGAGCCCATCGACTGCTGCGGGGTGACGCAGCTCAAGGAAGAACATTTATGATCACTACTTTATCATTTACTTGAAGTAATAATCACCATATTAATCATTTTGCACTGCAGACGCAGTAGTTCTTCTGCCTTAGCGTCTCGGTCTGATTGTATTTCCACAAGGAAATGATCATAAATGTTCTTCCTTGAGCTGCATCACCCGCGGCAGTCGATGGGCTCGCCTGGAGGTCTCCGTACAAACAAGCAGATGTTTGGTGGCTAGTACTATGGCTGGGACCAAACATATCCCGTTGATGAAGTTAGGTGCTGTTCTGAGCATTTTTTGTGGCTATACAGTGGCGTTCTGGTCGAGCGCGTGGCTCTCTGTATTGCTATCTGTGGTTGTTACTAAAGTTGGTATAAAGAGAGAAGCAAGCAGTCGGCAACATTCATCTCTCGACGGGGTGTCTAACTCGGTGTTATGGTGTGTTTGACCTTACCTTAATTTTACGCCGGAATATCCCTTTAAGGACACTGACCCTTGACCTGGAACATACGGTATAAACTCCTGGAAAGTTTGATAGATATAACAGTAAAGTGCAAGTTTTCCAGAAGCAGAGGTTGCTTCTCGACCAAACCAAACAATTACTGTGTTTGGATGAGTTGACTCTGGTAAACAATAGATGTTTAAATCCTGCAACAGTCATTATATTAACCCCTCAACTCCACTGAATGAAGTCAAAACAGCCTTAATGGGGATCTTAATTGGCACAGACACTGGTTGCCTCTTTAACCAATATTACCTTGGTCGGACACGAACGTGTGTTGAAATCAAACCTACCTGCTGCAGAATGACCATGGTTCAGCCTTGGGTTGATAGCAGGACATCAGAAGTCACCATGTGTGGGCTCTGAGGAGACAATTCAGAGAGATCAGACAATGGAAACAATAAACAATGTTTTAAAAACTATTATCGAACCTGAGTCTCCTTCATGATTTCTTTAAATCTGCATTAACTTCTGAGAACAAACAGCCTCCTCTTTAGATACTGAATGCTTAATCATGTTGACTGCGGGTGCTCTCAAACTCATATAAATTAATTGGGGATTAAGTAGAACGAAAATGTTGCACACAAGGAGAGCAACCGGCAAAGTATTGCTCTATGTGTCCACAAGAGAGGGGGAAGTTTGAGCCCAAATGTACAGTATATCACACAATAAACTTGAACATTTCAGAGTGTGAGCTCAGACAATTAGCCACGTGGCTTTGTTGGTCCAGTGAGGAAAGGGGTATGGGGGGTTAGAGGCGGGTTACAGGGTCTGCTGGGGGCTGTTAAAGGCTTACTTGGATTCCAGGGGCTAATCCCATCGCTTAAGTACGAGGCATAGTTGTTGCAGTTGTGACTGCTGAATCATTTTCTCCCCTCTGAGCTGCATTTCTTTATCCTTATTCACTATGACGAGGGTGCTGCACTGTGCATGGTGCTTTGACCTTTCTGTTTGCAGTTTACCGAAACCTGCCATGTGTCTGAGTTGCAAAGTGAAAAAGACAAGATGCATTGGATTTACTCATGAAGTTTTGCTGCAGTCCTCTTTTGTTCAGTAATCGCTGAAAAAATGTTCAGTGTGGAGTTGAAATAAAAAGGAATAAATAGATTTATATCAGTAAAAGAAAGTAAAGCTGAATAATCTTTCTGGAAAAACAACTTTGTGCCTTAAATATCTTGTGAAGCTAAACAAACAGAGCATGAGTGATGAAGATAACCTATTGTCATGGGGGAGGGGCTAAGTGTATTAATGATCCATTAGTGGTCCAATAAGTGGATTAACATTTAGTCACACGTGCCACACAGACTGATCTGTATTTAAGTAATTAAAAAAACTCCACAGATTCTCCTCAAAAAGGGGCAGTAAACTTTGTCAGGACTGCAGCAGAACAGATTTACAGCAAGTCACAAAACGTTCAGCTAATGCTGAGACAGAGCCTCTTATCCTGAACTACAGGGTGCCAATCTGGCTGCTAATTGGTCTGTTCTAAAATTTACAACATCCTGAGTTGAATGACTATAAACATCACGATAAGAAGTGTTTACATGAGTCTTCAGTTTAAAAATCTGATATTGTGTAAAAAAGCTAAAATGAAAGTGGATTTTTAAGTGCTGCTGTTGTGCTTTTTTTTTTGACTGGAATGCTTAAGTACAGAGCTAGCATAAAGTATGAAAGACATTTATGGACTTTTCTATCTCCACATATAACCTTTACTCATCCCAGTAACACTGAAGCGCAATACAGATTTAATATTCGCCTCATCATGTATACTTTAACCTTTCTAAAAAATGACTCTACACCTGTGGCAAAGGGTGTGTAGGGGGGTCTATTGAAATTATTTTCTGAAATTAATTTCTATTGAAAATATACATTAATAGATTTTTAAAAATACATTACCCACTATTAAGAGGTTTAATCTGAGTTAATATCAATCAACTGAGTGCAGGGCCATACAGTATATATATTTAAATCAGTCTGAGTCTTCCTCCATTCCTCAGTCTAATGTGAGTCTGGTTCTGCTCCAGGTTTCTGCCTGTTAAAAGAAAATTTTGTCACTTTACAGTCTAAGCCTACAAGACGGGGATGGATCTCGTCCTATCTCAGTGTTGGGTCTTTGTAGATATAATAACATATAGTACTTCTACTGAGCATGAAAATCATACTGTGGTATCACCATGACTCTCTCTGTCTGATCACCTGTAGAACATGCAAACGTAACACTTTACAATAACCACAACTTATAAATGGTAAGCAGATAGTTTATTAATGTTTAATCATCATTTATAAATAGCATATACACCATTAATAAATTGTAAATTTTACAATTTTAAAAACCTAACCCTAACCCTAACTTTACAATAACCATCTAAGTGATGTTTATAGATGGTTTAAAAAACAAACATTAACCATTAACAAAGTGCTACTGACACACATTTTAATCTAGATGTTTTACAACCAACATTTGAACCCTATATAAACCTTTAATAAATAGTCTGTTAATAGTGAATGAAAATCATAATTTTTTTGCTTGTTAATGGTAAAGTAACTATTGACTTACATTAATAAACTATCTATTTGCCATTTATAATTGGTCTATATGCTGTTTTTTAATAATGATTAAACATTAATAAACTATCTATTTACCATTCATAAATTAATAATAATCCGACATAGGTCATGGTCAAATAGCGATAAGATATCATGTAGTTGATGGATAGGCTCCTTGAGTGTCCAATCAGATTTCAAATGGGGCCCCTGAACACCACCCTTGACACACCCCTGCAGATGGCCATGACTGTCATCTGATTGTATTTTGTTTTCCTATTATTTTACAAGTCCCTCTTCAGTCTTTACACTTATTTTCTAACTGCCATATTACTGTCATTCTGTTTGCCTCTTAATTTTGTCTTTCATGGACACTGTTCAATCTTAATTTGTGAGGATTAGTGACCCCAGGTAAACTACAAACTGCTTTTTGGAAGCCAACAGAGACCCAGATGAAGTTTTAACTCTTCGTAACAGACACCTTTTTCATAAGGAGTGTTTTTGCTCTGAACGACCAAAGGCTGAAAAGCTGCAGACCACATTATAAAACTAACTCCACATCTCACTGGAACAGCAAAGCAACATGATTGTGTAACTGAAAGATTGCTTTATAATCCCTTGTTGAGGATATAATGTCATTTCTCAACCACAAGATTTTTCAGCAGTGTCACATGATGTGTAAACAGACGTAAATACATTACGTCTCTCCAACACGTGTGGTATCACTTCTTTAGAGCTGGTGAGAAAAAAATGAAGGATGAATCTAAGAAAACACAGACAGGTTCAGTCTGGATTTGGGTTTTAGCTCTGTTTAACTTCCTATATCTTCTGGTCAGTCAGGTGTTCCAGTCCCTGAGTTCAAGTCTTCAAGTGAGAGTCCTGGAATCAAGTACTGGTTTCCAGGACTTCTGGTTCGATTCGGGTTTGAGCTCTGGTACAGATACATGGACTTAAGCATTAACTGCCTTGAGACTCAGGAAGGAAGAGAAAAGGACTCAGACTTATTTACTAACAAAGACCGTTTCATTGGGCTAAATAGGCGTCATAATAATTCAGTTTCAAGCATTTGATAGCCACACATGTTAACCTGCATGCTGCCAGGATGCCTACAGAGACCTGAAATCTCAGACTTTAATGGATGTGTGTCCAGGAAGCCATTAGAAACAGGAAGTGAGATATTTAAGAGGATGCAATATTTCTGCTAGACTCAAAATTGACCCCAAAGAAGAAGAGTCAAAGGTTTATGACGACAGATGTGGCAACTGTGGAGGGGAAATGATTATGTGTCTGTTATGGCTGTGATGCATTTCAATCTTTAATACTATGTGGATGGTTAATCCAATTTCTCTAAGTATGATATTATGGTTTTAGCTCTACTATTGAACTACCATCTTAGTTTTTGGCATTAGAAGATGTGCTGAAATACAGACGAAATGAAGTCACAGAAGGCTCTGTATGTATCCGTATGCATACCTAATGTAAAGCGTTAATGAGATTTTAGAGAGGCAAACAGCTGTGTAACCTCGATGATCATTTAAATCTGCAGACACACGGACAGAATCAGTCTGGATCTGATGTTGATCAATGAAATGCGTTTTCTACACATCAAAAAAGTCCCACAAAGTCAGCCCAGGTTTATGCGGTTAACTGTTTAGAGCAGTTCCCTTCATAATAAAGAATAATACCAAGGACTCAGATTTAGACTCGACAATGAGGACTTGAGAGACAACACTGTGTTGGGACCAAAACTTCTCTCTACATGAACAGTTCCTCTCTGCTACCAGCCACATCAGCAATGATGCCCTGGAAATCCCCGTCACAACACTGATCCCACTTGGTCCCACAATCACTTAAATTACACCAGTGTTAGCAATCTTATTTTCATCACCTCTTGTAACCTTTACAGGCTGTCTTTGACTCTTACTTGCATGTCATACTTTGCTCTTTCTTCTCAGTTTTCGGCTCTCTATGTTTTCTCTCTCTCTCTATCTTATCTTTTAAATCCAGACATATAAAGTCCAAGAATTGTCTTTGAGGTTTGAGTTAACTATTTCCTCCATATCCTCCCTTTCAAAATAAAACAAAGATGCCTCATTCAACCTCAGAGTTCAAACCCTACGCTCTCTGTTATCACAGCTCATGAGACCTTCACTCAACCTGGTCAGAGATTTACATGCAGCAGCCAACAGAAATCTTGTTAATGCCCTGGCTGCTAATCTGCATGTGTGTGTGTGTGTACGTGCGTATGTGTGTTTGTGTGTGGCCTATAATGCAGCTCTAACAAGCATGTGTGTGTATCTGCTCTGACTCACATGGCAGGGATTCAGAGGCACAGAGAGGCGTGAGGCTTTCATCATTGTCCAGCAGCGCTCGGAGTTTCCTTGTCCTCCATGAGTCCTGCAGTTTGCTCCCTAAAAACCACAACACAGAGTTTGAATGACGTTACAAAACCAACACAGTTCAATCATAAATCAATCATAAAAACATAATAATACTAACAACAATCACAAATTAATCATTAAAAGAATATTGAAAAATAGTTTTGTAGTAATAATGATAATATAGTGTCATATAATGTCCACTTAATCCATTATGCTGAAGTTTAGCTTGTTGTATTACCCATTTAGGTCAGTTTTTTAAACAAACACACGTTGAACTTTCCAATATAACTACCATCGCTTCTTATACTTGCTTTTATTTTAACCTAATAACTAGTTTAAGTTTACATTAGATTGAATTAAAAACTAACAAGTACTTAAAAGTGTTT